GGAAGAGGAGAGGCTTTTTATTTGCCCCCATTCAGTTGCCCCGGTTCTATGGAGGAAAGAGTGTTCCATTGTGAAAGATTGTCATTGAAGAGTGGGCAAAAACATATTGGAGGTCATGTTTTTAACCCACCTGACGTCTCCAGTTACAGTCACATCATTTTGCCCCATATAAGACAATGGAACTCAGTAACTAGGCTTCAGCTTTGAGAACATCTGAGAAGGAGAACAACATGTTTCCCTTTTGCTCCAGATATATGTCTGAGGAGAGGCATATTCTGACTCCCCCTCCAGCTTAAAATTGGGACACAGCTCATGTGTCAATAGAATCTCTACACCCCATACTGATGCCCCCAATGCCTATAGCAAAGAGATGTCTTGCTCCACTTGTATCTTAGCCTCTTTAGTTCCCCCCTTTGGCCAGCAAAATTCACATCAGAGGGGTAACGACATGTGTCTGTTCCTTCCCCATTCTCATCAAAATGATGGGCATTTGCTAGTTTAAATCTGCATGGTAGAACTGAACCCTGCATTACTTAAGCATCTTCAGGGGTACTGCAGAGATGTTACTTTGCAGATGCAGGAGCCAGGTGCAAACTATTAAACTGAAATACTGATACTATTTATGTGAAAGTAGTCTACTTGTTCTGTTTATAAGATTTTGGTTTGATGATCAATACAGAGCCCAGTGGGATTTCATAGGCCTCCTACTCTAGTCCAGGCTCCTCCAAATTGAGTGATACCTGCAAAGCTATTGATTTCAGTGCAGCTGTATGCATCACTGGGAGTGGGGTCAACAAAATAAATGAAAACTAAAGCTACACACTCGAAATCTAAACAATGCAGCAGCCCTATAGTCTGTAATGATCACTGACTCAATGTCAAACCAAACAAACAAATCCCAAGTTGTATATCAGATGATGATGTACTCCTTTGCCTGGTCCTTTATTCTCCATAGCAATGTACTTAAAGTACAAAAGTGGTGCCAAGAGCTTGGATGAATGAGTCATATGCTTCAGAAACCATTCCTCCACATGTTTAGGAGTATCTGCAAGGTCTTCCCAAGACATTTTGCTGCCTGAGATGAAGGACAAGATGGTGTCCCCCATTCCACCAATAGAAGTCTACTGGAGTGGCAGCTGAAACTTACTTCCATAGTAGTGATACTACCTTCAGTGATGAACTTTGGGCTTTAAAATTTCAGTGGCACCTTGTGCAATGCATACAGACACACACCTCTTGCCTTCCATTGTTCATCACTGTTGCAGAACACCTTGTAGCACCTCTCAGCTCAGTGCCCAGTGCAGGCGAACTGGTCATGCTCCCCTAAATCCTCCTCTGCTGCCTGAGGGGGCATTCCAATGGCCACTCTGCTTGCCCCCACCTCCACCACTGGCATCAGCACCCATTTCCTCACTCGAAACCAGTGGCAGAGGTGGCTGTGCTGGTGGTGCTGGCAAAGGCAGCAGTGGCAGGCCAGGGCAGCACTTCCCATTTTGCCTCAAGCAGCGAAATAGGATTCTTCACTCCTGTTTATGGAGCTGCAGAACAGGCTGTGTGGAAGGCACAGCTCTATCTTCCAGCAGAAGGTTATGCGTGGAGACTTAGGAGAAACTGCTGGAGAACTGACACCGCTGCTTCCCATCGATTTGCCACTAAGGCAGTTGCCTCAATATGCCCAGTGGTAGGGCTGGTCCTGAGTATCTAGATTACAGAGGAAATTTCCTATGGGGGTCATTGTGGCATTTTACTTTATGTATGCATTCTTCCCCACTGATGGACATGACTTGTATGCAATAAAATGTGATGACAGCATTTCACATCAGCCAGCACATAGTATGTGAAACAATGGACATGTGAGAAGCAGGGCTTTATCAATGCCCCCTTAGTGTCTGTTTGGGGTTCTTAAGACCATTTTTTTCATGAGTGATGATGACTGTGCACTCTTAAGGTTACGGTCCAACCTAGGTGTTATTCAGATGACCTTTGTAGCTATTATGGAAGCACTGCTTTTGCAATAAATGTGCATCTCCTCAGTTTTTTGTGTTTTTTTTAAAGGCAGCAGCATACCCTCCAACATTTCTCCATTGAAAATAGGACAAAGTGGGACATTCTGGAATCAAAGGATCTAAATCAGGAACTAAAGTGTGTGTGTGTTAACTGGAATGTTTGGTGTGGCTCCTGCCTGCTATCTGGGTTACTTTTTACCAAACTATTCCTTGCCCATAGGCTCTGCTAACATGCTTTCTTATCATAGCTGAACACTGTTATGCATATAATTGTGGTTAGCTTAATTTTGTTCTATTATGCAAAGATGCAGGCTGAAAGAGGGGCCATAACTAGGAATGGGTACAAATTTGATTCATTTCATGTTTAACGGTGAACCTACTAAATACACACTTTCGAAAGCAATGCACAAGCCATTCTTGTAAATTCTTACTTCACCAGATTTTGCAATGTGATTCTGCAGCCAAGTAACATGTGTACAAATACACACACATGTGAAAATAACATTCAAATTGTATTACAATAGGGGAAATGACTTTGCAAAAATGTGTGCGTTAGGAAAAATTCTCTGGTGAATTTTCATGAGGACTGATGTGGAAATGTGGAGAACTGGAAAAAGGAGAACCTGAGAGGAACCAAAATAAGCAGATTTGCCAGAACTCAGAATAGATACTTGGTAGGGGAAAGGTCTCAAATTCAAGTCCTCCCTGGCATCTCCAGTTAAAAAAATATCAGCAAGGCTGGAAAAGATTCCCCAAGCTTTGAAGAGCTGCTGTCAATCAGAACAGAAAACAGTGCTGAATGGCTAAAGACAATACCATATAGCTGTGTATTATATTTCATGTAACCTTTATGTCCCCTCTTATGCCACCCTGTGATTTTATGAAGAGAAGAGACAGAACAAGGTAAAATAATAAGGGCTGCACTGTCAGAAGTCTCCACAAGGACTTCCACTAGGGCAATGGGCCTTTCCCCTCTTTTCTCGCCCCCACACCAAAGCAACTCTGGGGGGTCAGGAGAACCCTAGAGCAGAGTGTGAGGGGAGGGGATGTAGAATATAGTATCTGGCAAGCATAAATGCTTGGACTGACATAAAGGTTGCCCTAGTGCTACTGATGAGTGTTCTGATATTATCAGAGCTCGTCCAGGCTTCTGGTAGCTTCAGCCACTCTTTTAAACAGGACTCACTTTTAATCTGGCAAAATAGCTCATGGAATTTTATATAACTTTTATCATCTTGACTTTTCAACTGTTTAATAGCCCTTATCAGCAAATAAAAACCTCCCACGACAGCTGAGCAGAGTGATCGAGAAAGCCATAAACACAGAAAGGAAGAAGACATCTATAGTTAAACCAAGCCTGAATGCCTGTTTGCTGCCAAAATCCTCCGTAAATACAGAGGTCTAACAGGTTTATTATCCTCCCTTTGATTGTATGTCATTATAAATGCATTGTTTTCAAAAACACCAATTCCTCCTTAGTGCACACTTTGCAGTAAAACACACTGATCTGGATTCTTTTAAAAGATTAATAGACATAGCTCCCCTCAGATTCTAAACTTGTAAAATAACTAGATATTGCTTTGCAAATTCGAAGTGTACAATTGCAGGATTTATCTATACTGTATTGCTAGATATTAGGAGGTGAGTGAGAAAGTATAATAGGATGAACTTTGGGTTCATGAAGAAAGGACTACTGTTTAGGGGTGCATTACAAAGGTCAAGGGTTGTTTTCACCAAGCTGGTGCCTTCCAAATGCTTGATCTACTACAATTCCCATCAGTCCCTTCCAAAATGTGTATAGTACAGTGGCAGAGTGTCACACAGGCGGCTAAGAAGCCAAGGATTCAATTCCCTCTCACTGTATGGCTGTGAGCCAAGCATCTCTCAAGCTAGAATGAGCAGGCACCAATAAAATGGGCAGGGGAGGGCCATGTATGCTACCTTGAAGTCCTTGGAAGATTAAGGCAATACAATCTAAGAAATAGATGTATTGTGTAGACAGGCATATCCATGTTTGGATGAACCTGCAGCCCACCTGAGACATTCTCCCACCTGCAATTTCCATCATGCAAGGGGATGCATAGCAGACCCTCCAGGTTTTCCTGTTTTCAAGGGACAGCCCCAGATTAACAGAAGACATACCAGTTTCTGATTTGATCCCAGAGTGTCCCGCTTTTTCTTAGGATGTCCCTATTTTCATCAGAGAAATATTGGAGGGTATGGTAGGATGTTGCTCTTTTCATCATATAAATGTTGGAGGGTATGCGACCCCCGAGCCAAGGAGGTTTAGACGACATCTGAAGGCAGCCCTGTATAAAGAAGGTTATTTTTTAATGTTTAATGTTTTGTTATGTTTTTCTGTATGTTGGAAGCCACCCAGTCAGTTGGGCAGGGTATAAATTATAACATTATTATCATCACCACCACCACGGGTAGAAACTGTTCTTTAACCTGTTGATGTGGCTTATCATTCTTCTATATCTCCTGCCCAAGGGCAGGAGATTAAAAAGGTGCTGGCCAGGGTGTGACTCACCCCTGAGAATGTTCCTCGCTCTTCCGAGGCAATGGTCTCCTGCGATGACATCTAGCAGACTCAGGGGACAGCCCATGATATTGTGTGCTGTCTTCACCACCCTCTGTAGGGACTTTCTGTCCATGGCTGTCAAACCAGCATACCACACCGTAATACAGTATGAGAGAACACTTTCTATCGTGGACTGATAGAAGGAAATCATCAGTTGCTGTCTAACATTGTTCTTTCGCAAGATCCTAAGGAAATGAAGTTGTACAGTACCTTGAGCTGCTTCCATACCTACCATGTGCTTTACTGTGATTAAGACTCTGAATAATACTCTTCCTGTTGCTTTTAGTAACTTGAGGGAAGGAGCACTGAGGATTCTATTTATGGCTTCCAGCCGCCACCTCAGATTTCACCTGGAATCCTGGTAGAATGATTTCAATTGTGACCAGTTTTTTTACACATCACATTAAGCACGTATATATGCAGAGCCTGAAACCCTACGATGACCTTCAAAAAGAAATCCTGGACATCTCCACAGTCCGAGTAAGCAATCTAAAAGGGGATAAGGAAGTTCTATTTACAATTGGAAGATATTGATTAGTTTCAGAAGCTAGGAAGTCTGGTTTTCAATTATAAATATATCCAGAGAACTGAACACCCCAAATCCAAGATCCTATCCTCCCAACACAGTTTGCCACCACCAGTGGAAAAAGCTCTAAAGTGCTATGAAAACTATAGCTCAGCAGGTTTAAAAAAATGGCATTTGGTTGTAGCAGTGCTTTGTGGATTCCACCCATTATTTCTGGAGAAGTGCTCCAAAATGAGAGAAAAAAGCCCTTCGGCAGAATTTCTCAGACAGGGATCTTATTTTCCCTGCATTTCGTATTTCTTTGCCATGCAGCTCCTTCTCCTTTATTGCCTTCATGAGGCTTCTGCATCTTTTCCAATCAAGCAGATTTGTGTGTAATTTATTATTAGTTAAGAATTAATAGGCAACTGAAAGTATAATGCTACATTTCCCCTCTTATCTTTTGGTTTTCAGCAGCATTAGGCACAGGAGTCCCAGCATTCAATTTGTCATTTACACACATTGTTTTGTCATGTAATATATTGTGATGTTAGGCTACAAGAAACTTTAAAAAGCTCTTAACTGCTTTTGTCTGATGTATGTTTCCAAAAGAACCCAGTGCTATTTAATGAGCACCACTTACAGATTTTTTTTTTAAAAAAATACATTAAACAGTTTATAAATGCTTTGAAATGAATAAAGGTACCCCTGCCCGTATGGGCCAGTCTTGACAGACTCTAGGGTTGTGCGCTCATCTCACTCTAGAGGCTGGGAGCCAGCGCTGTCCGCAGACACTTCCGGGTCACGTGGCCAGCGTGACGAAGCTGCTCTGGCGAACCGGCACCAGAGCAGCACACGGAAACGCTGTTTACCTTCTCGCTATAAAGCGGTACCTATTTATCTACTTGCACTTAAGGGTGCTTTTGAACTGCTAGGTGGGCAGGAGCTGGGACCGAACGATGGGAGCTCACCCCACCGCGGGGATTCGAACTGCCGACCATGAGATCGGCAAGTCCTAGGCGCTGAGGTTTTACCCACAGCGCCACCCAAATGAATAAAAATAAATAAAATAATGAACATCTCTCTTCTTAAATAAGGTTTATTTTTATACTTGCAATGCGTTTCCATGTTTCACATCCCCCTGAAATGACAGTATTTTGAATTACACATACATGGTTCTTTTTAGCAGGGATGTGAGCAGCAATGCAAATTATACAGTTTGAATTGCATCTCCTTGGTAAAGCAAGTAAGACAGAGAGAGTACATCACAATGGCTTCTCTTTTTATTGTGGAATATTCCTTCCCTCCTTCATTGCATTGGCTTTTGAAGCTGCAAACATCATGGTATGAGAAATCTGTATAGAGGCAGTTATGCACAGAATGTGTGTCTTTTCCCACCATGAAGTAATTTAAATATGTGAGTGGAACTGAATAGACAAGAATGGAAAGTTAACACTGCAATCCTATGTATTTTTACTCAGGAGTAACTCCTATTAATTTCAATAAGACTTAATTCCTAATAAAGATGTTTAGGATTGCAGCCTCAGTGGAGGGCTACAGTCCCACTAACTAGACAATGAAATGTGGACAGAAATTAAGGCTTTTGAGGGAGCATCTATAAGACTGCATGTAGAACAGAATATCAGCACATAATACTTTAATATTTTATGTGCTTCTGAAAGACACCAGTATAAAGAATGGGCCATATATTTTGTTCTGCATTGAAAGCTTCTGCTCTCCATGGATTCTAGCCATCATTAAACCGAATTTTAGCCCAAAGATTCCACTACAGTTTTAGGATTCTTCCTTCAAGTTAGAAGTTGAAGGGCTGACATATATAGGAAAGGAACATAGTCTTCTCCAGGTTTAACTCAAAGATCCTATCAAAGTTTTAGAGACTCTTGCTTCAGATGAAGTTTTACAGAGCTGTTCTGATAGTGCTCCTTTTTTAGAAGAAGGCTTTTTTGTGAAAGCCTTCCCTCACGAGGTACCTTAATATGTTCCCAAATATTGGTATGAAAAGGAACTTGGACTCTCTCATATCACCCAAATCGTCCATAAAAGGTGTTTCAGTGCAATTCTCACTGAAAGGACGGTGTGTGTGTGTGTGTGTGTGTGTGTGTGTGTGTGTAAATAGTGTTTTTTCATCCATAGCATAGTGAATTTTCATTAGCAGTATCTTGTAATGGGGAACAAACACATATATTTAACAGTTATGTTAAACAGTTACATATAATGTTTTTACTTGGATGGGTGGATGATGAACAGGTAAGAGTTCATTTCCCCCTAAGAGTTCATTTTTACCATTGTGTAGACTGGAAAAATGCTAATTCCCTGCAACAGCAGTGTTTCTATAGCAGAGGACACCCGAATCACCTATAAGTTGGGTAGTAGCCATATTTCAGGAAGGCTGGTTCAAAATAATGTCAGAGGCTAAGGGGACATTTCCATTATTCTATTTTTCACGTAAGAATTGCTGAGCGATACAAGACAGCTGATGTAATGTACTTTATTCTGTCACATTTCACCACATATTGGCTGTACCCATCAATTTTTCAGGAAATGGTTACAACATGTGGGGATGTGGAATTGCTTTGTCAAAATTATGCTATTTCTCTCATTTTAATCTCAAGAAATATTCAGCTTTCAGTGTGTGTAATAATTACATCCTTCTCACTTTAATTGTCCCCTACTGTTTCAATTTGAGACTATACTCTTCTTTATTTCCTTCCCTCAAATACCGTGCTGAGCTGCAACTCTTCCTGTCAGTGCTGGTGGGTCATGAACCAACAGTTCCATTCTTTTCTTTACCGGAGTTGTTATACAGCTGGATATGTGTTAGTATAAAGTGCTCTGAGACCTTGGAAAAGAAGAGCGCTCGACAAAAAAAGTGAGGTATTGTGGCTGGATTTGAAAGTGAAGTGGAAAACAGAGCAAAAACCAAAGCACAGAGGGCTCAGCCCAGTGGAAATGTTGCAGACAGCCGTGTAAGTTCATGGCAATGAATGATAGATGAGATACGCTGGCATTCACTCTGTGCTGGGAGCAAGCTTGGCAAAAAGAAATAGCAGAAGTGAGAAGTTCGAAGAGAAAGAAGTTAGATGTCTCAGTCATTTTGCTACAGAAAACACAGTACAAAACATCAGGGAGTGAACTTAGGAAGGCTTAGCTGAAAGTGCTTGCTCTGCCTATAAGGACCTTAATGGCCTATACACAGGTCTACTGAAGGACTGCACCATCTCATATGAGCCTACTTAAGGACACCTTCTGAAACCTTGTTCCAAGTGTCTCCTTTCACAGGTTTAAGTGGGTTTCCAAGGACAAGACTTTTTTCAGCTAGTACCCTTTCTATGAAATGCCCTCCAGAGAACTGTTTACCTTTTAGGTGGGAAAACTTTGGTCTCCAGATGTTGCTGGACAAAATGCTGTTTTGATGTTGTCGTCCAATGCTGTTTTGGCAGCCACCAGTTGCCCATCTCTGCTCTAAAATAAATGTGGTGCATTGCATGAAAAATACTTCATTTTCTTTGACCTGAACCTATCCACCAATCAATTTCACTGGCTGACCCCAAGTATTTTGAGAGCATGGGGATGGAGCCATTTTTCACACCAGAGGGGCTCTTCCAAATGATTATTACACTGTAGAAGAACCTGGTTTAGCTAAGACTTAACTCTGCAGCATTCTCAGCATCTGCCAGCTGTTTCTGAGCTGAAGCAAAACTGGTTTGTCAAAACAAATAGTAGGGACACGGCCATCAAGAAGAGAAACCTTTAACCTTAACCTGTTTCATTTTTTTCACCTGAAGAATTTTTAAAAAGAGACATTTTATATACACAATTCTTTTTTTTCTTTTTTTTAAGGGAAAGATTAGAAGGTTTAAGGAGAGATTTCAAATTAAACAGCTTAATTTGGTGCTAGGCAAATGATCCAAAACTTCAGTAAATAATTCATCTGCGCAACGTACATCATATTGCAGTGGGGCCTGTGATGCAAATTGTGTCAAGGGGGGCTTGTTTTGTGCAGAGGCATCTTAATTCAGCGCACAAAGATAATCCAAACCCCCATAAATGATTCATTACTGGATTGAGCACTGTGGATTTCTCCACAGACATGCTCTATAGTGCATTAAATATGCACGTGGCTTTTATGATGCATATTGGTAAAGTCTGAGTTTGGGAGAGAAGGATAATCAATGCCTATTTTATCACACAGATAACTTAAAACTGAGAGAGTCGATATCTAAGCACAACAATGGAAAGCAACCACCTACCTGCGATTATTGCAGTAAGGCACATATATGTGACATTTCATCACAATATAATCACTTTGGAATAATTTCAGGAATGCAGCAGCTTCAGAGACATACCTGGCCCTAAGGTTCGCTACAGATTACACATTCATCATCCCTATTTCCATTTCACCCCTAGCTATTGATCATTGATCATGCTTGCTGGGGCTCATGGGAGTTATGCGTGCAGCAACACCTAGAAGGCCCAAGGTTCTCCACACCTGGCTTATGAACTGATTTTACCTAGGAGAACTCCTCCATGTAAAATCCAATCTTCAGGGAGGTCAGTGCCAAAATATATATATCAGAGTTTGTATTGGATTGAGTTTGCATTTTGCATGCTCTGCACTGCACAGAATGTGAATTTACGTTTCTTTCAGGATTGCACCAAAATCATTTTTAGGTGGACTATTTTTTATTTTATTTCATCTCCTCTACTTCAGTATGTAATAGTATGTCATATAGATAGAATTGCTACTTCAGATCATGTTCCAGTATGTCTTGCCATGCAGTTAACTGATGTTGCTTAAATAATAATAATAACAGTAATAATAATAATTTATTAATATGCCACTCATCTGACAGGGTTGCTCCAGCCACACTGGCTCTTGGCATTTAAACACGGGGCTTCTGAATAATGGGGGGGGGGGTTAAGACAGAAGGGAGTTGAATTTCAGGAATATTTTGAAAATAATGGAGGTACAACTTCTTCATGTACTATTGAATGGTGAGCATGTAATGTAGAGAAAACAGTGAATCCCTTTTTAAGTCTATTTGCAGCATCCCCTTCTCCAAATCTGCATCAAAGTTTACAACACGCTAAATATGAATTTAATAATTTATTGCCTGTTAAAGCTGAATTTGCATTGACATAAATATGCCAGAAGTATTGGGAACATGCAAATGTTCCATCTGCGCAACCATTGCAGTTCACCAGACAGAATGACCCCCTTCCCCATGCACTATTTTGGGGGTTCTCCTAAAACGCCCCAGAGCCAATTCCGTGGTGACACAGGGGTAGTGGGGAGGAGAGGGGGGAAGCTACGATAATAAACATTTAAAATGGCTACTACTATGGAAATTTTATGCTATGGCTTCATGTAACATCTGCTATCATCAGTCCATGACATCTCATCCCAGCAAAAGCAATAAAATAAAACTACAACATCACAACTCAAAGCAGATGCAGCAAAACTAAAGGATAAATAATAGAAAGAACTGTAAGTGAAGCCCTAGCCAGGCAAAAGCAGCAGCAAAATTCAATATTATTAAAAAAAAAATCCTGCAGCAAAGTAAAAACTCCAGATAGAATAAAAACTACCATGCTCCCCCAAAAGCTTCCTAGAAAGCAGAGTTTTTGCCACACGGTGGAAGCCATTAAAAGGAGAGTGGGGAAACTCAAGCCAGGTGTCCATCAGGAGCAAGTTCAAAATCCTAGCCACAGCTAACCAGAGTTGTTATACTTACAAGGCCACCCTCTGTCATTGCTGTGAAACTACCTATTCTTTAGCTCTGGAGCCTTTGTGCTTGTTTTATTTAGTCATCTTGCATTGTTCTTCTGTCACTCATTTTCTACCTCTCTTCTTATGACAAAAAACGCTGCTCATCAGCTGGGCTTTTTAGCAAATATATTACTTATATTCTCACCTTCCTAAAAAACCCAAATGTGTTTGCATTCAACTTAGAATTTGGAAACGAACCAGAAAAGTAATGAAACGAGGGTGAAAGCACTGGTAGGAACCATCTGCTATAATGAGGTCTATTAAGAAAGTTACATTGGTATTCTATTAATCTTGAAATAATCTTTTAATTCCCTCTTCTTAAAGGATTTGCCTTCCTATCTCAGCCACTGGCTGGCTTTGCTATAGTTTTCTTTTGTGTTTCCTCATTATCCAATCCTTGTTCCGAAATAGCTGTATCTTCATTTTTAATTACTTTTCTCCGCCTTCTCTATATTAATCGGGCTAGTTAGGTCATTATCTTCTCTCTTCAGGCCTTTTTGAGCCAATTTATTGGTCATTTTAGTGTAGACAATTTCCCCCAAGCTGCAGGTATAGGTACACGTCAAATGATTTCATAGACATAAGCTAAATCTTTGATTTAATTACCACATTGCTTCATGAAGCAGAGCTGTTGTCCCTTTGGATTCTCCAGATATAATACCATTAAGTTTTGACATTGAATCGGAACAAATTAAAAACCACTTGGGCCAGGAAGCTGCTGTTCTGTGTGCCATAGTAATTGCAATAAATTGAGCACTGTAGAATTTCAAGGGAACATTAAACTGGATCGATTCCCCACCATCCCCACCATCACCCTGGTTATAAATGTAGCTCCTAAAAGAGTCTCAAGGGATAATGAATGTCAGCGCACCACATGGAAATGGGATAGCAAACTGAATTTCTTCTCTGATGTCGAGTTGGATTCACGATACATCAAGAGGCTTACAAAACTCATCTTATATAAGGGGGGAGTAGAAAAAACACTTATATCCAAAGAAAAATTATACTTTAAAAGCAATAGAAGCTGTTATACTCTAACTGGGAACAGGTTCAAATCTTAAAATTTGCATGTGAGCATAAGTGAAAAACCTATTGGCATGATGGCACTCCATATGGATGCTATAATGTTTGTAAACAGCCTACCATATTGCTGGGGCTAATCTCACAATGCATCCCATGCCTCACCTCTGCTTCCAGGAACATATGTTCAAAAAATGCTCCTCCGGTCCACCTAGTTAACGGGTGATTGTGAAATCACCATGGCAACTTGTGCTTGTGTTGATACAGTCTAAAGAAAGGAGTTGAATTACCAGGCTGGTGGCATGGAATTTTAGCAGAACAATATTGTTTAGTAAATGTGATTTCCTCGGAACTACACCCTTGTGTAACTAATTGTCTTTGCTGTGTGGTTTTAAAGCAGTACCGTAGCATTGGCTTCATGTCTTATAAATAGGCATGTCGTTGTATAACTGAAGATCCTCTCTCTATACCAGACTGACTGTGCTCTGAGATCTTCTCAGGAGGCTCTTCAATGTCTTTTTTGCAATTGAGGGAAGCTCATTATGTCTGTTATATACATAACGACTGTATGTTTGATTGTGTACAGCTGCATTAGGTAATGCAGCAACAGTTACATGAAATGGGGGAGGATGTTGGGATTTCATTCCTCCCGTTGCAGGATGTGTAATTGTTTTCATCACATGTCTGTGTTGACATTCTGTACTGTTGGAGTCATGAGAACGGAAGTTTCAGTTACACTGTTCCATTATGTTGTACTATTGCTTTTCTGCTCTCTCGGAGATGGAGAAAGGAGCCATGTTTTCTTTTGTTCTTTTGTTCTGTTTTGTACATAATAAAGTAGCTTAGAAATCCACATCTCCAATGCCTAGCTTCTGCTTGGACTCTGCTATTGTATTGTGTGCATATATCTTTGGATATGTGTTCCAGAAGTGCATCGGGAAAGAAGAGTGATGAATCATCCCAAGGGTCGCTTGTGGGGGAGAACGTAGCTGCCTGGTATTCTCTAGTTGGTGCAAGAAGCCCAGCAAGGTCTATCTCCATGTACCCAGGGCACCAACAGGTGAGACGGAACATGAGCCTTCTCTGGAGGTGCCTGTATCATGGAATCTCTTCTCACAAGCACAACTGGCACAAACATTAAAATTTTGGCATCAGGCTATTTACTTGTTTGCCCAGGCATTATAAATTGATGGTTATTTAGCTTGCTCTCTTGCCTTGAGCTGTGTGTTTTGTTTCTCAAGTGATATGTATTTTATCATTTACGTTTTGTAATTTATGTATCACTGTAGATGAAGAGTGGGTTGGAGACACTTTAAATAAATAAATAAAATTGTGATATGTATCAGGTGCAGAAATGCCCATCTATGTATGCATGCTTGATTGCTTGTTAATGATCAGTGGTGATCAGCTGATGTGCTGATGCTTCTAGAGCCAGATGACATTTATTCAGTGGGTAATATCAGTGAGTAAAAGATGTTACTTCAGTAGCCTAGCTACAAAGCATGTAAGTTTGTCTGCGGTTTTAAAAATTAAGGTGCCTGGGGAAAAGGTGGAATGATGATGATGATGATGATGATGATGATGATGATGCACATAGCCAGAATCCCATCTGTCAGCCATGATGCCATGGCATCTTAGAAAAAGAATGACATGTTGTGAACATTTCCGGATGCACTCTGTAAACACATATGCACAAAACTTCAAAGATGCTCCAAAAATCATAGGACATAATACATGGAAGCTTTTATCAAACTTAATTTGGCTAACAGATTCTGAATTGCAATAAGGTACTAATGGGTCAGTCAGTTCACTCATCCCTGCTTTGAAGGACTTCTTAAGTGAGAAGGAATGTTAACCTTAATACGTCTTTTTTTCTTTTTCTTTTACTTTGTCGCTCTTTAAAGAGCTGCCATGTTTGCCAAGTTTCTCTGCATCCCGGGATTGTATTTCTTATGCCTTATTTCTTTAGAGGAATGTAAGTCTCTCTTGGTTGCTTCTCCAAAAGATCTCTTTAACCTTTCATTAAATGTGCTGACAGCTGGTATCAGTTCCTCATGAATTAGTTCAGTGCATTTCCATTTACATATGTCCCAACAGAATTCATTAGCGTTCCGTGCAGGTTCCTGTCCTCTGATTTCCTTTGTAAATTCAAACATGAGCCAGAGTAAATAATTGGAAGTGAGGATATGGAGAGCAAGGTGGGGAAGAAGGAATGCTCAGGTGCCTGTGTTGCACCTAATTTACATTTCTGGGGCACGGTCTCCATAAGGCAGATTTGCTCAGACTGGCTTCTCCATTATCTTGAGGAGTGCATGTGTATGATGCATTATAACTTTTCAGAATGATATGTCAGATAGGTTGGGAGTGTTTGAATCAAATCCTGTCTGTTCATTGGTCAAAGGAGGCATTCCACATTGTGCACTACCCTTACAGAAGGTGCTTTTCCACTTCTAGTTACCCCCCTACTGCGGTTGTCTCCCCCTTTCAGCCCCACCAACTTGCTATATCTGGAAGAAAGAGTAACAGACAAGTTGTAACTGCACCACGGTTATTTCTCATTCTTCAAGACTGGGCAAAATGCCCGGTTAACAGCTTGGAGGCAACATCAGACAACATGGAGGCAGTTGACAAACAGGAACGAAGGTATGGTTTCCATCGCAAGACCATGGTGCAAACTGCGCTAATGGTTCTAGCTGTCTTAGGATATTGAATAACAGGACTGCAAAAATGTTGGGGAAAGAATTTGAGTAATGGAACAGAATGCATAGGAAAGTGCCTATGAAATCAATCTCAGCAAAGATTCAAGAATCAACTCTTAAACTTTAGGTAGCACTATACACTTGTAATTTTTTCAAACATTAACCCTAGTCTGTCTGCAAAATGCTGTAAAAGAACAGAAAGGCATGTATTTCCATTTATTGTGGCAGTGTGCAACATTCTCATGGACATGTTACTTCCAAAGAAAATGACTGAATAAACTGAAGGCAATGGCCACACTGAATCTACCAAGATACAGAGCCTAGATGGTTCACAATAACTGATCAGGTCACTGAAGCTGCAGTTCTATGTACACCTACCCATTAAACTAAGAATTATAAGTACTTGCATAGGCTTGTGCTGTTAGAGTATCAAACTCTTTAAAATGCAAATATTGTTCATGAGCTAAAACAAAAAATCAAACATGAGCTAGCTCAAACACATGGAGGAGAGCACTTCTCACTTGCATTTCTGGGGCAGTCTGCACAAGGCACAAGTCCTCATCATTAGGCAATACATGAATAGTTTACTTAAGGATTTGATTTATTTTAAACATTTTTAATAGATTTAACCAATTTTTATTTTTATTGTATTGCATTCCTTGTACACCACTTAGAGACTGCTGTAATTAAGCAGTGCTGTATATACATTGTCTAAATACAGTGCTACTACCATTACCCATAACAATAATTCCGCAATGCTTCTTTACATATTAATCACTAGCATGATTAAAATGTATTACTTGTAAAAGGATTTGCATGATGTAAGCTAAACAGCTAGAAATTTGAGGAAGAAAATGTTTAAGTAATAGAGTTTAGCATTATTAGTAATTGATGAAATAGCAGAATACTACCAGATGGAAAATAGACCAACATGCTGTTGCTGCTGCTGCCACAGCTGCAACTAATATAACAGCCACTGCCATTATTTACCATTCATTTTATGCTTAGTACAGGATTTTAAAATTACACATGAAAGGTGGAAGCAGGGAAGAGAGCCCAATAAAAGAAGAGAAGCCGGGGGGGGGGGGAGAGAGAGATGAAGTGGTTAGTTGGCAAATAGATGCAATAGGGCGATCAGCATAAGTTATGCAATCTATCATTCAGGAATGCTTCTTCAAAATGCTTCCATTCATGGATCTTGAATTTGTAGCTAGATTTGAATGTAAAAATGCAACTGCTACAGAGGAAACATTCCATTCTCTCCTCCTGTTTCAGCAAGTGTTTGTTCGGGTTCTTCATGTGTGTTTAAGCTGCAAAGACAAGCACGAGTCTTTTAAAGCTTATAGTAAATAAGTACACGGTTGTTTTGTTTAACTTATTCATTTAGCTCAGTTTCTTTCACTATACTGTAGTTCCGGTGCCAAATTAAGATTGCCAACCCACAAATGGGTAAAAGTATTGTACAATACATGGATTTAGTTGGGCCTGAAAGTCATTGGAGTCTGTAAGTGTAGTGGTTGTGTCAACATACATCTTAGGATAACAGATTTCTTAGGATAGTAAAAAATAAATAAATCCTAATTACTCCACCCCCCCCTTCAATATTAGCATCTAAAGCCTACGGGATAGCATCTATTGGATAAGTGCAGAACAATTACTATGGCCACATTGATATTTCCCAAGAAAAGAACTCAAGTCCTGCCCTGAGGCTTACTTATAGTCTAAAAGAAAAATTGAAAAATGACAGGGCTATTGGGTAAGGGTAATAAACACAAAGGGAAAAGGAGAATAAATAGAACCAGAAACGTTAGTGTGGGCTCATATAAAAATTATTATGTCTCTCTTTCAATTAGACACAAAAAAGAATTGGTTTGCAAACTAAACTCTAACCTTTTGGTTTCGTCAATGTGGTATTTTCTAATCTTTTTACCTAGAGAGGGAATGAAGATTGATTAGTTTTAAGAGGAACATCTATTCTAGGACAGTATGATGCAATTTAGTGAACCAACAGACTTGGCTAAGTCATAATACACAACTCTTGAGGAGTAGAAAACTTTCACTAAAAGCAACAGGAATAGCATAGCAAGCAGTCAGGACTCTTCTTTGTGCACAACTGAAAGACCACACAGAAAGAGATTGCTGAGGGTGACTTCAAAGATTCACCCAAGAGGGTTTCATGCACTGGAAGAAAAATGGAGCACTGAAAGTGGCAAGGCTCCCTATTCCTTAATAATCATAGGAGTCATGGGCTGCAGTGCTAGAGAAGAGTGTGCAGCTTTTAAGAAAGAAGAGAAAAGAGAATAAAGCTCTGTGAAATTGGAGGGACATTGCTGCAGGAACACAGTTTTGTTCAACATTCTGGTGCTTCACAACCACTTGAGTTGTTTTTTATGCTGATAGTCTACTCTGTTTAAATACAATTTTATTTTGGTGTATATTGCTGTTTTATGGTGCTGATTATGCATGAATCTGATAGCTTTGCTTAAGACTGGTGCAAGGGCTCAGTCCTACACACACTTACCTGGGAGTAGGGATTGGGGGGGGGGAGTTCATTTCAGTATGCATTTAAAGCCAAATCTATGCAGTCTGCACTTTCTCAAACAATATACAAACAGAAATGCAGCCATCCTTATCTGGTGCAGTTCTCCAGCCAAGCAATGTTTACAAAGATTAATGTACGTATTGGGGAAAGTGCATAAAAATGAAGATGTTTGTGAAAATAACATACAAAAATGCTGGGAAAATTGCTTGTAAAAAAGAGTCCATACAGTGGTACCTCAGGTTACATACGCTTCAGGTTACATACGCTTCAGGTTACAGACTCTGCTAACCCAGAAATATTGCTTCAGGTTAAGAACTTTGCTTCAGAATGAGAACAGAAATCGTGCTCCGGTGGTGCGGCGGCAGCAGGAGGCCCCATTAGGTTAAGAACAGTTTCAGGTTAAGTACGGACCTCCAGAACGAATTAAGTACTTAACCCAAGGTACCACTGTGGTGGTCAAAACTGCATATAAAAATGTATTGATTAGGAGAAATTCACACTAAAATGCTGATTTCTTTTACACTTTTATGTAGAAATCTTTATCCCAGTTTGCATCTGTATTGGATTTGAATTATTATTTTTTGTTTGTTTTAAATTGTTTTAAATTACTTTAAATATTGAGTTGGTTTTAATGGTTTTTGTTGATGTTTTTACTATTAAATCACTTGAAGATTTTTTAATTGATAAATATAATCAAATGAATAAAATAAATACTCTCTCTCCTCTCCAGCATGGAAGGAAGGAAGGAAGGGAGGGAGGAACCAACCAACTAACCAACCAACCAACCAGCGAAGAGAGAATGGTCTATGAAATGTCAGAGGCATTCCTGGAATGAGAATGAGTTGTCTTGCTAGTGTGCTCTAGGACTAGATTAGCAAACTAGAGCTTTGTTAGGGGAAAGTTCCAAAAGATTTCTTCAGTACCAAGCATTTATTTAATACAGAGTACAAACTGCATATTTCCTACTTACGTCTCATTAGCAGTACTGCTGGAATCAAGATGAGAACCAAAAGCACAATAGCACCAAGAATCAGCACTTCCTAACAGGAAAAAATACAAACCAAATAGGCTTTTAAAACTGTTATGATCCAGGTTACGTTTGCCAACAGACAAGGACACCTGGGCACCAGTGTTCTGGCCCGAAGCTCCAGTTGGTGGGCTGAAAGGAGTGGATCGATCAGCACATTTCACTTGAGTTGGATTTTGTGATCCAACCCACTCTAGCTTCCAAATATACGAGTTCACTTTTCTTTTACATTTAAAGATCAGAACTAGAGATGTAAGTAAAAGAACATTTACACATGCTGGGGACAAGCTTTCAATAGATTTCTCTTTCACCTGGATCAGGGTGCATCTTTGAGGGTGTAAATTGGAACAGCCTTGTCATGGTAATCCCTTGTGTGCTTACATTATGGCCAGAAAAAGCATATGCAGATGTATGCTGAAGGCCTGACTTTTCTTCCCTGGAGTAGAGCAGGAGAAGGATTCAGGGAAGTAATGCATGTCCCAGTGGTTGACAATACAGAACCCATTGGTACCAGTGTGCCCACTAGTATCATCTATGGCACCCATGAAAAGTCTCAGTAAACATCTCAAAAATCCACGATACATCAGAGACTTGATCTTTCTATTCCATTCCTGTTTGCACTGGCTCAGTCTCTCCTACAATGAATATACTCCCTTAAACCTGTCACATTTAATTGAGTGTCAAGATTGGACACACACCTTCCCACCCATTCTGAACAGAGAAGAGGAACAAAGAGTTTCCCTCCATGAACAAGTCTGGTGGTGGCTGATATAGATGGATTTCTGCCCATTGACAGGTTGACTGTTGTGGGAGAGGGATCATGCCTGCACCATTTTGTGGCCCCATCTCTTTTTCTGCTCTTTTAGATGTGGCAGCCATTTTGTGTTCTGACATGGCCCCACAGCTGTCATTTTGTAACTGGTGTCAAGATATGCCCACTGACCCCCAAATGTTGGTAACCCCTCACTTAACCCCTTTCTGACTGGCTAAAGTTTCTGCTCCAAATCCCATGCTTTTCCCTGTGTACATATATGGCAGGAGTCTGAGCTTGTTGGAAAAGTAAGCAACCAAATACAATAAATACCTTATATGTTACTAGCATATCAGAAATTCCAAACTGGTTTTGGCTAAAAAAAAAGAGGAAAAAAATGAGGATCACAAATCATAAATACACATTTTAAAGCTTATAACATTCCAATGAGAGTTTACACAATAAAACTGGTTGAACAGACATGGAGAAAATTAAATTTCTTTTATTTTTATTTGCAGTGGTGGCCATCTTTATAATGTCATTGCAGCTATAAGCTACTAATGAGAACATGACACCACAGATATTCTTCCAGTACATGGGATTATGAATCAAATGAAACCACCCTAACCACTGGAACCTTGTGGAATGCCTGGAGTAGGGTTACAAGGAGGCAGCCATTCCCATCCCAGGTTGATCACAAACAGCACCTTTTCTTTCCATTGCAGTTCAGCTTCTGCTAAAACCTGTTACTCATCTCACTATTCGCTATGGCCGAAATGTATGTAATTAATGTAATTAATTTCAGTGCATTTCAGTGGAAGGGGAATGTTAGGAAAAAGAGCAGAAAATAATGTAATGACTTGTGTAACATTTCCGGGTAAAAAAAGAATAGTGAATACCTACTTGTTATTTGCTGGAGTCATTTCCATTCCTGACTTCTGATTATCATGTGAATGTTGGGGATTTTCACTTCCATTCCTGTTTCCAGTGGAGTTCTCTGACATCTGTGGGTGAACCACAGCACTTTTGGGGGACTGAAGGGTTTGGTCTTCTGAGAAGTAAGGGGCAGTTCTCTGAGGAGATTCTAAGGGATTTGAAGAGGAACATTTGACTGAGTAGACTACAGTGCTGATGTAGACAATAAAAACACCCACCTAGAGTAAGGTTACCAGATTTTTTTCAATGAATCCGGGAACACTTTTCAACTTCCTACTAAATAGATGGATTTTGTCAGAGGGTTGATTTGTAAATCTGGGGACTGTCCCCGGGAAACGGGGACATCTGGTAACCTTAACCTAGAGAATACAGTGGAGGAGAAAGCAGCAGGAGAGACAGTCTACTGAGCTCATAGGGATCATCCAGCAGCAGCTCCATTGCCACAGGAATGAGAGACACTGAGGCAAACAGCTGCTTTTGAGCCCAGGACTGTGTAGCAAGGGGCAGGTTTAAGAATCTATTCACATTAAACTGTATACACATCTTGGGTAGTCCCACAACCACCACCACTTTCCACTACTTTCATCTACTTTCCTTCAGGCAACATGGGGGCTGTGGAGACAACAAACATAATGTTGGGGCCCTGGCTTTGTTTCTCATCATGCATCTCAGGTCCCATAATTCCTTCCACTTAGGAGTATGTTCCCACCAAACACTGGAAAAGAACAGATAACATATTCCACTGTGATCTCTTTACCTCCAGGTAGGATATTGCCTTATAATGCTGGCGTTTTTACTTTTTCCTGGTTCCTACGATAATTACCACAAACTGTCCATTGCATAGGAGAACCTTCAGGGAAATTATCTTTAGTGATTTTTCACAAATGGTCTGACACTTACAGTATTGTAAATTTCAGGCTTCCAGGAACTCTCCAGTTTGCAGCCCCATCACACCATTTCACCAGAGTGCATATTGGGGGGCGAGGTAATATGGAAATACTGACTGACTTGGCAAGCTTTTCAGGCATCTGAATTATCTGAGGAAAGCCTTGAATTGGTTTTTGTTTTTAAAGTGAGATGGGCGAAAAATATGGTTAGAATTTTTCTCTTTCAGAAGAGAGGGTTTTATTCTGGAATTGTTGCCTAAGTTTATGGGGTCTTTTCACATGGGAGCAACAGGAAATCAATGAGCCCTCCTTCCTCCCCCTGCCCATCCCCAGACTTGGATGTTGGCTGCTGTTTGTGGCTAGGAATTGGATTGTGGAAAACAAAACAATTAAGTCATGAACGCACATGTCAAATCTAGAATCTGAATTTCTGAGGACAGTTTCACAGAGGCCACCGGGGAGTCTGGCCAATCCTTTACAGTAGGATTCATCATAGGCAGACTTCTCTGCCATGAAGAATCCTTCTTGTGAATGCAACATCCTTACATGGTCTGACTTGCATTAACAAAGTCTTGAAGAATAGCTCAAAATGGAGAATTGAAAACAATTGTTTTGGTGGGTTGCATGGGAAATGAGGAAGCTCATAAGCAGAAGGAAAGGAAACTTCTGTGTTTCTTTGGTCCTAGCGCCAACAATCTGGAACATGAAATGTGATTTAAGTAACTGTGTTCCAGGGTACACTTGACTTCTGCAAAACTGGCTCTGCCTTTGGGTTCTGGGAGAAATGCCCAGGCCCATGAAATAAAGGCATTTTTGGGGTCACGCAGTCAAGCTATATCTGTTGCAGCAAAGGTTAATACAGAACTAAGAAATACTTCAAGCCGACAGACAATGGAACACACTTAAGAATGCAACTGCAGTCATACCTCAGGTTACGAAAGCTCCAGGTTGTGCGTTTTCGGGTTGCGGACTGCGGACTGCGGACTGCGCCGAACCCGGAAGTACTGGAACGGGTTACTTCGGGTTTCGGTGCTCGCGCATGCGCAGAAACACAAAATGACATCACATGCATGTGCAGACACAATGCTTCGGGCTGCGAATGTGCCTCCCGCACAGATCACGTTCGCAACCAGAGGTATGACTGTAACTGTGAGGGAAGAGCAATCCAGATAAAGTGGAAGGTGGGGTTAGGGGGGATATTTTAAAAGGAGCACAGAAGAAGTGGGGAGCTATTCCCCACCCCCTTTCTTTTCTTTTCTCCTCAAAGTTGCTTAACCTAGCTGGTTTTTCAGTTGGAGCTACTTCTGGTCCCAGATTGCCAGGTGGGGGCATATGGGGAGAGCCAGTGTTTAGGAGGAATGAGTTCACTTCTCCACTTCCACCTACCTTCTCACTTATGCCATTTTATGCTTTAAATTGTCCTGTCTTTATATGGATTTCCAGTTATTTCACCCAGAACTTCCACCATCATTTCTAATTTGACAGCCTGTATGTAGCTTGTGTGCTTTCAATGCCTGTTGAAAACCCTTTCTATTTTACTCAGACTTTCCCTAGGAGAACAGCTGTCTTTTTGTTTGCAGCGGATTTGATTATTACTGAAGAATATTCAGTCATGCTTTCAATGTTATCTTATGGCTGGTCCCCCTGCCATCTTGTTCACCAGTTAACTATTTTATATCAAGCATTTTATAAATTCTTAGAGCAAATAAAGAAATAAATAGAACTTAAAGGAGGCAGTTCTTCTGGGTTAAGCATTGTACCTGTAGCTGGAGGGGCAGTCACTGTGGTAAAAAAACAACAGACATTTTCGGTCAACTCGTCCTGGCGACGGGTTGGTGATGGTTTGAAGTTGACTGATGGAGAAACAGTTGTAAGAAAAGCCATGTCTGTCGTCACAAAATATGTGGTCATTGTTGGAATATGAGCATCAGTGGGGGCTGCAGTGGGGGAATCAGGGCTATTTGAAATAAAAGGAGAGGCTTGTGGGAAAGTAACTGTGGTTATTAAGGGAGAAGGAGTACTTGTGGTGATAATCACTTGAGGTGTGGTGGCAATAGTTGTGGTGGAGACTGTGGTTGTTGTGGTAGAGACTGTAGTTGTTGCTGTAAGAAAACAACAAAAATATGTATCAGAACTACATCTATGGAATGGGAACAAAGCAAATGGTGGCCAAAAAGATGACAACTCAAGCCAACAAATGAGTAGGTTGAAGGGGAAATTGTTTACTAACTGAGATTCTGTGATAGGTCAGATGAAAATATTTTTGATTAGATAGTTCAGCTCTGCTGCAACTGCAGCTGAACAATGGTCCACAGACTCCCCACACAGTGAACTTGTAGTGCAGAGAAACCTAACATCTGCTTTTCATAATTCTCATAGGATGGGGAAAATGGGCAGAGGATAATAATTCCACTCACCTCTATTAACCTGTAGATTCAAGGTCATTTTAATGTCATTGAACCAGCCTGGGATTTCAATACGACAGCAGTACAATCCTTTATCTCTTTCATTTAGACCTGTAATTGTCAGGGACACATCTCCCCGTGTCACAGATCCCCTTAACTGGTACCTATGTGAGTTTCTTGATATCACCCGCCTTCCATCCGTGCGGAGAATTTCGTTGCTGCATTTAGAATTCGGGCAGCTGCCTCGGCCCCAGCACATATCAGTAAGGTCATCGCTGTTTTGGACAGGATAGGTGCATGGCAGTTTGATGGCTTGGCCCACCACCCCTCTTACTACTGTTTCAGATATGGTATCCACTGAGAAGAAAAGAACAGAGAAAATGGTCAAGAATATTTTACTCCATAAAATGTAATGTTGCTTTCCTGAAATGAAGGAACCAGTTTTCCGGGAAAACTATATATTTAAATTGTTAGCTATATATGAATGCGTTCGTCACTTTTCTGTTATGTATATAGAAATCAAGCACACCTTTACATTTATTTATTTAAGGTGTTTAATAACCAAGCAACATACAATTAAAAATAATTAAGTTCAACAATCAATATAACATATCAATACAGTGGTACCTCGGGTTACATACGCTTCAGGTTACATACGCTTCAGGTTACAGACTCCGCCAATCCAGAAATAGTGCTTCAGATTAAGAACTTTGCTTCAGGATAAGAACAGAAATTGTGCTCCGGCGGCGCGGCGGCAGGAGGAGACCCCATTAGCTAAAGTGGTGCTTCAGGTTAAGAATAGTTTCAGGTTAAGAACGGACCTCCAGAACGAATTAAGTACTTAACCCGAGGTACCACTGTAGTCTGAAACAAATAATCTAAACTAAAACCCAGTTGAAACTAACAAGCAGCAAGTCCATTTGACATGTGTTTTGATCACAGTGGATTGATAGAGGGAGAATATTTTTATCAGACAACGCTTCACTTATTATTGCATGAATCGGAATCCTATTTATCATGCCTTACACCCCAGTCCTATACACATCTCAGCTGTAATTCCCAAGACCAATCATGCTTAGGTTATTTTTAATTTTTTGCCTGTTTTCCATCTGCCTTAGATTTCCTAGTCATTCCTGAATCATTTTCAGTAGAGGCAGGCAACCTGTTGCCTTCCAGATGTTCTTAACTACAACTTCCGTTATTCCTACCCATTGGCCATGCTGGCTGAGGCTGATGAGAGTTGTAGTCCAGAACACCTGTAGCTTTCCACCCCTTGTTTTTTTAAGTAAGTAGATTCTGGCATCCCCACTGTCGATGCCAGTTTACACTAGAACAGTGAGTTGTACTTCTGTGACCAAAGCATCTTGTGTTTTGGGGATGAGGTCAGAACTCCCTTTGTAATGCTTGAAACACAGAGAATGTGGACTCTCTCATATTCTCCCTTTTGCTTAAGGCGCTCTGACAAAAGAAAGTTCTATGAGGTGGAACAAATTACCTGCTTAACTTCATTGCATTTCAGTAGGGTCAAGGAAACAAGGATTTGTAACATTGTGCTTGTTTCATCCTTTCCTAGCCTGCTCTACCCTAGAGTTAGACAATTTATAATCCATACCTTTCTTGTCCTCTGTATGAAGTGACTTCTAATATTTTGCTGAGTAGAGGGCATGGGGGGGTCAGTGCAATGCCTCTGGCTGCTCAAACTACACAGTGCCCCTCTGCTCCTGTTCCTGGTTGTTGAAGCGGCAAAACGACCCTGTGATTCTAATCCCTACCCGTCTCAGCTCTCCCAGAGAGGGCCGCAGGCATGAAATGCTGTGCCTTGATTCTGCTGAGCGGTTCTTCTCCGGAGATCTGTGAATGTCATTTCCTCTTGGCAACACTCCCAGGAAAGATGCGGAGGCTCCTCCAAATGGGCCCTCATAATTTTCATGCAACACTCCCCAGGTGATATTAGGACGGCACTGTCTTGCTATAGGATATGTTATTGGGATGATATTGCTTCTGGCCCGTGGGGTTTACACATTCCAGTAATGCTCTCATTACGAAGCAGGCTAAAATAATTTCAGGGGTGGGGGGAAGTTCAGTAGGTAATGAAATGGAAAGCAAGGGCATTGGCCCATCATTACAACACTGGCATTGACCAACAACTTTTTATTTTATGGCATATAGCATAAAGAACTGATAACCTATGTATAAGAACATTCAGGGGACGTCTAAGAATTCTGTTCTCCTAAGCTGTTTATTAAAGGTCTGCTCCCACTGAAATTATTGTTAACGGTAGAAATTTCAGCGATGACGAATAGAAAGGGCCAGCTTTTAGATTAGCCCTACTGTTGAGATTTAGGGGTCTGCATATTGAGAGATAAATCAGAGATAGCCACAACCTGGGAACCTCCTGTGTGGATTACTGTAATGTATTATATACACTTGAAAACAATCCAGAAAAGTTAGTTGGTCCAAAATAGGGCAGCAGGATTAGTAACCAAAACCAACCGCTATGCCTGTAATTGAGCAGGAATTTGCCATCCACGTTAGCTTCCAGGCCCAGCTTGAAATGCTGGAATGTGTTGAAAGCCTGAAACAGCATGGAACAAGGCTTCCTGAAGGATTGCTCTCCCCATATATACTTACCCAGCAAAATCAGCTGGCACAGTGGGGTAGTACCATGCCATTCCATCCCAACAGTGGTGTAGGGGTGGGTCAGAGCAGTAGCAAGGACAATGCAGTGCCACTTCACCAACGTGCCACTCCTACCAGTGTGCTCACGCAGCCCCAATCTTGCCACAACACTAGCCCACTCCTCCCTATTCCAGTAAATGGTGCAATGCCACTGTCAGGGGGTAGCAGGGTGGCATTGCACCAGCACCTCCTGCCACCCAGATCTTCTGAAGCCCTTCTACAGGTACCCCCACCCAACAAGGTGCAACAGGTGTCTACTAGAGAGAGGGCCTTCTCAGTGATGGCACCCTAGTTATGGAATGCCCTTCTTAGACAGTCTTGCCTGGCACCTAGGTTGGATACATTCAAGACTAGGTAAATAACTCTTTAAAATTTACCCAGGTCTTTCCATTATAGAATCTTAGAAGCTTTTAGTGGTTTGTTTTTTAATCCTTTATATTAAGGTTATTCACTACTGCTGGCTTTACTTGCATTTTATGGTGTTGCTGGTTTTAGTCAGTTTTAGATCTTCATGTTCATGCATTCCTGTGTATTACTTTTTATTGTAAATGCTCTTAGCAGCACAAAATTATAACAGAGGTGCCTAATCTTTTAAAAAAATATATATACCTGAAATATCTGAGTCTACTTTTAATGGAGTTCAATCTTGTATGACTATTCATCTATCATTCAGCATTTTTTATCCCCTTCCTAGCATAGCCTATGCAGCAGAACATTTTATTTCAAGTGAACTAACAATCTGTAGTGAATGTCCATGGTGTTTGAAAACTGAAAATCTTGAACTGGAATTCTAATGGTGTTACTCATATTCAGGGTACAGCCACTGAACTTAAGTAACTCGTTTCCATTGACTTGATTTGATGACTAAGATGTTTCTATTTGGGGAAAGAGCCTTGAACCTTAGTATTCCATAGTTTTGGGTTGCCCAGATCTCCTTGTGAGTTACACTGGGACATAATGTCAATAGACATAATGTCAATTATTATGAATTTTTCATTGATAAAATTGTAATTTGAGCTAACATGGAGATTCCATTTGTGACTGTAGTGTAAAATGAGAGAAGCTGTGGTGTTACGTGACAGATGGCATGTTTTTAGTCCTCAAATTGTAATGTTATCACTATGAAAATGTTATTCTTCCTACAAATCGCCTATTGTGCATATCAGTGCCCAAACGATTTTGTGTTTTTTATTACTGTTTTCAAAATCAGCAAAGTGACAAATTCCTGTTTCCCCTACAGTAAAGCATTTGCACATAAAACTTGTGGTTATGTTCTGTGGACAGATCAATGTTCTTCTAGTATCACAACTAGAAGTTACATTTCTATCACAGCTCTTCTAAAGCGATTCCACAATATAGTTATTCTGAGGTTGAAGGTCCTCAGACAGAAAGGTAACTAATAAACATCCACTCTAAGAACAACCTTTTCTTCCTATATCCCATCCCACAATGCCATTTGACCACTAATACAACAAACTAGATGTTTCAGTGTACCAGGCCAATTCATTGCAATACTTTACAACTATTTTAGCTCATTGGCTAAACTAATGACTGGCTTAAACGTACGTACACACACACACACACACACAACAAACAAACCATGACACACACAGAGGCAACACTTGATTATAGCAACAATTTAACCCAGAATTGTCTTCTGAGACTCACTGGAAATATTTTTAAACAATCTGACCACTAAAACAGAATTCCAAAAGTCTACTCTTTACCAACACATATAATTTTAGACATTCTTTTATTAGCTTAAATATGTGGGATTTTCTTCTCCTCGCTGCAAAACAGAAGGTACAAAATAGAATCTATTTTGTTACATGATCTAAAAAGAATAATGAATCTTAATAGCCACTCACCTATACAAATATGAATCACAATCCATTGAAGTAGTATGTGTGACATGTTTACAGTTCATAAACCCCCAAAGTGTCCTGTGTCAGAGCACTTATCACATCTTAACCAGTTTGAAAGTGCTGAGTGAGCGTTGCCTTTTGCAATTTCTCTATTTTGTGTTCAAGCACCTTAAACCTCAATGCCTCTGTGCTTCTAACGGCCAAACGGGTGTAACACAGGAGACCCATGGTCAACTATCCCTCTTCAAAATAATAATAATAATAATAATAATAATAATAATAATAAACCAACTGTAGAGAGATTTGATTTATATTCCATTGTCCATTACCAACTTTATTTTAAAGAAAATGTTTTGTATTAATTTTTGCAGGTAAGTAAACAGACACAACCAATGAAACAAAAGAACCAAAACTCAAAAAAGAAATGAAAATGAAAGATGGCATGGAATTGTGGGTGAAGTTACCAGAAAGTTGGGGGGACAGGGGGCAGGCAGGTGTGGAGGACGACCTGGTCCTGAATGGGGTAACTGTGCCCCTGAAGTATCAGGTGTGCAGCCTGGAAGTCATTTTGGACTCAAAGCTGTCCATGGAGGATCAATTATGTGTCCCAGACAGCTGTCTACCAGCTCCATGTGGTATGCAGGCTGAGACCCTGCCTGCCCGCAGACTGTCTCACCAGTGTAGTACATGCTCTAGTTATCTTCCACTTGGACTACTGCAATGCGCTCTACATGGGGCTACCTTTGAAGGTGACCCAGAAACTACAATTAATCCAGAATGTGGCAGCTAGACTGGTGACTGGGAGTGGCCGCCAAGACCATATAACACCGGTTCTGAAAGACCTACATTGGCTCCCAGTACGTTTCCGAGTACAATTCAAAGTGTTGGTGCTGACCTTTTAAGCCCTAAAGGGCCTCAGCCCAGTATACCTGAAGGAGCATCTCCACCCTCATCCTTCTGCCCGGACACTGAGGTCCAGCTCTGAGGTCCTTCTGGCGGTTCCCTCACTGCGAGATGTGAGGTTACAGGGAATCAGGCAGAGGGCCTTCTCAGTAGTGGTGCCCACCCTGTGGAACGCCCTTCCATCAGATGTCGAGGAAATAAACAACTACAGTATCTGACTTTTAGAAGACATCTGAAGCAGCCCTGTTTAGGAAAGTTTTTCATGTTTGATGTTTATTATGTTTTTAATGTTCTGTTGGAAGCCGCCCAGAGTGGCTGGGGAGGCCCGGCCAGATGGGCGGGGTATAAGTAATAAATTATTGTTATTATATATATAGTCATTAACATTAAACAATGATCCTGACTGTGTTGCAAAAATATGTTATTATAATTTCCATTTTTCCGGTGTGGCTGATGAAGGTTCCTGATGTAAACGATGGGTGTTAATATAAGAAATAAGTTACCACTCTATGCATTGAAATTTATCTGTCTTTGCTTTTTCATTAATAAATCTGTGGTACCAAGTTATTTCTTCCATCAGCATAATAGTCCAGATACCATGTGGGCAATGCAGTGTTGGCCAGTGTCTTACATGATACCACCTATGGTTGAAGAGAGTCAATTCACAAATTGGGAATTCCCAAATAAAACTGCTAATCAACAAAAGACAGGAAATAATCTTTATTTATCTTCAGGGTTTTGCCATGTTTGTGTGTGTGTGATTTAGAAGGACACACATAGTAAAGGACACATAATAGTAAAATCTGAAAACTCCTGGTCTCCAGGAAATGGAAAGCTCATGTGAAATATAAAACTCAAACTGATATATCAAAGTAGTACTTTGAGTGCCCTCTAGTGAGCCACTGGAAAAATTAGAACATAGTTTTCCCTCTGATCTGCAGATAACAATAAATGACTAATCTGTATTAAATTGTATATCTGAGTTGTCCCTCTTGTTTCATTCCCCCCTTTTTTTATAAAAAAGCTAAAGTTTTGTTTTGCAAGAAAGTTTAAAAATTATGGGCAACGAAAAGGAGGAGCACACATAACGATGTAAGCAGATCAATAATTAAGGGGGAAAGGAAACTTACTAATTACAGCTTGTGGTGGTACAATACAACAGATTATATCAATCTTATGGAGGCTGTGACTGTACTCAGGGATGTCAGCCAAGACTATGACCATGTGAATTGCATTGCCAACCCTCTGATTTCAATCAGAATACCCAATGAAAGATGTTATCCCAGTACTTGACCCCAAGGACTGGAAAACTGGTCCATCATGTGGGGAAAGATTCCATGTAGTAAAGTTTTCAGCAGCAGTCACATGGCTGCTTGTTGTCCTTCTTTTAATTGAGAGAACCTCACTTGCATGATATACATAGAAGACTAAGAAGTTGTATCTGTGCCTTTAAGTGATGGATGGCCAATTAAACAGACAGTAGGCGACTGTGGCGTGGTTCTTCAGAAGGAGAAACTGGTTATGGCATCCTTTTCCAACTTGATGCCCTCCAGATATTTTGCATGGCAAATTTCATCATCCCTAACCACTGGCCACGCTGTCTGGGCTGATGGGAGTTGTAGGTCAAACCATCTAGGGGACATCAGGGTGGGAAAGGCTGGGTTATGGCACAGAGTCAGGCTTCCAATTCTGGTCTGTTTCTCTTACACAGCATACTAGAGGGAAACACATATCAAAGCACAGTGGTATGCATATGTACTGTAATAAAGTTGCAGTGTCTCACGCTGTAGAAAAACATGTGAAGTTCTCCCCAAAATGTCTGGCCACCAGTGAATCTGGACATACTCGTTGTTTTACTGATATCTTTTTGATAGCCAGTCTGCTCCGAGTAACACTTCTTGGTGTAGTTGTCAACACAATCCAAACTGTGTATATTATTCTTATTCTAATCCATCTCATAAATATTTTCTGGTGCACGGACACCAGTCTCCATAACATGTCGAATTCCTCCAGTGGCTGAGCTTGAGATTGCCACCTGACTGGAAAGAGCAAACAAATATAAATCACGTTTGGGCTAAATGAAATATGTGAAGTCATAGCAAATATACTATTGTTAAAGTAACAAGTTTGATCATTCAACAAATCTTAGTATTCCCCAGTTTTTGGAGTCTACCCGCTAGGTTATTCTGACCTAGGACCTGGCTCCCGTGTCTTGTTATGAAGCTGTTCAGCTATTTAGTTTTTGCAGGAGGGGCCCTTTTGAGGATACTGCCATCTGCAGAGGCCCGCTTGACAGTCATGCACAAGAGCTCTTTCTCCTTATCGCTATCATATTCTAGAACGTGCTCCCCTCAGAGTTACGATTGGCCCCTTTTCCTTGTTTTTAGAAAAGGTATCAAGACACCTCTTTTTAATTTGGCCTTTTAAATATTTTTGTTGTGTTGTTGTTTGTACTGCTTTCATTGATTTTAACGTTTTTATTTCTGCGAGTAAAGCAACAACACTTGCAATAAGCTACCTGACCCCGTGAGGGGGAGACCATGATAGAAAGAAAGACAGCCAGTTCTTCCTCACTTCCTTCTTTTTTAGTAACTATTCGTTGGTAAAGTAGATCACTTCCTTTCAGGCTTTAGTTCCTTCCTGATTCTTCTCCAAGCTAGGGGTACTGTCTTGGTGACATGTAATACCTTTACTCAGAATGGCTTTGGCTGCCCTAAGTTTGCTGTGAGGCATCTTGATGCTGTTATGAACATGCGCTGCAGCATCCAGGGGTCTATGTCACCTCCCTGCCAGCTCCTTGCTTTAAAAAAAATTTGGAAGAAGTGTCCCTCTCCGATGTAATAATCCCATTACAAATCATACATAAACTGAAACAATCTGGGCCCAATTAAGGATAACCTGAGGAAGACTTGTTTTCTGAAACCATCAAAATTGTACCTTATCAACATCTCTAGAAATAACTCAGGACCAAAGAAAATGGACAAATTATGGTCATATGTTTTCTAGTGCTGAACTGAAAGTTACCAAGTGAGAATTTGTGGCTCGAATTTTAAAATCTGGGGGACAAAACATATCCACAGCTTTGTGTTTTGCTGCAGCCACCACCAGTTTTGTGGCAACACCATTCTCCCTCTCCCTAAAATAATTACTCTGCAAATGCCATAGCATTGTTCTCAAGGATGTACTGAAAGATAGAAATGGTCACCAGAAATAACTCAATATACCCAGTGGGGTGTTTCGGGTTTTCTTTTTTTTACCTTTTCTTTAAACAGCAGACCATTACTTCATTTCATAATCTGCTTTTGAAATTCCCCTCATTTTGAAAATTGATATTCAGGCCTACCCTTCTGTCTGCTTCTCATAACTAGCCCCATGTGGCCTTGGGGGTGCTGCTGTTTGACACACATGGAAGTATTTGCATGCTTTAAATCCAGGCCTATAAACATCCTAATGTAACCCATGGTGTTACCTATATATTTCCAATGAATGTGAATATGTAGCACTCGTGCTGAACTCTCCAACTGTAATATTACTTCACTTTGTACCAGAACAATTGCAAGTTGTAGAATTACTATAGCATCTACTCTTCTTAGCATTAAACTAGAAACAGACTTGAATAGTAATTACCTTATAGAATTACTCATCCTCTGCTTCTTGTGTAAATACCCTGTGGGATGTTTTTAAAAAGCATAAATAATATAAAAGGCAGTTGCTTTCATTAGATTAAGAGTGAGATTAATATAGAGGAACTACCAAACAGTACTTCCTGATATTACTGCCCTCCAGAAAGTCTGTCCTATTTTCATATTTGTATGCAGCAAGTAAATCATCCTGATTTTGCTAGTAAGGCATTACCTGAATATGTTTGCACTTTCATTGTTCCAAAATCCATTTTGATGAAAATAGGGCAATAGACAACCTGGTTACTATGGCAAGGTGCCTATTGTCCCTCTTCTCTACTCTGCAGTATTGGCATAATGAATTACAGTAATTGGCAATGAATACAGTTTGTGTTTATCGGTATTAAAAAATGTTAATTATTAACTATATATGGTTGTTTGTAAAAGATGCTATGCTTTTAGTGAATAACAACAAAAACCAAGGATTGGTGGCTGCTATAACATCAGTGGACTGGACTTATTAAAAGCCAGATGTGCCAACTTGAATAAAATATTGCGGAGGTCAGTAAGCCCCACCCTACATAGCTGCTCACATGATGTGGCACACACATACCATTTGAATAGCAATGCCCATCAACTTTGGGGCCCCCCGGCCCCCTCAAATATTTTACTGGGTTGCCAAAGACTCCTCAGCCCCTAGGATTTGGCTCCTATGCTAGAGGCATTGAAAAGTTGTAAATTGACAGGTGTTGCATGCAGTGTTGGCATGAAAAGCTTTGTTTTTATAGTAGGACAGGGATGCAGAAGGTGTGGTCTTCCACATGTTGCTGGAATTCAGCTCCCATGAGCCCCAGTCAGCATGACCAATAGTCAGGGATGATGAGAGCTGTAATCCACTAATTTAGCAACTCTGTGCATAGTTTACAAAAATTCATTAACAATAATGTACAACATTTCAACAATTTATAATACATGGTACCTCGGTTTACAAACTTAATCCGTTCCGGAAGTCCATTCTTAAACCAAAGCTGTTCTTAAACCGAGGTGCACTTTCCCTAATGAGGCCTCCCGCCACCAGTGCCCTTCCACCGTTCGGCTTCTGTTCGTAGACCGAGGTAAAGTTCACAAACCGGAACACTAATTCCGGTTTTGCGGAGTTCTTATACTGAATAGTTCGTAAACAGGGCTGTTCTTAAACCGAGGTACCACTGTACATGAAACCTTAACAATATATACAATGCCAAAATAATAACCACATGCACAACTCAATATCTCAAAGCCAAACGGTCCAAATATTTCTGAAATACGTCCATGAGAACTACTCTCTATATGTGTACTTGTGCTGGTGCAAACCAATGAAGGGATGTAGGATACTCCAGAACAGATTTAAAGGGCACATGAGGGCAGAGGCGTGGTGTCATGGGCCAGGGAAGCCATGGCCCTGGGCACACACCTGACTGTGCTCCCACAACAGGCATGGAGTCCTGCTGGCAGGCGAGTTTGACTAGTGGGCAGGTGGATAGAGGCAACGGGCAAGTAACCTGTTGAAGGCGGGCTCTGTTCATCCTCCACAAGCACCCCCCTGGTGCGTGTCCCCACCCCAGCTACCCAGTCTACCAGGAGGTGCAATACTTGCCCCATCCCGGGAGCTGGCAAACCCATGCTACGCCACTGCATGAAAGGAGGGGAGGCAGAAAGACCCATTGTGCTAGTGGTGATCCTTACACCATTGGGACCTTGACATAGCGCTGCATTGAATACAATCCTTTAGTCCCACAAATATTGACTAATAATGATACTGCAACTCTTCCAGCACTAGCCCTGAGAGATTCTGTCTTCCCTCCCTCATTTGCCAATGTTGAAAAATATATAGCAAAATTCTGCAAAACTACAGGAATACTTACACTTAAGTGTCAGCATTGCCACAATGAGCAATAATACTACTGCACATGTTCCAGTGCCAATATATAGGACTGCCCTTGAAGGTTCTTCTTTTCTTTTCTCTCTTTTTAGTGTGGTAAAATGTACAGAAATATTCTGCAAAAAATATATATACAGAAATGACCTCACTGAGTAGAAACTGAAAAGTGCAATACAAACACTTATGTCCAGCTATAACAGATTACCTTTCAAACAAGTTACTTATACAGAAATGGAATTAATAGGGTAATTTAGATGAGGTGAGCTAATCTGCTAGGAGTGTTATAGTACTGAAAATTATGCTTGTGCTCATGAAATCTGATGAGATACAGTACTTTTCCATGTATAAGACGAGGGGTTTTTTTCTTTTCAAATGATCTCCAAACTGGAGGGGAGGGGGTCGTCTTATACATGGTTAGTGCAGAACTGGCACGGGGGATTGGTCGTTTTCGGGAGCAGGAGGTTGTCAGTGGCGTTTGGGTGGGTGATTGGTGGCTGCGGCAAGCACTGCTTTCAATTTGCTGCGGTGGTGGCAATGGGGTGTGTGATTTGATGGGTTTTTCGAGTTGCACTGCTTGTTATGGCGGGTGAGTGTTTTTTTTTGCAATCCCCCCCCCCCCAAAAAAAAGCTCAACAACTCTGGGCAAGCTCCCCCCATTTTCTTAAATTTGAGGCATCTTATACACGGGGGCGTGTTATACACAGAGAAATACGGTAAATTATTATCATAAAGGAAAAATGTCTGTTTTATATATCCATCTATGTGCACAGTACTTTGCAAAGCAGAAAAGGACACTTTCAATCTGAGAACAAACACAGGGAAAGACAGCAGGTGGAGGATGGAGGCAAGATAAAACAAGAAAGAATATTAATTTAGTTATACTTAAGCTTAATAGAGTAGAGCATGGGGGGGGGGGGGGTAAGAGAGTCTGCCAAAGGCTTCATGTAAGAGGAAAAGAAGAAGTCATTTATTTATGGTTCACTCACCAAAAATGATGGATAGCAATAACAAGAAAGAACAATATTTAACACAGATAAGTTCTGGAAGGACATTTTGTACCTATAAGTTATGAAACATTTCCGTCAATCTGCAAAGAGACCATGCAGATACTTACATCCTGTGGGGATTGTGTGCTGGACATCCATCTTGGTTCCAAAGCAAAGTAAGTTTCAGTGAAGTGTATAGTAGCTGGACAAAGCAAAGATAAAGTGGCATACTCATTCATACAACCTGGATTCACAGTGTTGGTGCTGACCTTTAAAGCCCTAAATGGCCTCAGCCCAGTATACCTGAAGGAGAGTCTCCACCCCCATCGTTCAGCTCGGACACTGAGGTCCAGCGCCGAGGGCCTTCTGGCGGTTTCTTCACTGCAAGAAGTGAGGTTACAGGGAACCAGGCAGAGGGCCTTCTCGGCAGTGGTGCCCAGCCTGTGGAATGCCCTCCAGTCAGGTGTCAAGGAAATAAACAACTATCTGACTTTTAGAAGACATCTGAAGGCAGCCCTGTTTAGGGAAGTTTTTCATGTTTGATGTTTTATTGTATTTTTAATATTCTATTGGGAGCCACTAGATGGGTGGGGTACAAATAAATAATTATAATTATAGCTGTCTTTGTCTTTGAATACATAAATGGATGCTTCTGGATGATGAGTCCCATGTTATATGCATGGATAAGAAAACCTAGTTTTGTCAGTTTAAAATGGGAGTTAAGCACACTCACTATTTCTTCTAATTTATTCTTTCTTCTTTTCTTTCAGAGTTACAGTCAACACTTCATTTCATTTCACTCCATGCTTCACTAGACTTGAGACTAACCAATGGAGACTAACAAATTCACAATCCATCTATATACGCATACCTGGTACTCTAGCTGAAGTTGGACTCCAGTTCCCTGATTAAGAAAAAGAACAGACAAGTCAGTTGCACCATACCATATTCAGCAAAAATGTAAGTCTTTGCTATGTTACGGGGTGGTGAACCTCTTTGAGCTCAACTACCTGATTTGTACCTGTCCAACTTTCCAAGGGCCAAAGTTCTTACAGGTGTGTCCTGTTTGGAAGAAATTGTCTCACAGACCATTTGACAGGACCTGGCAGGTCTATTTAGTTTGCAGGCTTAAGGTTCCATACTACTGCTATATTAGCTTTGGGTACAAGCCCCAAAAGCATTAGATACAATGGAATATATTTAGTACTTTTTGGACTTGTGCCTGAAGCTGATATAATAAAGAATCGTGTGAACATCTACTGGTCATTGAGGTTTACCAAACTATGGATGGCTGTGCAGAAGTTGCATTCACACATATACTTTGGACTTGCCCAGTGGTCTCTTCCTTTTAGCAGGAGATCAACTGCTGTCTCATTTTTAGTTTTACTTTTCATTCCAGCAGAGGTCAGCTATGACCAAGTCCTCTGATCATGAACCAAATTCCTGCTGCAACTTTTATATTTCAGCATGTCATATGGCCTGAAAATCTGAGCCATCAACTTGTTGGATTGAAGTCTTGGACTATTTCTAAGAATATGAGAATATAACAGCAGAAACCCTCTCTTCCTCCCTCCCTTTAGTTGTGAGTGTAAATACAGATGTATATTGTGTGTGAAGGAAATGTGATTATTGGGTATTTATGAAGGATTTAAGGGCATAATGACAAAAGAACTGCTTTGCTGCAGTAAACCAAAAGCCCATCGATTTCCATTTAGCTATTGATACCCATCCTCTGCAAATATGCATAATCATTTTTTTTATGCTTCCCATGTTTGGCGGGGGGAATAGACATATGATTTATTGGGATTGCTAGCCTTCATAGCAGAAGCTCTACATTTTTTGTAAAAAGTTTTATCAAGACCCTTTAACATTTTGCCAAACTTAAAAAATATGCTACAAATATTATCTTAGGTAGTGACAAACTGGCATATGCCTGGTGGAAGCATTCTGCTCACCTTTCTCAATCACAACTTCAATGTTATGTTTCAGATCGTTGAACCAGCCACTTATGTCCACACGACAACAGTATATTCCTGAATCTTCTTCTGTTACGTTCACAATTGTCAGAGACACATCTCCTTGATGAACATCTCCCAGTAGATAATACTTGCTATCCTTCTTATATATTGATTTCCATTCGCTGGTATCAAAAATTTGACTGGAACACCAAGATAGAGGGCAACTTGCTCGCCCCCAGCATATGGTTCTAATCCCATTTTCCACAGTAGAATAATGACAGGGTAAAGTGATGTTCTGGCCCACTTTTCCCTGTATTGTAGACCCAGAAACTGATGTCAACAAGCATGTAGGGGAAGACACTACAGTTACAAAAAAGGAAAGAAAAAAAGAATGGAATTATGACAAACTGCGGGAACAACACTGTATTTGTAAAAAGATTTCCATCTCAGCAACTTTCCTAAAGCCTAATATTATGCTGACTTTGTAATTTGAAAATATTCTTCCCAGGCATATATTCCAACACCTCGGCTCAGTCTCTCGAGTTGAAGCCAAGAAAATGTTCAAACTATGCTGAACAATAATATGGGTGCTCAAACATGAAGTATATTTCTCCATGACAAAATGTGTAGTCATTTATGGGGGGGCGGATTCATAGGGCTGTATCCAATGGAGTCCATTCAATATCAGAAAGCTCTCTGAGCTAATAGAACCATAGAAGAATGGAGAAGGAATGTGATTTTTGAATGGGGGACCTTTGGAACATTGTGGAAGATGGTGGGGTTGCAGGGAAGAGGGTGAGTTATAGGCTCCCTGTTCTGCTGAGAAACCTTTGCTGGATCAAAGAGCTTTCCACCAGCAGAGGAATACCATTGGATGCAACTTGTAAATGCTAATTTTTCAATAGCACTCATCACTTATGCACTTCAGTGGAAGTTTCTGAAATGTTTGGTAAATTCTTTAGCAAGCAACAAAAAATAACTGATAGATATTCTTATTAAACAAATCAGTTTAGAGCAGTGGTTCCCAAATAGGGGTCCGGGGACCCCTGAGGGTCCACGGAACACACCCAGGGGACTTGCTTATCTTGTTATTTGCACGATGAAAGCCTTCCACGGATCATCCAGCCTCTGCTCATGATCAGTGCCTGCTTGCTGGCCAGGGAAAAACTTGTGAAAGAGTTGCTGGGTGCCAAGTGAGCTGGGATTGAGCAAAAACCTCTGACATAGTTTCTTAGGGCTTTTGCGACTGGAGGGGGCAGGGGAGAGGAGAGCAAATGGTTTGCTCCACGGGGCGGATTGACATGCCTATCATTTTTTTAAAAGTAAGGGTTCCCTTCCCCCTTCCCCTTGCTCTCTACTTTTTAACTAAAAATAAGTTCTAATTTCTTCCAAGGTCTATCAAGTTTAGAGGACTCTCCCACTGCTTATGGGTAGGGTTTTCAGTGAATCTTGCCTTATGACTTTGGGATTAATGTCTCGGTTTGGAAGTCCAACAGGGAAAATAGCTAAGCAAATTGCCACAATACACACACACACACACACACACACACACACACACATATATATATATTGCAACAAAATAGCATTTTGTTTTCTTGTTTTCTGAGTCAAGCTATGTGGCTACATTTGGGAGTGGGAGGAAACAGATGTAGGGCAGAAACCAAATAAATTAAAAAGTTGGTTGTTTCTATTGGGTAATAAGCAAGAATAAAAACCTCACTCCAAATAAGTACTGTATTTAACTAATTAATCTATTTCAGCCAGGGATGAAATGGGCACAGAAGGACTGTATTATAAATTACTACTACTGCTGCTATTACTACTACCACCACCAAAATTACAAAATTCCATCTGTTTTCTACTCAGTCTTCACCAATACTTTATCAAGCCCTGACCAAGCCTTCACCTATGTCTTGAAGATGCAAGATCCCTCAGATTGCAGAACCTTATGCTACAAAGTTTTGCTAAGATGCACCATCTCAGATTACAAGTAAGGAATAGCATATAAAAAGCCTTCTGCATATAGAGCACTTGCAAGTTCTATACACAGTTCCTTTTTTTAAATTCAGTTGCAGTGTAGCAATGGAGAACTTTTCCTACTGTTTGGGGATAAGCAATAGCTCAGGGTAGAGCATCTGCTTTGCGCATGCCCTGGCACCTCTGCGTAGGACCGGCAGAGATCCTTATCAGACAACCTGGAGAGCTACTGCCAGTCACTGTAGAAATAATACTGAGCCAAATGGATCAGTGGTCTGACTCAATAGTTTTTCTGACAGATACAAAATTTCATGTGATCAGTTGAACAACTTTCTGTGGTTGTGTATGGTAGCCTACTTAGCAGACATTTTCACATACTTGAGCACTCTCAACACAAGCCTTCAAGGTGATGTGAATATTTTTTTATGTTGAAGATAAGACTGCAGCAGTGATTTAAAAATAATGATTATGGGCAAGCTGAGTATAAGGTGGTAGCCTCACTAATATCCCAACACTGGAGACATTTCTTGGGGCCAGTGACATAGAATTGATGCCATAAGTAAAACATTACATCCCTGAGCACATGCGTGATTAGCGACCAGCATCAGATATTACTTCCCTGCATAAAATCCTGAGCACTCATGTGTAAGGAATCCTTTTGAATGTGGTGATGTACAACTATCTGCAGAAGAGGAAGATGTACCTGTTGATGTGACTTGTGATGGTTCATTGAAATCATTTTTAAAAGAATGTAGACTGGACCAATTCTGGGTGAAGGTTTTTGCTGATTATAAGACATTAAGTGAAAAAGCTTTGAGACATCTAGTTCCCTTTTGTTCCACATATCATTGTGAACAAACATTTTCAACATTTTGTTATATGAAGAACAAGCATAGAAATCGACTTGCTGCTGAACCAGACTGAAGGATAAAAGTAGGAAATATTGAACCAGATGTGGAAAGGATTGTTTGGGACTAAACGAGGCATGATTTCTCCCATCACATTTAGCTTTAGTGTGAGAAAAAGAAAAGAAAAATATGTTCTCTACCAGAAACAAAAGAGCATTTGCGCTGGTGGGAAGCCCCTTGGCGGTTAAGGACTGTGGTCAGATTTCACAGGAACAGAATATATTTTGTTTCAAATGCTGAAGTCTGTATGCTGATAGCATGTGACTCATATCCTCACAGCTCTTGCTGACGCTGTTGAGTAGAGCCCCGTGTTTCAAATCATACAAATTGATACTGTGTGGGGATATCATATCATATTGTAGCACAGAACCAGGTATTCTGGAAACCTAGGGTGCATGTGAGGTTTATAGTTTTCACATGGTTATCACAAGGATCTGTTCCAGTTAGGTGAACATATATTACATGTAGTCAGCCTCAATAACATCTTAATATGTCACATGGTTGATGCTGACTGTTAGGAAAAGAACGTAGTATTAGTGCCTAAGCTCTTGAAATCATATACCATATGCAAACAACAGCAGCATGTTAACTTTCTCTCATTCCTGCATCTTCATCCCTAAGCATGTTTACTCAGAGACAAGTCAATTTAGGTATATATCTGGTATTACAGCCTTAAAATGTTAGAAATCACAATCATTTGCCAGATGTCTGGTCTTGAATTAAAGAGAATTAAATATTTACATACTGAACAATTACACTGTACAAGTCTAAAACAATGATTTCCCAGAAGTGCAACTCCACAATTTATAATTTTGTTAATGTTTGATTACCTGTAAACACCACCAACAGAATTCGTTCCAGGGGAAACATGGTGTAGGCTTAGATGGCAGCAGAGGGTGGCTTTGTTCCTACTGCAAGCGGAGATTTAACAGAATGCTCATTTCACAACCAAGCTTCTGACTTCTCTAATTTCTGATCTACATCATGTGTGACCTAAGTCACAGCACTCAGTAGCAGGCTTTCTTTCTTTCCCCCACCGTGTGGTTAGTTCACATCTCACTGGGCCACCCAATGCTGGTGTTTGGTAAATACTGTGGACATCTTGGTTAAAAGGCAACAGACTTCCACAGCAATGACAAAATGCTTTGCTCAAGACATCAGAGGATGGGATTTGTTCTGTACAGTACTCCCATAATCTTCAGAAATTGCCTATAAGATTTAAATGTGAAGATAAAGGCTTTCTCATTATACTGTTCTACACCATCTTTTTTATTGCAAAGTGTGGCTGGAAAGTTATGTGTAGACAGGGAATTAGCATTCAGGCTAGGATTCAACTATTACAGGGTCTTGATGTTGTTCAAATTAATGGCTTGCTAAAGCAACTAATAGATTAGAATTAATCTAGCGCATGCACATTCACTGTGTCTTTAAAGAGAAAGAGAAGCAACCAAGCCTCCCTCCCCATTTCCAGGGGTGGAGGACATGGTGGTGTGGCAGTGCTTATCTGGAGAGCTGAATCACTGATTACTGGGAAGGAGTGGGTGAGGTCAGTGCAGTTCAAATGCTCCAGGAGAAGCACCAGATTGGGTCTGCCGGTGTGTTTGCATTGCACTAACCTCCTTGTGTTAAGCAGCAGTGACACTACTGTTTGAAGGTCAGGTAAGCACCACTGTGAGCAGCTGTCTGCTGTTGCCTATTTTGTGCCTTAATCTTGCCAACATCTTGAGTTTTATAATACATGCAGCTGCATCAACTTCAAATGATAAAATTCAGAAAAACTGCACCCCCAGAGGGTATTATTTGTGGATTTTATGACACCCACTAGGTGGTATTCAACTAAATTTTATTCAGAGTAGAGCCATTTAAATGAATGGAACTAACTTAGTCGTGTTGATTAATTTCAATAAGGTCTCCTCTAAGTAAAAGTTGAACACCACCCATGGAGTTGGCTCCAGGCTAAGTTAATTGAGCTTAAGTTCCAATCACTTAAATGAGGCAAGTTAGTCATTATTTTAATATAAGTCCCATTGAAATCAATGGGATTTAATTTTGGTCACTACTAGCAACCAAAGTCGTGGCACTTTAGTGCATGTGCACAATAAAATCCAATGCACAATAAATGTTGATTTCTGAACATGGTGAATGCCTTAAAGAACTCCAAAGCCTTATTTTGACTGACTACTGGGGTTTGCATGAACAACCATAAATAAATATTGCACTCAATTCAGACAATATTGAGAGGATAGCTAATGAAGATATGCTTTTCTCAGCTAAACAGCACCACCAATTTTTATTAGTGCACAACAATGCACTAATGATTTAGTTTCAGATTAATATAAATTGTTTATAGCAATGCCACCAGCAATAGAACCCTCCCCAACCCCCAGGAGACAGCCCCTTTTAAAATCCATATATTCAATAAATAATGAATGCAATGTACTGAATAATATATTGGTAATTTCAGCATAATAATTGCTTTTCTTAACCAAGGAGAAACGAAAAAGTAGCATCTTACTTTGTAAAGGTAAAGGGACCCCTGACCATTAGGTCCAGTCGTGGCCAACTCTGGGGTTGCGGCGCTCATCTTGCTTTATTGGCCACGGGAGCCGGCGTACAGCTTCCGAACCACCAGTGCACGGAAACGCTGTTTACCTTCCCGCCAGAGTGGTACCTATTTATCTACTTGCACTTTGACGTGCTTTCAAACTGCTAGGTTGGCAGGAGCAGGGACTGAGCAATGGGAGCTCACCCCGTCGCAGGGATTCGAACCGCCGACCTTCTGATCAGCAAGTCCTAGACTCTGTGGTTTAACCCACAGCGCCACCTGTGTCCCTATCTTACTTTGCAAGAGAAGAAAATAGCAATTCATCTCATTATTCCTTCAACCCAATAAAAAGTTTAACCCATAACCAGTGCACAAACCTAGTGTGGACAGTCACAAGCCAGTCCTCGCAAAACAGCCCTGTACCATTGCTGTCTGTTTCAGTCTAGCTTTTTGAGCCTGCTGAAACCACATCCTGTATGAAACAGAAAAAAGGAACCTGTCCATTGCTGATTTCAAGAATAGACTGGTGTTTATATTCATGCTGATTCAACCCTTGACATTTTCCCTAGCCAAGACATACATAATTATTTATTTACTGATTAAATACATTTTATTTGTTTGTTTTAAATTTGTATTTTGCCCTTCATTCCAAAGTGCAAATATATCACATAGGACACTGGGTTGAGGAACCCATGGCCCTCTTAGTTTTTGGATTCCCACTTATCTCACTCTTAGCCAAGATTCATAGCTCTTCCTTCTATAATTTTGCTTTTACTGTAATTTGGTTGATACCTGTCCTAAGGCCACATGGGTGTGTGGGAATTAAATACAAAACAATAACACCCAGAGATGGTGGACAAAGGAGGCATGGCAGTTCAGCTAACTGTGGTCCAGACCAGTGGCTTTGAAGCTAATGCTCCATCATCACTTTATTTTGTTCCTTTTTATATATATATAAAAGGAGTCCTTTTAAATGTTCCCACTTTCTCAGGAGCTTATGAAGAGCCTGTTTATCAGCAGGCATGCAGGAAGTTGACTGGGGATGCAGTCTCCCCCAAGCTAACTGGCCTCCCCTGCCTTGAGGGGAGACATGAAAACTATGCATGTTAATTTGTTTTATTTAGTTAGTTTTCAAAATCGTCATCTCCTAATCACACGGAAGGGGTTTTCTTTAATTTCCTACAGTTATAGTCATGGTTTTCGATCCCAGAATGCAGTGAGTGTGAAGCAACTGTGTCAGGACGAGTGTGAAGAAGCACAGAATTTGTCACCAGGCCCTCTACCCACTGGCAAAAGCAATTGTTGGCCAAGAAACTATCTCCGGGAGACACTTAGTACAGTGGTACCTTGGGTTACAGTCGCTTCAGGTTACAGACTCCGCTAACCCAGAAATAGTACCTTGGGTTAAGAGCTTTCCTTCAGGATAAGAACAGAAATTTGTAGAGAACTATCTCTACAAATAAATCTAGATCTACTTAAATTATTTCATCTCATTTGCTATGGCCGGGCATCACTAAAAGTGCACTGCAATATTAGCATCAAGCAGACAACTCTGAACACCAGGGACCATCTAGGAAGGATCATTACATTCAACAGATATACAGTGGTACCTCCGGTTACATATGCTTCAGGTTACATATGCTTCAGGTTACAGACTCCGCTAACCCAGAAATAGTACCTCGGGTTAAGAACTTTGCTTCAGGATGAGAACAGAAATTGTGCTCTGGCGGCACGGCAGCAGCAGGAGGCCCCATTAGCTAAAGTGGTGCTTCAGGTTAAGAAGTTTCAGGTTAAGTACGGACCTCTGGAACAAATTAAGTACTTAACCCGAGGTACCACTGTAAAAGACATTCTAAGAATGACCATGCTTTTCAGCTGTTTCCTGAAGAAAAGGAAGAGAACTACTAGTTTACTCATGTCCCTAATGCATGATATGACTAAATACATTCTTTATGAAGGCAGCAACATAGCATGCCGTGGCAAAACCACAACTAAGATATTTCTTCATTTTTTTTTAAAAAAAGGGGGTAGAATAATATTGTACTTATGAGGAAAATAATCATAATTTTCAAGTTAGGTGCTGCCCTCTTTTGCCAACTCACAGGAAAAACACTGCAAGTATGATTGAACCCTTAATGTCACAAGAATGACAACTAAAAAAAACCTGCCATACACAGTGAAGTTAGTAGAAATGTTTAATACATGCACACTCCTGTTTCATTCCTGAGGCAAAGAAACAATGTTTCATAAAATCATGAGGATTCAAATTAGAACACATTGATCCAAAGAATCTAATTTAAAGAGGGGAAAATACATAGGAAGTCCATTGGCAGGAGAGCCAGTAGCCATTGTGTGGAAGTGGGACTCTAGGTGCCGATTTTCATGCAGTACCTGCAGTACCAACATTGGGTTGCTATCCATTTTGGGCTGGTGGTTCTACTTCTAAGTTTCCACCTCCACTCTTATCTTTCCTGAATTGTATCCATGGCAGCACTGAACTATCCAATATTCTAAAAACAAAAAACCTCTTGACCTACTGCTGCTTTTATCAGCACTGCTGCTCTAGTGTATTGGGGGACCCACTGGAACAGCACTATAATGGAATCTTGTGTCATGATCGTAGGGCCCATCATGCACGATGCAACATTTAGTGACAAACAGAAGTATTTTTAGAAGTACATTCATCTCAACAGACAGGAAACATTTAGGTATTTATTCGTGTGTGTGTGTTTTTAAAAAAGGTTGTGTTAAACCAAAAGCAGTTACTTCAATTCATGAACTAAAATTCAGAAAGGAAATTCTTGGATGCTTTTTTGCTTATATATGGCATAACATTGTTTGCAGCAGTCTAGCAATATTCAGTCTTTTACTCTGACTGAAACAAAGCCCACCAGAGTACAGAACTTCCCCCACACAATCAGGAAATGATTGTGGAATCTAGGCAGTAATAAATGACAAAAGTGATGCTTTCCAGAATAAAGCCATCTATCAGTTTTACTTTTATTTAAAGCCAAGTAGACAAAAACATAGTGCACACTGAAATACTATAAAAATAAATCAGAGTTTATTGTCTCTTACAGACCATGTTTCATGATTGCTCATTAAGTATCACTATCAAAAGGCAGCATAGAAGAAAATCTCAAACTCTACTGAACTCTTCAGCATCAGTTTCATTTTCACTCCCAATAACTTTCATTAACTCAAAATAAGTCTCCAAAGAGTCTTTATGTCATTTCATCAATTATGCTACACATGTTTGCATCTTTATCCAAAACCTGATCCTTCTTGAGGTTAGAGCTTGCTCTCTGCTGGTCATTCTGTCCAATGCAACTGAGACTGTCTTCATGGTCCAAAGGTTCAGTTTTTATCCTCATCCCTCCATCTGAGTGAGGCAAGTCATCTGGCAGAGAGGCCAAGCAGTTCTGGATCATTTCAACAACTCGTTCTAAATGCTTCTGGAACCTCTCTGCAGTTTCCAAACGCTGACGTTTCTGCACTTCCATCATGACTCTCAATGTCTCTCTGGCTTGGTGGGGTCGATATTCATTTATAAGATGATGCACATGAACAAAAAGCAGTTTTAAGTCTTCCAGTTTCTCCTCTCGTTTTATGCTGCCTGGGCTCCTTATCAATATATCCAAAAGGTCCAAGAAGTTGATCAGGATAGACATGTTGAGTTTCCTCAGTTCTTTCTTATGGTCAAACTGCATGGGATGTAATCGCTCAATGCCTTGGCTTTCCAATGGTCGAATAATTAGTTCATCACACTGAAACTGGTTTCCAAACATCATGTAGCTATCTTTAATTGGTGGCGGTGGCTTCGGGGTGATACCTTTACGGATATTTTCATCTGTATATTCTTTAATATATTGCATTGGAGGTGCAGGGAGGGCACTCACTTGCTGAGGTTCACCCATTGTGGAAGATCAAATCACTAAAATAATGAACAATTATTTAGAATGTTAGTTTTAGAGCAAAAAAAACCAACAACCCTACTATATTTTAATACCAGTAATTAGAGAGAAAAGTATTTATAAACTAGAAGAGAATGGTTTGTTTAATTTTTTCTTTTCCTTTTAGGCCTGCTATGGGAGAAAATTTACTAAGAAAAATATTTACTAGCTACTTCAGGCTTCCTCAACCTCGGCCCTCCAGATGTTTGGAGACTGCAATTCCCATCATCCCTGACCACTGGTTCTGCTAGCCTGGAATCATGGGAGTTGTAAGCCAAAAACATCTGGAGGGCCAAGGTTGAGGAAGCCTGAGCTACTTAGTTGGGCTCCTTTGAATGTTTCACAACAAACATTACTGAGAATTTAAAATAAAATGAAATATTGACAGAAATGGTAATTTGTGCTACATTTAACAAGGCAACTATTCAACAATATTTCAGAAACAGAACTCATTTCAGAAAGCACCTTAAATTACATGGACACCACAGCTTGCATTACATAAATCCATGTATTTTGCAACCGTGCTGTGAATTTAGAGTGCAATCTTACATACACACTTACTCAGAAGTATTATTATTTATTTAGTAAACTTATCAGTCACTTTTTCTTGCGAAAGACAACTCAAAACAAAAGCCCACAAAGTGACATTAAAACGAAACAAAATACATTAAAATATTACATTAAAAATACATTATAGCCCCACCCCATGCTAAGAGGCCACAGACAGAAGCCAAAGGCTTCTTTAAAGAGGAAAGTTTTTGCTTGGTGCCTAAAGATATATGGGACTTAATGGGATTTACTCCCAGGTAAATATTTAAATAGCATGGTTTCCAACTCACGGATCAGGGAGCAACACACGGTCACCTCACTTACTTTTTCCTGATCCAAAATAATTCCTCCCAGTAACAAACACTACTATTATTATTTATTAAATTGATATACTTCATCCAAGTACTACAAAGCAGTTTATGGTATAAAAACAAATCTTGGCTGTGAGTTCTGGAAGAGCTGTTCCCTTCCTTCCTGGTCTGAGAGGGTGGAGCCCTGTCTGACTGCACCTACAAAAGCTGAGGTTTCTGAACAGACCATTGTGTTGGGCTAATTTTTAGGGGCTTTGGTCAATATAATTTTTTGCACATTTAAATATTTCATGACTTAATGCAGAAATTGTTCTTTGGTGGTGGTCTTTTTGATATGTTTTAATTTATTTACAGCTACTTCCACTACGTTTGCGATTATGTACACCAGGCATCCCCAAACTCGGCCCTCCAGCTGTTTTGGGACTACAACTCCCACCTTCGCTAGCGAACAGGGCCAGTGGTCAGGGATGATGGAAATTGTAGTGCCAGAACAGCTGGAGGACCGAGTTTGGGGGTGCCTGATGTACACCTTTTCTTGCTGTAAGCCGCCTTGAGCATGGTTTTAACCATGGAAAGGCAGCATACAAATAAAATGACGACAAAAATATGTAACATCGTAACAATCATCAGAATCACACACACAAAATTTGAACGCCCATAGTTTTATTAGCCAAAGGCCTGGAAGGAGAGGAATGTTTTCGCCTGGCGCCTAAAGATAACCCGACTCGACTTCTCTGGACTGTAAGGATTTAATGTATTTTTTATATAATGTATTTTTAATATAATGCATTTTTTAAGTGTAATATGGGCGGCTAAGTCGACCTTACTGCGTTTTCACTGTCGTGAAAGGGAAAAAAAGTATCTTCTGAAGATCCCTTCCAGCTCAAGTTTAGATTCTCACCCTGTGGCGAAGCGAACCAGGTGGGCGAACATTTTTAGAGGGAGGGGCAGACAAGAGCTTTTGAAACGGCGGGCAAATGGCGGTTCAAAATCAAAATGAACCCCGCCCCCCCGCAACATCTCCCCCTCACTTTAGGAGTCCTGGGCCTACCTGGCTCAGCAGGCACAAATCGGCGCAACTCACCTGGTCTCCCTTCGCAGCTGCCGCCTCCGTTCCTGCTTCGCTTCCCTCCGCTTCTTCCCTCCCCGCAACTACCGGCACAGAGCCACTTCCGGCTTCCTGCCTCCCTATTGGCTTACACGTCGGGACGACAGGCAGGGGCAAAGGCAGTGGGTAGGGTACGGAGGGCGGGAGCAACAGCCATAGACTTAACCGCGGGCGGAGTGAAAGAGCTGCTTTCTGATTGGCTGCTCTTGATATCCAACGGGGTTTCGCCATCCTCTTTGCCATAGATATTAGAACGCGGAGCCTCCTAGACTGGCCATTCTTCCACGCACAGGACTTCCTGGTTACTTTGTGATTCTGGTCTCATCATTGAAGGGGTGAGATCGCAAGAGAAGCTCAGAGGAGACCATGCCAAAAATGTGATTCACCAGCATTTGTCCCACAGCTGAGATTAGATGGCGCTGCACGTTTTCGCTGCAGCACAAAAACCAAAGACAGCCTTCGTCTTCTGTAGGAAACGTCTTACATTGCTGATACTGCTGCTTCTGCAATTTCTTACTTTCCCGTCACTATGAGATCCCAGGGTGGGCTACATCAATTTAAAATACTAAATTAAAACAATTAAAAACAAATTACGATCTCATGAATAGAATGCCTTCTAATATATGCTTTTGGGGGTAAAAAAATAAAGGTGGTCCTGAAATATAAGTGCTCTGTGTGTGTGCCAGCACAAAATGGCTGCCTTTGGCAAAAGGAGGGGGAAAGTGGCAATACAGTACAGAGTATTCGTAAGCACTGACACAAAAATACCCTGGCAATTGTCAAAGCTCAGGGTAAAGAGGTGTGTCTTCAACACAAGCTTCAGAAATCTGTGGGGAGGGAATTCCACAATTTTGAAACTGCCACAGAGAATGCTCTCTGCCATGCCCACCAAAAGAGCTCCCTCTGCTGATCATAACACCAGAGTGGGTCTGTGGGCTTTCACATATCTGGGGCCCATGCGCTATCGGGTTTCCACTGGTCCACACTGGTTTTGCATAATAGTCCTTGGAACAAAACAGAACAGGAGTAGGGAAACTTCTCCAGCCTAATAAGAAGCTCAAGCAGCCCAAGGGCAGAGCCAAATATGTCCCAGGGGCCAGGTGGGCAGGCTCCATAGGGCCACATCGGACCCATGGTCTGGACATTCCCCATCCCTTCTATAGAAGGTAAGAATATTCTCTTTCTAACACAATGCAAAGGAGCTTGGAATTTGGATACATCATGTATAAACCAACAGCGTAATAAAAGCAGAGTCATGTCTCAGGATGTTCAGTGCCAGGAGAATATCTACAGCCAAATGTTTACAAGTGAAGAATTCATTCTGGTAGGTGATATTGTCTTATGTTAATATAAGATACAGTAAATTACACTTGTCTTTGTGTTATGCCTCTCTTAGGCAGTAGGGAGCAGCAGTGATATTGTCTTGAAAGGAATACATACATTGTCTTTATTATTTTGGTTGCGTGAAATTCTTATATGGAAAGCTCTGAAAAAGTGAAAATACTTTTTGGAATAAAAAAATGGTGCAAACCTCAATGGAGGTGTATTTTTAATGTTCTTTGTACTTGTTATTTTGTGCCTGATGAGGCAAACAGCACTCTCTGCAGTGATTTAGGTGTGAGAAATAACAAAGGAAGGGATAAAAAAACCTCATTCAGGATTCTGCTTCTCAGAGCAAATTAGTAACACCCTTTGGCTGCTTTGAAATAAAAGTAGAGTGCTGTTGTGCTCATGTACTGTGTGTGGGCTTCCCGTGGTTATCTGGTCGGCCACTGTGTGAACTAGATGGACTTTGGTTTGATCTAACGAGGGCTCATTGTATGTACTTATTAACAGTTCAATTCAATACATTTCTGCTCAGAAGTAAAGACCATTGAATTCAATTGAGCTTATTCCTAGGAAATTTTGTATAGTATTATAGCCCTAATTACAAATCTCCCATGTCATGTAATTTTTAAATTTAATTGTTTCATCATTGCAGTGCATATATATATATATATATATATATATATATATATAAAATCTAAAAACAGATACATATTCTCACAGGTGATTTCACGGTTGCCAGGAACAGTATCTTTCAGTTATCAAATGTCTGATGAACAGAAATATTTTTAAATTCCTCCTGAAGTTAATAATGAGGGAGAGAGATGCTCCTCACCTGGGCAGGCATCCTATGAATGGGGAACCACTTCCAAGAAGGCCCTGTCATGGGTCAGTGCCAAAATCCAGTGATAAAATACAATATGCAATAACGGTACCTATATATCAAACACAATCAGCAATAAGATGATGATGATGATTTATATACAGCCATAATGGCTTCTAAGCAGTTTACAAGCAAAAATCCATTTAAAATACGTAATAACTATACATATGAAAAAATTCCATCAAAACATTTAAAAAATGTATTTCAAATAAAATAACATAAACATAGAACAATTAGCAATAATGCTTTAGAACTGGCTATATATCTGTTTTGACCTTTTTCAAATATGTCCCATTTAGTCTTAAGCTCTTGGGAAAGGTTTTCTAAACAATCTTCTTTGGGGAGATATTGAGAAGTTAGGTCATACCTGATACAATAAATTAATAAATCTCAGATGACAGCAAGACATGCAAGTTTAAAGGGCTTTCTGTGGAAACATCAGACCTATCAGTTACTTAAATAGCAGGTGTGGACTTCATCAGTCCTAATGTTCGTGCTTTACACATTCATTCCTTTATTATTATTGTGTTTATTAGGTAAATTGTAAGCGACTGTCTCTTGGCTTTTTTTTTAATCCGGTGCCTGATTTACCTTTCCATTTTCTTTTTCTTATTCATTCCCACCTCCCTTTCTGTTGTTGTTGTTTAGTCGTTTAGTCGTGTCCGACTCTTCGTGACCCCATGGACCAGAGCACGCCAGGCACTTCTGTCTTCCACTGTCTCCCGCAGTTTGGTCAGACTCATGTTTGTAGCTTTGAGAACACTGTCCAACCATCTCATCCTCTGACGTCCCCTTCTTCTTGTGCCCTCCATCTTTCCCAACATCAGGGTCTTTTCCAGGGAGTCTTCTCTTCTCATGAGGTGGCCAAAGTATTGGAGCCTCAGCTTCAGGATCTGTCCTTCCAGTGAGCACTCAGGGCTGATTTCCTTAAGAATGGATGCATTTGATCTTCTTGCAGTCCATGGGACTCTCAAGAGTCTCCTCCAGCACCATAATTCAAAAGCATCAATTCTTCGGTGATCAGCCTTCTTTATGGTCCAGCTCTCACTTCCATACATCACTACTGGGAAAACCATGGCTTTAACTATACGGACCTTTGTTGGCAAGGTGATGTCTCTGCTTTTAAGATGCTGTCTAGGTTTGCCATCGCCTTTCTCCCAAGGAGCAGGCGTCTTTTAATTTCGTGGCTGCTGTCACCATCTGCAGTGATCATGGAGCCCAAAAAGTAAAATCTCTCACTGCCTCCATTTCTTCCCCTTCTATTTGCCAGGAGGTGATGGGACCAGTGGCCATGATCTTCGTTTTTTTGATGTTGAGCTTCAGACCATATTTTGCACTCTCCTTTCTCACCCTCATTAAAAGGTTTTTTTATTCCTCCTCACTTTCTGCCATCAAGGTTGTGTCATCTGCATATCTGAGGTTGTTGATATTTCTTCTGGCAATCTTAATTCCGGCTTGGGATTCATCCAGCCCAGCCTTTCGCATAATGAATTCTGCATATAAGTTAAATAAGCAGGGAGACAATATACAGCCTTGCCGTACTCCTTTCCCAATTTTGAACCAATCAGTTGTTCCATATCCAGTTCTAACTGTAGCTTCTTGTCCCACATAGAGATTTCTCAGGAGACAGATGGGGTGATCAGGCACTCCCATTTCTTTAAGAACTTGCCATAGTTTGCTGTGGTCGACACAGTCAAAGGCTTTTGCATAGTCAATGAAGCAAAAGTAGATGTCTTTCTGGAACTCTCTAGCTTTCTCCATAATCCAGCGCATGTTTGCAATTTGGTCTCTGGTTCCTCTGCCTCTTCAAAATCCAGCTTGCACTTCTGGGAGTTCTCGGTCCACATACTGCTTGAGCCTTCCTTGTAGAATTTTAAGCATAACCTTGCTAGCATGTGAAATGAGTGCAATTGTGTGGTAGTTGGAGCATTCTTTGGCACTGCCCTTCTTTGGGATTGGGATGTAGACTGATCTTCTCCAATCCTCTGGCCACTGCTGAGTTTTCCAAACTTGCTGGCATATTGAGTGTAGCACCTTAGCAGCAGCATCTTTTAAAATTTTAAGTAGTTCAGTTGGAATACCATCACTTCCACTGGCCTTGTTATTTGCAGTGCTTTCTAAGGCCCATTTGACTTCATTCTCCAGGATGTCTGGCTCAAGGTCAGCAACCACACTACCTGGGGTGTACGAGCCATCCATATCTTTCTGGTATAATTCCTCTGTGTATTCTTGCCACCTCTTCTTGATGTCTTCTGCTTCTGTTAGGTCCTTACCACTTTTGTCCTTTATTATGGTAATCTTTGTACGAAATGTCCCTTTCATATCTCCAATTTTCTTGAACAGATCTCTGGTTCTTCCCATTCTGTTGTTTTCCTCTATTTCTTTGCATTGCTCATTTAAGAAGGCCTTCTTGTCTCTCCTTGCTATTTTTTGGAAATCTGCATTCACTTTCCTGTATCTTTCACTATCTCCCTCGCATTTTGCTTGCCTTCTCTCCTCCGCTATTTGTAAGGCCTCATTGGACAGCCACTTTGCTTTCTTGCATTTCCTTTTCATTGGGATGGTTTTCGTTGCTGCCTCCTGTGTAATGTTGCGAGCCTCCATCCATAGTTCTTCAGGCACTCTGCCCACCAAATCTAAATCCTTAAACCTGTTCCTCACTTCCACTGTGTATTCATAAGGGATTTGACTTGGATTGTATCTTACCGGCCCAGTGGTTTTTCCTACTTTCTTCAGTTTAAGCTTGAATTTTGCTATAAGAAGCTGATGATCTGAGCCACAGTCCGCTCCAGGTCTTGTTTTTGCTGACTGTATAGAGCTTCTCCATATTTGGCTGCAGAGAATATAATCAAACTGATTTGATGCTGCCCATCTGGTGATGTCCATGTGTAGAGTCGTCTCTTGTGTTGTTGGAAAAGAGTGTTTGTGATGACCAGCTTGTTCTCTTGGCAGAACTCTATTAGCCTTTGCCCTGCTTCGTTTTGAACTCCAAGGCCAAACTTGCCAGTTGTTCCTTTTATCTCTTGACTCCCTACTTTAGCATTCCAATCCCCTATAATGAGAAGAACATCCTTCTTTGGTGTCAATTCTATAAGGTGTTGTAAGTCTTCATAGAATTGGTCAATTTCAGTTTCTTCAGCACTAGTGGTTGGTGCATAAACCTCCCTTTCTATGAGCATATAAAATAATATAGTGTGCACTTTTCAGGTGACAGTGTATGAAAGGATGTGGTTATGGTTTTTACATCAGAAAGGAAGCTAGCTGAGCAGCACTGCCTGAATGACAGATGGAAAGATAAGCACCTACGCTGCTTTTTGCATCCACTTTTGTGAAAGACAACAGTGTCTATCACATGAATTCTCTTTCCCAGGCTTATGGGCTCTGGTATTGGGGCAGGTGCCTTTCCATCCTAGAAGGACCCCCATTACTTGATGAACAATGAATAACGGTGTTCTTCTTGAAGAAGAGCTGATCAAAAAGTCCCAGCAAAAGAGAAGGACGTCTCCCTCCAATTTTAAAGTACGATTCTTCGTTTTGACAAAATCAAGGCTGGCGTATTTTGAGCATCGTCTTGGGGTATGTGTGTTGTCTCCCATATCTTTTTCAGAGCATCTTATCAAAGGATAATGAAGGGGTAGGGAGAAACTGAGTGAATGAGGTAATCTTGGGCTAGCTTATGCAATAGTGGCTTTCCCAGCGATTGTGTCTGCTTTATGTTTGAGCAAAATTGTCCTATGTGTAAACCATGCATTCTTATTTTATTTTAGGGTTCTGAATAAAGATACGATAATGCTTGTTCCTTTCCAGGCGAACTGTTTCAAGGCATTCACAACTGATTTAAAAAGCATTGTTTGCCGCATTGTATGCCATTGTAAGTTTATAGACACCAAGAAGGCGGACAGCTTGATGTAGATACGAGAATGTTGATTCTCAGTGGTTTGAGGGTTCTAGAGCAGCCTTTTAACTGCAAGCTGAAACGTTTATCAGGGCCTTTTATCTTCTGTGGCTTTGAAAAAACGGAAATGGAGCCAAGTCCTGCAGAGCCATAAGGACACGTCTTACTTACACACAAAACACAAACACTACCCCATCATTTAAGTATCACCCAGATCTGTTCCTTGAACACCACACAAAGTCTCATTGTCCAGACAGAAATATTGTTTCAGGAATTAGGATGTCCTTGGAAAGAATTGATATGGCTTGCTAAAATACCACAGTGGGACTAAGTAACAGCTAGCCTGTAGTTACAGCTTCTGCTATTGGGGGTCCCATTGGTCACCCCCTGCCCCTGCATGGCTTTTGTCATCTGCTAAAAAGCTGCTTGCTTTCTAAGGAGTTTGCTGATCATTGTTGCAGTTTATTGAAATCTAATGGTTGTTTTCTCTCTGTGTTGTTGGAAAAGCTTTGATCAACATTGTAGGTGGATAGTTCAGACCCAATGTTCAGGCTCAGGTTGCTAGGATTTTGTTGGCATATATACCACAGGTGCTGGAAGTTGCCTGTTATATTTCCAGCTGGAAAAAAATCTTTCCCTAACTTTTGCAGTCTTTTTGTCTGCTCTCATCCCTCAAATGCTACAGACCACACCTAGAGACCAGGTCACCAGTGCAGTAACTGGAGTTGTGTGCGGATAACATGGTAATAGAGGAAACAGGCAAGAAGAGGAACAACTACGTTTCTCTTCTTTCATATGGTACTGATGGTGTTGATTAGGCAACACCTAGGGTCCAGGGTAGGAGAGGACAATAGGTAGGATGCTCTCATGTCATTATTAATAAGTTTGTTCGGTTCTTGAGATGGCAGATCCAAGATGGAGAAATTATTAAAGAGCTTACAGAATAACAAGTGCCTCTTCCTGGGAGGTGAGAGCAGCATTGTTGCTTTCTTCTTTCATTGCTGTTAAAAGGGCGGGATATCTGAATTAGGATTCCCCTACACAGATTTTAGATTTAGGTTAACTATGCAGTGGAAGACTAAAACTTACTCTGTTTAGCACCACTAATTTTGATAGGACTCAGTTGATGCTAGGGATCATAGAATTGTAGAGTTGGAAGGGGCCACAAGTGTCATCTAGTCCAACCCTCTGCAGTGTAGGAATCTTTTGCTCAATGTGGGACTCAGTGGTTATGCTAGAGGATTCTGTCTGAAATGGAAACGGGAGCGGAAGTTGCCACAGCCTTCCTATTCGTCATAGGTCAGGAATAGAAACCACACAAGAGAAGATGGGCAGTATTCACTGTTGTCATTTTCCCCCTTTTAATCTGTAAATGTTACAACTAATTGTGTTATTTTCTGCATTGCTTTTGATGTTTCCCTTCTATTGAAATGTATTGAAATTATGTCAAATTTGGCCATAGTGGATAGCGAGACAAACAATGTAGGTTTTATAGCAGAAGCTTCTGTAGTGGAACAGAAACAATGCTGATTACAACAAGGACAAGACCAGATGAAAATTGGTGCCTCCTTGCATCCTTAGTTGATGCAAGCCTGTGTACATATAGCATAGAAAAAAAGTAGGAAATGGTTAAGAAAAAGTAGAATCTTCCATCGAGGACCTGAAAGGAGCACATCTCTGAAAATTATGTACATACTGTACATAATCTAAATTTGGATGGAGGTAAATTCCTGCCAACCTAGCAGTTTGAAAGGATGTTAAAGTGCAAGTAGATAAATAGGTACCGCTCCGGCGGGAAGGTAAACAGCATCTCTGTGCACTGCTCTGGTTCGCCACATGACCCGGAAGCTGTATGCCAGCTCCCTCGGCCAGTAAAGCGAGATGAGCGCTGCAACCCCAGAGTCGTTCGTGACTGGACCTAATGGTCAGGGGTCCCTTTACCTTTACCTAGATTCCTAGAACCAAAACAGATGAGACATAGAAGAATATGTGATCAGATTTTCCAATTAAGTTTAACTTAAAAGCAACAAAAAGGCAGGGCCTAATGGGATTATGGAAGCAGAAATGGGAGGGAGAGGGGTTTTCCACCCTCAACCCTTTCTCCCATCAATATTCCCTATTAAGATATTATCCCATAGAAGAAAACATCCAGTGCTTTTTCCTTTACAGTTCTAATAGCAGCTTCAGAAGAGAGAGTGATTTATAGTTGAATCATATCTCATAGTAAATGCATTTTTTAAAAATGTGCATAAACTTGTTTAGTTTTGAAGAAAATGCACATAGGAGGGCCCTTCTCTGGAACATGTTACTGCTCCAGATTAGAGACTGTACAGATTTTCCTAACAGAAATATCTTTCCAGATGCTCCCCCCCTTCCAAATTACTCTTTGCTGGTAAACTGTACTAGGGTGGGGTGGGGGTGTTGAAGCACACTCTGCCCCCAACATTATTTCTGCTCTAATCCAATACAGATGCCTCTCCTGGTCATAGATCTCCTGCATATTGTCTAATTTGGCCCTTAATCCCTGGTAATCTGAAACTATGTTTTGCATTTGATCTTGTTGCATATCTCATGACCTTAGAATTTATTTTAACCCAACATTTAGGCTGCAATCCTAGGCACACTTACCTGGGAGTAAGACCCATTGAATACAGTGGGATTTACTACCCATTATCTATGAATATAAGGACACTTACCCACTTTTTAACACTAGTTTTGTGGTATAATTTAAGGCCATGGAATAAATGGGGATGACTGGCACAGTAAATGCTTTTTTAAAAAATCAAGAGGCATTTTAAGTGTGTTTTTCTGATTTGATGCTCTATCCCTGTTGTGCACTACTTAGAAATGATGGTATTAAGATAATAAAATACATAATTAAATATCAATATAATATTCTTTTATTAAGATACATAACCTGATCCTGCACTTTAAAGTGCACTTCTAAACATATTTGCTAGGGAAGACCCCTTGTGCTCCATTGAACTTCTTGTATGTAAACATGTTTAGGATTACACTGTTAGAATACAATTTACAAGACTCTAGATGGGTTGTTGTTTTTAAGAATAAAAAAAGGCAGAATAGGTGTAATTTTCGTCAGGATTGCAGCATGCAGGCGTAGGGTGTTCAATGAAAATTCCCACTTATTTTAGTGTGAGAGAAGGACCACTAGTGCAGAGGGGTTTTTTGTTGGGATAATGGCTGGTGAGGGAAGATGCTGCAGTCCTGATGCAGATGTTCCTCCCTAATGTGTGCTATTAATTAAAATAAGAAATCAGGGTGGCTGCTGCCTTTAGATCATGGGTAGGCAAACTAAGGCCCGGGGGCCAGATCTGGCCCAATTGTCTTCTAAATCTGGTCCTGGAATCAGCATGTTTTTACATGAGTAGTATGTGTGCTTTTATTTAAAATGCATCTCTGGGTTATTTGTGGGGCATAGGAATTCGTTCATTTTTTCTTTCTTTCCAAAATATAGTCCGGCCGCCCACAAGTTCTGAGGAACAGTGACCAGCCCCCTGCTGAAAAAGTTTGCTGACCCCTGCTTTAGATGCTGTTCTGCTTGCCGGGCTTCACACAGACACCTGGTTGGCCACTGTGAGAACAAGATGCTGGGCTAGATGGGACATTGGCTGATCCAGCAGGCTAATCTTATGCTCTTATGGACAGTCTTACTGTCTATTTTGACCCTTAATCTTTGAATAACCTGTAGCAAAACACAGATTTTAATAGAGCCCAATAGCAGCCTTTGGCAAATGAAATCTTTTATGGGCCCATTTCTCAGCTCTGCTGAGAGAGCAACACTGCTGCCTTAACACACTGCGTTTCCCAAATAAATTATCTTTTCCAACAGCGGAACTACGTGTACATTGAATGTTGTTCTGGGACAGTTAGGTGATTCTGGGGCAGTGGAGGTTTTGTTTGTTATACAGTGGTACCTCGGGTTACATACGCTTCAGGTTACAGACTCCGCTAACCCAGAAATATTACCTCGGGTTAAGGACTTTGCTTCAGGATGAGAACAGAAATTGTTCTCCGGCGGCATGGCAGCAGCGGGAGGCCCCATTAGCTAATGTGGTGCTTCAGGTTAAGAACAGTTTCAGGTTAAGAACGGGCCTCCGGAACGAATTAAGTACTTAACCCGAGGTACCACTGTACGTGGTGTGTGTGGAGACTTTGTTTCTCTCCTACACTAAGACTGCAATTTTAAGAGGAAGACTGGCATGATGGAGGGAACTAGGGGCCTCTTAACTTGCTCTTCTTGTGACATTTTTCCACTGCAAAATGACCACATCCCAGCCACCCTCAGCTGATAAGACAGCTTTTTAAAATCAAATAAATAAACTGAAATTGTTGAATTGTTGCTGACAAATTTGCAGTCTGCATGACAGGCTTCACTAATGGACAGATTTTTGTTATCAGTCAGACTGTTGGCATACGCAGGGTTAGGAATGCATACGTCAGTACAGTATATGTGAAATCAGACTGTTAGGGGAAAAAAGAGAGTTTTGTCTGCAGCAGCAATTTGCATGTTATAATAGGGACACGGATTACAAGACACTGGTGGATTTATGCAGGGCGGCAATCTCGAAAACACATATCTATTATGCACGCTTTACTTCATGGTAAGATGGCCCCTCATTGTGTACTGTATAATGAAATTTAGAAGACACAGATCCTTATTGTTGCTAGATTTTCTGAGGTTCATTCTTCCCCTGATGTATGTACAAACCTTTCATTAATGTTAATGGCAATTATGCACTAAACACGAGAGGAGAAAGAGCTTTCTGTTCCAGGGATGAGAATTGGAGTTTTAAAAGTCATAGCAAAGCTTGCATTTAAGAAGACCACAGCTTTGCAGTTAAGAAGAACATAGCTCTTAATTCTCCTAATAGCAAAATATTTCGTCAGTTTTCCTTCTCTTTTTTTAAAAAAAGCGGACTACAAAATCAGTAAAATGCCATGGATGGTTTCAGTGGCTGGGAGCTAGGTTGTTAAAATATGCTGAAGTTCCTTGGTTCTCGATGGAGAGCGTTGTGGCGGACAGCACAAAAATATGTATATTTAGAAATTTAGTCCATTGCATCCACTGTGGTTCTCCCTGCCTCTCTTAATAGCAAGCATCTCTCCAGGCTTCAGCCACTTGGTCAGCCAGGAGTGTAAACCTTTGATGAAATCTATTGGATGTTTCATTGAAATGCTGTGATTGTGTTAGAAGTGTGTTGCCAGCACAGTGCTTTGAGATAGCAACAGCTGCAGTGTAAAATAGAACGTAAAACAGCATAGTATTGCTGCAGAGACAATAATGAACAAAGCTGACAGTCAAGAGACACGGAACTGCACCTGAAACAGCTATTTATTGCTGATAATTGAACGAAGCCACCTTGCCTTGTGTCTTTTGTAGGTTTAGCTGCCGTAAGAGACTCAGAGCTGCTGTTTTTGCTCTCTCTTCCTCATAAATGCATACGACAACAAACACAACTTCATTACATATCTTGATAATGTCCAAGGTGTGCATTCCACCTCGCCACTCAATGATTTGGGGCAGAGACACTCCAAGCCTCATGGCATTTGCAACATGTTTATTTGTATTGGTTTATTTAACAACATTTCCCTAGTTTATTTAAAACATTTAAAATTCCAAAGTGGTTTACAGCACATAAACACTGATAGAATAAAACAATCAATTCAATTCAAATAAAGACCTGGTCTCAGATATTAAGCAGAGCAAGAGGTGTCTTTAACAATATCATCTGAATAGTTATTATTTCAGTTTCTCTAAATATCAAAAGTCTTAGAGTACAATATTTTTGTACAGTGCCATTGCGTCTGTATGTAGGTTGTATTTGTATTTGTTAACAATGATGAAAACCGTGTGTGTGTGTATTATAGTCAATGCAGGAGCTTCCACAATAGGTGGACAATTCCATGCACAGAGAGTTTCTTATAGTTTCTGGAGTCTATTTTGATATATAACTCACACATTTCTGTATTTTCCTTCCTTTCACCAAACCCCTGCTGTTAGTTATGCTTCCTCAATTCCCAAAAAGCCAATTTCATTTTATTTGCTTTTCCTTGATTTTCAAAAATGGCATATAGATGTCCCCTTGTATTGTTTTGTATATCTTTCCTCTTGTGCTGTTTCCTTCAGTGAAGTCTGTATGGACCCAGGAACAATGCATAACTTGTGCTGTTTGTCTCTTGAACCTTGATGCACATAGATCAAGAATAATTTAAAGTGCAATTGTACTTTGAAAAGTGACTATGTAAAAAGGCCTCTTGCTGTTCAAAGGGCCTTCTCCCAGTGTGCATTCTGATTCATAACTGCTGGTTTAAGTGACAATGATAATTGTTTTCTCATTTCTGTTCTGTTAGCTCTGGAGATTGAATCAAGGAGGCAGCGGCGCTGGGTGTGTGTGTCTCTTTGTGAGCATTACTAAAGGACTGCATTATTCATTTCCATTAGTTTATGTCTGTATGAATCCATGTTCACATTGGGTCAAGATTCGCAATGTCTGAGGCAGGTTTCCCCAGTGAAGTAACTAGATGACATGTGCCCTTTAATCCCTAATGCAATCTGAACACCAACCTTCCTCAAGGGAAAATGTTATTTCCCATGTTGATTGCCAGTTTGTTTCCAGACCCATGGTGTTCACATTGGTGTTTAAAGCCCTAAATAACTTACACTTCAGATATCTGAAATGCTGCATCTATCCCAACCGACCCCCCTCAAGTGTTAAGATAGGCAGAGGGAGGGCACTTGTCATAGTTCCACCACCATCAGAAGTGTGCCCTACTTTACAAGGGATAATTCTCTATTTGAAGGGCCGTCAGTCCTCTGTTTGGAAGACCTCTCTGTTTGAAGGCCTGTCTGGTCCAAGTGTGGTTTAAAGGTAAAGAATCTTAAGAAGGGAGAGCAAGGGGGACCTTAATGTCACTCACCAACAATTAACACCTGAGAGTCAGTGACAAGCAGAACCAATTCTAGTTCTGTCCCCATCCTCCTCTCTGCTGATTTCTACAAGGGCCACCCTGTGACTAAGGAGGAGGACAATATCAGGCAGTGCCGTCCTCCATGGTTGCATTCTGCTTAATATCGGTTGAACATTAGCATTACATAGAGATTTAGGCAAAAGCTGTTTTAATCCTCACGTGTGAAATCACCACAGGAATATTGACTGATTTAGAATGCCACTGTTTCCCCTCTTGATTAGCCAAGGTTACTTATGCCCCAATGTGATTTTATTGCATTTTGTGTGTATGCATTATACAGCTTCATTGTATGCAGTGCATGCTAGTAACATGCAGGTGTTGTTTTGCCTCCTTTGTTTCCCTAAGCGGTGTTTCACATACAGTGTGTGCATTGTGGCTTTTCAGTGCTAAAACCACTGTGTGAAAGAGACGAAAAGCCTTTGCTGCTCAAATCCTCTCCCGCTTTGCGTTGTTTTTGAGGCTCTGAAAAAGGAGATAAGTATTAGATCCTAGAGTGCTCTAGCACCTGATGGCAAGACATGTTGCTCTAATCAGTTAGTCCTTAGCCTAGGTGTGTCAAGAATGGGACCAGGGCAATATTTCCAATCACGACACCATTCAGGTGCTGTATGGAAATCGGAACAGGGTGCCTGGATGCAACTCACAGCTTCATGTTAATTTCAGGGTCATGGCAGAATCCACAGAGACCTGCAAATTATTTCTGTCAAGACTTTTGCAGAAACCAGCTCAGTTGCCCATGTTTCCCACTGCCAAGATGGCTGCAGCACAAAATACCGTATTTTTCGCTCTATAACACGCACCCGACCATAACACGCATGTAGTTTTTAGAGGAGGAAAACAAGAAAAAAAATATTCTAAACGAAACAGTGGATGTATGATTTTTGTGGTTCATGCTGTGGCCACAGACATGTGATCTGACAGTGAGTTTGGAGTAGCCCAATGCAAAAATCCTGAGGATCCATGTGGATCCATGCTTTGTAACCACATTTTTGCAGCACTGCGGCCCCAGGCAACAGTGGGTGCATGATTTTTTTGGTGTAAGATGTAGCCATGGACATGCTATGTGACCTGATGGTGAATTTGGGGTGACCCAGTGCAAAAATCCTGAGGATCCATGTGGATCCGTGCTTTGTAACCACGTTTTAAGTGGGGAGGGAAGGGAAAGCACTCAAGGGACAAGGAGCACGTGTGGGGTGGGTGGAGAAGGATGCTGCTAATAATGAAGAAGAGGGGTATAAGGGGAGAAGGCTCCTCTCCTCTCCCACTTTGCTCCTTTAAAGCAAGCAGACTGCTTTTCTTCCTCCTCCCCACTCAGCGGCTCTTCTCCTGCTTTGCTGTTTCAAAGCGAGCCACGGAGGAGGGAAGGAAGGGATCCTTTGCTCACGACTGCAGCAGATTCCCCCCCTCCCGCCACCTGTAGGCATTCCCTCCATAACACGCACAGACATTTCCCCTTACTTTCTAGGAGGAAAAAAGTGAGTGTTATGGTGCAAAAAATACGGTAATTGATGCCATTTAAGCGAGTGCATTGTTCAAAATAAAAAAGCAAGTCTCCATATAATCAGAAAATAACACTGACTGTGAAGGTTGCTATTTGGATTTGCAAAATGCTGGTCTGTTTCCTCCTTGTGTCCAAAAGGTCTTGCTGCTTCAATATCGGGTGCAATGGTTCAGTTCACACATAGTGTTAAATGAGGGTTTAGCATTACAAAGGAGGAAAGGGGAGCTTGGGAACCTGAGCTTCACTGTGGCTTGTCCACATTACTGGCAAATACAGCCAGTGTGTCTGCAAGGAACACTGAGCAGCTGATCATTGCAGTTGATTGCAACATTGTAGGAGTGTAGGTGATTGCTACATTGTAGGAGCACTACTGAAATTGCTTCCCCTGGAAATGCGAAATACCATTAATATGTGCAGATTTTGTTCAATTTTGTTCAATAAACTAGTATCTATTTCTTAAGCGTTGAAATTAGAACTTGAAATTGGAGGGATATTGTTCTTCAAAATCGACATTAATTACAGCCCCTTCCTAATTTTCCTGAATGCATTATGCTGCTGAATGTCAGTACATACCTCACAACTACTAATATATATTTTCCTGCAGTGAATTATTTTTGTAAGCTATGAAGGTTTGTCATAGGTTATGGGAGGGAAATAGGTTATGTGAGGGAAATGAGAATAGTAAGTGACAAAATGGAGATGGGGACAGGTGTCATGAAAATGATGGGATACATTATTTTTTAATTTATTTGAAAATGTATATTTAAATCTAGATTTTTCAAGATAGGTTACAAAAGAGAGCCATAAAACAAAAATAAAACAGATCAAAACATTAGATATAAAAGCAATTATAGTAACAGTAAAAATACAAAAATACAAACTTTAAAAAAAAATTGTCTAAAACATGGCTCTCTGGGCAACCCAGTCCAATGGGCGGCATATAAATAATAAGATGATTATGATTATTATTATGCAAGCCTACAGAGTGGCAGGGATATGTAGAGAAGGACCTCTGGTGCCAGACGTAACAAACAGGTAGGTTCCTGTGGAAGGAAGTGATCACTTAGGTGCAAGTGTAAGACATTTTTATGCAGCTGGAGATTAAAATCAGTTTGAATTGCACTCAGAAATGAACAGGAAGCAACTGCAAGATATGATCTGACTGACCAGGTCAGCAACCTTGTTGCTGAAATTGTTTTCAGAGACGGAGCCACATATAACGTACGACAGTAGTCTAATCTGGGTGTTGATGCCAGGATATGGATAACAGCAGTTAGACTACATCTGTCTAGAAGAGGCTGTAGCACGTTCCTGGAGTGAGCATGTACAGATGGCACCATCTCTCACAAACACATAGTTATAGCCCAGACACAGCAAGGATTAGATGAAAAGAAGCATTGGTCAGAAAAGAAACTCTCAAGTAGAGAAAATTGACTTGGTTTGCATTTTAATAAGTAAGTAACTAATTTTAACTTCTCAAATCAATGCAAGAATCAAAGCACAGCTTTCTTTTTAAATTTACACTTCTGTGAATTTTGCAGTGGCAGCCTCCTGTCAACTATGTGCATAAAGATAATATCTATAGGGAAAGTGTGCGCAGAAATGCATAAACTGAAAATAAAATACAAAAATGTGTTATGTTAGGGAAAATTACTTTGCATAAATGTGTAAATCAGTCGAAACTGCATACAAGAATATGTTTATTAAGAGTAATCTTTATATTTTCCATTCAAACTAGCATGTTAGGAAGAAGATTTTAGGCAAATGAGTTATACTTCGTAGAATAAATTGTCTTGGAATCTCTGACTAAAAAGGAAAATGCAAGATGAAATGATTATATTGATCAGAAAATAAAGCAATTGCATGTTTGGAAGATTGATTTAATATCTCTTTCTATCTCTTTTTGCAATCTCTCTCTTTCATTGGTACTAAAAATTGTAACATAGATAAGTTTTTTCCTTGATTTTTTCCAATGTGCTTTTCAGACATGAAGGATTAACCAAGACTTGGTCCTGTAATGTTAACAGTAGAACAGGCACTGCCTACTTCGTAGCATAACCCTTTAGAAAAATTACAGACACAAACTGAATCCTGTGTTGTTGTTTTTATCTTTTTTTTGTAGAAAAAAAGAATTCTAAAAGGCTCAATTGAACTATCGAAGATTAAGTGTGTAGAAATTGTGAAAAGTGATATAACAATTCCATGTCACTATAAATACCCTTTCCAGGTAAGTGAAAGTTTGTGACTCTGGGCCAGCTGTCCTATCAGGCAGAGTGTTGAAGCCACATCAGGCATGAAAGGGTAGCAAGTATTTAGATACTTAATTCATTTTTGCTTCCAGAGAGAAGCAAAAGAGCTGGTGTTTTCTACTTTAGATGACAAATAGCTTTACTTGCCTTAAATTGCCTTTCACCTTGACTTTGCCTGGGGTGGGGGGTGGGGCGATTGGCTAAGCCTCAGGAAGCAAGGTGTCTTCTTGGTCCAGCCCTCTCAGTTCCATAACCTAAGCTGGGCTAAATCAATCAGTTTGACAAGTACCAGAGTCAGAGAGACTTTTCTGTAGCAGGCTAACAGTGCCCAGACTGTGGAGCTTCTTCCCTGAGGGGATATGTTAAGCCTCAATGTTTCACTTTTAAACGTATCTGGAAAATGTTTATTTTCCTATTTCTTAACTGCACAAGAACGAATTTGGGTATCTGGAGGGAAATTCAGCATTAGGAAAAACTCAGCTGGCTTTCCTCTTCTAAAAGACAATTCCTAACCCTTTCGGCAGCAGTTAGCTTTGGAACTACATGCAGATTAGAGTAACATGGGTGATTTATTTGAGTCATGCAACTGGAGATAATTTGGCAAATAATTGAATTATTTATTTCTGCTACAGATATATAGATAGATGATAGATAGACAGATAGATAGATATCCATGCCATATTTTGACTTTTAAAGAGTACTTATGTCAGAAGTAGGTTATTTTCCTATTTGGCCTGGAATTTATTCTATGCACCTTTTTTTCATGTTGTAGATTTTTCATGACAACTATCTGCTGTACGTCTTTGCTCCCAGCCAAGCGAGCTGTCAGAAATGGGTGCTGGCTCTGAAAGAAGGTAACTGATCACAGTGTAATCTCTCAGGTCAATAAATATTCCAAGAGCAGGATCAAAACACTAGAGTTGTAGCATAAACTTTAATGACTCAGAGCCCACTTCAACCACTTTCACATATGCTGCCTATTTCATGTCTACTATTGAGTTCCTTTTGAGTGCAATTGCCCCATTGAGTTCCATGGGATTTACTCCCCAGTAAAGTATGAGCATAACTGCTGCCTGAAATGCTTATAAGCCTCTCTCCTGCTGTCCGCATACATATATAAAAGACAGAAATGCTGCTTTAAATACCTTTGTATAATATTTTTTTGATTGATTGATTGATTGATTGATTGATGGGCATGCAGGAAGGCAATTACTGCTTCAGCTCGTATGCTGTCTTTGTGTCACTTTTGAGCTGAATTGTGAGTTGCTGGCACTCTGGACTGAACCATTTCAGACTGCAAATGAGGGGTCATATCTTTTTGTTTGTTTCCCAGTGTGGGCAAAAGCACCGAAGCTTCCTTCACATAGTAAATACGTAAACACAACAGCAAGAATGTTTTAGCATTCCCCCATATGCTTGGGACTATCACTGAAATGGTATAAAAATGCCTATAGTAAAGAATCTTCTGTCCATGCTAGGGACTTTTGACATAGGGAAACTGATTATTATTATTTTGAAAAATGCAACAACCACGATCCCCACATCGGTAATTTAAAGTAGTGCAGTCTGGAATCTATTGCTTCACTCCATGTAACAGAACTGTTACATATTCAGTAATCCAGCTGTATTTCTTTTGGAAATTTGGCCTAGCCAAAGAAGAGAAATTATTGTATCTCCTGGCTGGCCACTTCCAATTGTAGCCCACAATGATGGGATTGACCAGATGTGCCCCTCTGCGTGTGGAATGTAATTTTCAGCTACACTGAGCCTTCTGTCACACCTTCTCCTTCCCAGTCACTGGCAGTTTAAATGGGAGGTACTGTATCATCATTTTTCATCAGAACGCCACGTAACGATAAAGATTGTTAGCCATTGTCAAGATGGATAGGCTGGGGAAATTTGACACAATCTTAATTTTTCCATCCAACTTTTTCCAGAAACTAGGAACAACAACAATTTGGTGGCAAAGTTTCACCCAAATTTCTGGATAGATGGGAGATGGAGATGCTGCGCTCAGGGAGAAAAACTGGCAACAGGCTGTGTGGAGTATGTTCCAGCCAATACTGGTATGTAATTCATTCCAAGTGTCCTCATCCCTCCTGAATCAGTACTGAATTGATGATTTACCCTGATGTATGATGCTCTAATTTAGATGAGATATCAAGCAAGGACCTGGTCACCTTTGACAGTTGATATCCCATGCCATGTTTAGTGCTCCCTTGTGTTTAATTAAGTCTTCGCTCACACACATAAAGCTTATTGCAAGCTGACTGTGTTCTGTGTTCTCACTCGAGTGATCTATTCATGCTATTGTTTGAATCCCTGGCGTAGATTTACTGGTTGTCCTTGGAACGAGAGGTCCACAGCCTCAGTGTTGCCCATCTGCAAAATGGCTACATGTTATATGGAATATCTTCTAAATCCTTTGTTCTTTAATAATTAGTCGCATGGTTGTATGCTACGTATAGTATGCAGCTGGCTTTGGTTGCTTGAGTTCTCTGCTCGCAGTTTTATTTATTGCTTTGACGCAAGGGTGGGGTTTCCCCCCTTCATTTTGATGGCTTTAGAACCTCAGGCCCTGGGGCCAAATACAGCCCTTACACCTATTTGTCTGGCCCTCAGGACTTCCCCCGAGGCCACCCCACTCACTGGCCCTGCTCTACACCCTCCTTTAGCCGGGTTGGAATGACTTCTTGAACTGTGATATCTCTCATTTGCATGGATGGAAAGATGGGTAGGAGTGTGTAGAAACCTCTGATGTGTGTGGCTGCTGGAATGCAGCCTTTGTACAAAAGGAAGAGTCATAGAACTCTAGATTTGGAAGGGACCACAAAGGTCATCTAGTCCAACCCCCTGCAATGCAGGAATGTTTTGCCCAATGTGGGGCTTGAACCCACAACCCTGAGATTAAGATACTGATTTGTCCTGCCCACTTTTCCCTCTAGCCCTTCTGGAGGGTTGCCCATGAGGAAAAGCAACCCCTGGGCTGAAAAAAACATTCCCCTCCTTTGTGTTAGACAGATCAGTAATTACCCTGGTATTAACCAGTGTCAGGATATTTGTAAGCATGTGGAATAGCCGTGTCTCTGAAGTATACAGAGCATTTTCCATAGGGATTACTCCACCCTCTCTTTGCTGGATCCACCGTACATCACAGCTCCTGTTCCTGTACCGCTAAATTCCCTGCTGCATAAAGCTCTGCCTAGTTACTGCTGGGCTTTCCAATGGGAAGCAACAAGCTCCATCCCTTGGCGTTGATACCGAATCGGATCTGGTAGAGCCAAGAAGTGAGGCCAGGAAGTGTTAAGGCTTAACACTTCTTGCCCTCACTTGTTATCCAAGGGCCTTCTGGCGGTTCCCTCATTGTGAGGTGAGGTTACGGGGAATCAGGCAGATGGCCTTCTTGGTAGTGGTGCCCGCCCTGTGGAACGCCTTCCCATCAGATGTCAAGGAAATAAACAACTATCTGGCTTTTAGAAGACATCTGAAAGCAACCCTGTTTAGGGAAGTTTTTAATGTTTGATGTTTTATCATGTTTTTAATATTCTGTTGGGAGCCGCCCAGAGTGGCTGGGAAAACCCAGCCAGATGGGCCGGGTATAAATAATAGTAATTATTTGTTATTATTATTATTATTATTATTATTATTATTATTATTATTATTATCAATGTTCACCCAGCTGCAGTATTTTTATCTTCCAGGTGTTGGCAACCTTAGTAAGTGGACAATGTGCTTCATACAGCAATGCTCATGTTTAACGTAGCTTCATAACAGCACTGTATAAATGTGTGACTACCATTGTGGGGAATGGAAACTTGGTCCAAAAGTGGGAAGAATAGTGAATGCCATTAAAATTTATAGTTTTGGGAGTGGTTAATATGAATCTCAGAGACAGAACTTGCAGGTCTGCTTTGGGCCGGTTCAAATGAAGGTTTGCTATAATATGATTGTAAGAAAGTACTACTTCACATCTGGTTGCCTGAAGCCTCTGGCCGTGTGGTTAATTAACCATTATTCCGTGCCCGTGCCCAGTCTCTGAGCCACTGCAAACTGTGGTGAGAGTTGCTTCATTGCAGGAACAGAAACTGCAGAGCAACCAACACTCCGTGTGAAAACAGAGCCACCCTGTGGCTGTTTGAATTTGCCCAGATTTGTAGGATTATGATAGTTCTTTCCACTTTCAGAGGAGGTTTGAAAAAGGGCAACCACCCCCTGTGAGGAAAGGTTGCAGTGTTTGTGGCTCTTTTGCTTAGAGAGAAGGCAAGTAAAAGGCAGCAGGGTGGAAGTTTATAAAATTGTACATGGTACAGAGAAAGTGGATAGATCAAAGTTTTTCATCCTCTCTCATAACACTAGGAATGGACATCCAAAGAAGTTGAATGTTAAAAGACAGGACAGATAAAAGAAACTAATGCTTTACACATTGCTTAGCTAAACTATGGAGCTCGCTCCCACAGGAGGCAGGGATGGCCACCAACTTGGATGGCTTTTAAAGAGGGTTAAATTCATGGAGAACAAGGTTATTGGCAGCTACTAGCCTCTTTGGCTATGTTCTGCCTCCACAGTCAGAGGCATTATACCTCTGAATACCAGTTTCTGGGAACTGCAGGTGAGTAGAGTGCTGTTGGGCATCCCATAGGCATCTGGTTGGTCAATGTAAGAGCAGGATGTTGGACAAGATGGGCCTTTGGCCTGATCCAGCAGGCTTGTCTTTTGTTCTTTATGCTTTGTTCTAAGCATGAATCATATTGTTGGTAAGCGTTTCTTTTTCTTTTTCTAGTCTCCAAGAAACCTCTTCCCCCAACTCCAGAGGATAACTGGGTGAGCGTAAAGAAATGGCATAGGCATAGAGATGAAGTGCAACGTTGTTAAAATTCAAATACGTTCAGATATTTCTATAATATTTGCATGTATCCAAAGGCCGTCTCCCGCGGCCAGTAAAGCGAGATGAGTGCTGCAACCCCAGAGTCGGTGGCAACTGGACCTAATGGTCAGGGGTCCCTTTACCTTTACCTTTAAAGGAGCACCTATATAGCTATCTATCTATCTATCTATCTATCTATCTATCTATCTATCTATCATCTATCTATCTATCTATCTATCTATATCTATCTATCTATACTTTTCCGTCTATAAGACGCCCCCATGTATAAGGACCCACCCTATTTTTGGGACGCGGGTGGCGCTGTGGGTAAAACCTCAGTGCCTAGGACTTGCCGATCGTATGGTCGGCGGTTCAAATCCCCGCGGCGGGGTGAGCTCCCGTCGTTCGGTCCCAGCTCCTGCCCACCTAGCAGTTCGAAAGCACGTCAAAGCGCAAGTAGATAAATAGGTACCGCTTTATAGCGGGAAGGTAAACGGCGTTTCCGTGTGCTGTGTTGGTGCTGGCTCGCCAGAGCAGCTTCGTCACGCTGGCCGAGTGACCCGGACGTGTCTCTGGACAGCGCTGGCCCCCGGCCTCTTAAGCGAGATGGGCGCGCAACCCTAGAGTCGGACACGACTGGCCCGTACGGGCAGGGGTACCTTTTTTTATTTTTGGGTACTCGGTTTTAAGAAAATGAGGGGAAATGGCCCAAAGTTGTTGAGCTTCTCCCCCCACGCAGCTGTGGGCAGGAAACACTCCCTAGATGGTTTACAGCTCGCTGCAGCATCGAGGAAAGTTGCGCTCCCGCCAACCGGCTGGCTGGCAAGTGCGCTGCTTCTCCCCACCCCCATGCTACTACCCATGTATTGGACGACCCCAGTTTTTTGACACGATTTTTTAGTCAAAAAAACTTGTCTAATACATGGAAAAATTCGGTATGCACTTGTCTCATAATCATTTTAAAATAGTAATTTTGGTTGTGTCTTTGGGAAAATATAGTAAGGGTCCTGAATATATATATATATCTTCTTCTCATCTATAGCTTTGAAGTGCAGTATTTCATAGTTTGGGATTTATGTACTGTATGCAATACTTTCAAATCTACAAATCATGCATATGTTCAGAAGATTTTTGTGTGTCTCCAGTGCATGCATGATGTAATGTGAGTCGCAGGTGTTTTAATATACTTATTATTTTCATATGCTTAATCTGGGCAATCTTTCCATCCTAAAATGGGAACGGAAAGATTTTGAGTATCTGACACATTGACTGGGTTCACACATGAAGTCCAACTTTGGTTCAGCTGTCCCCAGACTAACCACCAGCTGTAACCAAGGTTTGCCCTACAGTTTACAGCTTGTGCTTCGCCTGAGAGAGCTAAATCGTGAGTCTTATGTCAGTGTAGTGCAGCAGCAAAACGACAGGGGAGGAGTGAAGTGGCCACAGTCTTTTCTTCCAGAGCCCACACATGCAAGTGGGTATTTCTTGTAGTTAATTTTGCATATTTAATATGGCTCATTCGAGGTTTTTTTTGTTATTTCTGTACAGAGATTAGTTGCAGAGTCCAAGGAATTTCCAGTAATAGCCATTTATGACTACAGTGCACAGAATCCTCAGGAGCTGGAATTACGGTGCAATGAAGAATACCATGTTATTGATAACTCTGAGGTCCACTGGTGGTTGGTTCAGGATAGAAATGGGTAGGTAGGCCATTTGCTTGGAGTTTCCCTTCTATTTTTAATTGCAGACACAGAATTAATAGCCACACAGCTTTCTCAGACTGTACTGCTTCCTGCTCAGATTGATGGTTACTGGACTCCATCTATAAATATAGTTTGGAAGCTTATCCTCTGTTACCAGTAATAGCCCTTTCTAGAGGATAGTTTAAAAGGCATTGTGCTATTATAAACCATTTTAATTCATGTATACTTTGGGTGGAAGATGCCTGGGTTTCTAGTGTACTAATATTAGAGCATTCTGTTTTTAACAGGCACGAAGGATATGTACCAAGCAGCTATGTGGTAGAAAAATCACCAGAAAATCTGCAAATATATGAGTAAGATTGTTTTTCCTCTTTAGCTACAACATTGGCATGGATCCCAGCTAGCCACAAATGGAAGAGTTCATTCCATTTGCAGAGGGAACTGGGATCTAGCATAGTAGAAGGTACCCTGGGGTACAGGGACTTCTCAACAATCTCTTCTTTCCCTGCACTGTGTCTCAGCCTCCAGAGGTTCCCCAAAGCCCCTAAAGCATATTTTTAAGGGTACAGGGGAAAGGTGAAATACATGAAAGACTATTGACTTCTTTCTGCTGATGTGAGCGTTTTGCTGCTGATGGGACACTCCTGCCAGCAAACACTTAAATAGATCTAAGGCTAAGCGATTATTACTACCAAGGGAGTGAGAATTCAGTTGAGTAGATTTTTTTAAAAAAACAACCTTCCAAATGAAGGTGTAAATTTGTTTCAGGTTTGGGAGGGTTAAACTGATAGACAGGATTGTGGAACTAGTGAAGGGGGATATTATCTGTTCAAGGGGCAGAAAGCTATTTCAAGGAATATTTAGTCTGCTGAATTGTGGAGAGTAACTTTCCTTTTCCTTTACCAGACGTGGCCATAGCCATGCAGTTTTTGCATGTGCTGAACATTCAGAATCTGCTTAATTTGTAATGATGAATGAATTCTGATTTCCTTAGTATGTTCTTCACAAATTAACATGGATGATAGTTCATGTGCCATTTCATGTGCAGGATAAAAACAAGAAAGTAACCCAAATAACTCCAAAGCCAAGGAGTTTACAGCTAAAGCTGTACAGCCTAACCTCACATCCTGGGACTCTTTGATCATTGCAGGTGGTACAACAAGAGTATCAGCAGAAGCAAGGCAGAAGCCCTGCTCAAGGAAGAGGTAAAGTGAATTCCCTATGGTGATGGTCTTTTATTTTTCTTGGATATGTATTTTTTATGCTTTGGTTACTTTGAACATGTTGCAAAAGAGACATCTTGGGGAAATGCAACGACACTCTTAGTAGCACCATGTGCTCCTGATGTTCAACATGAGCTACAAGATCAGGGCTTTTACAATGGTGGCATCTGTGCCACACTGAAATGTGCTTCCAGTGAACATCAGGCAAAAACCTACAGGGATTTTAAGTTGCCTTATAAGATTTGGTCTGTCCACTCAGGCTTTCTCTTAGGAGTAATCTAGCTATGCTTATATAGTAATTTGATCTAGTAATTTGCAATGTATTTTGTACATGTTTAAGTAATGTAATTTTATTGGGGGGAGGGTTCGGTTGTCACAATGCTACAATATTCTTTCCCCCCCTTATTGCTAGTGCTACAGATATTATTTTAATTAATTTAAAATAATGATTTTTAAAGTCACTATCCAATCCTCTGTCACCTGAATTGCCTGATTATATAATTTGCTGGGTTGTAAGTAGTAATCCTTCCACCACCAGTTCCAGGCAGGTGTCTCTCCCATCCTTACCTAGTTGAACCTGGACCTTATGCTCTACCACTGAGCTGCAGCCTTCCTGTAAAAAGCAGGATGAAATATAATACAGTATGCTAACCAAGTGTCTTTGAGGATTGGCTCGCTCTTTTCTCATATTTGTACCACCTGTGTTTGTTCTTTTTAAAAGAAGCCCAACTTCCTGCCTTAGCACCAACACCATTATACTTTGTTCTAGGTCAGGCGGAGTTGTGGATTTGGGGATTGGTGATATGGCTTCAGCCACTTAGTTTAGGGATTTTGAAGCCTCTGTTGCATCACTGTTCATCGGCTCTGATTTTCTGACTTTCTCCATCTCCTCCTTTTCAGGGTAAGGAAGGAGCCTTCATGGTGAGAGATTCAAGGCAACCTGGCACATACACAGTCTCAGTTTTCACAAAGGCTTTGAGGCAAGTCAAATCCCAGTGGATGTTTGCCGTGGTTCTGTTATTTGGGTTTTTGTTTCAGATCTTCAGATGAAGGGCAGTAAATAAATTTAATTAATATAACAATAACGATTATAATTTTATTATTTATACACTGTCCATCTGGCAATAATAATATTGAATCGTTTAAAAAGGTATCAAACATATCTGTCCCCAGACTTTCCAAAGTGTGACCTTCTAAAGGTGCTCTTTCTAATTACTGTTTAAAGAGAAACAATGGAAGGGTTTCTTTTCACTACCTTTTCAAAAAGTAGAGGCTCCAAGAGTCAAATAAGTGTTTGTTTGTTGTGTGTGTCTGTGTGTGTCTGTGTGTGTCTGCATCTGTGTCTGTGTTTTCCACGTCATATCTACAGTATGTGCCCAAAGTTTCATTGATGCTTGGTAATTGTAGTTTGTTTTTTAACTGCTTCTATACTGTTTTGAAAGGAACCTTATTTGTTTGTTTTGTCTATTTAAGCAACGAGAACAACCCTGTTATAAAACATTATCACATCAAGGAGACAAGCGACATCCCCAGGAGATACTACTTGGCAGAGAAGCATGTTTTTGATTGTATCCCGGAACTGATCACCTATCACCAGCATAATGCAGGAGGTATGTCCAGGCAAGAACAGGTGAAACAGCTTTGAAATGATCCAAAGATGTTAGGATTTTTTTATATATATATATATATATATATATATATATATATGTATATATGTATATTTTAAGTTGCTCTGGAAATCAAAGTTCAGTTCAGCTGCTGTTAAACATGAGTGGTTGTTTTGCAGATGCAGAAGTGCCTCTTGGTGTCAGCAGTGGATTGCTCTGTTAATTAAACTTAGTTCCCATAACTTAATTCACACAAATTTCAATGGGAAATAAGTTCAACTAACTTATCCAGCCCTGTGTAAATTACCTGTGTTTCTGATTATCTGAATGATTGTAAGTTATACATTGTCTCTTATATTTGTCACTCTGGGCCCAAACTTTATACTGACAGAGCTTCATAGAACTTCCTTGGGATATAACTTCTCTATGAATCATAGTCATAGACATATTCAAACATATTATGTGAAATGTGGCTGTCATCTATCTCCTTAGTCTACGTTAACTCTTGGCTCCATGGCCCATCTCTTTTCCACCCCTTCCAACAATCAGCAGTCAGTGTCACCTTTTCCTCCAATTCATGTATATATATTTCCCATCATGCAGGTCTTGTGACTCGTTTGAGGTATGCTGTTTGCTCTTGGAGAGAAAAGGCTCCTGTTACTGCTGGCCTAAGTTATGGTGAGGAGACTGCATTGATTTGATTGTGCTTTTATTCTTTAGTTATATTCATTTGGCATAATGGTTTCACTTGTCTAAATGACATGTGCTATGACTCTATAGAAGTTAATGTTGCATCCATTTTCACTGAGAACAGGCTCACATCAATGAATGGATCAAGTAGAAACGTACTTTTAGCAAAAACAACAGAACCTCATAGTATCTTAAATACTAAGGGTGAACTTCAATGGAACGCTTAGGAGATTGTTCCATCAGTGAAAACATTTCTGCTTGTCCAGTAGAACAATTTCCCCTTTCCTCCATCTGTATTCTGTTTTGGGGTTTCCCCGAATGCCCCCCAAGCAGATTTGGGGAGTGCATGGGGGCAACGGGGGGGGGGGGCATTTAAAACAAAATGTGTATGATGGTGCAGTCTAATGGAAAACTGATGAATTACTATAAGAATCTAACCACGTTCCATTATTATCAAGATTAAATTGTCAAAATTTGAATGAAACTTCTCAAACCCTTAAAATCTATTATCATAGCTGGGGGTATTGTAAAAGGCCTAGTACTGCTGCACTCCTTTTCTTTCATAAAGCACTACACAGGCTTGAAAGTGTTGTTCTGCTGCCTTATCCTAGGAAAATGGATGATTAATCCTCAGGAACTGACATTTGACCAGGAGATTGGCCTTGGCCAGTTTGGAGTGGTTCATCTTGGTTACTGGCTGGGCCGGATGAAAGTGGCCATAAAAACCATTCGCACAGGAGCCATGTCAGAAGAAGACTTCATTGAGGAGGCCCAAGTCATGATGTAAGCAATCCTGCCAAGGTCCAATACCAGTCAAGGTCCATTACATTGTGTCAAGCCTTTAGAATGATGTCAGGTGAACCCAATGTTGTGTAAAACAGAGACACCATTTCCTGTTATGAATCGAATGGCAACATGACTTTTTATCTCTTAGTGCAACCTTCACTAATGTCCAGTTTGGGACAATCTCTATAACCAGAATTAAAATGTACTGAATGTTGTGCTTCAAATACAGGCTGAAAAGTTGTGGGACATATGAGTGCTTTGTAAGGTTCTCTTTGTCCCTGTACTTTGGTGGAATTGGTCTTTACTGGAACAATAAGAGCTAACCCCTGAATTTCATTTTTTATCTATGTGCAGACATATGCACAAATAAATATTAATGAAGTCATGATGATTGGAGGCTACTTAGTGCAGTCCTATATATCTACTCAGAAATTTGATGGGAGTTATTTCCAGTCCCAGCTAAGGATATAATTTCAGCCTGAGTTTCTGGTTGATGATGGATCTTTATGTTGTCCTTTTAAACACTGGGCAGTTCTAGAGGGATAAGGAATATAAAGCCGGCATACAGCAGGCTATTTTTACTGCAGTCTTTGCTTGGCTCAGCAATTCTTCTTTTTACGATTCTATGAATTTTTGCTTTTGTTTTGAGATAATATTTCTCTAGACACCACGACAAACATGAAAAATGTGGCATCAATTATTTTAAAGCATGAAGAAAATATTTTCGATTTTAAAAAGCAGTAATTTGAATCAATATAAAGATGGGGTAAAATGCTGTTTCCACTGGGACTTTTGATGCTGCACAATCTCTCCTAAGGATGAAGTTGGAAATGAAAGATTGACTTTGATGTCACTGGTGCTATATTCAAAGGAAAGACATAAGTTTCGCTTTTTATAGCTCCTTCAATAAAAATCCCTATTGTATTAATATCTGATGCTTATTTTCATAAAGACACAAAGCAAGCTCAGGTTGTTGGGGAAACTTCATGAGCATTTATTATACACATTCTGAAGTATTTAAATGCATTGCGTATGTGAAGAGTATTTAAACTACATTCAGCAAGGCTGTTGCTTGAACAGAAAATAGGGGAAATGTCAATTACATTTTGTTTATTTGTGCAAGCAGTGCAGAATCCATCTTACTTTTCAAGAGATTCATACAATGATGAGAGAAATATAACATGAAATTTTCCAGGACCCACGATTTGTGTGTATACCATTCCTGGGTCTGGTTTTCTTCTTTCACATTGATTTTCTTGCTCTTTTCTTAAATTTCCGGTTGAATATGCCCATATATCAGCTTCTGCAAAGGACTTCACATGACTACACTGATTTCTCCTCCTATGTCAACAGGAAGCTCTCCCACCCCAAATTAGTCCAGCTGCATGGGGTATGCATGCAACAAGCTCCTATGTGCCTAGTGTTTGAATTCATGGAGCATGGATGTTTGGCTGATTATCTAAAGAGGCAGCGAGGGAATTTCTCAAAGGAAGAGCTCCTTGGAATGTGCCAAGATGTGTGTGAAGGAATGGCTTATCTGGAACAAGCGTCTGTCATCCACAGAGACTTGGTATGTCTGGGTCATGTCCGTCTGTACCTCTTGTAAAGAAATTAGCAGCTCTTAAATTAAGAAGGAAATGAAATTATCACCACTTACAAACCATAATTTAAATAATTAGGACTGTAACAAATATGATTCCATTTCAGTATGTGAGCCAAAAATAGCGGTTGTGGGGCCATTATAGTTATTTCCTAAAAAATCCTTTTATTGTCAGAATATTTACTCTTTTAGGCGACCCACCCCCTCATCTTCAAATGCTATTGTTTCCCTACCTGCTGAGGCTCTGGTGCCATTGTCCTTGTCAAGTTTTTCCACAGACTGGCCAGTGACATGGGCGATCCCAGCCAACTGGAAATCGCATGCTAAATGGGATGATATCACATAACTATGTAGCCAATTTTTTTTTTGCTACATGAAGATATTAGTGAGGGAACACAGTCTGCTGAGAATGAGGGCAGATCTACATGGATCAAACATATTCATGAACCCAGCCAATCAGATTTGACCACATGATTATGTCGTTGAGTGAAGAAGACAGACTAATCTGATTAAAAGAGGAGGAGCAAGTCTGAGATATGTAATTGAATATGCAAATGTTTTCACAACCTCTGTGGAAAAATGTTCAAAAGTGTTGGATGTACTTTTCAACACAGCTAAAATTGCTCTTGAGAAATAATGGGTTGTTTCAGTTCAGCCCTACTAATACTCTCTTTTTCTCCATTCTACACAGGCTGCTCGGAATTGCTTGGTAGGAGAATTCCAAGTTGTCAAAGTGTCAGATTTTGGAATGTCACGGTAATTTGAACCTTGTATGCATACTGGATGAGTAGAATTCCACTAAAGTTTCCCCCTCCTTTTGAAATGTGTCCAGCAGCTACTTCATTGTTGTGGCAAAATATACATTTAGTCTGGAGCTGTCCTGTTCTTGCTGAAACTTCCTCTAGCTGTTCCCTCCTTTAACAATGTTTTTTTTAAAAAATGTGAACTTAAAGTGCTGGAGGCACCATTTCTCATGATTTCCACACTTAATTTCTTTTGCCCCACTGTCATTTCCAATCAAACAGTTTGAGCCATTGTGAAAACCTATAAAAACTAAGAACAAAGAAAATAATGAGATGCCTCTATCATAACCACATTCAACCCTCTGGAAAAGAAATCCCATCAACTGTTAAACCACTGTCATCACCTGCTGTTTTCCAGGCATCATTTCACCAGTTGCTAGCCGGATATGTTCTGTAGTTAACAGCGCTGTTGAAATGGTTGCAGTATCTGATAATATGGAACCAGAGGCAGTGAACCATTTGGTTTAGCTTCCCGTCTGGACCAGGACATATTATCCTCTTACACCAGTAATCATGTATTATAAGGAGGATGTTATGTTAGCATAGTGCACAGTATTTATTATTATTAGTAATTCAATTTATATACCACCATCACAAGATCTTAGGGTGGTTCACAGAATAAAATGCAAACACAAGTAAACAACTCAAACTAAAACAATAACTCCCCCCCACCCCAATACTCACCCCACAATATTGTATGAGATCCTGAGAACTGATTCTTACGCTTGCAATGTATGCATTCTGCCATGGAGCTGCAGCCTTTCCCTGTGTACAATGGTGTTTGTGTAATGTGGACCCTGGAATCATTCAAATGGGTTGTGGCCTTAAACACGTTGCTCTGTTTTAGATACGTCCTTGATGATCAGTATACCAGCTCCATGGGCACCAAATTCCCCATCAAATGGTCAGCACCAGAGGTTTTCTCCTATAGTCGGTATAGTACCAGATCTGATGTATGGTCATTCGGTAAGAGCCTTTAATCTCAAAATTCCCATTCACTTAATTACTTCAAGTTCTTCTTCTTGAAAAGACCTTCCATTGTTAATCCTTTCTAGATAAGAAGTTCCAGCCTCGTCCTCATATCCCTTTTGTGTAAAAAGGCTTACATTATTATTATTTAAATGTAATATGTTTTAAACCATATTTGGCTTAACATTTCCTATAGATGGGGAGGGGGGGATTGCAGGCGCCAGCATGGTCTGTGACTTATTATTAATTTGCATAGCATGGTTTGCATAAGAGGATTCTTCTGTCAAGTCATGGCATCGTGTTTCTGCGAGCCTTTCCGCTTTGCTACCCCTCAATCTTTTCACATTCTCCACTCGGTCATTAAACCATCCTACTGTGACCTGGATCAAAACACCCTGAGGAATGACAACTAGCTTTACCTATGAGTGAGCACTTCAACTAAGAGTTTCGTAATTTTGCTTATTCACCAATAAAGGATCCTGGAAGGGCATCCCCTAGATTTATAAATGTTTCAAAGCGCTTGTATCATGAAGATGCTTCTTGAGAGCTGGCATTACTTAGCTGATATGAATACGGAATTCCGCTAGAGACAGGGTAGCTCTGTGCTTTTTGCATACAGTTGTCAACTGCAATTAAGAAAATATCCTTTCCATTTTGCTTCTTTATTTTGAATTCACAGTTAGTGTTTTGGGTGGTTTGTTTCTAGTCATGCAGAACAGCAACACTTGTTTGAAGTGAGTTTCACAGTTTCGATTTAACCGTGTTTTGATTCAGCAGTTGTGTTTGATTAATTAATTTTGACCCTTTTGAAAAGCAAGTTGGCAGACAGATCATAACTCCAGTGAAGAAGTTGCATTGTCTGCAACAAAGAAAATTTTAATAATTTACATGAGATCATTGGGGAGAATCAGTGGTAAAGTCCAGAGAGCCAGTGTGGTGTAGTAGTTAGAATGTCAGGATTCTTCTTCTTTGGCGATCACTTGCAGCCATGTAAGATTGTCTTCCATAAACACGGTCTTAACAGTGAGTCTGTAAGTGACTGTGGAGGCCAATTCTGGATCCACACATCATTCCACAGTGGGGATATAGGTTTCCTGGCGGGAGTTAATTACAGTATGGATTTGCCAAGTGTACCTTCCTCTTAGCACATTTCTCCCTTTTGTCCTGAGTTCGAACATCTTCAAAGCCCATGACACCTTTGGTAAAGGCTGTTCTCCAATTGGATCTGTGAGGTCAGGGTTGAATTCCCCATTCAGCCATGAAGCTCACTGGGTGACATTGGCCAGTCACTGCCTCTCAGTCTAGTATTCCTATCAGGGTTGTTGTGGGGATTAAACAAGGAGGGAGAGAATCATGCAAGCCACTTCCAATTCCTTGAAGAAAATATGGGATATAAATGCAATTGATCAGTCCTGGCTCCCACATATAGGCAGAGGCAAACACATAACATACTGACAATCAGGAAACCAGTGAGACTATTTCTATTGTAAGCCTCATTTAGTCTCAACATAGGAAGCCACCTTATTTATGTATTTATTTATCTGAAATTCTGTTCACCCTTCCTTCCGAAGGAGCCCAAGGCAGCAAAGACAGCCAGTCTTTAAAAAAAAATAAAAATTCCAAAACTGTTAAAAACACCTAAAAAAGATTCATTTTAAAACAAGTCAGCAAACTTTTTCAGCAGGGGGCCGGTCCACCGTCCCTCAGACCTTGTGGGGGCCCAGACTATATTTTGGAGGGAAATAATGAATCAATTCCTATGCCCCATAAATAACCCAGAGATGCATTTTAAATAAAAGGATACATTCTACTCATGTAAAAACATGCTGAATCCTGGACTTTCCGCGGGCCGGATTTAGAAGGCGATTGGGCCAGATCTGGCGCCCGAGCCTTAGTTTTCCTACCCATGTTTTAAAACTTTCTAAAAACTGTTAGTTAAAACCGTTGTTTCATCCAGTGATCTCAGGGTTTATTTTATTTTAGTTGTTGTATTTATATCCCACCTTTTCTTCCAAGGAGCTCAAGGTGGCATATATGATTCTCTCCTCCCTCATTTAATCCCCACAATAACCATGTGAGGTAGGTTATTTGTGGGGCATAGGAAATCATTCATATATTTTTTTCCAAAATATAGTCCGCCCCCCTCACAAGGTCTGAGGACAGTGGACCGGCCCCCTGCTGAAAAAGTTTGCTGACCCCTGGACTAGATTATCCACAGGGTCCCTTCTAACTCTAGGATTCTCTGCTGCCACTGACATGTACCTCTTTTCAGTCAGATTTGTGCCACCTGTGCCCTAGAAGACGATTGCCCGGTGCTCCTCAGTAAACCAAGTAGCCTCCCAGACACAGAAGATGTCTGTGGGAGAAAGGCGGGCCATGACATTAATGTGGATGCGCTCTCTTCCAAAATTATATGTTGCTTGTTTTCTTTCAGGAGTATTGATGTGGGAGATATTCAGCGAAGGCAAAATGCCTTACGAGAACCGGACCAACGCTGAAGTGGTGGAAGAAATCAGTGCTGGTTTACGTTTGTATAAGCCCAGACTGGCCTCCAATACCATTTACATGCTCATGAGACATTGCTGGAGTGAGGTCAGTACTAGAACAGGTGCAGATTACTTCATATATGAGAAGAGGGATCAGAATGCCACCTCGTAAAGGGGGATCCGAAACAGCACTGGTCTTTACTTAAGGAGAGCAGAAGTAGTCCTGCTAACACCATTTAAACATTCTAAGAAAAATAATATGCAGGTTTAGAATTTTAATTGGTCAAAAATTCTGGAAAATCTCTCATGTTAGGGTGGGGTTATCCCACTGCAGGTGCTAACTAGATTACCAATGCCAGGACGTTTGCGTTTTCATCAGCAATATAATTCTCGTAAGCTTTAACATACTTGTCAGATTAAAATTAAGAATGATGATGACGACGTAGGGCCACAATCAGAAGAAACCTTTTTCACGTATTTCCCAGCTCATGGGGCCCTCTGCCATATTCTGCACCTAGCCTTTTGCTTCCTGGTGAGAGGAAGCTTTGTCTGGTACCAGAAGAAAAAGCGCTCACTGCACAGAAACGGGACTGGGCTGGCTTGTCACATATGAGCTGCTGTCTATTGTTTTCACCATCATGTAATGCTTACTAAACAACACTGCAGCTGCTATACTTTTTATATATGCTGGAAGCCACCCAGAGTGGCTGGGGCAACCCAGTCAGATGGACGGGGTACAAATAAATTATTATTATTATTATTCCTTCTTAGAAGGTTTTCAGTAAGAATGCTGGCATGGTTTTTTTTAGCTTATTGTTGATTTTAATTATTTGTTTGAATGTTTTAAAATAGTTGTTTTTAACTGTATTTTCCATGGTAATTTTATTCTTTTTGTAAACCACTTTTGAGTTTTTATTACAATCGGGCAGTATAGAAATCCTGCAAAAATTCATTAATTAATTGCTTTTCTGGTTGCTATTGGCCTTCACAATACGGTCTTCAGTGTTGTCTTCTATGTTGTCCCTTCAGAAGCAAGAGGACAGACCCCCCTTCTCTACCCTGCTCTACCAGCTCAACGAAATATCTGAAACTGATCTTTAACTAAAGATGAAAGGAAGCTGCTTCTTAATTAAAAAAGAAAAAAGATATGAAAGGCATGACCACGTTTAGCACACCTTGTTCAGATGTATTCATTCACCTTGAAGTAGCTGACCTGGGACAGAAATAGCGACAGGAATCCTGGCTATTTAAAAGTCCTACACAAACTGAGAAAACGGATAATGCAAGATGCTTTCAGGGTTGTGTCTAATTATCTGTTCAGTGAGGATTCAGGAGTCTATCTTCTGTTTCACATGGTGATACCGATATTGAAGATGATGAACTGTCATTGCTTTATGGAGCTGGCACTTTTTTTTTTATTGAAAAATGACTCATTTCAAGGGGAACTGAAGTATGACTCTCATCCTCCAAGCCTGCTTGAAGCTGAACGGGAATATTAAGCTATTCATAAACAAATGTTTTGACAGCCAATTCAAAACACAATCTTCTTGTAAAACATATTGCATGGATTAACATAGGACACAGCAGGGACAGGTGGGACTCGTTACTGCATCTTGTACATTGGGAAAGTTAGGAATGGACTGCTTGCTTTGAAGCTTTGGAGTATAAAATATAGGATTCTGCTACTTGTTTATTTTCACTTTTTACATAATGTTTTGAAAAAACGGGTGGGGAATATATATATTCAGCAGGGTTAGCTAATATACAAATATTTTATAATATATTCTTTCACTATCAACTGTTTAAAAACTGTTGTTACAAGAAACATGGGTAAAAAAAATGTGAGCACCTCAGGTGGCAAGTGCTGAATGCTATTAATGACAGCAAATTGTTACTTTATTTTACATGAGAGAAATATAAATATATGATATATAATGTACATTACATTGAACTTCCACCTTAGTTGCCAAAATTTCTTGAACTGGCCCTTTACCTGCTTACCCATTTCCAATGGTCAATCACAATGTACAATATTATAAAATACCCTGCTGGACTGTTCTCCAATTGAGGATGACTTTGAACTGATTGTATTGTATTAGAATAGTATAGCTATTTAAGTGTTTTTGTACATTGTTATTGCTGTGATTATGTTTTTGTATCGTGTTTTCATTGTATAAATTTTGTAAGCCTCTTTGACCATTTTCAGATTGTAAAACTAGAGATTCTTTTAGAAAAATGCTGGGAAATAAATAATAACGGAAATATGGAATATGTAGATGAGATGAGGAAACTATTACAAACTGTTGGAGAGTAATATGTCCTATTGTCTTCCATGTAAATTCTATCATTACAAAAAGTTTCAATGCACAGGTTCGCATTTAACAAATCTTATATATAAAGGAGAGTTCTATTGGATATTGGTGGTTGGCCCCAAAACAGGAACTTTAAAACAAATGTCCTGATCTGGCAAGAATGCCACTGTATACACCAGGCATAGGCAAACTCTGGCCCTCCAGATGTTTGGGACTACAATTCCCATCATCCCTGACCACTGGTCCTGTTAGCTAGGGATGATGGGAATTGTAGTCCCAAACAGCTGGAGGGCCAGAGTTTGTCTATGCTTGGTAAACGCAGCCTACATGTGTTCCATGTGTTAATGTCCATAGTCCAGACACATCTCATCCAGGCTCTACTTAACTGACTGAATGTATTTCTGGTGCAAGGCTGTACATCTGCATCGAGGACCACAATTGTTGCATAAGACCATTGCAGCTAAATCAAGGCCCAGGCTGTATCCTATGGAAGAGAGACTTTGCTGCAGAGTTATCTTTGACAGTGTTAAAAACTCAGATACGAAAGCTAGAAGCTAAATGGCACCTTAAACCTAGCTTATGGGCGCAACAATGGCATTGCCCTCAAAGAGGTGGAGCTGTATCTTGCTCTTGCATTTCAGAGTTGTACCCTCAATGTACAACTCAGGACTTGCTTGTCCTCGGTGTAAAGGAATTATAATAATCTGATACTGTACATAGTTTTGCATAAAAGTCTTTCTGTTACACATTTTTTGAAATCGTTTTGGATTAGTAAATAAATGAGCACCTTGTGTCAAACATTTTGTTAATCATTCCCAAACAAAATAATAATAAAACATCAGAAAAATCCAAGATTAGCCATATTCAGAGTAGACTCAATGAATTAATAGCTATGACTAAATTATATCCATTAATCTAAATACATTAAAAGTACATTAAACAAGGCCACTAAAACCTAAACAAAACATGTTGGGTTTAAAACAAAACAAAAAAGCCCAATTGAACTTGGTTGTGATTTACAGGCAGATCTGATCAGAGTTGAAAACAGTTTTTTCCTAAATTGTTCCCAAATTGCTTCTTTTTTTATATATATATTGCATTTTATTGTATTACAATTTGAATTCCTTAAAATTATACTCTTCTTAAGGCCTGTGAAATTCCTCTTGAGGTTTAATTTATCCCTTTTGCCCTTTCATGCCTCAATTTCCCCTCTCCTACCCTACCTTCTTTCTTGCCCTTAGCTTCTGTACCTGGTCTTGTGAAGATTTTTGGAGTGTTTTTATTTGGCTGCCTTTTCATTTTCACTTGATTTCCTTTTCACTTGTTTTTTATTGGGCTGCCTTTTCATTTCCACACACTTATGGGTGTGTGATTCCCCCCCCTTTTTTTTAGGTAAAGAAAGGGTGGAAATAAGAAGCATACACTTGACAACCTAGGGCTGGCTGAATGCTGCACAGGTGAGGCTTAAACTCAGGGGTCAGCAACCTTTTTCAGACAGTCCACTGTCCCTCAGTCTTGTGGGGGGCCAGACTATATTTTGAAAAATAATAATGAATGATGGTTCAAAATTGGGAAAGGAGTACGACAAGGCTGTATTTTGTCTCCCTGCTTATTTAACTTATATGCAGAATTCATCATGCGAAAGGCTGGGCTGGATGAATCCCTAGCCGGAATTAAGATTGCTGGAAGAAATATCAACAACCTCAGATATGCAGATGACACAACCTTGATGGCAGAAAGTGAGGAGGAATTAAAGAACCTTTTATTGAGGGTGAAAGAGGAGAGCGCAAAATATGGTTTGAAGCTCAACATCAAAAAACCAAAAGCATGGCCACTGGTCCCATCACCTCCTGGCAAATAGAAGGGGAAGAAATGGAGGCAGTGAGAGATTGTACTTTCTTGGGCTCCATGATCACTGCAGATGGTGACAGCAGCCACGAAATTAAAAAACGCCTGCTTCTTGGGAGGAAAGCAATGACAAACCTAGACAGCATCTTAAAAAGTAGAGACATCACCTTGCCAACAAAGGTCCGTATAGTAAAAGCTATGGTTTTCCCAGTAGTGATGTATGGAAGTGAGAGCTGGACCATAAAGAAGGCTGATCGCCGAAGAATTGATGCTTTTGAATTATGGTGCTGGAGGAGACTCTTGAGAGTCCCATGGACTGCAAGAAGATCAAACCTATCCATTCTGAAGGAAATCAGCCCTGAGAGCTCACTGGAAGGACAGATCCTGAAGCTGAGGCTCCAATACTTTGGCCGCCTCATGAGAAGAGAAGACTCCCTGGAAAAGACCCTGATGTTGGGAAAGATGAAGGGCACAAGGAGAAGGGGACGACAGAGGACGAGATGGTTGGATAGTGTCTTCGAGCTACCAGCATGAGTTTGACCAAACTGCGGGAGGCAGTGGAAGACAGGAGTGCCTGGCGTGCTCTGGTCCATGGGGTCACGAAGAGTCGGACACGACTAAACGACTAAACAACAACAATAATGAATGAATTCCTATGCCCCACAAATAACCCAGAGATGCATTTTCTATAAAAGCACACATTCTAATCATGTAAAAACACCAGGCAGGCCCACAAATAACTCAGAGATGCATTTTAAATAAAAGGGCACATTCTACTCTTGTAAAAACACGCTGATTCCCGGACCGTTCGCGGGCCAGATCCGGCCCCCGGACCTTAGTTTGCCTACCCATGTTTAAACTGATTGCCTTATCCCACTCTTTTTGGAGCCTCCTGCTCCTCTATTCAGCCCTTAAGATGAGAGAGAAACGCCGAGGCCAACAGGCAGGCGCTCACTCTTTCTCACAGCAAGCAAGCAAGCGGACGCGCAGTTGCTGCTCATGCCGCCGATTTCTGTCGTTCTTCTCCCCTCCTTCCCTGAGTCTGCCTACAGAATTTGCTCCAGCAGCAAAGCCCATTCCCCCAGCAGTTTCAAGGAGGACGGGCTTTGCGGGGGGTGGGGGCGGCGGTGGTTTCACAACCCGCGAAACTCCAGTCCCCTGTCGTTAACAGGTGCAGTTCCTGCCTGACAGGGGGACACGGTCGATGCACGCTGCGGAAGCGGCGGCGGGAGGAGAGGCGTGCAGGGCGGAGGTTGCGCGGGGGGGGGGGCAGGTTTCTTTCTCGCGCCAGGGGGTGGGGGGGGGGCGATGAGCACAAGAGCTCAGGAAGCGCGCAAGCTGTAGCCATTTCCTGCTCTTTGTGCGTGTGTGTGTGTGAAAAGGAGGGAGGGGGAGAGAGAGGGAGCCTGTCTGCCTAGGACTGTGTGTGTGACACGAATAGATCCGAGGAGGAGGAGGAGGCCGAGGCTGTGGCGGCGAAGGTGGAGACTGCCGAGTGGTGGCAGCAGCGGCGCCTCAGCATCTCTGCCTCCTCCGTTGCCCGCCGCTCGCTGCTGCATCCCGCGCAGAGCCCAGCCGCAGAGGCCGGCAGCATCCTCGCTTCCAAGGCCAGGTAAATTAAAAAAAACCCCACACCGGAGGATCCCGCCACCCCGCAGCCGGGGATCCCGGGGGCGCGACGACGATGGCATCCCGGCGCGCGCGGCTGGGGGAGCCGCTGTCGAGCACGAGGAGGAGCGGCCACGACTAAGGCGGCGGCGGGGTGGGAAGATGCCTCTTGGCGCGCGGCTTTCTCGGTTTGGCGAAGGGTCTGCGGCCCGGAGGACGTGGGGGTGGGGGTTGCATTTATATATATATATAAATATATTTATATATATATATATGGACGCAGGTGCGGGGTAGTTTTCCTCCCGGCGACAGAAACGACGAACCTTCGTCAACATCCGTCGCCCGCCCCTGCCTGCAATTCATTCATCTGCTCGCTTCGGCCGCCGACCGTGGCGGAAGGAGGTGATGGTGGTTTGATGTGGGGGGAAATCTGGGCAGTGTTTGGGCAGGAGGGGTCTCCCCCCTGCCAAGCCTGAGAGCCCGTTACCTCCCAAGGGCCGAATATGACAGCTTTGCTTGAAGGGCGTTGAACCATGAGACTGCAAAGCTCTGCCATGATTCAAACGGGTTTGCAACAGGCTTCTGGCAAGACCCCGGGCTCTCCTCCCCCGCCCGTATATTTTTATTTTTGCAAGGGGGGGGTGTCACTTGCTAGGGTGCATTTCAAAGCATGGATGCAGGCCTGGCGGGGTGTGTGTGTGTGTGTGTGTGTGTGTGTGTGTCGCAGGTGGCCAGGTGCCGAAAGAAATTAGGCCCAGCTTGGGTTCCGAAGGAAGGATTTTCCAAGAGATCTCCCAGAATGCCTAGAGCTACCTGGGATATTTCAAGGCCTCCTTGTTTATTATAGAGCACCAAGCAAGTTCCGTGTGATTGGTTTGTTTCCTATGGTGGGGAGGGGTAGGGGTGGAAAAAATTGTGGTGGTTCCCAGGATTCTCTGCAAAAATGAAGTGCTTATTCTGTCTTTCTTAATGAGCACATATGGTTTAATTAAGCAGTGGCTTCCAGGATCAAATCGTAGCTTGTCATTCCCTTGCACAGTTGGTCAGTAATTTAGTCATTAGGTGGTTGTGGGGTTGTTGTTGTTGCTTTTGTTGTTTATTTCTGTCTTTTTGGTTAGGAAATTGAAGGTGTGGTGCATAGGCAGAGATATGTCAGGGTGTGGGAGGCGAATGGAAAATGCTCAAAGGGAAATGATGTGGATTCACAGCAAGCATGCACATTGTCAAAACTGGAAAAATAAAATAAAAAAGATGATTAAGTGGTAGAGGTGAAGGTGCAAATAAACATAGTTGAAAAAACAATGCTGCAGATCATACTGAAAGAAGCAGTTGGAGCCAATGAGATATGTGGTCTTTAACTTTGTAGAATTAGAGGTACTGTAATTCACTCAAAATATATTTCGTAAATCAAGCTTGGTTTTTTAAAAATTCTTTCCCTGTCCTGTGTCATGTACACTCATATCTGCATTCCATCCTTGAGAATACATTTAAACAATGTTATACAGAAGCATTTGTCTGAGTCAAACTTTTGAACCCACAAGGTGTGAGTGGGTTGGAAATGAATTAGCTAGTTTATAGGGCCAAGAAGGTCCCAGATGACAGGAGATGAATTGGTTTTGCAGAGAATTGCTGCACAAGTCACAGCTGAGATCTGAGAGGGGGGAAAACATGAGAAGGGCAAATAGAAGTGGGTGAGTTCTGATGGAGCTTCTCTGGACTCTTTTTCCCCATATGTGCCTAGTGGGAGTTAAATGTAAATAAATAAATAAACGAACAAACCAGAATTTGAAGTTGTAGCTGAAAAGGATATTGTTGGTGATTCAGAGGGGGCCTCTGAGCCATCTGTTGCTGTCATTGTGGTGGCTGGGGCTGTGGGGTTTCACATCACAATAATCTTAAGTAATGAGGTTGAACTGACCTGCAGGAAATGGAAAGGAAGGCAAGCTGTGATCAGGTGTTATTTGTTTTATTAGGCAGTGGACTGCACTTCAGGATGTGTAGATGATTTTTGGTTGCTTAAATGTAAGTAATCAGCTGGCTCCAACTATTTTAAAATCAAGCTTTGCTCAACACAGCAGTTCTCAGAGTGAGAGATGCACCTCTTCATAGAAGTCATCTAGGAAACAGCCCCTACCAACCTACCTACCAACGAACTAACCACACTCTTCTAAAGGAGTGTTTTAGAAGTCTCCCTGTGATGTCATTGTGTGCATTTCTGCATATATTCTAGATCATCTGTTTTTCTTACAGTTAAGTTTTGTTTTCCTGCAATCCTTCTCATTCCCCAACATCATTTTAGCTTTTTATTTTATTTTATTTATTATGTGTACCTCACTTTTCCACTCCCCAAAGGCAGTGTACAGTCATTTAAAATCCGAACAAGAGTTAAATGCTATTCCTGAAAGTTGGAAGATTTTTTGCAGTGGCTTCTGGTGCTATGTTGGAAATTGCAGCCAGAATGGGAAATTAGATACACCACAGTACCCATGGAGAAGAACCAGGGTATGCACCTGGAGTTGTTCTGACATAATAAGTAACTCTGGTTAGATGGAAATGGAAACTTCTGTATTCCTTGTGGCCACCCGAGAAGAGAGGGAGCTGGAGAAGTGTGCAAGCTCAAGGCTTGTGCACTTAATGCTAAATCATAGTTAAGTGTCCCATCCAAATGCAGTCATTGGGTCTTCCATTTCAACTTGTATTAGATATGTATATTCTAACATTTCAACTATGAGAAGAAGGGGGGTGTCCCTTTAGGGGTGTAACAAGGAATTGGCTATTTGTCTCGGTCTCTACCGCCTTATATTCCTGGGAAGGAAAGAAAGGAGTCAGCACAGGGAAAACATCAATGCATTTGCGGTACAGGGCAGAGGATCATGAGGTGGATGGTTCTGGGTGATTTCAACATAAAAGCCAAGGTGACTTTGTCTGGTGTAGTTCAGGAATTCATGGCCTCCATGACAATCATGGCCCTGTCTTAGATTATATCTCAGCCAGTGCATGTTGCAGAACTCACTCCTTCTGTCTGGAACAGGTGATAATGTCATTACTTGATCAGGTTTGACCTGTAAGCTTCCCAGGGGTCTGGGATGGTTTTGATGCTCCATCCTTGCTGGCTGATTGAACCAGAGGGACCTGGGCTGTCAGCGCTGGCCATCTGCAGAGTCCCATCAGCTCCTATATACTTGTAGGAGCTTAGAGTAATTAAGTGATAGGCTCCACGGCTAGAGCACAGGGTGTCAGACGACTTGTAGCCAAAATGACCTAATACAAGTAAGAACTCACTTGATGTCTTGGCCTGTGATGGTGATAATAGTGACCAAATCATCTTTGTCCATCACCATTGTGATATAGCGTTGTCCACCTCAGTGTCGTCCAACTGTTTTGTGTGGTGAGGGGTGTCCTGTGTGGGGGCTTCATGAAACAGACCTTGGAACCCATAGAGGCCCACTAGGAAGAATTAGCAGTGCATGAGCTACTGTAATGTGTTTCACATAGGGCTGCCTTTGAATCTGTTTCAGAAACTTCAACTGATGTAGAACATAGCCATCTGGCTATCAGCAGGGGGCAGGTGGTCAGCACATGCTACCTTGTTTGGGTTGCCAGTGCATTTTTGGACCCACGTTAAAGTACTGGTTATTACCTTTAAAGCCCGGAATGGTTTGGAGCCAATAAAGTTATTTAAAGGATCACTTGAAGCCATATGGTCTTGCCCACAGCTTAAGAACTCAGAGGACTGACTTCAGTGCCTGCCTATAAAGGCAGTTAGACTGATGAGCAAATGTATATAACCTGAAATTATGGAATGCAGTTCTGTAGTGATTAGGCAGACCCCCATCTCACACATTTTTTTTTTAAATAGGTTTTGATAGAGGGGGACATAATGAGTTAACTAGGTTAAGGCTCAGTTAAAGTTTTATGCTGGTGATTTTAACATTTTTTATTGTTGCTGACTTTTAAAAGGTTTTATGGAATGGGTTTGCATTTTAAAATACTGTATGAGAAGGTACTATGTGGACACTCAGAAAGTGTAGTACAGTATATGTCCCTTAAATAAATAACTAATGTCACGCTTTGTAGACAACAATGAAAGAGGGCATTTTCAAATAATTTGGTGGATTTTCATTAGCTTAGCTTATTGTTACTGAGCAGAATTTTATTTCATAAGAAGTAATGTGTGCTTATAGGAAGTGCTTTAATTGCATAGCTTCCATGTCCTGGCTTAGCATAAATATATAGTCATCCATCAAAGCGACAGGTATTTCTACAACACCACTAGGATCCCCTAATTGTTCTTCTTGGTATAAAGTGTTTAGTAAAGCAGTATCCCAGTGAAATAATTCTAAAGTGATAGCATAGGGATGTGTGGTGGGAATGAATGTCTATTAATTCATAGAACTGAGAGAATGAGATGAGAAGTGGTATTAAAAATGTGGCTGTTCTGAAAACTTTAGGCTGATGGTAGTTCCGTAAATGTGTGCCTCAATTATATTGTAGCTTCTTTGCAATATTCCGGCTAGTTCCCATTAGACCAATGGTCTTCCACAGGTGGGTCAGAACCCATGGGTTGGCCATAGTCTGACCTATGGTCACAGCAGCAACTCTACCACCATAGCAATGTATTATGTAAAATCAAAAATTGGATCTCTAAGCTCCTTGGGCTGATGATATATAACAGATGGGACAGCTGACCCAACTCATTTTTCAATATTAATTATTTCTGTGAAATATGTGTTAGTTTGGAATATGTGGTATTTACTTTATTCAGAATGCACACATTTTGATAATTTAATTAGAATGTTTTGGTTACATCCAATTAACTATTACTTAGAGGACAGGATTCAACAAGTGAGTCCTATCACCAGAAGGCCTGCACAAGGACTTCTGCAGTGCAACAGGGCTTCTCCCCCTCCCTCCCCTGCAGACCCCCTGCAATTGGCTTATGGGGGGAGGGGGTTTGCAAGAACCCCCTGGAGCAGCTCATGGAGAAGAGAGGGGATCAGTCCATCTAGCAAGCCGAATTGCTTGTCCTGATAGAACAATCAAATTAGTGCTACACTGAATTCCTCCCAGAGTAGATCCGTTGAAATTAATGGATATAACTTAGTCATAGCTATTAATTCATCGAGTCTACTCTGAATATGTCTAATCTTGGATTAGAGATGGAAAGGCCTGAAAAAGGAAGGGGGTGAGGAATGCCCCACCCAAGCCTTACTTTTGTGGTTTTTTTCTTAATCATTCTCAAACAAAATAATATTTTTTTTGACAAAATATTTGAGACAAGGTGCTCATATATTTACTAATCCAAAACAATTTAAAAAAATGTGGAACAGCAAGACTTTTATGCAAAGCTATGTACAGTATCAGATTATTACAATTCCTTTACACCGAGGACAAGCAAGTCCTGAGTTGTACATTGAGGGTACAACTCTGAAATGCAAGAGCAAGGTACAGCTCCACCTCTTAGAGGGCAATGCCATTGTTGCGCCCTGTGAGTTCCAAACCTAGACGCCAGGCCAAGGAATGGCCTGAGTGGGTGCAGCTACACTGAAACAGAGAGGAGAACAGAAAGCCTTCCCTGAACCTTCTCCATATAACCTTCCATGATTCAACACAACAATCAGGAGCACCTTTGCTGTTATAGGCTCCCCATATGAGCTTGCCTATGGCTTGAGGTTTACTGGGGTGGTCCTTCTGGTGCTTCCAACCCTGAGTGAAATTTGGGGTTCTATGACCTACCAGAAGGCCTTCCCAGTAACAACATCCCAGCTATGGAACACAGTCCCCAGACTTTGCCATCAGTTGTATAGGCCTTTCATATGTGTTAATTATTGTGCCAAAAAGATATATTTATATGAAGGAAAGGGGGTATAGGGAGAATCCAGGGCTTGTCTGCAGAGTGGAATGAAAGGAGGACCTTTTTCTGCTTCCACACTTCCAGCCGCTCTCTGAAGAATGGAGAAGAGACCCTTTTAAGAATATTAGGGGGGTGGGCAGGGGATGCATGGCTTTGTTTTTTGCAGTTTTCACATGAGGACTAGACCATGCGAAAAATGAACATAATATTTTAGCTGAAGTTCATTCATTTTCAGCTTTGTATTCTTGTTATTAAAGAAGTGCACCTAGACATTCTGTTGTTGCACCCATAACCTAGGATTAAGGTGCCATTTAGCTTCTAGCTTTCATATCTCAGCTTCTAACACTGTGGCAGAGACGGCCACCTTGAGTGTCCAGTTTGCAAACCTAAGACTTAAGTGTCCTTCAATGATCCCTCTCCAAGGAGGGCTCGCCTCTCTCCCCAGGCAGGATCAGTGAATGTGAGTGAGGTGACACTGAGCAAAAGGGATGGAGGGAAGGAGGGAAAAGACGACTGTGTATTCCTAGCCCCTCATGGAAGCACCATCACAGCCTGAGCCAGAGCTGCTTCTTCCCGGCCACCTCCTCTCCCTGCACTAATAATAATAAACGTGGCAACCCTCTTGCTGCCCACCAGGCAGTTACCCCAGATGGCCAGCTGGGGGGGGGGGAGGCGCCTCTACTCAGAGTTTCACACTCACCCCCTTCACTTCTCATCCAACACCCAAGCAGTCTTTTCAAAGCAAGCAAGGGGGCAGGACTCAGGTGACTCTGAGGCCAGAAAAGAAAGACGCTTCTCCACTTCTCAAAGACCGGCTCATGCGCAAAGGAAGGGACCAGAAACCTTGCCTTGGTTGTGCCTGAGCGGTTCCCACATGTGGAATATGACTTGTGAATGGAGAGTTTCGAACAGTCCCTATAACATTTCCTTTGGCATATAAAATGGTATTGTATTTCTCAGGCTCATGACTGATGCTCAGGTTGAGAAGGGCTATTCCTTAGGTCAGAATTGCTAAGTGACAGTTTTGATTGCTAGCGGTTTACTGGGAGGCAGTTTTGTGTTGTTGTTTTGGCAGTGTGTGTGCGTGTGTGTGTTGGTTGACCTGCTTGAATTATCTGTTTTACAGGTAGCATTTTGATGATTACCTGCTGCTAATCTTCTAGTAGTTTGACTCTTTGACTATCCTGCTCAGTCACAACTTTGTTTTTTGGAATTCTGCAGGGTTGAAGATGGAGCCGTTCTAAGTTGATTTCTGAATCACATGCTCCTTGTTAAACATGGAGGAGCTATTCTTTTGATCTGCATAGGATGGTGACTGCACATTTATGAAAGCAATTGCCCCAGACCAATTGAGTAGTTTTCCCATGTTCATCATGGAACAAGTGCTTCCAGACAGCACAAGGTCATCCTACCCTAGTGCTAATTTTGCCTAGGGAGTTGCTGGTTTAGGCTGGCTTTGTGATGTCTGGAAATACTTAAATACTCTTTTTAGGTCTTCTGTAAAGAACAGAAGGCATTGCACAGAAAATAATTTTTAAGAAAGGGGAGCGGATCACTTAAGATTTTTTGGAGATAGTGTCTTCTGTGCTTCATCATGTAATTTGAAGCAGAGTATGTGCTGTATGAAAGGTCAAAAGTCTCCTTGTGTTTTTTGTGGGCAGGGGGGAATGGAAAAAGTCCCTTCTTTCAAGTTAGCTGATGCAATCCACTTCTAGTGTAGAAAGTATGTAGTTATCTGTTGAGAGCTTGGTGCTGTAACAGTAGTCGGTCAGGCATGACAGCGCAGGAAGTATTGCACCTATACATGAACCACAAAGAGTACAGTTTATATCCCTCCCACCCCATCCTGTTTTCTCTTTTGAACACTCGCTTTGTCAGCTCTGTCCCATATAAACCCACGAGGCACAGATGGCTTCTGTTGGCTAATACCCCCTGCTGACCTTTTGAGGATCACTGACCCAGTGACCCCATTGCAGTATCACTGGAAAAAAGAAGGAACTATTTGGTTTTTATGGCTGTGGAGATGATGACAGTGGCGGCACTAAGTAGCAGATGTTCTTGGCTCATGTGGGAAAGCTTGATAATTCTGCCATTATAGCAACAAAAATCTCTCCTTAAAATCATGAATTGAAAAGGAAAAGACATGAGATTAGTGTGTAAGCTTTTTCAAGTTGAATCAATTGTAGGTAAGGTTGCCATCCCCCCCCCCGCCCGCCCCCGAAAGGGCTCCTGTGCTTTGAACAGCTGCCCAAGGGTCAGATACTTTGCTGGGGCAATTTTTCTTGGTAGGGAAATTAAATGGTGGGGAAAGCTGCATCTGTTAACATTTCTGCATGCAGATATGGCTCTTAAAATCACAGGGACCAAGCCAGAAAAAAACACCTGGCAATTCTAATTATGCAGAATATGCATATATTTTGCTTCACTGTTCTCATTTAAATATTTTTGTCTGTTTGGGGTAATGATATCCATGAACAATGGTGCTGCTTTAGAGGGGAATAGTACATCCTTTCCCCTTTCCGTATTACAGCCAAACTTTTGTAAGAAGCAATATTTGAGTGATAACAATACTCAGCCATGTTGTAAGCAAGGCTTTCTAGCTTCAGACCTGCCCTAGCTTCCTTTACTTTCAACAGCATTTTCACATAGAGACTCTGCCAGTGAAACTTCCGCCCTCAAAGAAAACAGCATCTCAAAGCAACCAGCAGTGACAGGAGCAGCCATGCCTGCTGAACCTCTCAAAGTCATGAAGCCGTTAAACACACATGTAGTCTCCTTCATTTCATGAGCACATGCACAAAGAAATGTGCGGAGCAGAAGCACGGCATGAAATCTGCTATGTGGGATGGAGTTTGCACTGAAGATATTTTGCTTTCTAATGCGGTTTTGTAAAGATAAACTTGGGCTGCCGTCCTAAGCCCACTTACCTGGGAGTAAGCTCTACTAAATGCAATAAGATTTCTAAGTGGACATGATTAGGATTGCATTGTTAGTCATGTATCTTATGCCCAGAAACCAAAGGAACTATTATAAATAGGCTGCAGACATTATGTAACATGGAACGATCCAGCAACTACAATAAATTTGTTGTTATTGTTTTCTAAGCTTCTCTGCGTGACCAAAACAATTAATGTTCATGTCAGAAAGAGATGCTCTTGTCCACATGCAACATTCCAGTTCTGAGACTAATGGCCACTTTCTGAGGCACTCCAGCCCTCTTCTCCAGCTGCTGAACACTTCAAAATGCTAAGTGTTATCACATATCAGGCACCTTAAATAGGACTTTCATATCACCTCGCATCACCTGGCAGGGAAACCTCAATGCCAGCTTTGCACATTTATCAGTAGGTGTGAACCAGCCCTGAGATGCACAGAATAAAAATGTGACAGAATCGAACTGTGGGAAATAACCTCATTTCATGCAAGACTGCAGTGAGATAAACAAGAGTCATTCACCTCAGTACCTCTGAGGGAATATTATTATAATGTGTGCGTTCCTCAAGAGGATTGCTACTCCGCCTACCTTTGGGCTTGCTCCCAGGGGCAACGAAATGCAAGCTCTTGGGTTCTATGAATGTGTAAGGAGTTCAGCTCCTTCAAAATGAGAATAGTTGGTGTGACCCATATTTCTTCCTTCTGGAAACCTTTTCTTGTAAATCACTGACCACAAAGCCTAGGCAGGCAGCTGCTTTGCTGTGACAGCTGTTTATCACACTTGCCATAAGGACCTTTTCAGAATTACCTCATCTGATCGTTGTGTCCATCTGTTGTCACTTCCATACTTGAGATTGTAACACACATTAAATAACAGAGCCTTGAAGAACACTACAGTTTTGCAGCGCCTACTGGTCCACAGATAAATAAAGATAAGTAGACATCCATAAGTCCTTGTACCCTGATACAAGGGGAGGAAACACATTCCTCTGCTAGACATAGACACGTTTGCTCATCTCCCCCCCCCCAACTCCCCATTCAGTAGACTTCAGAGAATGTAGTTTGTCCTCTAAAGAATCAATTAGTTGTTTGATCCAATCTAAAATGCCCCATGGGAATGTAAAGATAATTCAACAGTTGTATAGTGTGCTCGGATGAATTATCAGAATTTTACAGACTCAGGAATAATAATTAGTTTATTCAGCAATGTCGGCCTCTGGGTTATATTGACAGAGGCCAAACTTAATTGATAAAACCTCATAAACAGAAGTAGAAGAGGCATTTATTTTATTGAGCAATAATGCCACTGTATCTGCTGCACTGAATCTGCACGTGTTCTCTCAAGGTTGTGTTTCCTTTGCAGATATAACCACACTTTCCCACCACTCTGCAGGTGCCTGTGCAAGTACTGTAGACATTAGTTGGTTGTTTCCTTTTTCTGATGTGAAAAATAAAGTACACAGAATATTAAAAGAAGCACATGATCATTCCAGTTGAATCAACTGGATAAGTAGAAGCTTTTGAAAGATGCTGCAAAATAAGGGAAATGTTTTCTGGGTGTCACTTGTGAAAGTGTTATCATTGAGGACTTCTCTTCTGATAAACGGGGTTGGTTTCTCCATACTCAGGGGACTCCATAGGTACATTAAATTATAAAGTTTGTACATTTTTAAAAAGCAGAGCAGAGTTCCCAGAGTGTTACTCGGGACTGTTTGTGTATGGAAATAGTTTAAGACAGTGAAGCAATGCTTCTTAAAGCGGCTGCACCACAGTAATGGTGTGCTGTTGGCCCATAGTATGGTAACCACATTACAAGGTTACTATTGCACAAATGGCATGCAGAAGGTAGTCACAAGATCTTTAGATACACAAGGTACTAGAAAGCTACGAATTATCCTTGTACCTCTCATCTGTGTCTCTTTTATCTCTCTCAAGACAAAAACATTTATCTACCTGCCCACCATATGATTGTGGTGTAGTCTTGTCTTAACTGCTTGTGTATGTAAATCAAATCAAGTCAACGTGGTTTTCCTAATGATCTCAATGATCCACATGTGGGCTACCAGCAGGCTATCTTAATGCTATCTTAATGCGGTTTCCCTTTGGAAATGCAGCCATGCAGCTTTGTCCTATGCGAGTTTACTCAGCAGTATATGGAGTGTTGTTGGCCTGGTGAACATTGGGGCCAAGTGTGTATAGTATTACAGCCCAGTCTGCATTCTAATCCATAGTTACATCTGGCTTAATTCCCACTGGTTTTAATGGGACATGTGTTTGCATGTTGGCCTGTTGTCTAATTTGATTCCATTTATTCTGAATCCCTAAGTTTTCTGGCACTGGTTCTCTAACATAATCTTATTTTCCTTGAGTTTAGTTGTGAGTCTGAAAGCTTGGAGCCATGACGACTCACGTAACACTGGAGGATGCTCTGTCCAATGTGGACCTGCTGGAGGAGCTGCCATTACCTGATCAGCAGCCATGCATCGAGCCACCTCCATCGTCTATCATGTACCAGGTAAACAGCAGGTCTTCAAACATTTTATTCTAGGGCCTGCATGCTTTTGCCGTTCATTTCTGCAGTTCATGGTATTATGAAGTCAAGCAGAAAACATTGTGATTGGGGAAATATGTAATACAGTAAGCAACAAAGGATGACTGCAAAGGTTGCAAGGTTTCTAATTGGGGCAATCAGAAGAAGGTCCACTATTTGATTGATGATTCATGACCCTAAACTGTGTTTTATATAATCGACTTTTTATTTTGTTCTCTGTACATCCCAATGTTCTTTTATTGCTATGGCCGATGGCTGACACAAATAGGCTGTAGTGAAGTATTTTGCAAACATGCAAAGTGGCATATCCACTGGTCACATCTGTTACCAAGTTAGACCCAAAGTATCACGTGGTGCAACCAGTGTAAATCTTCTGCTAAAACTGGTCAGTGCTACACGAGCTGATGTTACACCATGCTCTTTTAATAATAAATTCTTCCATAAGGAGTTACAAAAAAACCCAGGGAAGTTGTTTCCTGTGTTGGTCTAAATATTTTCAACAGAGCAAGAAGCTGAAAGGTTGGGATGGAGGAGGGAAGCTGAGGGTGATTAAATCCTATGTCTCAATTTCTTTCTGTTTTGACTATTTAGATAATAAAAAATGACTGAGGTGGAAGAGCGCTTATACCACTGAGATTCCAGGCCTTAATAAAGTTTCAGTACTCTTCCCTCATATATATATATTTCCCTCTCTCGCATTGCATGCTTTCTCTGGGTAAAGTTTGACTGATGCTGACCCTGGTGAAAGCACGGGAACCTTTTCTTGTAAAATAGTTTCCTTCCTGAGATTGATTGACTATCTTTCAAACAGGGCTATGATCCCTTTGCTTCCCTTTCCATGCTGTCTTGTGGAAACATGTATTGGTTATAGGTGTGCATTCTAAGCACAGTAATGATTAAATAAACATGAATTCACTCATCCAGGTTGTTGGCTGCTGCCTTGTGAATGACCACACCATACGGTTTATTAAAACCTGCTACTATGGCTTCCCTTGTTGACTAATTACTTGAGGTGATAAAAGACAATGACACTGTAGTGACTGCATAATAAATCTATGTGTTCCAGCTATCAAATAAGTGTTACTCTATGTGTGAGAGCTTGCTCTAACTGCGAGCGGCATTAACCCTTGCTTTTTGATTTGCTCTCAGGCCAACTTTGACACCAATTTTGAGGACAGAAATGCCTTTGTAACTGGCATTGCTAGGTATATTGAACAAGCTACAGTGCACTCAAGCATGGTAAGTGCCATAGATTATACACAGCTGCCTACATTAAAGGAGACTCAGTGTACAGTTGGTTGAAGTGTAATGGTTTTTTTGTGGTAACCAGCGCTGCCATTCTGCCAAAATGTGTGTCTGTCTTCCAGAATGAAATGCTGGAGGAAGGGCATGAATATGCAGTGATGCTTTACACCTGGAGGAGCTGTTCCAGGGCCATTCCCCAGGTAAGATGTATGGTTGGACTCAAGCCCAGCCCACTCAGACAGAAATTACAGTCCAGGGGAAATATATAGAAGAATTGCAGAGCACCTGGGCTAAGGTATTGACATAGGGGCTCTGATTTGGGTCTTGGCAAGGATAATACACGGTTTTCATCTTCTCACTATGAAAATGTTCATGAAGCGGTGCTGAGTTTGTGTGATCAGGGTGGGGTGGCTTTAAGAGGGGATTAGACAAATTCATGGATGATAAGGCTATCAGTATCTACTAGCTATAATAGCTATGCTCTTCTTCCATGGTTGGAGGCAGTATACTTCTGAATATCAGTTGCTGAAAACCACAGGAGGGGAGAGAGATGTTATACTTAGGGCCTGCTTGCATTTAGTTGGCCACTGTGAAAACAGGATGCTGGACTGGTTGGGCCATTGGCCAGATCCAACAGGCTTTTCTTATGTTCTTAAGGGCCTTTGTTACTGGGTCAGGAGCTTGTCTTCTGGGGATCCAAATTTTCTCCCAATGTGTTTGTTAAGATGCCCATATTAAACACAAATCTTATTTCATCTGCATAAACTTCCAAACGCCATACAGGTCACAGAGAATAGCATTGCACTAAGCACTGTTAAGGCCTCCTCTGGGCTATTGTGATTAACTTATAAATACCATTTCCAGTGTGAATTCAGTATGATACCAGATTGCTCTATATGCAGCCTGGGAAATACTCTAATTCAGCAAGCAGTGCTGGTATTGGTGCCATTATGGACTCCAAGCTGGATCAATATGCAGTTCTCCTAAGGGTTATCTTTTGCTGTTTGACTAATGCGTCCCTATCCCTTTAGCCTTTGTAAATCCCAGCTGAATATTTCCTTGCTTCACATGAATTTTTGATCACATGCTCTAGTTTCTCGCTTTGATCACTGAAGCATATTGCAGGCGAATTTATGCAAACCAGGTTAAAAGACCACTAGATCATACTGATGAAGGGAATGACTCTTAGGAGAGAAAGAAAAAAATTGTGCACAAATTCTTGAGAGCCTGATGTATCTACTTCTGTTGTTCTGCCTATCTGACATGCAGTGTATGCTACACTTCAGTTAACTTCACAGAGGCTTCGTGTGTATTTATTCAATCTGTTTCTAATTCACCTTTTAGGTCACAAGCACTCACAAAACTGATTACAATAAAAATCTATGTAGGGCACCATCAATAAAGCTTGGTGGAATAAATAAGAAATCTTTTGGTGCCGCTTCAAGGCCACAAGAGAGGGAGGCAACCATAATTTTGGGGGAGGTAATTGCAGACGTTTGTGGAGCCATCACTGAAAAGGCTCTTTCCCTAGTACCTGCCAAAACAATTGACTTTAGTGTCAGGCTAGAGAACAGGGCCTTTGAAGCCAATAATTGGGCTCTGGCAGGTTCATATAGGTATAGGCTGTCCTGCTACAGAAGATCTCTTTATTCAGCTAGTCATTTAATATATGAAAATAAGTGTAGAATTTTTTTTGTAACCTGGTCTTATTGAGTGTGGAAGATTTTTTTCTTCTAAAGGAAAATAATTAAAAAGCAGTGTTTTTTATTTAAATTGTTTTGGAAGATAAGATTTGATTTAATTAAAAACCCAAAAACTTTAGAAAATTTAGAAACAAAAAAGAATAAGCGATGAAAATGCAAATGCAATATTATGATGTCTTCCCAAATGCAAATAGAAACAAAGTGTTAAGGAAATATAAAGTATGTGCTGCTGGCCAAAGATCATTTTTGATACATATTACTATTTAGAAAATGCTCACAAAATTATCTGGCTTGGTGACTCTCCTTATCACAGATCTCTGTCACGCTGCTGTAAAAATAAAAAAGCAGAACATTTGTCCCATTAGGATAACTAATGAAAATAGGTGTTGTCCTTCAGGTAAAGTGCAATGAACAGCCAAATCGGGTTGAGATTTATGAAAAGACTGTGGAAGTCTTGGAGCCAGAAGTTACAAAGCTCATGAAGTTCATGTATTTTCAGGTAGGTTTCAGGGGGAGCTTCAAAATTCCTGTTTCAATATGATCTCCTTTGCTCAACAGCATGGTCAGTTCTGATGTTGCAGAGTAAAGCTGAAAATGCTTCTAGGAATGTGCCTTAGTTCACCGTATCTCATTGCGGGGAGGTGGGAGAGCAGTGTGCTTGCTTTAAATTTGGCACACTTGCCAAAAATGTAACATTCTTTTCATTCACATAGCTGACCTATTTGAAGTTCTTAGTTGACACGATTCAACTTTGGGTGGGATTCAGCTAATGAGTCCTGGCAGCAGAAGTCCTTGCACAGGGCTGGGGAAGGGGGGATCCTTCCATCTGGCAAGCCCAAACACTTGCCTTGACGGAACGATCGCCTTAGTGCAGCATTGAATTCCTTCCATACTATTTTCAAAACTTTCTGTGCCTTCCCCCTGTTGAGTCAACAAACTACTTGCATAACTGATGGTGGGCAAAGTTTTAGTCTCTCAAATTCAGTTTGGGTCTTTACTTGTGGCACATAACATAGTCTATAAACGAGCAAGCCGTAGAATATGATCTCAGATGATGACAACCTTTTGAAACAGGAGTTTTTCCTCTTTAACGTAGCAGTATAAAGAACAGCAGCCAAATCAGTGGTCTGCCCAAAGTACCTAAACACCTTTTTGAGGGACACTAAATAGAACAGCAATGTTGGGGTTAGGTCTGAGAACCATTTTCTGCTTCAGGTATGCTGCTCTGAGCACCAAATGTGGGTTTGTTTTCTTTCCTGTAAGATCTGTCAGCAGTTTTGAACATGTGTTTTGAGATCTGCAATTTCTACCTGAAAAGCTGCAGGGGACAAGCAGAAGAGAACGTTAACATTTCATTTTCACATTTTATTCATCTCAGCAGAGAAAACTGCCCTGCTGCTTGCTGAGTTGATATTTGTTTATTTCAGACTATCTATCTATCTACTAACTAACTAACTAACTAACTACATACATACTATTCAACTACTTTTGCTGCTTGAATTTTGCTCGTCGATAAAGCTAAAAGGTCAATATTTTGAACAATGATTTCAACTGCTGGGTGGAAACATGGTAATGTTGAGGCTGAAAAGGGGAAAGAGCAGGCGATGGGATCCTGATCCTAGTCAGAACAAGGCTAGTCTCAGCAACTATTTGCTCAAGGCCATCCCATTTCACCCCACCTCTGAATTATCCATTTGTTGCTGTTTTCCAGAGAAAGGCCATTGAGCGATTCTGCAGCGAGGTAAAACGTTTGTGTCATGCAGAGAGAAGGAAAGACTTTGTTTCTGAAGCGTATCTACTGACATTGGGAAAGTTTATCAACATGTTTGCTGTCCTGGATGAATTGAAAAATATGAAGTGCAGTGTCAAAAATGACCACTCTGCCTACAAAAGGTGAGATTGGTGAATGCCAGTGCATTTTTAGTGTTGCCGTTCTGAGAGGGTGAATTGTTGGGACCTTTGGAATTAGGCCCTGTGTTATTCCAGCAGTCTATGAGAAATATTTAGCAGTAGAAATCTATTTTTAGGGAAGCAAAGATAATGAAACGGAATGCTTCTCTTAACCTTATGGTAAAGGCTCTTTTTACAGGCCTGTATTACATGGCCACAAACTAGCATAGTATGTACAGAAATACCCTGGTCAAGGTAGGATTTCTGTTGTCTTTCAGAGCAGCCCAGTTTTTGAGGAAAATGGCTGATCCCCAGTCTATTCAGGAATCGCAGAACCTTTCCATGTTCCTAGCAAATCATAACAGGATCACACAGGTATGGTAGTTTTATATTATTTTTTCTCCCGTCATGTGCTCAGTTAAGTTACTACTGTTTTGCTTTTTATGTGTGTTATAAAGCTTTAATTCCTGTTTTTAAGTCGTAGGCTGTCATCTTGAACATAGAATTATTTAAATAATTAAAATTAAATAATTTAGCAAAGTTAAATAATTGACCTAGTCTAGGTTTGTTGTCAGATTGTTGTCACCCCCATTAAACATTTTATCCTTGCAACAATCTGTGAGGTAGGTTAGGTGGAGAAAGATTGACTGGCCCAAGGTGCCCCTTTGAGTAGAGATTTGAACTTGGGTTTCTCCAATCCTTGTCCCAATGCTTCTCAACTGGTATCCTCCAGGTGTTTTCGGCTACAATCCCCACCATTCCTGACCTTTGGCTATACTAGCTATGGCTAATAGGAGTTCAGTACAAAAAAATAATAATATTGAAGGCACCAGGCTGGAGAAGGCTGCCCTAACCATTGCGCCGCAATTCCTTTGTACCTGCATTTGTTATCTGGAAAGGCCATAACCAATACTTATTGGCTCTGTACACTGAAGTAATTAAATTAAGTTTCACAGTCTTTAAACATTTTTATTTTTGTCCTTTGTTTGAAATTACTGAGGGTCTTGTGGGTTGTTACGTTTTTTAAGTGCCTGCATCAGCAGCTAGAAGTCATTCCAGGTTATGAGGAGTTGTTGGCTGATATTGTGAACATCTGTGTGGATTACTATGAAAACAAGATGTACTTGACGCCCAGTGAGAAGCATATGCTCCTAAAGGTAACGTCTCTACCTCTCTCCAAAGATGACTTATCTGTCTCTTGATCTTTCCCTCTCTCATTGTGATCCTTGTTCTAAAAATAAATGTTTTTATGGTTCCTGGTTATTTTCCTCCCCATTTTGCTTCCACTTTTTTTTCTTTTACCCATATTGTGTCAGGCTTAAGTTCCACCTCTTCATGAAGACACAACAGCCCTTTATTTACAAATGGGATCAAGTCTTTGGCAGAGTCAGTTTAATGCCTCTTCCTTCCACATATTTTACTACTACTTCTACTATTATTATTATTATTATTATTATTATTATTACTAATAATAATACTTACACCCCACTTCATAGCCCTGACAGGCTCTCAAAGCAGCTTGCATAAGATTTCTCACAATAAAAACCATATTCAGGTCTGGTATCGGGTACAAAAATAACATAGTATCCCTACAAGTTCCTTCCCTCATCCTTGGTGTTTCCCTTAGGCCCCTGCCGACTAGGCAACTGGTGTCTTTTAAGACAAGAGAGTGGGTTTGAGCAGCTGACACTCACTCAGCCCATGATGTAGGCAAGCCTTCCCTTGCTTTCAGTTGCCAGTTGCCAGGCAACAGTTCCCACTGACGGGAGGCAATTGATATGTGCCTGCTTTGAGAGACCATTACTGTCTGAAAAGTGGGATAGAAAAGTAAGTAATGTACCCTCAGAGAATAAAGACCAGTCTTCAGGTGGTGTGAAACATTTCTTCTCCAGTTTAGGATTCTACCCTTGAACTAAGCTTCCGAGCCACACAAAAGGCAAACTTGGTGTATCTTGGAAACATTCCTCATTACAGAGACCGGACCTATTCCTAGCATTACCATTTAAAAAACAACCCTTACCTCACCTGTGTTGTCAGTCAGAGTAGACAATATTGGGCTAGATGCACAAAGTCTGGCATAGTATAAGGCAGCTTCTTATGATTATTAATGAATTTCAGAAGAAATAAAATTGGAATTGATAAGCCGTAAACACCCCTAGCTGTGATGTTGGATTAGCTTATAACTTTCCTGAAAATATCACTGTTCTTCCCACCAGACCTCTATGCTTATCTCATTTTTCTGCTAGGTGATGGGCTTTGGTCTCTATCTCATGGACGGAAATGTCAGTAACATTTACAAACTAGATGCCAAGAAGAGAATCAACCTCAGTAAAATTGACAAGTTTTTCAAGGTCAGTGTCTGGCATTGCTTTGGCTTAGGATTGTCTCCAAAGGAATCTGTGGTCATGCTGCTTGGGATATCTGTCTGGGGCAAAGCAAGCACAATTTGTGAAAGATTGAGATGCTGGAATGCAATTGCATTGGAAATCTTCAGTGTCTGACATTACAGTAAGCTGAACAGCTGAGTTTTTGTTTGATGCCATGTTTGTGATATTGGATAAAACTTGCTAAAGTTGCAGTCTCAACCTGCTTCTTAGTGTGCCACTCTTTCCCATTTCCATCACTTTTCTTTGAGGAATATTGTCATGGTGCTGCTAACTGTCCATATTTGCAGCATTTCAGAGTCATTGTACTCACGTTCGATTTTTACAGCATGGCTACGGACTTTATATTGGGTAGGGCAATCTGTTCCTATGTTATGCAACAGGTAGACTCCACTTATACCCAGATATTGTGCCCACAACATATAAGCTGTGAGCTGCCATAGTGAGAGTCCATTTCAGTCCCTGTTGAAAATGCTGTATTCTGTGTTATTAACAATGCTTTCATTACCATGAGTGGTGAATTTAAGTGCCTTGGAATTTTAGCTACATAGGTAGGCAGGCGGGAGGTGCTGGGGTCAGTACTGTACAATTGCAAATGAAGCCTTCCAAATGTGTTGAGTATTTTAACACCATGCAAATATGCTCAAAAAAGTGTAACAAAAACTACAGGTGCATAATAGTTGGGAGGGGACAGCTGGCTGGATAATGTGCTCATCAAGCCCTGGCTTCGCACCAATGTCAACCAATGCAATGTAGATCATAGAATGTGTCGCAAGCAGAAGGCAAGTACACTGTGGAGAGGAGCCAAAGAACAGTTCTTCAGATAACCCTGCCATCTTCAGTAACCAAGACACCAATATCAGTTTTTTGAAAAATGCCAGTGGTGCCTTACTGCTTTTAGAATGGCCTTATTGGGGTGGACATTTGACATAGTTCCACTTGCTCTGCCAGTGTGGAGAGAAATAAAATGGCAGATTCACTGAGGAAGAGCAAGGGAGCAGGTTGAGGTGCTCCCTGGAAAGCCACATTTCGTTGAGATTCTGCCTCTCCTCAGTGTTGTCACATGTAATGTTTTTAAACATGGCAACAAAATTTGGCAGACAGCATATATTAAAAAGTTCACAATTTAATCGTTACCTGTGTTACTGGCATCCCATGAGTGGACCCAATGACCACTTGTAAACTTTGTCAACCAAGTTTTGGAATTCTGAAATCGCTTCCTGTGTTATATGAAAAATGAGTTCTCATGGCTGATGTCTATATTGTGAGGGTAATGAATGTGTGTAGGGGAGTCACTTGACTGAAAACATGTGGCAAAAATGTGTCCAAGAACCTCAGCCGGTCATGATTTATGTTTTCCATGTGTTTCCAGAGTTAACATGTTTCTTCCAGTCTTGTAGTGGTTACAACAGAGATGCACAGGGAACAAAGGAAAACTTAATTTTTTCAAAATAAATTTCAACATAAAGGAATTTCACTCCTAGTAGCTGTAGCATGGAGGGTCTTGCCCTTTTAAGCAATGTTAGAACAAAGTACAGTGATTCCAAATAGCCAAAGCTTGTTTGAAAACCTGTGCTGTTCATTCTTTGGGATGACGTTTGCAGACCGTTTTTCCTCCCAGCAATGCCTTCGGAGTGACCTTACATCATGATGTGGTGTTGTTACAACTGAGGCACTGGGGGGGATGGGGAACAGACAGGCCAACTGTCTGCTGACTACAGCTGCTGCACACTACCAGTTGTGACAGAAAAAGTAACTTTCTATTAAATAAAAGTTTTATTAAAAAATGTGTTTTGGGCCCCATTGTTGCCTTTGAAAACCTATCCAGTTTTCGCTGCCTGCTCCAAAATAACTTGGTTTTCTTTTCCCATTTTACCCACCCCCATCCCATCCCAATTCACCCCACAGATTATCAGCAAGAGCTTTGGAACTGTACTATTTATTCATAGCCACACACTATTCCTGTGATGAAGGCAAACTAGGATTGTCAAAGTTTAAACCTCTGGGGGGCCCCCACCCTTAGCAGCAACTTGACCTATACCACTGCCAGATACATTCACCAGCTTGTGACCTCTGCTTGCTGTTGCTAGCTAATTAAGAAAACTGTGTTCCACTATGAAGTGTAACTTAAGAACTGCAGTTCATTTTAGCTTAATTGCATCCCTTTGGCTGCACGCCATCTGTTGCTCTTCAGATGTGACAATATTACTCTTCATTTACCAGCTGAACGATGTAACCTGATCTGTTTGTGATAGTAGCTTCTGTTTATCAACATAGTCTCACTCCCACCAGCAGGGTCCACTGCCAAGGACACTGAGTAGTGAAGGGAGTGAATTTTTTCATTTAAGGTACTTGTAAGCTTTTTGACCTTGCCATCCTTTGAAGCTGTGGGCTGGTTCCAAAATGAATTCCAGAGCTCCCTGTCACATACATATGGGTGAGATCTACATGTTGTTACTGGTTTGCATGCTATATTTCTCCCAGGCGTGCAAATGACACAGTGACTCCTGTATCCAACAAAGGATAATACAGAAACCAATTTCTGATGAAATGTGTTTCAGAAATGAGAAGCACCAAAAATCTACAGCCTCACTCTTGAAATTTAAACCCACTGAATTCCTGTCCATGTTTTAATACAGTTAGCGTAAACCGAGCTTTGTACCAGAAGAAGAGAGAAGAAATTGCAAACAAAATATTAGGGAAGAAATGTATCCCAGACTACAGTTGTTAACATCACAGGAAGAACAACAGAAAGTACTGGGTTAAAGAGACACTTCCTGTTAAAAGGGTCAAAGCATGGTGATACCCTTTCTCTTGTAGAACATTGCTGCTACCGTACTATGTGTTGTTTTTTTTCCTGTGTCTGTTTGGGCAAAGCATCTCAAGGCTGAATTTTCATACTGATTTTTTGATGAGTAGTTTTATTCATTGCCAGCTGTCATATGCTCCCGTTTAGTGAGTTCTGAATATTTACTGGGGTACTGAATGCTCCCCAGGATATAGTAACATCTCACTATGTAGGTAACATCTTGAGAAGAAATGATCACCGCGCAAAAGTGACTGTCAAGAGTCATGGTGATTTTACTGTGTGAATCTGGTTTGAGTCAATGAAACAACTCATGTATGCAATTCATTACTCAATAAGGCTCTTCGCTGATCCAAAAGTTATTAGGAAGACTGTTCCAGAACTTTATTCATCTCTGGCGGTTAAGTACCCCTTTCTCCCCCAATCTCTTGTATTGCTCTCTCAGACCCAAGGGAGCCTCTCTGCCTTATTTAAACCATCTTTTGTTTTTTCTTCCAGCAGCTGCAGGTGGTTCCTTTATTCGGCGATATGCAGATAGAGCTGGCCAGATACATTAAGACCAGTGCTCACTATGAGGAGAACAAATCCAAGTGAGTGCCTGCCATAATGTCTCTTGGCTTTGGTGTGTCCTGGTCAAGAGAGGAAGTTGCCAGACACTTGCAACTCTCCTGCTCTCGTGTGTGAGGTCTGTGCATGGGTGCCTGCAAGTGTGTGTGTGTGTGTGTGTCCATGTGATTGTGTTACTGAGTGTGACTCTCTAGTAGTGAGTTCTTCGAGGCCAGATGTGTGTGGATTCATCATTCCTCATCCTTTCCTTGCTGTACCTTGGGTGAAAACCCCAATCTTGTGCAGAATTAGGTGTACCTAAACCCACTGAAATAAATTGTTTGGTTATAGTCCAAGCTATTCTCTGTTCCAGCATAAAGAGTTCTTGCTTTGGAACCTTATTTATCTTTCTCTGTTCTGTCTCTATTTTGACTGAGCCAAGGCTGTGCCCCTTTAACGGCACAACCAAGGAGCAGTTTTTGGACTCAATAAACTCTGACTCTTATTAGAGCAACATCTGTATTCCCTGATAGTTCCCCCACATCTTGCAGATTTTGTCACTGACTACTTGCCTAGAGTTATCTGCTTCCTGCTAGCTAGTGCTTCCTCCTTTCATCTCTTTCAGACACATGATCTCACCCAAGCTAGTCTCAGAAGCACTGATGTGAGACAATCTAGGCAAGACCCATATTGCCCTCTGCGTTCATTCCTGCCCTACCTTTTGACTGGATCCTTACTAGCTATGTCCCCATACCTAATCTTACAAAGACTTTCTGGATTACCGTCAGAATGCTCATTAGTTAGACAGATGTGCCAGTACCTTATGTCAGTTTTCCTCATCCTGGTGCCCTCCAGATGTTGAATTACAATTCCCATTATCCCTGACCATTTTGCTGGCGCTTACGGGATTTATAGTCCAGACCAGCTGGAAGGCATCAGGTTGAGGAAGGCTGCCGTACACATCTGTGTCTATGCTTATCTATGTACATGCTGTTCATAAATTGTGAGCCTGAATAGGTATATCTTGAGGATACCTGTAGGTGACTGCAGGTATGAGTGTGCAATCAGATGTTGGTGGTTTGTGCTTAGAAAGGATATGAATGTATGAATGCCAGTATCTGAATGCATACAGGTGTGTTTGTACTTTTACAGACTGATAGATGTTCATGAGGATTGGAGCAAGTTTGATACTCATTAATGTGTGTATATGGAGTGTGCTTATGTGATTGCAAGAACGTGTGCATGTGTGACTGCATGTATTGTGAATATATTTGTGAATGCCAAGTTCAGTGTCTGTACTTACCTGTCTGCCACCTGTTCTTGTATGCTTTTATGCTTGGTGACCATGAATGCAGCAGTTATGAATGGTTGTGCTGTGGATGTGAATGAGGTGTGCCTGCTCTGGGTAGTTTTTATCCGCATTTTTCAATAGGATCTAAAATTCTCCAGAGCATGGACACTGCACTTTCTCTATCTGTCCGGTACAGACTACCCTACTTTTTTTCTCAGGGAAGATAGTAGGGGGTCAACCTTGTATTGCAGGAATTTTAAACGGGTTTTTCAACGAAATATAAGGTGAAACCCACTGTTTCAAGCTGCAACCTATTTGAAGGGAATTGATGACATGGATGTGGACACTGAACACCAAAGTATGCATACAACATGGCTCTGCTGCCTTAGATAGCATGTCAGTCATTGCTTAGCGAAGATCAATTTAAATAGATACACTGCTGAATATTCATTTGGTGATCTCCCATCTCAGTTCATATATGCAACTGTGTTCTCTTGAAATGGAGGTACATGCAGCAATCTCCACGCAGTTGTGTTTCAAGCAGCCATCCGTAGGGCCACTTACATGCATGAGTTCTAAAGACTGCTGTTAAATGTGTTGCAAGAACTTGTTCTATATCACCTTTGCTGTAAACACCACCTTTGCTAAAATATTGGTCCACATCTCTCAGCTGGTATGTAGTGAACAGCAACTTCCATTTCTTTTACACTCCACAAACTGGTGCTGTCATTCTGTGACTTCCATGAAATGACCGTGAATATGCCAAGTATGTGAAACTTGTTTCATGCGCTTTTTGCTTGGATTCAGAGCAAGGCAAGTCCATGAAGTAATCGTATATAGGAAGTGATCACCCTTACAGAGATTAAGCTTTCGAAAATGGCAGTGTCCTTTGGGTGCATATTTATTTAACATTCTGAAGGATGTATACAGCACAGCATTAAAGCTAAGGTTCTGTCAGAGCAAGGACATCACCTTGCACAATGGAACATTCTCCCTCTCTTCTACCCCCATGTGCCAACTAAAGCTGTTCTGAAGTTTCCCCCAACTCTCCAGAGCAGATTTGGGACGGCACACAAAGGGAGGAAAGTGGGAGGAAGTCCTATTGTGCCAGTAGTAATTCTGCATGCAAAACTACTTCATTGAATACTGCCCTGGATTTTGTCATGGGTGTAAAGTATCTAACCAGTGGCTTCCCTCACCAGCATGTATGTGTGGTTTGTCACTGATCATCCTTACCCAGGCATAGGCAAACTCGGCCCTCCAGATGTTTTGAGACTACAATTCCCATCATCCCTGACCCACTGGTCCTGTTAGCTAGGGGATGGTGGGAGTTGTAGTCCCAAAACATCTGGAGGGCTGAGTTTGCCTAGGCCTGTCCTAACTTGTTCCACAGTCTGTTGGATCCTAACTGTCATGAACTAATTTCCACGGTATATGGAAATGTTTTCCATTTGTGGAAGCTGTTTTAACAATTTGTATGTTTTAGTCCCATTTCAAATATCTCCCAACTCCATCCCAGTATAAAAATGTGAAATATTTCTTCCAACTGTCCTCACTTACTAACAATTCCTTTTTCATTCAGTTTTCAGTCAGAGCAGCATGGCCCCCTGCAACTTTCTCCTCCCAGGGAGAACAGATTTTGGACTTTAACGGGCTGCAGAAATGTTTTCCTGCGCTTTCATACCCTGTCCTTTACTTTTCTTGCTCCTTATTCATTTCACCATTGTGCCGAGATGCAATTAACTATGTTTTTCTTGTATGGCCTTATAATTCTGACCATCCCTGTTAACCCGCCGATTCCTTTGGGGGAAGCAGGACACTGAAAGGGTAAGAGCAAAGTATTGAGATCATCGGACATCTGAAGATATAATTAGACATGACCATCCACTGTGAGCATAGTTCAGATTCCAAAAATGGGATAAAAACAATATATATGCTTTTATACTGAGATTGTGTGACATCTGAAGATATAATTAGAGAAAGTCATCTACCGTCAACATAGTTAACATCTGCATCTACCACAATATCACTGAAGAGAGCTAGTTCAGAGTCCAAAAACAGGATAAAAACAGTATCTGTATCTTTAAATAGCTAATGACCAAAAAACACCACAACACCTAGCAGATTTTGAATAGTGGAACAACATGGCAAAAGGCCAAATTGCACATCATGGTAAGCCATGGTTGGTGGCTTAATCATGAATAAGCAGCATTCTAGTGCACACACCCTAATCACTCCCACTTTGTTCTTCCTCTTATGTGAATAGGAGCAACAGACCATGAAACTTGGCTTTTTGCTATGTCCAAATCTGGGGTTGTCATTTGTTTCTTCTGAAAGACCACAATAACAAATCCAATATTTGTTCTTGGCTTGCTGATATTGTTTTGGGGGGAGGAACAAACCATGATCCTGGTTCAAACATAATGGCAAACTAAGTTGCATTGCTTGTTGTTCCTTCTTGCACCAGAGAAGGAGTAATTGTGCAGTTTGTACTAGCACACTCCTCATTCTTGGTAAGTCATCAATAATGGCTTTCTGTGATATGCAAAGAGGGTCATTTTTTACTTGTTGCACCTATGTATTTATTTTAAGCATTTATATGGCCAGTTATTGAATCTGTAAACAATGCACATTTATCACAGGAAATGCTAGTGATTCAATTCAAACATCATACAAAAAGTTTAACTGTTGTTTTGGTGTGATGTACAAACTGACAAGCTGTAGTTTGAAATTGGCCAGTGAACCAGAATTAAAAAACATACATCAAAGTGGTTTGATGTGATGTCTAAACTAACAAACCTCTAGAGGCCTGTGCAGAACAAAAATTGGGGGAGCAGACTAGCTAATTTGCCTGTACATTTGGAAACTCAAACCATGGTTTGGGTTCTAAACCATGGTAGGAATAAACCATGGTTTGGTGTGATGTCTGAACTGAATCAATGAATTAATTCATTCAAAGTCTCATTTACAGAGAGCTACTCTGATGATTCTTTTGTGCCAGATAGGTATAATATAGGTATAATACACAGAGACCCTGCAACTCAGTTTGTGGAATGGGGTTTTTTGTTACTTTTTGTTGCTGCTGCTGTTTTTGTTGTGAGCACATGAGGACTACTGCAGCGTGCTCTGAAGATGGTCCAGAAGCTACAGCTATTGAAAAATTCTGCCACTTGGATTCTCGTGGGGGCCAGAAAATATGAATGCACAATTTTGTTCTGGTTGCTCTGAATACCAGTAGGTTTTTTGTCCCAACGCAAAGTGCTGGTCTTAACCTTTAAAGCCCTCAGTGGCTTGGGTCCAGGTTATCTGAAGAACCACTTTCACCCCTGTAATCCTTGCAGTATGCTAACATCTGTCCCAGGGGTCCTCCTCAAGTTCCCACCATTAAAATCGGCTAGGTTGGTATGTACAGGGCATTGTCAGTGATGGCCCCCAAAACTATAGACTCTCCTTCAATAAACTTTTATCTTATCCCTTCAACCGTGGCATCGAAGGCTTCCTTTTCATGCTGCCTTTAATTGATACCAGAGCAGCTTCTCGGATTAATCTCTACACTGGTTCTGCTGTGACTATTTGTACCTTGTTTCTCACTCCTTTTTAAATTGATTTTTGAGGACTTAGCCCTAAAAAGTGGCTCAAATCCTTCAAATAAGACAAAGTATTTAGGAGACTTCTCCCAGCTGCTGCTTTGGGGTTTCAGTCATACATTCACAATAAGAGATGCTGAAGACCAGTCTCCCTTTTCTCTCATGTCAGTCCAATTTTCTCCATGACTGCAAAATAAGTGCATTATAGATGCTTCATGAAGGTATGAAAGATGAGGCCACAGTGTTGGCCTTGGTAAGTAATTGGCTGTGTAACATGTCATCCAGAGGAATATTGACAAGCACGCTTTCCCATGTGTTGACCGGGTGAAGCAACAAGTGAAAGAATTGACATATTTACAGAGTGATGGAGCGAAAGTGTCTCAAGCAGTAACTGTCGCTCCACTGTGTTGCGTGTTACCCAGTCACATAAAGGCGTTGGTTTTCTGCCCAGGTGGACATGCACTCAGAGCAGCATCAGTCCCCAGTACAATATCTGCGAGCAGATGGTTCAGATCCGAGATGACCATATCCGCTTCATCTCCGAACTTGCTCGCTACAGCAACAGTGAGGTAAGCTTCCATGGAGGGGAACAAAGGCCCTGGAGCAATTTGTGGAATGAAAGGGGGAAAGGTTGGATGTAGACCTGGGGAAATGCTCTGAAATGCTTAGTGGGGAAATCTCATCTGTAATGTTAGAGTGCAAATAAAACCACCCCTCGAGCGGTGGCTAACTACTCTGTTTTCCGGGTTTACTTTATTCAGTATTTTCACTGCCCCTACCCACTTTTAGCCAGCCCAAAGGAGAGTAGCATCCTGGTTGTGTTGTCTGTTTGTTTTTTTAACTTGCCATATCCCTAGGCTAAACTTTTTGTGCCATGCTTTTAATCTTCCTGTGCACTGTACTTCTTCCTGTAAACTCCCCACTGCCACATACTTTCAACCTTTCTCTGAACTTTTTGGCCTTCTATTGCAGAAGACCCCAAAATCAAAAGCAACCATTTTACAACCTAAAGACAAATGCAGAATGGCCAAAACTCATCCTCCAAACCCACCATCATTACAGAGTCCATACCCACTCTGTAATGTGCCCCTTTCTGAGGTTCCAGTTTTCCATCTCTGACTCCTTATTCCTGTTTCGTTTTCCACTTAGGACCATGTCTCAGTTCTTCTGCACCAGCTCCCTTTTCTTCAGGGCTGTCATTTCCGTTTTTTGTACAACTGTTTACTTTTTCTTGCTCAGATCGGAAACTCAGTTAAGGGAGAGGGTAGTACTTTTTAAAAAAGATATGATAGTGGCATTGTTAAGCATGTGTCCCTCAGACAGAGGTACTTATCTGATGTTCTCCAGGTTGTGACTGGCTCAGGATTGGACAGCCAGAAGTCAGATGAGGAATACAGGGAGCTTTTTGACTTGGCTTTACGGGGACTGCAGCTTCTGTCCAAGTGGAGTGCACATGTTATGGAAGTGGTAAGTAGTGGCTATAGACATAGAATACTCAGGGTATCAGATGTGTTTAATTCTTATTCAGCCTGATTGGTGGCCATCGATTACCACGCAACAAAACTTAACGTAAATAAAGCAAGGATTTTGCATACAGTGGAGGAGTTGTGAGATCGTGAAATGGTTTCACTAAGATTTTTCTCAAATGACAAGCGGTGGTTGAACAATATCTGCTTTTGTTTTCTCTATTCAGTATTCTTGGAAGCTGGTCCATCCTACTGATAAGTTTTGTAACAAAGATTGCCCAGGCACCGCTGAGGAGTACGAAAGAGCCACACGGTACAATTACACCAGTGAGGAGAAGTTTGCGTTTGTGGAGGTGGGTGGCTGCATTGTCTCAATACGTTCAAAGTGGCAAATGTCTCTTGGAAAAGGGTGGTTGGAGTGCTAGCATGTGAGGTTCAGTATAGGTAAAGGTAAAGAGACCCCCGACCATTAGGTCCAGTCGTGGCCGACTCTGGGGTTGCGGCACTCATCTCGCTTTACTGGCCGAGGGAGCTGGTGTACAGCTTCCGGGTCATGTGGCCAGCATGACTAAGCTGCTTCTGGCGAACCAGAGCAGTGCACGGAAACGCCTTTTACCTTCCCGCCGGAGCGGTACCTTTTTATCTACTTGCCCTTTGACGTGCTTTCGAACTGCTAGGTTGGCAGGAGCAGGGACCAAGCAACGGGAGCTCACCCCGTCGCGGGGATTCGAACCGCTGACCTTCTGATCAGCAAGTCCTAGGCTCTGTGGTTTAACCCACAGCGCCACCCGCGTCCCTGAGGTTCAGTATACTTGGGGTTAAACATTTTCTCCTTTGGCCAAGTTGTTTCTGGTATGTTTTTTTCTCTGTAAGCAACGCCAGTCCCACTGAACACTACCTGTGTTAGGGCTTTTCCATACTGTACTTGCTTTTCTCCCTGCTCTTTCCAGGCACATGTCCATGCTTTAAAGCTCCATGTCAGAGCACCTTTTTCCTTTTTCTTTCTCCTATAAAAACCTGCTCTTTAAAGCTGAATCAGAGCAAATGGCAATTTGGGTTTTCTACAGATTCCCATTTGCTCTGATTCAGCAATCCAAACATTAGTTTTGGGGGTGGGGGGAATTGACTTGGCATGTTTCCCTTCACTACAGAAGGGCATTGAAAATAAAGGTCCTTTTTTATCTTTAATTACTCAGGTGATTGCTATGATAAAAGGTCTGCAGGTGCTCATGGGCCGCATGGAGAGTGTTTTCAACCAAGCCATCAGGAACACAATATATGCAGCTCTGCAGGATTTTGCTCAGGTGACACTGAGAGAGCCACTAAGGCAAGCTGTCAGGAAGAAGAAGAATGTCCTAATCAGGTGAGGCTGGCCTTCCCAATACAAGCAAAACGTGGCTGTGAAATCTTAAGGGAGAAACCAGATGCTGCACTCAACACAATACTGTCAAAAATGGCAGCCCTGAATGCAGTTCCCCCAGAGTTAATCCATTTTGTGGCATTATCACATTAAGCCTTTCCCCTCTGATGTTCCATATCATTGGCTCCTTCTGATAGGGGTGGAGCAACACACAACTGAATGAGGTCACTGCAGGAGTTAGCATCTCTGAACATGAGGGAGGGAGGGGAAATTTGACATGCGTTTGGTGGCAACTCCATGTCAATCATAATTTAGTTCTACTCTTAAATGTTCCTTTGTTTCTACATAATACTCAAGAGCTGTGTTGAAAGAAAAGAACAATAGCAGCTATTGACATGGTTAAAACCATAATCCATAATCTCAGGATGTTCCTAAGCAATAAAGACAAAGGTTCACAATCCCCCAACAATTGCAGGATTGTCCAAGGGCTTGTGTGAAACCATAGCAGGATGATGATGATGATGATGATTGGATAAACAGACAACACCAACATTCCCATGTATTTAATAAACTGCTTTATTAATAAACTCCAAAGGGCCACATGCATAGAGTGTTTATGTATAAAACTCTGACTTTCCTGTGGCTGGAAGGTAAGGATCACATAAGCTGTGTGACCCATTTTGGCCTCTGGCCACAGTACCACTGGCCCTATCAGGTTTCCCATGAGGTACTGTGGCCCCAAGGCTTTTAAAAAGACCCACACTGCTCCTGTATTAATTGTATCTTTGCATCAGTCCTGTGAGGTAGGCCAGTCTGAAGAAACAGTGATTTACTAGGCCCTATTCAGTGGAGAGTTGAATCGAATTTCTTTCATCTTCCTAGTGTCCTCCAGGCAATTAGAAAGACAATCTGTGATTGGGAGGGAGGGCGTGAGCCTCCAAATGACCCCTGTCTGAGAGGCGAGAAGGACCCCAAAGGCGGTTTCGATATCAAGGTCCCACGCCGAGCTGTAGGGCCTTCTAGCACACAGGTATGTACCTCCTTCTCTGCTGAGAGCAGTTTGGGACTCTAAGATGTTGTGTCTGTAAACTAAACATTTAGAATGCTTTTGTTTCAAAGTTTCTCTTTAACACCAGTCACGCTGTCTTAATTATATCATGTATAATTATGTAATGTGTGAATTACGTTCTGTGAATCGCACTGTCCTTAGCAAGTAGGATGTTGCAGTTCGTAACATTGTTTTCTGTTCTAAACGTGCAGTTGGTTCGCAGTTCAGCATTAAACACATTGGTTATAAAAGGAGGAGCCTCTCCAGTAACATCAGCCTGCTTGTCCACTTTTCCTTTTCAAGGAGCCTTGATCCTCCTGACAAACAGATATCAACACTATTAACTCAGGTGGTGTAGGTCACATCTTGGGTCCTCTGGAAGTCTGGTTAGATCCTCTCACCTAATAGGTGATTGGCACTGTCAGAAATGAAAATCTAGTAAATGGTGCTGGAGTAGTATGTATACATCATGGAGGCTGGAAATGGTGTTTTCATTCCCCTCCCCCGCCACAGTAGTTCTCTGAGGGACAAGATATTATTCCAATCAACATATAATACACAGGACCTTTCATATTCATTGGTTTGGAGCTATTTAAAAGGTAAAGGGACCCCTGACCATTAGGTCCAGTCGTGGCCGACTGGGGTTGCAGCGCTCATCTCGCTTTATTGGCCGAGGGAGCCGGCGTACAGCTTCCAGGTCATGTGGCCAGCATGACTAAGCCGCTTCTGGCAAACCAAAGCAGCGCACGAAAACACCATTTACCTTCCCGCTGGAGCGGTACCTATTTATCTACTTGCACTTTGACGTGCTTTCGAACTGCTAGGTGGCAGGAGCAGGGACCAAGCAACGGGAGCTCACCCCGTCGCGGGGATTTGAACCGCCAACCTTCTGATCGGCAAGTCCTAGGCTCTGTGGTTTAACCCACAGAGCCACCCAACCTGGTGCCCTCCAGATGTTTTAGATTCCTGTTCCCATCATCCCTGACCATTGGCCATGCTGTCTGGGGCTGATGGGAGCTGTACTACAGTGTTCCAGGTTGAGCAAAGCAATTAAGTGGCATGGGAAATATAAATTGCCAATAATAATAATAATAATAATAATAATAATAATAATACATTTTATTTATATAAACAAGCTTTTGAGCTGGAATTTTGTTAATAGGTTTTTAAGAAAAAGTACAGATGAACTCACTCTTGAGCGGTCATTAGCTGTAGGAGATGATGCAGACTACAGGCAACCTCCCATTTATGCAGGGGTTACATTCCAAGGCACTGTACGCATCAGCGAAAGTGTATATATTTGAAAAACAATTGGAAAAGCCTACAAACATTCTTGAAAACCCCTTAAAAAATCCAAGCTCTCTCCAAACTTTGCTCGAAACCCCAACCCTCCATAGGCCTCAGTGGTTGGTGCAAGGGCTCTTGGGTTTGCACTTGCAAAGGTTCTTGGGATTGCTAAGTGCTGTTTCCATGCCTCTTCTGACCTTTCTAGGTTTTTGCCATTTTAAAATTCACTTCTGGGTTTTGCGCGATTTACTTGGAAGTAAATTTTATTGTGACTGTATGCGCAGTCACGTACATATTGAACACACGTAAATAGGGGGTTGCCTGCATAATAAGAATAATCACTCTCCTCTTGCAGCTTTATATGGTGAGAACCATGCTGGAATCGCTCATTGCAGACAAAAGTGGCTCAAAGAAGACTCTCAGGAGCAGCCTGGATGGACCAATAGTTCTGGCCATTGAAGAGTTCCACAAACAGTCCTTCTTCTTCACTCATCTTCTCAACATTAGTGGTAGGTAGTAACAGTCGCAGGTTTGATATGAATGCATGTTTGATGTGTGTAATTCGTCAAGGATAGTAGCGTCTCAGGCAGCCTTTCTGTTGATATGAATACATGTTTTATATGAGTTAACATTTCAAAGGATAGTAGCATCTGGGAGAATCTCTCCCATTTGCTGTAGCTCATCTTAAGGTGCTTTTAGATCTGGATGTGAACTTTGTCAGAAATTGCTACCATGTGTGTTTAAACTGTTTTCTTGAATACAGTAGTTTATGGTCATGAAGCATGTTTATTTCTTAAAATAAAAATCGTATATCATGTACATACTCTTTTCTTAACTCATATATGCTTTTATATCTGATATATATTATAATTTATAATAATAGCAGATGTAGACTAGCCTTCTGCTCATCCTTCATAAGTGTTAAACCTTCCTTCGCTATTTGTGTTTGTAGAGGCCCTCCAACAATGCTGTGACTTATCCCAGCTTTGGTTCCGGGAATTTTTTCTGGAGTTGACCATGGGCCGCCGGATTCAGTTCCCTATTGAGATGTCTATGCCTTGGATTCTAACAGATCACATCCTGGAAACCAAAGAACCTTCTATGATGGAGTAAGAGCTCAAGGACGTTGTGGAATGCATCTGTGGAAATAAATGGGTTGGATATCTTTGAGATGGCAAACTGAAGGCATTTGTCTTTATTGTGGCATGTATTCCTTCTAGCATGTAAAAGGAAATAGTGGCCTAGTGTCTAAGGTCAGGTACTATTCCATCTTTACTTGCCTTTCATTTGGGGTACATTGTCTCCTTTTGCCATCAGAAGGGTGGATGGCAATGAGGACTGTCTTAAAGGGTAAGCCAGATGTTTTGCCTAATGGGAGGGGCTCCTCAGGTGATGCATAAAATCGGCATTCATCGCTCTGGTCTTTTTAGAACCTGTGAAACAAGTGAGATTGATTTATGGCAGTGGGGGGTATGTTTCACTTGGGTAGTTCAAACTCTTCCATCAGTTTCAGTTTGTGTGTGTGAAGAAATTCGTTTTTAAAAGTCAGAGGATTAATAACATGCATTGTTAAATTGTAAATATTGATTACATTTTATGCATGAAACTAAGTTTCCACTGGGTGTGCTTGGTTGGTTTGTTTTTAAACACATTCTTACGAAGTGTCCATAGCACACTGAAATGCAGGTCCTGATCTCTCTGACAGGAAGCTGCCATATTCAGAGTCAAACCATTGGCCCATGTAGCTCAGTATTGTGCATGCTGACTTGCAATAGCTCTCCGATTTCAGGCACGGTTCTCTCCCAGCCCTTCCTGAGGAGGCCAGGAATTGAACCTGAGACCTTCTGCATGCAAAGCAGATGCTGTACCAGTGTAATATAGCCATCCCAAGGACAGTTTTTGGTACTATATCTATCAGGTCTTCCGTTCTCTGCCATCACTGGCTCCCATTTGCCATTCTTCTTACTTCTTGCACCCTTGGACATGACCATGCTTCCCACGTGCCCTTTCCCTTCTTGCTCATATACAAATACTTTTGAGTGCAAGATTCCACGCACTCCAGGTTGGCTTTAGTGCTAAGTGAGCAGGCAGAGAACTTCTGCTTTAAAGAAGAAAGAAACGGAGGTGACTGTCATACCCAAACACTGTGCTGGCATGTCCTAAGCCTGTTTCCTTCATTGCAGGTATGTGCTGTATCCATTGGACCTCTACAACGACAGCGCTTATTATGCTTTGACCAAGTTTAAAAAGCAGTTTCTCTATGATGAAATTGAAGCAGAAGTGAGCTTATTTTCTTTTTTCTTACCTAATTGTTCTTGTAACTTCATAAACAATTGTCCAGTCTTATGCATTTTGGTCCTAAAGCCTGTTTCTTTCACTCTTCTGACAGGTCAACTTGTGTTTTGATCAATTTGTTTACAAATTGGCAGACCAGATCTTTGCTTACTATAAAGCAATGGCTGGCAGGTAGGAGACTTCTGCTCGGTTTTGGTTCAATTGTCAAAACATGTCAAGCTTTTAACTGTGTTGTATCAGCTGCTTCCTTATCTGAAGATCTTATGGCTTGTGCAGGTGGTGAGATCACAACAAATATACATTGCTGGAAAATGAGAGGAGATTGTTAGCACAGAGTTGAAAATGGTCCATGTTAATAACACAAACTGCTTAGTATTGCATACTCTTTATTGGTAACTACCTTTTTAACAACTAAATATTGTCACTTATCCAAAATATATTGCCTAACCTCTGTTCCAAATTTTGCACCATGGAAACAGAACTTCTATGTTAGTAACTTACAGATTTTTTCATGCACTAAATCCCACAATTAATTTGATGGTTCAGATACCCTTGCTGAATGTGTATAGCATAGGGGTAGCCAAATGGAGACCTCCTGACTCTGTTGGACTTCTGGGGCGCATCAAGTTCACCACCTATTGCCTAGCTCTACTTTTAGGTGAAATATTGTTAATAACATAAAGCTATTCAAGTAAAAGCATTGACAAGTTGCTTTCCAATTACAGTGTATTATTGGATAAACGATTCCGGGCTGAATGTAAGAATTATGGAGTGATTATACCTTACCCGCCATCCAACCGCTATGAAACGTTGCTCAAACAGAGACATGTCCAGGTACAACTTAAGTCGGTTGCAACAAGATTCCCAGTCTTTTATATTGGCTTGCCAGCTGGGGAGGAATCGTACATCAAGTTTACATTCCAGACATCTGTGCGTTGCCAATCTCTGCCATGCACAGAGATGTAAATATGAAAGCCTAAATAATTTTATATAGCACACCTCAGATCCCAAGCCAGCCAAAGTTACTCTTGTAGTTGCTTCACCTATGGTGAGAAGCATCACACACATACAAACATTTTTTGGCCATTAAAAGTAACTGTGTGAATGTACTCATAATATGATTTCTATCCCTAGTGAAATAATGGGCTTTAGTAGAATGGACAGTTATGGTTGGCATTTCTCATCCATTCATCTCATGGCATACTTTCAAATATGGAAGCGTTCTCCTTTTTATTGTTTCCATGGGAACATAGGAAGCTGCCTTATACTGAGTCAGACCATTGGTCCATCTTACTCAGTATTGTCTTGCTCACTAACTGGGAGCCTCCCAGACAGGGTTCTCTTTTAGCCCTGTCTGGAGATGTGGGACTGAACCTTCTGCATTCAAAGCAGATACTGAGCTACAGCCCTTCTCGCTCATATGCCCCAGCCAGCAGGGGTTGTTTTACCGACTGAAGCTCCACTTCATGCATACAATTACTCCCTTACCCTCAATTTTACTACAGTGGAGGAAGCAGATCCTTGTGCATATTCCTTTGCAAGCATGGGCTTTCCCTGGCTGCTGAAATGAATGGATCAAAATCCTTACCCCCATTTTATTATAGATAGGCCAACTCATACATTTGGGGTACAAGTTAGTTCTTTCTCTCTGCATAGTAATTCCGAATCAAGGACCACTTCTTAATCATCTTCTCACTTGCTGTCTGTCTTGTGACTTCCACAGCTGCTGGGCCGATCCATCGACCTAAATAGACTCATCACTCAGCGTATCTCAGCCGCAATGTACAAATCACTAGACCAGGCCATTAGTCGCTTTGAAAGTGAGGATCTGACATCCATTGTGGTAAGTTTTCCCAGTGGCTCTACTAAGGCTGGATGACAGGATACAGGTTGGAGGGGGGTGTTCCTAAATAACAACTGTAGTAACCTCAACATGTTTTTTCTTTCTTCAATTTTGTAAGTTTTTACATAGAACAGCTGTACTGTGGAGAGAAGATCCAGATACATTATTTCTCATAGTCAGAATGCCTCTGGGCACCATATGATCTTTCCCAAGACCCTCTCAGATCTGGATTAAGGCGAGGAAGCAGAATGGAAAGACCTACTTCCCAATGCACAAATATTGCATCTCTAGTATATTTATAATCCCCAGTGGAGTCTATTCTCTTATTACTAACGTGCTTACAGTATGTAGATTCAGGTCTTGCTCATGGATATGTTACAATCAGGAATCAGAAAGGGAAGTTGTCAATCCTAAATGCATCTTTTGATAATGGTGCCAAAGGAGACTGTCCACATTCACTGGACCTATCTCCAGATGGGGGAAGAACTGTCAACATCCTCTAGTGGTTGCTGATAGCCTCCACACCTTGGGCATTCAGCATAACATACCGCATTTTTCCATGTATTAGACGAGGTTTTGTGACTCAAAAATCGTGTGAAAAAACGGGGGTCGTCCAATACATGGACAGTGGAATGGGGGGTGTGTGGCATGCCCGCCAGCCAGCCAGTTGGTGGGAGCGCAACTTCCTCCGATGCTGCAGTAAGCGGGAAACGATCTAGGGAGTGTTTCCTGCACACAGCTGCGTGGGTGGGAGAAGCTGTGTGCCTCCAGCCAGCTGGTTGGTGGGAGCGCAACTTCCGGTGCTGCTGTGCATGGGAAACACTCACTAGATCGTTTCCCGCACACAGCGGCATCAGGGGAAGTTGTGCTCCCACCAACCAGCTGGCAGGTGGGAGCACAACTTCCCCTGATGCTGCTGCATGTGGGAAGCGATCTAGGGAGTGTTTGCTGCCCACAGCTGCATGGGGGGAGAAGCTCAACAACTTTGGGCCATCTCCCCTCATTTTCTTAAAATTGAGTTCCCAAAAATAGGGGGGAGTCTTATACATGGGGGCGACTTATAGACAGAAAAATACGGTAGATAAAATTTATTGGTTCTCTTCTTGGCAAAGAAGAGGCATAAATAACCGTGCACTGGAGTATGAGATTTTCAAATAGTTGGGTCACTAAGCAATTGCCTAGTGTGATACAACGGCTAAGAGATTGCCTTGTGAAAATTCAGCCCGAACCCCTTAAGTCTTGTCTCTGCCATGAATCCAGTCAGTGGTCTTAGGAGGTCACTGTGTCTCAGCCTACATCTCCCCTTTCTTCTACAGTTTGCAGTATGGGTACAATAATAAGCTTTGTAAGGGTTAGTCAGCTGATGTAAGTAAGCGGTATAAATATAACTGTTAAGAAAATTGTGTTGCCTTTATAATTCTTCCCCTGGCATCAGTCCAGATCAGATGTATGGTGTTTTCAGTCCACAACCTGTTAGAAAAGTGCCCACTCCTTTCTTTGGGTGCAGGAGCTTGAATGGCTTTTGGAGATAAACCGTCTGACGCACAGACTGCTGTGCAAGCACATGACCTTGGACAGTTTTGATGCCATGTTCCGAGAGGCCAATCACAATGTCTCGGCTCCTTATGGTCGCATCACCCTGCATGTCTTCTGGGAGCTGAACTTTGACTTTTTACCTAATTACTGCTACAACGGGTCTACTAACAGGTAAGAAGAAAATGTCAAATAGCTCAGTTGGTAGAGCGTGAGACTCTTAACCTGGGGGTCGTGGGTTCGAGCCCCACATTGGGCAAAAGATTCCTGCATTGCAGGGGGCTGGACTAGACTCTTGCCGTCCCTTCCAACTCTACAGTTCTGTCATTCAAAGTGAGGTGCAGTTTGAAGGCTAGTTATAGCTTATGGGTGCATTTCAAGACTCATGCTCTTCATCCTTCTTGACCCAAACCAAGGTGGATTACACATAATCAATTTCACAATAGAGTATTGAAACTGAAAACAATTATAGGCATTGCTCTTGAGTTGGTCAGGGTTTTGGCATAGTTAATTTTAGATCAGAAAAATGACATCTCATTAAGCTGTCAGGGTTGGATGGAAGGGGAAGGGTCACATAAAGCTGGTTAATGTGGGAGTCTTAGAGGATACTGTAAATATTTGTGTACAAATGTGATGGGGTTGTATCCAAAGTTGTGGGAACGAAAAGCATACAGCTGATCTCCCCCCCCCCCCCCGCAGCCCAAAATCCTTCCACTTGATATTGGATAATTCCTCCCTCATATTGCAGCCCTTTTTCACATTCGCAGGGTTTTCAGAGGCTGGAGGAGGGAGGAGAGGAAGAGAAAGATTGATTGACTGAGCTCTGCCTTCTACACCATTGGATACAGCCCACAGAATTCATAATAGACACGGAGCTCCGTTATATTATATTATATTATATTATATTATATTATATTATATTATAATTATATTATATAGCTTATTGACTAAACTGCGGATAAAAATATGTAGCATTGTTTGATACAGTTCTTTGAAGAAGCATTTATGTTAAAATATATTTTCAGTAACACTGAAATTCTAGTGATTTGTATTAACAGTTAGAAATGTTCATTTCACAAGTAAAATAAAAGGGGTTTTTTTCACCGTACTTGGTAGGTGAATACAATAAAAATAGGAAAATATTGTTTCTAACTGAAAATATTAGTAAAACTGCCAGTTCATGCAGGAAAATAATTAGTTAACTTGGTGCATAAAGTAATAATGTAAGGAGGGAATCATAGTGCAATACACATCTACTCCAAAACAAGCTTCGGATGCCATTTTCTTCCATTTTTCCACAAATACCAGATTTGTACGGACAGCAATTCCATTTACCCAAGAACCCCAGAGAGATAAACCAGCCAACGTCCAGCCGTACTATCTTTATGGATCTAAGGTGAGTCAGGAAACATATTGGGTATTCAGAGTCCAGTTTGGAAGGAGTTTCATTTAAATGAATGATTTAATGAAAGATGCACCTTAATTCAGTTAATGTCAGAGCGTAGCAACTGCATTGCGGCTTTCTGTAACATTAGTGTATCTGAGGGTCAGTGAGACATTTTTCACAAATGATGTCCATTTGGCCAGTTTCCATGTGATTTGTGCCAGGAAATACTGCAGGGGGCTGGTGCAGTCCTCACATCATTACACAAACTGTCTGCATCAGTGCTCCATTACTGCATTGCCTTGCTTAAATGTTAATGTTACTAACCCTCCCATAATGTTCCTTTATCATTGGACAAATATCGCAATACCCATCACCCCACCTGTTGTCTCAACTTCCTTTTCTCCTTATTATTGGCTTTTCCTTAAGAAAAACAAGCTTTGGAGAAGTATATCCATTACCCCTTTACAGATGGGCCTGGTTCATGCATAATGATCCCAGTCCAATAAATTATGGCTTCCTTCTCATCACCCCATCTCCTCTGTTCTCAAGTACCCTTCATTTGTGGGTTTTTAAAACCATGGTTTCCCATGATGTCAGACCTGGGAAACTGTTGTTTTAAGTATTTCCATCAAATGACAATCACAATGCAGGATCAGATTCTTGACTCCTGTACATTTTTCTGTTCCAACCTGAGGTTCATTTCATGGCAAAAAAAATGTTCCAATGTACATAGCAAGCAGTGTTAGGCCACATCCAAAGCCTTCCCCCAACACTACAATGAATGAAGAAGTCAATCAATGCAAATTCTGGAGCTCATTCTTTAATCAGAGCATCTGTAGAGCTTTGGACTGAGGCAAACATGGTAAACATGTTTTTCATTAAAATCATTGAGTTAATGGCCATAATCCAAAGGTATACACACAGAGAGAGTAGGATGCTGGCACAGCAGGAAATTTGCTCATTGCTCATGGCAGTTCCAACTGAAGACAGAAACTTCTTTCTAAAGTAGACAGTGCTGATATCTTTGCAGTGGGAATTGAAGAAGGCATTTACAACAAGGCCCCCAACTGTAGACATGTTCCTCAAGTTCCCCACCCTGGTGTGCTCCGATCACTTCTTTGGATCATCACAATCTGTATTTTTAGGCTCGGGTTTTTAATCAGAGCTAATGACTCTATATATTTGCTTTATAGAAGGTTGAAACGTGATTATTTTAAAAAATAAAACACTATGGTACCATCTGTTTGCAGAGACGGCAAAATCACATTGATAGGAAATGTCATTGTCTGTGTTAGCCAAGATTTAGATCTGATCTACACATTACTCCAGCAACAGACCAGTTAAAACCATCTGAAAATAACGACTAATGTGAAATGACACATTGTTCCTCTGCATCAAATGGAAGGTCTCCATGGTACTTCAGTAGTGATCTTCAGGCTATTTCAGCACAAGCATGGAGATTCTTCACACAGTAAGCTTAAGAAGAGTCTGCTGGGCCATCTTTCCCAGCATCCTGTTCTCACAGTGGCCAACCAGATGCCTGTGGGAAACCTGCAAGCAGGATTTGAGCACAAGAGCACTCTTCCCCTTATGCAGTTTCCAGCAACTGGTATTCAGAATCATTACTACCTCTGACCATGAAGTCCTCCATCGTAGCTAGTAGCCTTCAACAGCCTTCTTCAGGAATTTACCTAATTCTCTTTTAAAGCCATCCACGTTGGTGATCATCACTGCTTCCTGTGGCCACAAGTTCCATAGTTTAACTATGTACCGTGTGAAGAAGCACTTCCTATTATCTTTTAATCTTCACCTTCATTGGATGCCTAGGAGTTCTAGAATTAGCCATGCATAATTTCATGCACTTTCATCGTGTCACAGAAAGGAGGACGGTCTGGGACTGATGTGGAAGCACTTATACATATTAAACCTGCAGTATGGAGATGCTACCATCTTGACTGCAATTTGCAGCTGCCTCCACATGGGGGCCACAGCAGATAGATTGTTCCTCCACTAAGTTCCCATTCTTTAGAATGAAGAATTTTGTGTAGGTCAAACGCTTTTCCTACTCCACCACCAACAGAAACTGATCCATTTTACCTGCTTCATGTAAAGTTAGCACTTCATTTGCTTGGTATACAGTGGTACCTCGGGTTACATATGTTTCAGGTTACAGACTCCGCTAACCCAGAAATAGTACCTTGGGTTAAGAACTTTGCTTCAGGTTGAGAACAGAAATCTTGCTCCGGCGGCACGGCGGCAGCAGGAGGCCCCATTAGCTAAAGTGGTGCTTCAGGTTAAGAACAGTTTCAGGTTAAGAACGGACCTCTGGAACGACTTAAGTACGTAACCAGAGGTACCACTGTATTTTCATTATTTATTTATTCATTCTAAGCAGCCCTTCATCGTGTAAGATGGGTGGAGAAACCTTTTTTTAACACTGAGGACCACATTTCCATGGCAGCTCTCCTGGGGTCCACACGCCCAGTGGACCCCAGGTGATGGATCTAGGATGCAGTGCTGACTCCAGAGAAGTATATGGCCAGGTTTTCATTAGTTTCTGATCTAGTATATCAAAGAGTAAAATTTACCCACCAAAGCAGATTGATGAGAGAGGCTGTCAAGCACAGCTATTTTCTTGAGATTTAGTTCCTGTGTTTCACCTGTCAGAAGAGAAATGCCTATGAGTCTCTTCCAGAGATGCACTTGGCATTCTGGAGTGATGAATTTACTTGAATGTTATGGGCTGTAGTAAAACGTAGGTAATGGCAGCAAATCAAGCAACAGCCGTTTAGATGAATTGCAGGTCAATCTTCTTGTTGTTGTTTTAGTCGTTTTAAAGTTCAGTGTTTACAGTTGATGAACACTCTTGCCATGTGAAAATCAATACACCAAGAGTAATGTATCCGGTTCTGGGCATTACAATCTAAGAAGGACAAGCTGGAACATGTGCAGAGCAGGGCAACCAAGATGACCAAGGGTGTGGAAACCAAACCTTGTGGGAAACAGTTGAAGGAATTGGGTATGTTTAGCCTGGAAAAGAAGAGTCTGAGAGAAAATACAATAGCCGTCTTCAAACATCTAAAGGGCTGTCACATGGAAGATTGTATTCCCCTGTTCTGGGTGCTAAATTACAAGAAAGGAGATTCTGATTAAACTCAGAAATAACTTTCTGGCAATAAGAGCTGTTCAAGAGTGGAAAGGCCTCCTTCAGGTTTTTAAGCAAACCATGTATGCCTTAGTTGAGATTCCTGCATTGCAGGGGTTGGACTGGATGACCCCCCGGGTCCCAACTCTACAATTCTATCATTTATATAAGTGGAAAGGAAGAGAGAGATGACTGGGATCAGGTTCAGAATTGCATGCTGTAGTCTTAGGGACTTCCTATGTTCAAATGTATCTACAGGAAAATATAAAGAAAACTAGGAAAGCACTAGGTATTTCTCATGCTAGGTTCTCTAAAGCATTGTTGAGCAAACTGACATGCTTTTTAAAAAATGAGTCCTTTTTTCTGTGGATTACTGTTTGCCACTGTACTTGAAATTAAAATACCGTAGTAATGTTTGGATGGCTCAGGTTCCTTTTTATTATTTTATAAGCAGGGCAATAGGAAAGTGTTTGTCAGAGATGACTGTCAAGAGAAAATAGCCAGCCAGCCACCCACGTAAATTCACCTTTATAGCACCTTTTGCAGCAGAACCATTGTAGGTTAAAAAAATGGAATGTATTACTTTCCATCAAAACAGGAAATAATATGTACAAATATAGCACATGACTATTGTTTTCATGAGTTTGTTCACCCAAAAAATACTGGTAGCATAACATTAGTAATTCTGATTTAAGGAGTCTCTAGTTACCTAATGCAAGAAGAATGGATGGTATTCTCTGTTGTTTCCTAATTTAAGGACTCTGTCTGTCCTGGTAGCAATGCAGGAAATTGCACTCTGCCTTTGCCTATAAGGTGTGGAGCTGATGTCAAGTGTCTCCAGTGTGATTGTGAAACAGAGTAGGGATTCAAATATATATAAGATACTTTTGTAGAGATGACTCCCCACTTATGTGGGGGTAACATTCTGGCCCCCTGTGCACATAAGTGAAATCACGTAAATTGGGGAGCACTCTTTAAACACTCTCTGTGCCCATCTCTCTTTAATCCACACTAAAAATACTGTATCCAAAAACATCCACAACTAGAATTGAAGCTCTGTGATCGGCAGTAGTTATTTTTTATTAACCAATCTTACAGTACAATCCTATGCATGTTTACTCAGAAGCACGTCTCACTGTTTAGGAATTATTATTATTAGGAATGTGTGCTTAGGATTCCAGCCTCAAAAACAGCGATACATAATGCCTTCCATGTTTTAAACAATGCCTGAAAATTCAGAACTGCAAGTACTTCTGGGTTCCTTTTGTAAAAATGGCATCATATTTATTTTCCAGGAATGTGAAGTAAGCACAAGTATCCATTAGCAACTGAATTAATTCCTTTCTGTTCCATTGCTTATTGCTACATATGAATTCAGGCAGAGACAAAGAGCTGCTAAAACTCCCACACAGAAGAACATGTTGATTCACTGCTGCTATATCCCTTTCTGTTCAGTAGCTGCAGTCTTCCTTTTTCAGTGTGTAAATCCACTTTTGAATATTCATCAGCTGTTTAGCATCCACATGCTGTTCTTTTTGTATTTGTAATAGCTGCAACTGTTATGCTACTTAATACAGGGAGTAACTTAACTACACTTCTTGTGCTCATCTTTGTAATTCTTTTTACACGTTTTTAAAGAATTTACTTGTTTTAACATCACTGTCCCACGTAAAGTGATCCTTATGTGCATTTCTTAAACTATTTTTAAATTTTTATAAATATATTGTTTTACCTTTACCTCATCACTAGAAAGTTGTGCATAGGCTGTGATCAGGAGCTCTGATCAACATGTTGAGGTGAAGGGTCAACTCACACAATCCTGCTCCTCACTCACTCTGCATATTGACTGAACTTGTCTGAACAAGGCTATGATGAAAGTCTTGGGAAACAGGACTATAGCAAAGTACTTCTCACTATTGCTTATTCAGATTTCACTTGGACACTCCCATTAAATGGACTCTACACCTGGTGTTCCAATCTTCCATAAATTGCTTAATGAAAATGATGTAACATACAAAGCAAAGAGACCTCTGTTTATATGTCATCACACAATTTACCGTCGCTTGGCATCAGCCAATCATGTTAATTATATTTACTCCAGTATCTACATTAATTCCATTATCACATTGATATCAAAATATAGTACCTTATTGATGCACAAGCTAATGATTCATAGGAGGCTGTAATCATGATGTTAGAATAATACAAGGAAAGCCAACAGAAGGCCAAAGGGTACTTGTTGGACATGTTAAACAGAAGTGAACATCCAGTGTCTTATTATAGTAATGGTGTTGCAATCACAGTTTGTTCATATAACTTTCCTTATAAATGGAGATTGAACAATGCATGTCTCCTCAGAAGTTAGACACGTTGAGTTCAGTGGACCTCACTTCTGGGAAAGTGTGTACAGGAGTGCAGCCTAAGAAAAATGTGTCCAGAGTTGGCAAAGAAACACAGATAACAACAGGGGAAAAAACACTGTATGAGAGGCACATTTGCTTTTGGACAGAGATTCCAGAGTTTTGTGCAGAGAATTCAAAATTCTCTGTCAGCCTACCACTAGATTCTGTAATATTATTAGCAAAATAGGAAAATGTTTACTTAGTGATCTGCAAGCTTCAAACAGTTTGTATAGCTGTTCAATATATTTTGAAGATCCAGTAATGGTTTTGTTTTTGCCCACCCCCACAGCCACTCAACATCGCCTACAGCCACATCTATAGCTCCTACCGGAACTTTGTGGGACCTCCTCATTTCAAGACAATCTGCCGGCTCCTTGGGTACCAAGGGATTGCTGTGGTGATGGAAGAATTGCTGAAGATCGTCAAGAGCCTGGTAATGGTGAAGTTGTGGATGAGGTTCAGGCCAGGAAGTCAAAACAATTCTGTATATTGAACAATACATTTTAAAAATAAAATGTATATTATTTTAGAATATAATTTCCATTACATTGAGATGCCTGTTTTGGGTTGGCAGAGTATCTCCACTGAAAATATTCTGTTCTGGACTCTGATTACATTGTATTGGATCAAAGACAATGAGAACAAAATTAAGCACCAGGAACTTGGGAAATGAAAGATGTTCCTGGACCTATCTGCAGTGCACATTTATATCAGTCTCTGATCTCCCCAGACCTCACTTTGCAATTAGAAACATAGGAAGCTGCCTTATACTGAGTCAGACCAATATTCCCTCCAGTTCAATATTTTCTGTGATGACCGGCAGCAGCTGTCCAGGATTTCAGACACGGTCCTCTCCCATCCCTAGATGCTCTACCACTGAGCCACAACCATTCCCCAGGGTTCCCTGAAGCTTTGTTTAGAACCTTTAAAAAAAGGAACACCACTGTTGTAAATCATTTTCATAAACGCATCTGTGGCCACTTTGTAAAACAGAATAAACTTTCAACTTTAAGCTGATCTTCTAGAGCTGACCTTTTTGTTCTTCTGCTTCTTGTAGTTGCAAGGGACCATCCTTCAGTATGTGAAAACCTTGATAGAGGTGATGCCAAAGATCTGCCGCCTGCCAAGGCATGAGTATGGATCTCCAGGTTGGTACTTGGAATGCTTCATGAGATGGCTATCAATGTCAGTTCTTCCCTATGTGCATCTTTATTTATCTGTGAAATTTAATGCACTTTCACCATTCTGCTCAGGATGGCTTGTGTGCGGTTATCCTGCTCTAAAATAAGTTATGCCAAGAGATAGTTACTTGCCTAAGGCCACCTTCATAACAATGGAGGTTTGAACCTAGGTGTCCTTGGCATAGGTCCAGTGTTCAGCCCATTATACCGCACTACCTTTTCCTGTGGTTTCAGTTTGTTGATGTCGATGTGTGGAGAAGTCTCCTAAAAGACTAAAGATTATGGAGAGTCCATGCTGACATCCCACCAGGAGCAGATAGCCGGGTTATCGTTCAAGAAAGCTGTTCTGTCCACCCAAGAGATTTCAGGTGGGGATGGAGTTGTGTTTGGCCTGGATGGTGGTGGAACACGAGCATCAGCATGTCAGCACATGTTATGTCAATGCTGACCTAGTCCGAATTGATGGACTAGGTTTGCTCCACCCCTGTCCAGTTTGCTATTCTCAGCTCCTGCCAGGTTGCCCTTGGGCCACAATGTTAGGACTAGAAGGTCACTAAATTCCAAATAGGAATCCTCTAGTTTGCAGTGGTTTTGTTGCTGTTGTTTTGCCTACTCTGTACAGGGCCTTAGAGAAAGTAATATGTCCTAACATCTTGAGCTCACAAGAAACAGAGGTATCTGGAGTATCTTTCTCTTTCCCCTACTTTTTTCCGGGTATGATTGGCTGTCAGTAGCGTCCTTCCACAGCATTGCTCTTCAGGTGTGGAGCAGCCCGAGCCATAGACTTCTAAGAAAGTTGAAATGAAAGTAGAGTGTATGAGGCAGGCGCTCAGGACCACAGCTACTTCTAAAGGCAACACCAACTTGCTCTTCACAGTTGGTACCCTTCTTTCTTATCATATCAATCCATAGTTAATTTCTTCCTTTCTCTCTTGCTTCTTACTAGGAATCCTGGAGTTTTTCCATCACCAGCTGAAGGATATAATTGAGTATGCAGAGCTCAAGACGGATGTGTTCCAGAGTCTGAGAGAAGTGGGTAATGCCATTCTTTTCTGCCTTCTCATAGAGCAGGCCTTGGTGAGTTAAAATGAATTCTTTCAAAAATTGGCAGGGTTTTAAATAGATAAATCAACCAACCAACCAGATGAGCTCACCCAGTTCAGTTAATATGTTGATGCAACTGTGATTTAATTAATGAGGGTGGCACCATTTGTGTGTGTGTGTGTGTGTGTTTAAATGGTTTGGTATCAGTTGTAAAGCCATTTTAATGAGAATAGACTTGAGGAGATAGCTGGTGGAAATCAGAATGTACAAACCATGGCATGTGGGAATTAAATTAACATGAAAGTGGTGTGGATTGTGGAGTGGTTTCAGGAACAGAAAGGCTCTGTGCTTTTAACTGGTTTGGAAGAACAGATCATCATGAGGCTTCGTTGTGGATTTAGTGTGTTACATACACATGGCATGGAGCTATAGGGATAAAGGGAAGTTTGGGGACTCTCATATGCATGGCATTTTTATGTGGTATGGGTATGTACCCTGCTCGGAGTAAATCCAAACAGTCTACGTGTCCCTTCAACTTCATCCTTTGCTGGTCCCTTGCCTGTTCTTATAGACCCCACTTCAGGATTGCTAGTAATAGTGATATCTGTACAGGTTGCATACTTTGCATGACATTGCTGTTTGAATTTGCAAAAACAGTGCCTGAATTCTTAAAGTACCTCCACTGTACTACTTCCTGCACATCTGGTTTAGCACCAGCACCAAACCATGAGTGCAGATAGTTGCTTTCTGGATATCCCTTAGTGCCCAGCCTAATCCTTTTGGTGCATCCCACCTTCTGTTAAGAGGAAGAATGTGTCTTCTTGGGATGCTTGACTGTATCATAGCTCTCTTGAACAGCATTTTCTCCCATTGTGGCTATGTTGGTCCTTCCGATCTGCATAATGTTAATGTGCGCTTGAATGTGCACAACAGCCTCCCCCACCCCCTTACTGGATACTTATTCACTGAGTTGCTTTTCATAGTAGAGACACATCATTAGTGTATTAGGGAGCCAATACTATTTTGATATAGGAGCAAAATGCCAATGGCAGCATGGAGGTAAGCGCATCAAGGTCATAGTCCAAGAACAAGTATTCTGGGAAAGGACAATCAGCAGAAATTATATGTGTTGTATGTGAATAAACCTATCCAGTCTTTCTCTCAGTTCTAAATTCATCAGTGAAGATTTGGATTAAATAATGTAAAATGAATCATTCCTTTGTACTTTCTGATGGCCATAAAGGCACACATAACTCAATCCAATACAAATTTGGTTACTGTGTTCGATATGACTGATTTATTATTTTTTCCTCTACGAGTGTCTATATATTTCCTGCTTGTGACTGAAGAGAGAACATTTTGACACAAGCTTACTTTTCTTAATTTCACTGTTGTTGTTGTTATTGTTGTTATTGTTATGGATAAAAGTTCCAGAGTACTAGTGGTTTTGCCAATCATAGAGTGGTCTTTTGACAAAGACCTTCTGAATTCATGATTTCCTGAACATCGTAATGCCACTTAATTTCTTGTATGATTAATTAAAAAGAAAGAAACCCATTTCCTTTTCCAAGGACAAACTAATCTATCAATTTACTAATCTATTAACTTGTGCTTGGGATGTGCAACAGAGCACACATAGTTAAACATAAGAGATGTGGGCTGACGGACGCCTTCTTCATTGCCCGCTATGGAAGGAGAATTCCTTCTGCCATAGTCAGCAATGAAGGCCTTCCCTCTGTTTTCGAGATGAGATTGGACATTTAGCATGGGGTTTCTTGAAAAGTAGGAAGCAGTCACATACCATGAGACAGTTAGCTATTTATTAAGTATTGCAATGGAAGTTGAAACCCATCTTCTAGGACGTTCATTGTGCTATTTTTGGTAAGCAGCCAAGGCTTTAGATGAGGGACCTGTGCACGTATTTTTGACACTACAAGGCATGGCTGGTGATTGGAGAATTGATCACAGCATTCTGAATGTGTCCTCGCACAGAGATATATTGGCACCTCCCCCTTTTGCAGCGTCTTGCCTCTTTGCATGCAGCCTGCAGCCATCATGGTTTACTTTGTTGCTGTGCCACCCTGTAGACTCATGCAGAATTTGCTGCCAACCATTACTCAAGTCTCCTCCAGCATTATTGCTTCTCAGGTCTTGCCTCTTTGTATGTCTGCACTTTGGATTACCTTTGAATATCTGTATGTGTTTTCAAGTTGCTTCTCATTCTTCTGTGGTTCCCTCTCGGCCTCTTCCAGCCTAGTCCAAAAGCATGGCTACTTGGAAGTAAGTCCCTCCTAAGGTCTCTTGGGCCTTACTACCAAAAGAGCATGCTGAGGATTGAAATTTTGATACTATTTATTTCTCTCTCCTCATTAACATTTGTAGGTCTTAACTATCTGCTTGCATCAACAGTAAATGCCTTTTGTAGAGCATCATAAAACCAAGCATACATATGACATTATGTAAGGTTTCTCATTCATCAACATAGGCCTTACAGCCACAGAGCTACAGAGTCCCTCCCAAGAGATAGTGTTTTCTAAACCTAGAGACGGTTGCAATGATTAATTGCAGTGATTTTTTTGCAGTCTCCAATTTACATGCACTACACTGGCTTCTAAGTGTGTTTATAAATGTGGTGCCAAACAGAGATTTGCATTCCCTTTGTTTCACATGTTCCTTAGAATGAACCACCAGACAGTCTTTTTTTTGTGTGTGAGTCTTAGAGCAGTTTTTCCAAACTGCTTTCAGTGGCAAGGTATTGGATGTGTCTGCAGCAGCTGCCCTTCCCCAAAGGCCTCAGAATACACCAGGGGAAGCTGTTTCGCTTTTCATACCAGGTAGCATCCCTGTCTAGGATTCTTTCTCTGGGCTTTGTACTGGGAAAGTCTGTACCTCATTAAAATTCTCTGGGTCCGGATACATGAGGGACACTGACTGTCTTTAAGCTTGCCATTTTAAGCCCCAAGCTGAGGTGTTAGCTGGAGTCACACAGTATCAGGTAACAGGTCCAGAATGCCAAACCCAACTAACGAAAGCAGGGTCAGCCTCAGGGCAAACTAGACTTAAAGATCTGTGAACAGGATGTTCTGCCTTTTTTTTTTTTTTTTTTTAATTAAAAGCCAACTTGAGAGGTGTGTGTAATTTGGATTAGCGCAATGCGTAACCTGGTAGTTATATATTTTCCTCTGGGCGGTAAATAGGAGAGGGGATTGGGGGGAAGGGAATTTTAATCAGGAAAACAGTGTGGTGGAAGAGTTAATACCCTTTGCACAGTGCCACAAGCACCATCCAAGTGGCACTACCATCACTACCTCCACCCCTCTGGTGGCTTTTATGTATTGAAAACTGGGATATCTGTGATATTTTCCAGTGCCATTTCTAGTTTGAGCCTGAGGTTTTGAGGACCTAGGCTAATTCCCTGTAGGAGTTACTTAGGACAGCAGATATAAATGCAATAGAGCTTAATATTGCCATGATGTCTACTAGTAGGGCCTGGGTTTGTCAGAAGGCCCACTGCTAACTTATCCTGAGTTTCATAAAATGTAAAGGGGTATTTTACTGTAGTGCTGTATGGAGATGTCCATAGATGGTGCCTTCTCTTTCTTCATTGGCAAGCTGATGGAAGAGAGAACTGCTCTGAGTGTTAGGTGGCTCAATTTATACACTGCAAGGCCTGAGCTGTCCTTCTGAAGTTCTGCAATTGCTAAGTCGTCATCCTCTTCAGAGAGGTCTTTGGAGAACCAGGCAGAGGGCCTTCTTGGTAGTGGCGCCTGCCCTGTGGAACGCCCTCCCATCAGATGTCAAGTAAATAAACAACTATCTGACTTTTAGAAGACATCTGAAGGCAGCCCTGTTTAATTAAGTGTTTAATGTCTAATGTTTTACAATTTTTTATGGGTTGTAAGCGGCCCAGAGTGGCTGGGGAAAGCCAGTCAGATAAATGATAATAAAAATTATTATTATTATTATTATTATTATTATTCCACATTAGGCCTGTTAGATACATGGTACATGAGAATTCCTGGACAGAAGGATCTGGCTATGAGGCATTAATAGAAGGAATAGGAGTTGAGTTATTGAGTTACAGTACCGGCTTTGCATAGGTTGTTTATTATTATTATTATTATTATTACTGCTTATATACTGCTTTTGTCAAAAGTTACTTCTAAGTGGTTTAGGTTTACAAATGGAGACCATGTGTAAATGTTTGTAACCACACAAGGTATACCTTGGTGCAGACAGTCACACAAAGTAGAATGAGGTTGAGCAGCACTTACCTGGAATCCTGGCAGAGTGTCGCACTGTTCAGCCACAGGGTTTGGACCATTATCCATCCTTGCCTTAGATCCTATTACTAGATGAGTTAAAGAACCACAGCAAAGCTCCAGATTTTACCATAGTTTTTTTAAAAAATCTTGTATTGGTTTGCATAAACTTAACATGGATTCAAAAGGCATTCTCTTCCAGTTCTGTCACCCATGAGATTGGGCTATATTTGAATAAGCCCTCTGGAGGCACATAGATCAGTATGGTCACCCCAAGTCTTTCAGACAGCTGAACAACTAGTCCCACGGGGAATTTTTAACACCTTTTATCTTTCTTCCTCCTGCCTCAGTCCCAGGAAGAAGTGTGTGATTTGCTGCATGCTGCTCCCTTCCAAAATATTTTGCCCAGGGTCTACATCAAAGGTAAGGAGTGGAGAGGTGGTCAGATGTCAGTCATTATTCCCATAGATGTGTTAAACCTATAGAGCTGCAGAGACATAGCTGGCAATCGATAAGTTTCAACAAAACTTGCTTAGGCCCTTAGCACTAGTCAGCCATTCATTGAACTGAATTTAATAGTCGCCCTGCTGAGCAGTCCTCATGAAAGGTAACTTTTCGCAACCCTTATCCGCAAAAGCAAGAAGTTTGCTTTCAAAACAAGATCCTTTTACAAGTGTGCTGGTGTTGCGGCTGTAAATTGCAGAGTCCCTTCTTTGCGATGCGCTACCCTGCTTTTGTTCCGTCACACTGGTCCCAGAATTGGATAATGGTTGGGAGGTGACTCTGAAATGCTGGAATTTTTTTTCCCGTTTTGCTTTCTCATTTCACTGTTTGCTGCTCGCTTAACAGAAGGAGAACGCTTGGAGGTACGCATGAAGCGTCTCGAAGCCAAATATGCCCCACTTCACCTGGTTCCCTTAATAGAGAGGCTGGGAACACCGCAGGTAAGGATGACATTGAAACCCACACGGGGTAACTAAAAATTTCACATTACCCCCCCTCCCCGCAATTCCCAGATTATCTCTGAGCTACAAGAAGTCTTTCTGGATACTGACTTCATTTCAGTTCTACACGGTATAGTTTGTCCATAGATATTTCACTGTTACCAAGCAAAATTAAATTATCTTTACTGAGGATCAGTGCACTGTGTGTGTTTCATGATGGCCCCTGATATCACTCAGAAGCTAACTGAAGCAAAGATAAAAAAAGAATCACTTTGTTCCTGATTGCCACGATCATGTTATTGGGCTATTCCAAATGGATTTTGAGTCAAAATACGGGTTCACATGAACAACGGCTCCTGTTTCAAATCTGCTGCCACATGATCACAAATATGACCACAATTAAAACCCTCTCTCTTATTCCTGTAAAACCCAGCACTGTGGCATTGCAGTGGCAAATCTTCTATGCCCTGATGCCTGGCTTATAGCATATTACAGAACTTCCCACATGAATTGTGATCAACTTGCCAGCTTCTCTGCCTCCAACATAATATGTCTAAGATACTTAAGAGTGTTTACTCCTCTTCATTGGCCATTTGGGGTAGTATCCAGCTAACTCGTTCCATCAGTGCAAGGTTTTCCATTTGCACAGTGGAACTTCTCCTCCCCCGGTGAACCCCCAACTGTTCTGGGGCTTTCTCCAACTCTCTGAAGGAGCTTTGAGGAGGGCACAGGGAGATGATGGGGGAGTTTTGTTGAGCAAGTGGAAATCCTTGCATTGGCAGAACAAGTTAGTCAGAAACCACCCTTGGTCTGAAAGTCACTCTGCACATTATGTGGCAGGAAAACTTACACTTGCCACCTAGAGTACTCTCAACAGAGAGCTGCAACCAGTCCTGGATCTCTGAAGAGGATCTGTCATGCGTGTTTCCACATACAGTTAATTTTATGAGATGCATACCTAAAAATGATAGTTGTGCACCTAAAAAAGAACACAGGAAGTGGCTCTGAATGATTGTCAGATCTAGAGGCAATAAGGAATTACTTCCAAGCAGATTGGCCTGGGAGATTTTCTTTCTTCTACAACAGGCGTTGTGAACCTGTGACCTTTCAGAGGTGGTTGAATGGTTGTCTTTCCCCAACCATTGGCCATATTGGCTGAGGCTGAAGGGATTTGGAGTCCAGCAACCTCTGGAAGGCCACAGATTTCTTATCCTTTCTCTGCAGCCTGTGGCTTGGCTCACTTGCATGAGTCATCTGAAGCTATTTGCTCTACAGCGCACCTGCTCTCTGCTTGTGGTCTGGATTTTGAATGGGTGGTTTGGCTCGCAGCAGGTGACTGAAATAGGTGGAGCTTTCTTTCCTTTACAACCAGCAGAATGGGGGCATTTCATTCAAAGAAAAAAATCATAAGGATGGTTATGTGTCTGCAGTTGTGTGCCTTTGTGTATGTAATGCTTAGTTAACTGTCTGTATAACTTTCCACTCAAATTTCCGAGTCTGTTAGCTCCTCCTATTATTTTCTACATCAATTTTCTTCGTAGGGGAGATAAAACAGTAGAGTAACAAGCCAGAAAAATTTGAACACCCTTGGTGATCCCATTGATTCAGTAAAAGAAATTTAAAGCGTACTCCTATGCAATCAGTCCCACTGAGTTGAGTAGAACTTACTCTCAGGTATTCAGTATAGGGTTGCAGCCTTAAGCATATACAATGTATGACTGTGATCAGTGACAGGCAAGAGTGCTTAACTTATGGTCAAATTGAATGTGATGTAAGAGAGATGGGATCAGGATCTCCCTGGGGAACCCTTTTTCCAGTACCAGAAGCAGCTTGCCAGGCGGGTCAAAGCCACTATGCTAACTTCCTAGCATGTGAGTCCCTGGTGCTTTCCCACAGGGAGAGATGGCAAGAGGCTGACAATACCAACCTCCTCGCCACGCCACCCCTCTCCCTCCTGGCAGCTGCAAGTTCCTTGCCAGGAGGCCAGTACTGAATGGGTTTCCATGGCCTCCCACCCAGGCACTTCTCCACATCCTCAGACCATTTAACTGGGAATCCCTATAAGAATTTTCTGGTCCTAATGTACACCATTGTCTTTTTGAATGCTGCCGCCAGTGATTATTTAATCGAGGACAAGGCTATCAATATTAATGGCTAATAGTCGTGATGGCTGTATGTAGTCACTGGGGAACAACAGCAGGTTGGGGCTCTTGGCTTTGTGTCCTGCTTGGAAACTTTACTGTGGGAAACAGGATGCTGAACTACTTAGACCCCTGCTTGGATCTAGCAGTGTTCATCTTACATCATCCAAAGACCCATTTCTGCCAGGTAATCTATTATGTTGTGTTCTGTTTTCTTAATCAAAGGAATTAGGCTGACAACCAAGGCAGTAGATTCAGAAACATGTATAGGCAGTTAGAGAGCTTTGGATGGGCAGTTAACCATCCATTACGTACATAAAATAGTGGGATAGTAGGACATAGGAATTCAACATTACAGTCTTCCAACCATCCCATCAACGCAAGTGTTTCAGCTTGCCCAACAGAACAATCTCCCCTCTCTTCCCTGCACATGATGTTCTGGGGGTTCTCCAGTCCTCCCAGAGCCAGTTTAGGAGGACATGGGGGAGGAGAGGGGTTAAAGTCCCATTGCGCCAGCAGGACTCATCACACCAGTTCCTGCGAGTGCAGCTACTTTGTTGAATGTGGCTCTCTTTGTTGAATGTGCCCTCCTAACTAGCTTATTTATTTACTTCTTACTAGATTTATTTGAGGGATGCGGGTGGCGCTGTGGGTAAACCTCAGTGCCTAGGACTTGCTGATCGTAAGGTCGGCGGTTCGAATCCCCGTGGCGGGGTGAGCTCCCGCCGTTCGGTCCCAGCTCCTGTCCACCTAGCAGTTCGAAAGCACTCTTAAGTGCAAGTAGATAAATAGGGACCGCTTTATAGCGGGAAGGTAAACGGCATTTCCGTGTACGGCACTGGTGCTGGCTCGCCAGTTGCAGCTTCGTCACGCTGGCTACGTGATCCGGAAGTGTCTTCGGACGGCGCCGGCTCCCGGCCTCTTGAGCGAGATGAGCGCGCAACCCTAGAGTCGGTCACGACTGGCCCGTATGGGCAGGGGTACCTTTACCTTTACCTTTTTAGATTTATTTGAGACTGTCGAACACCTAAACACATAGCATTTTTTCAAACCCTGATTTCAGGAGGGCTGTAAATATTCCCTGTGCCCATGTAGAAAGAACAAGGAAAAGGGAAGCTATATTTTGCAAGTCTTCTTTCAATTTATGTTGTCCCAGCAATCCTCATTCTGTTTCGAAGAAGTGCATTCTGCAACCCCCAACACACATTTAATGTAACGTTTGATGCCGGCAGATCACTCTTGTGTAATTCATTCTCTCTTTCTCTCTCTCTCTCTTTCTCCAAAGAGAGCATGGGTTGAAAGACTGTGCAGATTGGACTTCCACATGGAGCACTTGCCTCAGACGTTATGTGCATTCGCAGCTCCTACTCCTTTGTCATGGGGGGGGGGATATTGTTGGGCTGGATGTACACATAAACAACCCAGGGCAAGAGGCACACAACTCCCATCAACTTCTTCATAGGCACAGAAGCCACAGACCTGCTTCCTTTATATCCATTTATACCTGATTAATAGGAGGAGTTAGTTGCTGAGACAACTGTCCAAACCTGGGGTGGGCGAACTTCCCATTCAGTTGATGAAAGTAGGTTAGTTGGCCTGTTTAAGAGCTGTATTCCACCATGATAGGGCAGAAGTTAGTATAAAGGGCAGAAATGGATCTCTCAACATTCAGGCATGTATGCAATGGGGAGCCACATGCATCTTTGCATTTTATTGTGGGAAATGTCAGAAGAACATCAACAGCACTTGGCTCCAACAAACATTGAGAATGGTAACAGAGCTTGGCCCACGAAAAGTGCCTCCACCCAATTTTTTTGCCCTCTCCCCTTCATCTCCCCATACCAAAGCTTTAAGTAAGGCTTTCTGGGGGAAGGAGCAGGTGAGAAAGTCACATTCCACCAACTTCCTTCCCCTGGTTCTTCTTCGGATCCAAGCCTCTATCTGAAAAGGTTCTGTACAGTAATTTGACTTTCCTCTCTTCACACTTGCTTTCTGTTGAGTATTAATTACTTCTCCAACAGAATGTCCTTGTAGCTATGCCTTAGATAACACTGGTGGAACTCCTAATCTCAATATTTACCAACTGAAAAATAGATGGTGAGTTGAGATAGTATCAGGTCTGGGAACTTTTCTGGGAACGTTGGGAGTCTGTTGATACTCTGCAGCCAGGTAGAAGAGCCTGTGACCCTCCTGTTGGTGTATTTTGACTTTAATGAAGAATTCTAGCTGCCTCTGAACACCACTGTTCACCACTGTTACAAACAACAGCTGCTCAACCATATGCATTCAGCAGCAGTGGGATTTACCCTTGGGGGGTTTTTTATGTATGATTCCCACTTAAGAATCCTGGATATGCAAGAACTAAGAAACGTATGGAGTTGATATTTCCAGGCCTATAAATGCCTTACTGTATGTCACTTGTCTTACTCCTGGATAGGAAAGTCTAGTCATAATTTTCTCTGTCTTCCAGTTTTAGTCGGTGAAGATACAAAAAGAAAAAGGGTGAATGTGTTTTTTAAAAATGGACCAGTTTACTTAAAGTCAGCCATGCCAAGAATCCAGAATTGAAACAATTCCATGTTACATACCAAAAATTCAGATATATCTCACCACCACAAGGGAATGATGGATGGGTCTTTAATGGGATTGTTGACATTCTGGTCATAAAGTTGTGTGAAGCTGGAGCAACATGACAAATGGCTTGTGCCAAAATGGTGCTGCAACATCCCCTTCAAAGCGAATAGGTCAAATCCATCCTGCTGTGCTTTTGGTTGGTTGCAACTACATTATCAGCAGTTACTGCTATATACCACCTACATAGGGTTGAGATGACATAACTGTATGATGGCTGAAGTGCCTTTAGTTGTTCCCCGTGCTGCCACATCTCATCCTGCCATCCTGCCTCCCATTTCTGTGCTGCGTATTTGTATTCTACTCATCTTACTGTTCTACATCAAGCAAAAGCTTACAACTTAGGAGTGCAATTCTCCAGGCAGTGGTCCTGTGTGACCCTCCTTCATTTCAGTCTGCAAATACACTGCCCTGTTTCTATTGTAAAATGTGAAGGAGGTCCCCTCTAGCAGTGAGTGTTAGAAAACTGGGTGGGTGGAGGAATCTTAACTTGATGATGCTTTTTAAATTTTGAGATTATTAACAAATGGGAGAAAACCTATTTACCCATTTATCTTATTTTTAACCAGCCGTCAATTTCTAGTCAATATAACTAAAATACATACAAAAAAATGATTGGAACCCTGGTTCCCTTTTAGTATCTGTCTGAATTTAAAATATTCATAGAGGATGGCATCCCTGATTATCAAAGCTAAACTTGCACATTCAATTGTATATTTTAAAACATCCTAAAGAGCATATATCAAATAACTAGTGTGGATGTGCATATTTTGATTAATATTTCACAATAACCTGCTGTTATTAACAACAGTCTAACGAATAGGCATGTAAAATAATATAACGTACACTACAAACTCTGCAGTAACAAAGCGCCCTTGCATAGCAGTTCTTTTTCTGCCAGGCATTAAGTATGCAGAAACAATAAAATGTGCAGGAAATCTTGAAGATAATAATAATAATAAAAAAGAAACACATGTTAGAGAAGCAAATTTCAGCTTCTCTTTTCCACCACACTCTTGGTTATCCTCAAAGTAATGAATATTTGGATAAAGGAAGGATACTTTTGATAACTGACTCCTAATCTAAATAACAAAAGTACCTCAATGTTCTTAAGCACAAATTAAGGGCAAAGGAAACTCCTACAAGAAATATTATTTCCAAGTGCAAAACACAGGAAGGAAAAGGTCAACGTGATGAGCATTCGAGTGGAAAGTGACGTTTTACACCTTCTTTTATTCTTGGGCTTCTCTTCCTCCTCAGCAAATAGCCATAGCCCGTGAAGGAGACTTGCTGACCAAGGAGAGGTTGTGCTGTGGCCTGTCCATGTTTGAGGTTATCCTGACTCGCATTCGGAGCTACCTCCAGGACCCCATCTGGCGCGGGCCTCCCCCTACCAATGGCGTCATGCATGTTGACGAGTGCGTTGAGTTCCACCGGCTCTGGAGTGCCATGCAGTTTGTGTACTGCATTCCTGTGGGGACAAATGAATTCACTGCTGAGTGAGTAGGCCTGCACTGGGTTGCATTGAGTTCTAATGATCATGTATTAGAGGATCTTTCCCCACAGCCAGAAAAGCTATAGCAAATCGACAAATACCTCCTTACTTGAGGTTTGCTTCTACATGCAGGAATGTGGGCCGCTTTACTAATGACTGGACACTGTATCTCTGATGCCAGGAATGGGGATTCTCTAGTGATAGTCAAGTGAGTTATCTTTTGAATGACTGACCTATTTGGCCTAAGACAAAGCACTGGCTTTCGTTATACTGGCTTCTGAGTTGATTTGCTCATGAACTGATACTTGCTGTTCTCTTAACATAGAATCAAGCAACCAGAAATTCTCAGGACAAGCAACTCAATAACACCATGCCAGCCAGCCATTCTCGATAAGTAATTTCTTCTATGTCCCATTTCCCTCCAGGCAATGTTTTGGAGATGGGCTGAATTGGGCTGGCTGCTCAGTCATAGTCCTCCTGGGACAGCAGCGTCGCTTTGATCTCTTTGACTTCTGTTACCACCTGTTAAAAGTGCAGAGGCAGGATGGGAAAGATGAAATCATAAAGAATGTGGTAAGTCTGGGGGTGAACACTGAGCTGAATGTCAGGTTGCTTGACTATTTAGCTCAATATTGTCTACTCCAGTGGTTCCCAATTAGGGGTCCAGGGACCCCTGGGGGTCTGTGGAATGCACCCAGGGGGTCCACAGCCCTTACCTTCCCTCCTCAACTATTTTTTTGTCATTTCTGCATGGAAATATCACAAATTTTATGGTCTTTTCTTTAGTATATCTAAAATCCCTTGCTTATTAGGGGCTACCCCACATTTTGTTCAAAAAAATTGCTTTGCAGAGGTAACTACAATAGAATTATCAAAATTTTCAAAAGTGGGGCGGGGGAGTCCATGGCTTGGCTTTTGAAAAATAGGAGGTCCTCAGTAATTAGCTAATTGGGAACCACTGGTCTACTCCAGCTGGCATTGGCTGACTGTGGTCTGAGACAGAGATATGTCACATCACATCACCTGCTACCTGGAGTGGAACACAAGAAGCTGCCTGGAGACCCCTGGGTATAGGGTGGTTGTTGTTTAGTCGTGTCCAACTCTTCATGACCCCATGGACCAGGCACTTCTGTCTTCCACTGCCTCCCGCAGTTTGGTCAGACTCATGTTAGTAGCTTCGAGAACACTGTCCAGCCATCTCGTCCTCTGTCGTCCCCTTCTCCTTGTGCCCTCCATCTTTCCCAACATCAGGGTCTTTTCCAGGGAGTCTTCTCTTCTCATGAGGTGGCCAAAGTATTGGAGCCTCAGCTTCAGGATCTGTCCTTCCAGTGAGCACTCAGGGCTGATTTCCTTCAGAATGCATAGGTTTGATATACAGGGTGGTATATAAATTCAATTGATGATGATGATGATGATAAGCACTTCTGGGCTGGGGAACCTTTCTCGCTTTGTGGGCCAGATCTTTATCTGGATCTGCCTCATGGCCCAAATTTGACAGGCTGGCAGGGCCACCCACCTGTCAGTCAAGTGATGCCATTATGTTGCTAATAGGTACGTAGGAAATAAGAGGTGTTATTGGCATTTTGTCTCTGCAAAAAGCTAGGAAGGAACTGTGTCAGATATTAGTTTCTCTAGCTGTTCTTCGCTCCAGCCTTCCAGCATTTACCTAGCTGTAGAAGCCAGAGGTCTGAAAGCTTCACTGCTCTTTGCTTTGCCTGTCTTTTCATTTCTTCTCTAGCCTCTTAAAAAAATGGCTGACCGGATCAGGAAGTACCAGATTCTGAACAATGAGATTTTTGCCATCCTGAACAAGTACATGAAGTCAGTGGAAACAGACAGTTCTACAGTCGAGCATGTGCGCTGCTTCCAGCCCCCCATCCATCAGTCCTTGGCCACCACCTGTTAAATAGTCCGTGCTGGAAATGAAATGTGAGCATTTGTGTCTTTACATCTGAAGTCAGTGAGGAAGGAGCGACTGGATCTCAGAGGCCTGGAAGGGAACCCCTGAGAACACAGATCTGTCAACAGTGCAGACTTGGATGGACCCAGTATACAAAGAAGCATTTTCCGAGAAGGCCTGTTTTGAATGCATGTTCTTCTATAGTATCTTTCTGGTTGGTTTTACCCATAGCTTTGAAAATGTGGTGAGATGGAGCAAAATGTGGTTTTTTCTCCTGTGGTATCGTCAGCTTTTGTGATGACCAAGAACAACCCAATCAAGCACAAAACTTTATGGCCCTTAAAAGAGTTGTTGTTTTTTGGGGGTGTTACAGTTGAAGCAGTCATCGCTTCAGTGTGTTGCAAGTCTTCCGCTTGATGCACCATGTGACTGAAAAGCCTTCCTGCTTGATGGGAAACAACAGCTTAAATGTTTAAAACATTCAGAAATGCTAAGTTGTTCCTGCAATAGATGATAAAGAGCTGTGTGATTTACGCAAGCAAAAAAAAAAAAATCAGGTTCTTTTAGAGATGGAATATTGACTATCATTCTCCACCTAGAATTAGAGGATTTTTTGTCATTGCCTTGTTGTCCTCTGCTCTTCTAAAATTGTTTCGGGTGCAGTCTTGTGCACAATTAGCTGGAAACAAGCCACATGTATAGGACAGTGTATAGGACCTTTCTAAGTTTACTTAAGCGGTGGAGCATTGACAAAAGAGTCTTCTCATATTTTGAATTGATTATCACTGCTATGGTGGCCCTGTATAATACCTTCCCCTTAACCAAGTACTGTTGGCAGTAGTTTTACCTGAGCGTCTAGAATTTTATAGAGCCAGGAGAAGAGGCACTGATTGTCATGACCCAGACTCTTGATAAAGTTGCCGGGTCAAGGAACTAGTAAGTTCTTTGAGAAATGCGATTGATGCATTCTTTGGGATATAGTCAATAGAATAATGAGATCAATACACTTCCCCATTCTGGGAAAATATATGACATTTGGTTCAGACTTAGGTATCCAAACTTTGGAAACAATGCTAAAAAATAGATTTGGCATGACTTCAGGGTGTTTAGAAACAAACAAAAGGCAGCAGCTTATATATCATTAATATGTGTGGTTCCAAAGGCATGCAGAATTTCAACAAAAGTTAAAAATTGCCCTGTCATAACCCTGTAGAACAAAGAGGTAAACATAGGAATTTCTGTGTGAACGATTCACAGAATTGGAGATCGAGGCGGGACTCAAAAGGTCATGCTTCTGCAGTTCCCTACACCAAAGGAGACCTCCTGTCACCAGTGTACCCTAGAGCTCAGATTAGAGTGCACTACCTGTAGGAGGTAGAAACAAGAAAGGGATGTGTATGGGAGGAGAAAGCCTGGAGAGAAAATACCAGAGACAATGCAAAGAAGCCATGTTACAGTGCTACAGAGAAGTCTCTCCAAACTAATGAGAAAGTTTAGAACAAGTCTACTGAGACAGGTACCAAAGTTTAGAAGGCTGTATAATATCCTGAAATGAAAATAACATTCTTTAAGATATTGAAAGAAGAATTAGTTTCTGCTAGGCTATCATAAGGCACTTGAGTTATTTACCATGCAAGTTTCCCGTCCCCCAGTTGCCTACCGTGACTATTTAAGGGTTTCAGAATTGCAACCCTTTAATATTTAGGTAGTTTAGATTGAATTTCCTACAAGGAAAAGGCAGCATTTGATCTCCCTTCTGATTTGCTCTACAGATTTCAGAATAAAGCATTAAGGAAATATTTAAAATGCAGTCTATTAGACAAAGGGCACACAGTGCACCAGAAAGTTCTCCTGTACAAGCCACAAAACAATGAAAGGGAGAAGTGCAGGACCATAACCACGTTCACTTCCCTGGAGCTTGCTCAGGAAAACATCCTGGTAGATTGTTGAAGGGATGTATATGTTGGTGTGTTGCCCTAATTTTTACCCTGTCAGGCTCCATCACTGTCAGGGCAGATGTCAGAGCATCCAGCATTTATCCCAGACTCCAGACATTTAGTTCTTTAGTCTAACTTTCGCCAAGAGAAATCGCCACTTTAAAAAAAAGTGTTGGTTTTTTTTGAAAAACAACCAGGTGTTTTAGGTCTGTGTTTTTCCTCCTTTGTCTCACCATAAAGCTGATACAGTACTTAATTGCTGGTGTTTGGTTCATTGTCACAGCATGATGACAAATCTTACGAAGCCAGAGACTCAGCATTTTTTTTCTCCTTGAGGGCGCATGAAGTAGAAACCTCTTAATTGTCTGTGTCAGGCACAGGAAGAACATTCTGTTTCAAGGGGCAGCAACGACGTGGAATTATTACCATGAAGTATGTTTCCTTTGGCAGATACCTTTATTTCCTTAAAGGCTCTCATCTTTTTCCAAAGTAACTAATAAATATCCCTCCACAGAATCTGGGGAGCATGTTTGCAGCATTTCAAACTGCAAGATACATCTTGCAATGTGGAATTAAGGCAATGCTCAGAAAAGTAACCTGAAGACTCTTAACTCAGTCAGAAACAAACAAAGGGGCTTGGAAGTCCAAAGGGGGGAAATTAACTTCCAGCAAATCCCATCTTAAATATCTAATGCAACAATTAAAGTGCTTCAGGGGTTTTTTTGAGAGCACATATTGTCAGTTTAACTGAATTTCATTCTCTTCATGCACCTTAGTAACCCTCAACTTCAGATTTGCAAAACTGAACCAAACACTATGTAAACACCCCAGAGTTAGAATCTGAACACATCTAATGAAATAGACAAATAGGATGCTGTTCATTTTTATTTTTATTCCCACAGCCTTTTCAAAATAAAATTCAATCTTTTTGTGGTGGTTACTTAACAGAGCATGATACCACAGGTGTAAACACTCAGGCCACTTGAGAAAGTCATTACAATCCAGAACAAATGCCATTCCGAGGCCTACTCTGTAGTATCAGCTGCAATATGTTATATTTAACAACCCATATCCAATAGAAGAGTCAACTAGATGATCATAATTCCAATAATCGTTTCCAGTTCTAGGAAATGGAATTTTTAGCTATGCTCACACATTGCATTTTAACACTGTTACTCACACATGGGTTGTGGGTTATTCTCTGTTGAGATCAATGCTATTTATAGGGAAATCCTAAATGCTTTAAGTACACAAGTGAGAAGGAAAACAGGGTTGACTTCTGAGTCTTTGAGTGTGGGGAAAACTCAGGGTAAGTTTACAGTATTTCCTAGAGTTTTTAAAGTATCTGTCCAACATGGTTTCCTTTCTCCCAGGATGTTTTTGCCCTGAGATTTCCATCTTTTGAATTCCCAGCAAAGAATCCCAGTGGCCTTCATAGGATGCTCTTTATGAGATAGTTCTGGTCCTCCTACTTGCAGACTAAATAACAAAGTTGTTATCAAAGAGTGAGCTGAGTGAACCAGATTTTCCTCCATGCTAAAAAAGAAATGTAACATCTAAGTCTGTCCCCAACTGTGTGAGAAGATACACTGTCCCACAGGAACACTTTATGCCACAAGAAACAAATAAATATAATAATTAAGAATACCTGCAAGAATGTTCCCCGGAAGATGCTGTGGATGCATCTCTTCTGTTCTGTCCTAGCCTTCCCATCAACATCTACTGTAAGAGGATAATTCTTACATAAAGTGCCATTACTTGCCTTCCAAGAATGCCCAGAACAATGAGTCATATGGAAGCACGGAGTGGAACTCCTCTGAGGACAGACAGGTCTTACTCCAGACACATAGCTTATGGGGGAGTAAGCATGAAATGCACCTCCTATTTTATTTAAAAAGAAAAAGGTGTTTCTCACCTATCAGAATTACAAACCCTGGATCAGTGATCCTTACCTTTTCCCCTGTAGGTGGAAAAGCATACTGGAGAGGCCCAGTGGCTTGGACCCAAACTCATCCTGTGCCAATGTAATGCAAGAAAACCTCCTGGAGTTCTGCTGATTTTTCAGCCTTGGGGGGGCCATGCCATGCCCAACCTTTTTGGGTGTGTGTATGGTGGCGGGGACACAATGGAAAGGAGCCAGGCCAGGAAAGTCCCATTGCATGAGCAGAATTCTGCGTGTACTTCTCTGGATCCAGCCCATTATATTTTTGAATAGACCAGTGGCTGAAAGAGAAAGGGCTAGGCAAAGGACGGGGAATGATCTGGGCTCCCCCTCCCCCATGTCCACCTGTCATTCCCCTGGCATCATATGACATCAGGTTATTCAAGCTTTCCTTGTCGTAAAATAGCTGGGAGTCTTCCGGTCATTCCTTTGCAGACATGCCCTACACAACCTTGAGGATGTCTGGGTGGACATGTCTGGGGAGGGGATGGCCTTGTGAGTAAAATTAGAACCTCTAGAAGACCAAATTTGGCACACAGACCATATGTTCCCTGTACCTTAGTTAGGCTGCCCTAACCCCATCCTCACCACTGTCTCAAGTCTTGATTGCCGCTTCCAAGGCTGTTTTTCAGTAAAAATAAAATAAAAACAGGCACCATGTTTAGGGGCCGGGAAAGAAACATGCAATGGTGTGCAACGTGTCATTTGGCTTTTTAAGTGTTTCTGGTGGGAACCAGGAAACCACAAAGGTACGTACCACAAGGTAGGGCCTGACAAAAGGATAAACCAAGCCTTGAGGATGTAGACTCCAGACTACTTCAGCAATGATGATGAACAGCTGTGGCCCTTTCAGGCTTTAAACAGTCTATCAGGTTGATTTTTTTGTGACTTGACATTAAAGAACAAACTCTCTGCACTTCAACCATGTTCCCTTTACCAACAGAATTTGTCAGAAGTGTCAGTGGTCATATTAATTCCTATTCTCTTCTGTATTATTCTGGTTTTAATTGATATTTGTCTATTTGAGAACATGAGCAAGGTGCTGTTTTTAAGAACAGATGTTTTTAAAAAAGGACTTTGCATAATTCTTTCAAATGTATCATATTTGTATGAAGACTTGTCCAGGACTTTTTTGTACAATGAATTTACATTTATTTATGGTGCGGTATATTCACAGTAGTGATCAACTATGGTGTTTGAATTCTTGAATCATATTTGCTATGCAGCGGGAAATGATATATCTTGTTTTGTATTTTTGTTCCTTCATCATTGGTCAACAGAAGTTCTTCATTTCCATTCAAAATGCTTCTGTATCGATAAGACACCCTGTGTGTGGTGACATGATGACCTGTATTGCAACTTCCAACAATATGTACAGCAAAGCTAGGATGAATCCTGTTAACAAGGGAAAAATAAAAGTTGAGTCATAAATGGTTTGAATGAAAGGGTGACAAAGTTGCTGTAGCATTATTACAAAAACAGGTGGTTTGGGGTATGAGGCGAATCAACTCTAATTGGGGCTTATACAGGTCTCGGTGCTACATTTAGATCTGGGGATTCAAATCTTCCCAGCTGTAGTTCCCTTGCCTACCAGTTGCCACAATACTTGTCACTGCCATGTTCTTATTACGCTTATAATTCAGCAAGCACAGTGTCAGGAGCAAGACAGCAATAAACCACCCCATAGTGGAATGTCAGGCATAACAAGCACAGTAGCTCATCCCCAGTAAGTCTTCCCCCATGGATCTGTTGCAAAGACTGAAAGTCCTTGCCTCCCTAGAGCCATTTAAGTTCCCTCTCTCCAGGGCTTTTTCAAGCAATTGGAGATTGCACCTGTGTGAAGCCAACCTCTCTTCCACCCTTTTCATGCCTCTCTGAATGCAAGAATACAATAGTCACTGGAGCTCACAGAAAGTGTGGGCTGAGGTAAATCTCCCTAGCAAATTTCACCCCAGTTACATGAGCACTAGGTACACTGCACTCTCAACCCTCACCCTGTTTATGGATATACTAGTAATAATGACCTACCGTCGAGGGCTGTCGTAAAGATTACTGAGATTATTTGTTCAGAGAATTTCAGATACAGTATATCAGTAACCTTTTCAACATAGTCAAGAGCTATCTTTCTATTGCAGACGGAGAAGGGAACTGAGGCTAAATGTAGTTTACCTCAGACCACTATTCTCACATACATACACAAAAATAATGGCTTTCTGTGTATGTCAGTTTTCGTAAGCTTAGTTAAGTCCACTCTCCTTTACAGTACTAGTGTGTAAAATGTTTTCCCTCTGGAAAGCAAACATGGCCACTTCATTTCTCCAAAGCAATTGGATAATATTCACCAGGGAAGCAATTATTTCTGTTACAGCCACACAATGAAAAATTTAGCAATGAACCTTTTTTTAAAAAAGTATTATTGTTTTCAAAAACTTACAATAAAAACAACTGATGACAATATTCACGCAGAGCATGTTAGAGAGAGATGCCTGTATCACTTTACAGATCACTAACCACTTTTGCAACTGTGATTCCTCTTGGATTATCAGCCAGTGCTAATATAACCCCTCTACATTGTCAAGTGAGCTGGGTGGGTGGGGGATGGGACCTCCCATTTAGTTAGAATGTGAGAAGCCGAAACCACACCCCATCACAATGCTCCTTTTTACAATGCCTCAAAGCACCTGATTTTGCTGTGATACCCTCTCATACACCTGTGTCCCAAATGTTGAGCCAAGCCTCCTGCAGGAGGAATTATCCTTGAATGTCCAGATCAATGGCAAAAAGTGCAGTATGGAGACCGCAATAGCGAGGGACCGATTGCTGGTACCCCGAGTTGTTCCATATCTCCCCATACAGCCAAAGAACATACCAGAAGGGACAAAAACCTGTGTTAACCTACACTCCAGATACTTACAGTTGCCTCAGCCTCACAGCACACCATTTCCAAACCAGTATTTCAGGTGTGGCTACATTGCTAAGAGACCAGTGTTCTGCAGGGAAGTTTCATTAGGAGGGCTGGAGGGGGGAACTTGTAAAAAGGGACTCATTTGTCAAATGCATGTACTCTATTCAGATCCCTTTTCCATTCCAAACAGCATCAGGTAGGGGGAAATCATACTTCTTGTTATGATACTGTTTGAATTGCTTGAAATTCAAATAGGCTGGACCACAGATAGGAGAACAATCTAATATGGAAAGAGAAGAATATCCATGAATTTTTTCCCCCAGTGTTTACATGTGGGCATGTAAACACTGAATATTATCAGTTTCCACCTGTAGAAAGAAGAATTTAGTAGAGGAAGGAACTGTGCCAATAGTACAATAAACTCTAGCCAGCTTGGTCAATTGGATGACCTGGTACAAGTCATTCTCAATGTGTAGGATAGGAAATGAGGTTGAATAGCTTCAGTTAAAGAACTTCAATCTATTGGGCACTCCAATTTTATCATCATAATAACAAATCATTCAGAAGGTGCCCCTGTAGCAGACTGGCCACTCAGATTGAAAGGATATCCCAATTTCCACCAAGCCCAAGACTTTCCAGGCGCATACTGCATAAACAGAAGCACTTCACACACAGCCTCTCAGCAATACAAGCAAGTCTTATGTCACAGGATATGGTGCTTTCAGTGTCTCTTAGTGTTAAAGATATCAGGCATGACCCATGGGCCAGGTGTCACCTGGGATAAAAATCATTCCCCCAGGAAGGGCATAGTTCCATGCGGAGCAGGACTCTCATTTCAAGGGCCTGAAACTACTGTACCTCTCTTTCACACCAGTCCAGGACAGCTGTAGTTCCATATGCTGGAAATGGTCCAAAGAAAATCACAAAGAAACAGCCTAGAAGGGGGGGAACCAATTTCAACCATAGCCTATGAAACTAATTTAAAGGGGATGGGCCAAAGCAACTCAAAAGGGGAGCATCCTTTGGGATCAGCTTTACTGGCAGCACAGCCCACCACCACAGCTGTAGTTTTTATTCTTCCTTTCCTGGCACCAGAAGAAGGTATGCCAAGGGGGGCGGGGTTTGTCCTGCACAGCAGCCGCCACTCAGGCTGATGGAAAGTCCCAGCAGGGCCTAGACCTGATGATAAAATGTCAGCCCAGCAAGAACAGTCTATTGGAGATGCTGAAATTGGACCCTGGGACCTTTTGCATACAAAGCATACAGTCCCTGTCTATAAACTTGCTCACCTTCTCTGTGGGAATTGGATGTTTCAATGGCGTACGTGCATAGTTAGCACATGTTTTGTTATCTAAGAAATAAGGATCTTATTTGCTTTTGATTTCTGCTCCAGGCATTTTGTGAGAATAAAGTTCAACACTGTTGTCCGAGCCTTTCATTTCAGTGTAGTCAAACAGTATTTGGGGCTTGCCAAACACTTCTTAAACAAACTTACAGGGGGTCAGACCCAGGCTAAATGAAACAGAATCAAGGGGGCTTGGGTTAGCTATTACTAACCATACCAGTTTCAATGGGACCTAAGTACAGTTAGCTTCTTCTGTATGCAACCCAAGAGCATAGTCCCTATATTCAATCTCCTCTCCTGAAAGTCCTTCCTTCCTATTCCCACGTGTGAGGTCAATGTCATCCATATGAGCGTCATTTCTGTACACCCCTTTTCTCCACACTGAAATCTGGTTCACACATTTGATGAGTCATGAATCATACATAATACACTGCTATTTTTTTAGAGCTGCCGGAACTCAGCTGAACGCCTCCCTTGTTCTCTTATAATGGCAATTGTGCCCATCCGAGAGGTACTGGAACTGAGTTCTGACGAGTTCTGGCTGGGGAAAAAAGCCCTGCTTAGCCACATGTGTGAACTATATCAACTGAAAGAATTTGTTGAGTTGACTTTGGGTGGAAGGAAAGTTGTGCTGGTAATATTTGTCACACCAGCCCATCCACACAGCCAAGACTTTAGTTTGCAGCTGGCAAGTAACAAACATAGATGTGTAAACTTGAGCTTATATCAGTGGGGGCTGGTTCATTAGGGCTAGCCAAGCACCACCCCACCAACCTCAATCTTTCCTCAGCCTTCTTACTTCTTACAACCACTCCAGGGGATGACCCTGCCTGTCAGCTTCCTCCTCCTCCTTGGTCTCTGGATTTCCCTTGCAGAACTCAACAGGGAGGCAGCTGGGGACAAACCTCCACTGGTGACTTGGCTCTGCCTGTCATTGGCTCTGGCTCCACCTATTGTTGGTTCTATTGTCGGTGCCAATAAGCACCAGCCACCCCTGACACGGGTGGCGCTGTGGGTTAAATCACAGAGCCTAGGACTTGCTGATCAGAAGGTCGGTGGTTCAAATCCCTGCGACGGGGTGAGCTCCCATTGCTCGGTCCCTGCTCCTGCCAACCTAGCAGTTTGAAAGCACGTCAAAGTGCAAGTAGATAAATAGGTACCGCTCTGGTGGGAAGGTAAACGGCGTTTCCGTGTGCTGCTCTGGTTTGCCAGAAGCGGCTTCGTCATGCTGGCCACATGACCTGGAAGCTGTACGCCGGCTCCCTCGGCCAATAAAGCGAGATGAGCGCCGCAACCCCAGAGTCAGCCACGACTGGACCTAATGGTCAGGGATCCCTTTACCTTTACCTTACCCCTGACTTATATATGTGTTGGCAAAACATGTGCGAACTAGTCATGGGCATCCAAGGCCCATTTTATTTTGCTGCTTTTGGTAGAGAGGCTTCGTGGATTTCCCACTTTTAGAGTGCAAGTTAAAGAAACTTCCTCCAGCGCGCACACGCACACACAAAGTGGAAGCGTCTGTTTTCCAGACAGAGCTGAACTCATGTATGAGAAGGCCCCCCCCCCCCCATTTTCACCTTAGCGGTTCTCCATGAAACAAGGAAACCCGACATGTGTGGCATCTGACCCCGGGAGTCACGAGCACCTGCCGGATTTGTGCTGCCCCCCGTCCCGCCCCAGGGCAAGGAAGCTTCGCAACGCGCGTAGGCGCCGAAGAGCACGTGGGCACAAGCCCCTCCTCTGGAGAGGGGGAGACGGAGTCAGATTGAGAAAACCCGGACCGGGAAGAGTGGTGGATCCGGCTGGGGCAGGTGTGATCTCAGCAGCCACTTCTCTTTTCTCGCCCAGGGCAACTTCTCCGCTCGCCACAGGTTGGGGCGAGGCCAGCCGCTTGACTTCGAGTCTCTGACGAAGGGAGAAGAGCCAAGAGCGCGCAGAGGCCGTCCCAAGAATTTGTTAGTCTTGAAGGTGCTCTTGCCAAACGAGACTCCTTGGAGGTTTCGCTGCAACAGGCTGGCAGGGCTGCGCTGCCCCTCTGGGAACAGCGAGCGAGCGAAGATCGGCGGCGGCGCGGAAGAAACGATCGCACCCACAGCCTCCTTGGGTCCCGTCTCCGGCAGCCGCGTCCTCTTCGCGTCGCTTCTCCCGGGGATGCGCTGATCTCTGCTGAGCCTCGGCAGGAAGGAGCACATGGAGCGACCGGAGCCGCTCTGGGTGAACAGTAGCTGCGCCAACGGTGAGTAAGAGCGCTCGCTTGGCCGCCACACGCGGGTTACGAGGAGGGAGATGGAGAAGAGACTGCTCGGCTGCTCTCCTTTTCTTCTTTTCCTGCTTCCACTTCCCAAGGTTAGGAAGACCTTTCCATCTCCATCAGGCGAGTTCCTGGTTCCTGGTCCAAAAAACTGATCGGTCCTTCCCACGCTGGCAGACAAACCCATTAAAATAATCGCTTTGCCCCCTTTTGCTGGAATACATATAATTCTAAGAGGGAGATCAGAAGATTTATAAGGTCTTCGGAACCTCTTGCCCCACGTCGCCCTTGAGATCTGTGTTGCTCCGAAGAGTGGCCTTTTTATTTGCGTAACTGTGGGGTTTGGGAGGGTGGCGTTTTCTTCTCCTTCGGTTCTCCAGGCGATTGCAGCAGCTTCTCAGTTTCCTCCCCTCCGGGTGCCTGTAGGTCGCCAAGCAAGCAAGCCAAGCGATTGTGCAAAGTACGCCTGAAGAGACAGGTGCAGAGATTAAAAATAAAAAGGAGAAGCTTGTTTGGCAAGGGGGCTCGTTCTCACGATCAGCCCGGCCGGTCTCCTCCTTTGCAGGTGAAACTCAAAGAGCAGGATTTCCCCGGGGGTGTTTTACTTCAACTAGCGAGGTGGTCGTGAGATCGAATTAGGAGTAATTGTATATTTCCTTCTTCTATCTTTTTTGGAACAGGCAGTTCTTGTGAGCGCTTGTGGGAATATGGGAAGCTGCATTGTATCAGGTCAGACCCTTGGCCAGTCTAGTCCAGTATTGTTTACACTGACTCCCAGTGGCTCCCCAGAGTTTCCCAGCTCAACTTGAAGATGCCAGGGATTGAATTTGGGACCTGCATGCAAAGCAGACTCTCTAGCACTGAGCTGTTCACCCCTAGAGTGACCAAGAACTCTGGTGGCAGGTGGGCTGCGGTGCCCTGATGTATCAATGAAGTTGGACTTCTAACTCCTATCAGCCTCAACCAGTGTAGCCAATGGGAGATGTAGTCTGACAACCTCTGGGAGGTTCAAAGGTTCCTTCATCCCACAAGTAAAAGGACAAAGGAAAGATTAAAGCATGGGAGGTTGGGAAAATTATGGCCCTCAGGGCAGTTACTCCAGTATTATCATGTCCACAAACAGAAAGTTCATAAGAAAGTGGAAAAAGCCCTGAAGACTTCCCTCATGCTCAGGTATAATAGCTGCCTTGTCTTAAATTGTGCTGGCTTGATTGGGAATTAGGGCTGAGTATGGCGCTGTGGGTTAAACCACAGAGCCTAGGACTTGCCGATCAGAAGTTCGGCGGTTCGAATCCCCGCCACAGAGTAAGCTCCCATTGCTTGGTCCCTGCTCCTGCCAACCTAGCAGTTCGAAAGCATGTCAAAGTGCAAGTAGATAAATAGGTAACACTCCAGCGGGAAGGTAAACGGCGTTTCCATGCGCTGCTCTGGTTCACCAGAAGTGGCTTAGTCATGCTGGCCACATGACCCGGAAGTTGTACGCCGGCTCCCTCGGCCAATAAAGCGAGATGAGCGCTGCAACCCCAGAGTCGGCCACAACTGGACCTAACATTCAGGGGTCCCTTTACCTCTGCCTATTCCAGGATAGGGTTATGGGAACAGTGGAAGGGTTAGGGTGCTAGGTGGGTGGTGCGAATGGTGAAAAGCAGTGGTGACTTGTGAATCCTACAGAACAATGTGGTGCTGCTCAGATTAGGGTTCCCTGTTCACCTTCCAAAAGGGTATAATGATTTTCCCCTCCATTCACAAGCAAAAGTAATAGAGATGGCTTCTTTTGCTGCCCTTCTGCTGCTGCTTAATTTGCTAAGTATGTTTTGAAACAGGATCAAAAGCCACATCTGCTTTCAGGAGTCTGTTTTGTCATAGGCTTCTTGTGAAATAGGCTGTAAAAGATAATAGAAGCATATGACCCATAAGTCTTCAAGATTACCTTCTGTTAGCTTCTACTGATGAGCATGGCTGCTCCCTGGATTAATGTGGCTTTATTGGCTTGTGGCTCTTTTTAAATATTTATATTTTATTGAGGTTATAATAGTGACTTAAAGTAAATAGCGGAGGAAAGAATATAAAACGGAAAAAGAAATAATCATCATCATAATTTTCTTATTTATACCCCACCCATCTGGCTGGGTTTCCAAATATTAAAAACATTTTAAAAAGAAGAGGAAAACAGCAATAACAAAATAACAATAAAATACAAAACTATACTGTATATATGTAGATGGATAAACTTATTGTTTCCCTCAGTATATGATGATTCATGTATCACTATGGTTTCGATAAATACGTTCCAAAGCATCATTAAATTTGTCCATGCCTAATCTTCATCTGAAAGCGATCCGTTTATGGGTTGCAGGAGTTGTCATGTCAGCTATCCATTAATTAAAGGATGCTTCATCCATATTTTTGTCCTTCCAATGTATCAGTATCAATCCTTTTGCAGATGTGAGTGCATGGAGAATCCATTTACATTGTCTGATAGTCAAGCATCATATATTAAGTATATAGTTTAAAATGATGTTATCTTCTGAAATGTTTAACTCTTTCTCCACAATATTTATTCATTCCGCATCTCCAACAGCATGTTGTCGCTGAGAGTCCATGTTTATGCAATCATGATGGAATCCAATAAACTCAAAATAAAATCTCTTGTTGTATGAGACATCGTTTATAATCTAATGATACATTGGAAACGGAGGCTAAAATATTATCCCATTCTTTAACTAAGATGGAGCTTGTTAATAATGTATTCCATTTGCATCTCAAAGTTTGTGCATCAAATTAATTAATACACAATAAACATTTCTAAAAAGTAATAGCTGGCTTTTTAGCCTCCAGGGATTCAGTCAAGTGTTCGAGTATCACCTTGGCTTGTGACTCTTGGTGTCAGGCATTACAGCAAGGGGATCCAAAGATGAATAAACAGATTTTTTAAATCTATCAATTTCAAAGAAGTTTGCACTACGGATTAGGACGGAATGGATGGCATACTTTTTCTAAGCTTTTATTTTATTTGTATTCAGGGGGGGAAACAGAGCAAAGGAAGAAAGATGTATGGCAGATTTTGATGAGTTTACAACTCTTTCATTCTCTCCTTTATCAGATAATCCTGAATACTTTCATGGCAGTTGGTTTACCTGCTTGTGATTTTATGAATATCTGGCTTGGCGGGGATGACAGGCTATGGAGTGTGTATCATAATTAAAGGCTTTGACCTTCGTTGAGATTCCATCAGTCTTTAGTATATACATCACTTTCTCCTTGAAAATTAGAAACTATGTTTTCAAGACTAAAATTCACTAAAAATGTTCTTGACTGGGAATTGTTCCAGATGTCTGCTGCTGTGTGTGACACTGCCATTGAAGTATAGAGATGCCTCCCTAAACATGGCCAAGGTGTAAAGAGACAAGCCATTTGAGTCTGAATTGCTCACTGGACAACATTTTGCACTCTGTATCCTGAGAAGGTGGTGGGTTGTGGGTCAGCTGCCTGTGGGTCTCATCATTATAGTTGTAAGCTCCTTTGGGTGCCTTTTTTTCATTTGGCTGAAGAACAGGGCAAAATGCTTCTGATAAAAAACAGCCAACACCTGCAAACCTAAAAGGGAGCAAGTCCTATTGAAAGCGAGACCTACTTGTGAGTAAATACATTGTTGGCTGTGCTGGAAATTTGACTTTCTAGTTAAACTGAACATTTGGATGTTTACTTCTGTCCTTTGTGATTTTTATGGAAGTTCGAAGGGCTGATCTACACACACAGTAGACTGAGGTGAGAAAATCTTATGATGCACAAGTGGGCTATACTAGTTCATGCTTCCTGCCAACGTAGCAGTTCGAAAGCATGCCAGTGCAAGTAGATAAACAGGTACCATTATGGCAGGAAGGTAAACAGCATTTCTGTGCGCTCTGGTTTCCATCACGGTGTTCTGTTGCGCCAGAAGTGGTTTAGTCATGCTGGCCACATGACCCGGAAAGCTGTCTGTGGACAAACACTGACTCCTTCGGCCTGAAAGCGAGATATAGTCACCTTTGACTGGACTTTACCATCCGGGGGTCCTTTACCTTTTACCTTTTTACTGCTTCATGCTGTAGTTGGGGGAGAGGGTTACCCGTTTTTTATCACTCTCACATGTACTCAATCAACAAACTGTTTTAAAAAACTACTGCAGCATGGAGAAAAATAGTATCTCAGCCCATTTTCTTCTGTGCTGGTTTTCTGACTGTGCAGGTTCTCCCCCCCCCCCCGAAAGTGGATTTCTCCCTCCCCCCAGTCTGAAATTGTACAGTCTATTCTGCTCCCTCAGGAGTCTTCCATCTTAGCATTATCACCTTGGCTAGACAGAAGACATGTCCAAGATCCCATTTCATTTCTCTTGCAAAGGGTTGAAATTTGGTGGTTCTCTTTGAATTTCCCCTTGCAGAATGAAGCAGAATCTGAGCAAATAAATTGGTGTGGTTGTAACTGGCCTCAATCCTCCCCCTTCTCCTTTCTTTTTTACTTGGGCTTTTGAGGATGTTGGTATTCTTGTCAATCCCCGAGGAAGGAAAAGGCTACATGACATTAGGGCATTGTGAGTATGTTGGAGATAAGAATTCACTGTTTGTTTTCAGGCTCACAAAGACTGGTCTGTATCAGGCAAATTGCCAGTGTCAAAACACCACGCCACATTTGCATTACTGTATTTGTAGCATAGCTACAATCCTGCCCTGTTTTATCAGACCATAGGTATATATGTTCTCTCCCTCTCATTTAAAGAGCTCTTGCAAATGGGTCATTTCTTTCAACCTTTCCTTTAAGGGTCTGGGTTGCCAACAATTTTTTTCAGCAGAGCGCCTGTGCTTTTTAAAAAATGTTGTATATATTTATTTAACACATATACAGCTCTGCAGCAAAGTGGATTTACAATAAACAACCATGTACCAAACAAACAGTAATAGCAAGGAATAAAACACAAAGCATTTCAGGGTTCTTAAAAAAACTGATTAAATAACCAATTTAGTTCAAAAATATTTTTATCACCTATATCCTGAAAACCAATGGGCAGGATACAGAATAAACCTCCCATGTTCACTAGTTTCACATACCCTCCAGCATTTCTCCTATGAAAATAGGGACATCCCATTCTGTACTGATACTTTTACTATTTATACCCCACACATCTTACTGGGTTGCTCCAGCCACTCTGGACAGCTTCCAACATATAGAGGGTGAGTCCTTTAAAAGAGGCTCCGTGGATACAGAGTACACATGTTCCACGGGGCATCTTTTAAAAGACTTACCCTGTATAAAAACATTTAAAAACATTTTTTAAAAAACCTTTCCTATACTGTACAGGATTGCCTTCAGGCGCCTCAGGGGCCAGATAACGTCATACCCTCCAACATTTCTCCAATGAAAATAAGGACATCCTAAGGAATTGCCACCTCATGAGAAGAGTCCCTGGAAAAGACCCTGATGTTGAGAAAGATTGAGGGCACAAGGAGAAGGGACGACAGAGGACAAGATGGTTGGATAGTGTCTCGAAGCTACCAGCATGAGTTTGACCAAACTGCGGGAGGCAGTGGAAGACAGGAGTGCTTTGCGTGCTCTGGTCCATGGGGTCACAAAGAGTCGGACACGACTAAACAACTAAACAACAACAACAAAGAAATTGCAGGACATTCCAGGATCAAATCAGAAACCGGGATGGCTTCTCTAAATCAGGGATGTCCCTGGAAAATAGGGACACTTGGAGGGTCTGGTTTCATAGCAGAGGAGCAACAACCATGAGGCTTTCCCTGTATTGTAGCCACCCACTTTTTCAGATGGGGGCAGCCATTAGCAGGTTATAGTGTTTATCTCTGAGCCATTAAAAGGGTCATCTGCTGATATCTGCTATCGTACTGTTGTTAAAGGCACAAGCCCAGGCCAAACAACGTTTTTTAATCAGTTGGTAACATTATAGAATGTTTCACCTCCCTCTTTGCTTCTGATAGTTCAAGTAGCAGACTGCCCTAACCCAGGTCCTCCACAAAGCACTGGAGTCCTTAGGTGTCACTCACTTTGCATAGCTCAAACAAAAGGTCTGGACAAGTTTTGACAGCACCTGCTTCTTCTCCTTTCTCTCCTGTTCCAGAGGGCAAAGTAGAACCTACACATGGAGATCAGGTGCTGTCAAGCCCTTTGGCCACAGTTTACCTTTAGGAATCTTTGCCCAACCTATCCTTATTTGAGTTGTAAGGTTTGTACTCTGCACCTCAACCATCCATAATCCGTTTAGTCACAGAAAAGAAGGATATTTATAGTAATGAGTGGCTTTGTAGAGATGGAAGAGGTGTAATCGTTTCCACCTGTCTTGTATTATGGTGTAAATGAATTGGTGCCTTGGGTGTGTCTTGAGTCTGGGAATCACGGAGGCTCATCAATCCCCACCCACACTAGCTGACACACCTTAGATCTGGGTGCTGATAAAAATTTTAACTGATGAAACTTGATTTGTATCTGTGTTCATTCCAGTTAAAACTATGTTGCATGCTTTATTAGAGCAGTCTATGCGTATGTATGTGCTGAAAGAGAGTGCGTGTTTCAATTCAATGCTCCAAAAATTCTCCTTTCTCCCTTTCTCTCCCCCCACCCCTGGTTTTATATCCTGCCTGAGGGGAACCTTCTTCAACCCAAGGGTCAAATTCTTCATGAGCTACATGTCCGTGGTACTGGGTGGGACCAGAGGCAACAGTGGGTGGAGAAACAGGTCTTACCTTTCTAAAATAAAAGTTAAAGGTTTCTACATATGTACCCACCCACTTCTGTCTGTCATCCAGCCCAGGCAGTAGGCTGGGAATAAAGGGATGCAGGCTGGGAAGGATCCCAAAGCCAGATGGAGAGGCCTGAAGGTCTACGTTCAGCCCTAGGCCTGAAGTTCTTCACCACTGATCTAGCATGTTGACTGACTGCACTGGGATTATTTTATTCTCTCCTATGTGAAGATGATAGTGTTACCGGTACCAAGTCCAAAACGCTGTCCCTCCCAGGCCAGTAAAGAGACAGTGGGTGGAAAGGTAAAAGTTTATTCTCAGTTGCTTCACAGAGACTCGGCAGGATATCTCCAAAATCGAGCACACAAAATACAAAGCATTTATGCCACTGTAGCAAGCAAACAAGCACATGATTTCTTGCGTCACTATTAGCTTGTGTGAACAAAGCGTGCCTAAGTCAGGTATTCTACTTGGCTACAGAACAATTACTCACTTATCCTTCTTCATATCGTGCTCAGGCCATTCCAGGTATGACTGGCCTTGTACTTGCAACTGTGGGAACATCTTGCTGTTGTGACTGTGTTTATGCGGACTCAGCAGGCTGTGGTTAACTATGTATGTGACATGTAAATTTCAGAGTTATGACACCCAGGTATCACTAGTGTTTAGTTTGACTCTGACTTTTATTTAGTTAACTTATTTCAGTTCTTGCCGAGGTAGGATTGATTGATTGATTGATTGATTGATTTCATTTTCACAAGTTTTGAGCCTTTCTCAGTGTTGTTGCTTTAACAAGGATAGGGCATTTGTTGGCACAATTTGAACATTCATGTCTAGGCTTAGTAAGCGAGATTTCAACAAGCCTTTCTCCTGCCCAATGCATCCCTTTCACTCCTTCCTTTTTGGCAGGAGCAATCAAACCAGGAAGCCTCTAATTAGCTGCACTTCCCCATTTAGTCTGAACGAAGAAACTGTGATTACCAGCTTTGGAACAAGATGGGATATTAAAGTTGAGTTTGAAGTTAGTTTAATAACCTGGCCTGTTCCAAAGCTAGTAACCTGGTTCAGATGAATCAGGAAACTATGGTTCATTATAAACTCCACGAAGGGGGTAGAGAAGGGGCTGCCAAGGTGGACAAGAGGTGTGTTCATATCTCAGTTTATTAAGATGAGATTTGATTGTCTGAATCAACCAGTTATATAGTCCCATATAAATCTGTAAATCATGATTTATTTGCATTTGCAAAAAAGGGGGGTTAGATATTATCCTCAGTCACAGCTCAGTCAAGTTTTTCCAGTTTTATATTTTTTGATAAATGATTTGTTAGTGATGAAATGTTACTGATTCAGTACAAGTGTATGAAAGAGATTTTGAGAAATGCTCTCTTTATATGATGCAATGCATTGTAAGACAGACTGCAAGACATACAGCATTACGTCAGCTGTATAGTTTGTTCGTTTGGCAACATCTATGGCTCTTCATAGAAGGGAATTCTGATGAACAGGTAACATTCCCTTACTTCCATCATCCATACAGTAATAACATCTATTAGTTCATGGAACTGTTAGAAATCTAATAAGTGCAAAAGCTAATCGTGTTCTTGTGCATGTTCTAGAACAATCATGTTCTAGTGATCTAGCAGGACATTTCTTTTCTTCTTTCAAGGAAGCAAAGGACCTAAATAATGGCATGTTCTGAGCATGGCATGTAAAATGAAGGCAGCAAATGTATTATTTGCTTAAAGTCTTAATTTCTGCCCTCTTCCCATTTTCTTGTCTTCCCAGGTTCATTATTAGCTCTGACATGCCTTTCTGGGCAGACGTTCTGTCAGGTTGTTGGGAATGTCAGCTCAACAGTCTTACCCCACAATAATATCACCTTAAACACAAACTGGATGGTACAGATAGAAGACAAATATGGCTTCTACATTGGCTTGGCCTTGGCCATCTTCTCCAGCTTCTTGATTGGCAGCAGCGTAATCCTTAAGAAAAAAGGACTGCGTCGGCTTGTGGAGACAGGAGGCACCAGGGCAGGTATGGTTTCAATGGCTCAGGAGGTGGGTGGGGAATTATTTTCTGAATGAGTTCTGGTTTTATCTGAGGCAAGGGGTGGCCAATATGGTGCCCTTCAGAAGTTTTGGACCACAAGTCCCATCAGTCCTGACCACTGGCTGACAGGAATCGTCATCCACATCTCGAGGGTATCACGTTGGCTATTGCTGAGAGATCTGACTTTGAGCCTCAAAGTGTTTTGGATTCTGAGGGCCTTTGCCTACACATTACACAGAGGCAAATCCTTGCCTGAACAGGCAGCTATAGCCAATCACAGTTCATTAAGGAGTGTGCCTGTATGACACGTTTCTCCATCTAGCCCATTGAACTTCAACTGGTAGATGAAGGTCACCAGGGGTGGGTAGGCAGGTATAGCTGGTCAACAACTTGCCTCAGCCCTGACCTTTGGTTATGCTGGGTGGGGGCTGATGGGAGTTACAGTCCAACATCAAGAGAGACCACTTGGCAACTTATCTCTGCACTACTTTGTTGCAGCTTGACCTAAGGTGAGTCTCAACAGCAACACCAACACCATGCAGATATGATAAAAATGAAGAAGCGGGTCCCCAAGTACATTTAACTAAATCTGTTTTTTGGTTGGTTGGTTGGTTGGTTGATTCATTCATTCATTCATTCATTCACAATCTATTTTATATCTCAACTCAATAATCTTCCTAGGATGGTTTACTAAAATAATTTTTTTAATGGAGAAAATAGAATAATGCAAAATCCACAAAATTATAAAAGCAGTAAAAAAGTCAGCAATATTAAAATGGCACCTAATAAATTTGGGAACAGTTTTGGACACTGAAGGGACAATAATGTAATCACCAGCCAAACCTCTTCAGCATTCCACCCCTGGGATGCCACCACCGAGAAGACTCTTTTTCTGGAAGTAACTCGTCTCACCTTGGATGGTGGTGGTAGTGCGAGGCACTTGCAGGGGGGCTCTCCAGTGAATATCTTAATTCCCCTGTTTTGCAAAGCTTGAAGGCAACAGACTAGCTCTTTCTCTTAGAAAAATATCAGCAGTCCCTGCTAAAAGGAAATAAACTCAAAGAGCACACACAGGTTCTATAGCTCTTACATGACCATGGAGTTTCTAGACTTTGCTGTTCTACTCTCTTCCCCTGTATCTGCCCCATCTAATCTCATGCCCATCTAGGCATTCAGGCCATATTTGTTGTCATGGTATCTAGGTACCTCCCTCTTTCTCTTCCATTTTAACATTCCTGAAAGTCTGACATCTATTGATAGGTGGTGCTTCCTGTTTTGCTAGTACCTATTTTCAGTCTTAAGCTGCTTTGATTTCCAATAAAATACTGGAATCAGGATTCTTGTGTGTAGCAGCTGATAATCTCACTCTGTGTTTTTCCAACAAAGTTTTTTTTTTTTACCTTGTTTTTCAGTGTCATGTCTTGTTCTAAAAGTAGGATATCATTATTATGAATAGTAATAATGTTCAGTTAGCTATGGTGGGAGTCACTATACTGATATGCATTGACAAATAGCTTTTAGATCAAGGCCTCAAATTTGCAGGGAGCTTCCACAAGTAGAGCTGGTTCTCAACTGCAGGCACTTAGCTGCAAAGCATGTAGGGTCAGGGGGTAGGATCCTAATGGAGGCACTGGGATCTTTTAAGTGCATCCTTGATGTCATCCCCCTCCCCCAGTCTCATGCAATGGAAAACATATGAGGGGGAATACTTGATTAGGGTAGCATCACAATCACAAAAATATAAGAAGAGTCTTGCTGGATCAGACCAATGGCCCACCTAGTCCAGCATCCTGTTCTTACACTGACCAGGCTTTTTGGAAGCCTGAAAACAGGATTTGTTAATATAGATTTGGGGAGATAATGATCTGACCTGCCAGCCAGAGTAGATTCTCCACCACGTCATAGTTTAGTATTGAGTGCAAAAGGGCCTGGGCCAAAAGCATTATAATATGCCAAACGACATTAGACAAACACCATTGTATTCTTTTAGACATCCATGAGAAAATTTTCCGTTTTGGTGGGCCTGTTTAGACACATTATTTGTTACATGTTTTGTTGTGTTTCATAGTTTGAAATAGTTTTAAACAATTTTGAAATGTTAAATATGTTTTGTTCTATTTTTGATTGCATTTTTTATTATCTATGTGTTTGCCACCCTGGGCTTCTTTGGGAGAAAGGGCAGGATATAAGATGGAGGGAGAGATGGCTAAAATTCATACGATGTTGTGTGTCAAAAATGTGCTCTATAATTATCTTGAACATGAAATGCTTTCTTGTCATTCTGGGAAGGAAGTTAAAAATGCACCCAGAACCCACTGGTTTGCATGTGTTTTATCTCTTTTTGTTTCTATTTAATTTTACCTAGTATGTGGCTCTTATTTTCTTTTGAAGTCTCTAAGCATGTGTGCCTTTTGCTTTCCCAGGGGATGGTGGCCATGGCTACCTTAGGGACTGGCTGTGGTGGGCTGGCTTGCTGACCAGTAAGTATGGTTATTCACACTAGCCTGGATTTGTTCCTATCAAATCTTTATCACTTTCCCTCTTTTTCATTCGCTACCGCTACCATGTGGAGGCTATTTCCATTGGTAGTGCCCCACATGCTAGCAGTGATATTTGAGAGCCTTTTCCCACAATGACATGGGAAATGTCTAGGTCATCAAACTGAACTATATGGAAATGGCCTTTCAGTCTTTACCACCATTGCATCCAGCTTTCTTCAGCTTCCCTGTAGGGACTGGAATGTATAGAGCTCATCACCAAGGTTGGGGTGGAGGGAATGATCATCACCAGGGCCAGCCCAAAACGTATTGGTACATGAGGCAAACCACAAAATGGTGTCCTCCCCCTGGAAGAAGGGTTGAGTTAAGATCTACATCAGGAACAAATTGGGGAATCAAATCAACCTTATCTGGTGGCTGAAGTGGGAATAAAAGACTGTCATTGGGAGTAAAGGGTCCCGCTCTGAATTGTGTTCAAGAGACCCAATAGGGCAGCCCTCACCATTTCCTCCCTATGGGTGGGAGACCAGCAGTGCACCCTATTCACCAAGAGGCTGCTGTAGAGGCGGCATGGGGTGGGGGAACTGCTGAGGAGGTGGCAGATCCAGCCTCCAAGGAGTGTGACACAGCTGTTGTTGCCACATCAGCAGTAGCAGTAAGCGATACATTCCTTGGAAGCCAGATCTGCTGCCCCTGTGGATCCTGCCACCTGAGGTGGTCGCCTCACCTTGCCTCATGGGTGGGCTGGCCCTGCTCATCACAGTATAAATGATTCACTCCTCAGTAGAGATGTTTGCTGGCCAAAAACAACAAATAGCCTCAAGGCACCTTATGGAATAAGCCAGCAGTAAGCAGCCTGGTGCCTTTCATATGTTCTGAACTGCAACTGCAACTCACATCCACCCCAGTTTGGCCACTGGTCAGAGGGAGATGGGTGGTGGGAGATGTAGGAGGCTACCTTGTTGCTGCCCCTGGCATCAGCTTTCATGGGCTAGAGTCCACTTCAGAAGGACTTGGAAGCAGATTCTAGTCCATGGGCAGGCAAACTAAGGCCCAGGGGCCGGATCCAGCCCAATCGCTTTCTAAATCCAGCCTGCAGATGGTCTGGAAATCAGCGTGTTTTTACATGAGTAGGAAGTGTCCTTTTATTTAAAATGCATCTCTGGGTTATTTGTGGGGCATAGTTCATATTTCCCCCCCAAAATATAGTCCAGCCCCCCACAAGGTCTGAGGGACAGTGGACCGGCCCCCTGCTGAAAAAGTTTGCTGACCCCTGTATCTAGTCCATGAAAGCTTATGACACTCTTAAAGGTGCTCCAAGGCTTTGGAAGCTACTGACCCAAGGCGGCGATCAATCATTTTAGCATTGTCTGGTTTGCTAGGATTAGGTCCATTTTCTAAAATTGGCTGGGCAGATCTGCCACCATATTGGATTCTGATCCATTACTCAGGAGATATTTGGTCAAAACTTTTCACACGGAGTTCCTTGAATCTACAACATGACTCTGAAGATGACTTTTCTTGTTAAAAAAAATGACAACACAACAGTGATTGCTGTAAAACCATCTGTCTCCTGGTTTTTAACTCCAGTGCTCTTTTTCATTGGGCCAAACTATGCACTGAATGCGAACGAAAACACTTGAGCAGGAATAGCACTCATTGTCATTTACCTGTTCTCTGTTTATCCTTTGGCTGTTTGCTCAGTGGGTGGAGGAGAAGCTGCCAACTTTGCCGCCTATGCCTTTGCTCCTGCAACAATTGTTACTCCGCTCGGAGCCCTGAGTGTACTCATAAGGTGATTTCCTCTCGTTTCTATTCTGTCCTCCCATATTTATTCTAGGTCTGTAAATGTCAGTGGTAGTAACATGACTGGCCATGCAAACAGAAAAATAGCCTGATAACTTTCTCCCAGTACCCAGAAGCCAAACATTTGCTTCAGCCTGGCTGTTCCCACCCCCCAAAAGCAGCTTGCATGGTACTTTTTGACACAGGGGTGACTTTAATGACTTTAAATGAGTGCATTTAAAACAGCAACCAGCAACCTGGTGCCCTCCAGATGTTTTGGACTGAAATTCCAGTCATTCTCAACCATTGGGCATTCTAACTGGAGCTGATGGGAGTTGTGGAGACACCAAAGTAGTGGTCCCAAAGGATGAACTCCCTTTGGGTGCAAAGTGGTGGTGGCAGCCTGACGCATTGCAGCAGCACCCCTTAAATATTAATCTCAGGGCTGGAAGTCAGTCAATAAGTTACAGCGAGTGTTTTCCTCTTCCCAGCTGTGATAAGACTTGATGAACCTCAAGGGCTGCTAGGAAGGGATGTGTGGGTGGAGTTGCTCCCCTCTTCCGTCTCTGTGCTCTTCATCAACTGATACACATGGCAGCTAGCATATGATTGGAGGAGCAAACCGCTTGCGTGAGAGTACCCAAAGCTCATCCATATATCAGCTTTATTATGCTAAGATATGAGCATCTGAACATGCCCATTGTCAGTTAGATGATTGATTCTGATTTGAAGTGTCCAAATATTGCATATATCTCTCTGTTTGTCACTGAAAGAAGTTTCCAAAGTTCTGTAGAAGGCTGTTATTAATGGGACAACCATGTATTCTGACTTCTTGTTAGTTTTCTGTATGTTGATTACCCCAAAGCAATTTTATTGATTTTTCTCCCCTATGACCCAGTGCCATTTTGTCCTCGTACCTGCTTGGAGAGTGGCTGAATCTCCTGGGCAAACTCGGTTGCATGCTGAGCATTGTGGGTAGTACAGTCCTTGTGATTCATGCTCCAGAAGAAGAGGAGGTCACCACTCTGGACGAAATGGCCTCTAAACTGAAAGAGCCAGGTAACCAGAAAAGCAGAAGGTTAAAGGTATCACCAACCAGCTATAAATGTAGCTTATTATCTGAATCCCTTGTTCAAGTGGGATGGCAGTGGCATGGCACTTCAGCTTTGAATCCCCCGTGTGGCTGTCATCCTATTTGTGAGCATTGTGGTTCAGTGTCATCCCCTGAAATGTCTTTGCACCTCTGCTGCTGTTTCCTGGAGACATTGCCCCCTTCACAGATCTCTCATGCCCCATTGCCAAATTGGACATGCAAGGGTGTTAAATGTGGAGAGCACACTTTGAAACCCTCTTCAGACTCTTTGCACTAAAACACACAGTGGTCTAAAGAGGAGCCTGTGTGCCCAGTGATGTTGGGCGCATGATGCCCTCCCATGATTTTAAGTTATGAATTGTTAACCTGTGGCCCTCTAGGTGTTGTTGGACTCAACCAGCAGTGGGAGTGGTCAGGGATGATGGGAGCCACATCTGGAGGGCCATGTTGAGAGTGAGCCACCTCCATTCTAAGACCTTGTTCAGGCAGATGTCCAAATAGGTCTTCTGAGTATATATGCAGGTGCATGAATTAGAGCTCGTGCACATGTCTTTCCCTGGATCCCACCCTTATGTGTGCTTATTTTCTGCATTTTGTGCCAGTCCTTTTGGCAGACTCACCTCACCTAGTTCCATTTGTTTAGGTGGAATAGTTCTCATTTCTTACAGCTAGGATTCTATTGGTTGATCAGTTGAACTCCTTATACCTGTTAGTGGTGTGTTACTGCCTTGCCACAACTTGTACTCTGCTCCTCATAAAACTGCCGCAACCTGGTGATGAATTCCTCACCCCCCCCTTCTTTTCATTCTTTCAGGTTTCCTTGCTTATGCCAGCATTCTGTTGGCGGTCTGCCTGGTTCTGATTTTCTTCCTCGCCCCACGTTACGGCCAGACCAACATTCTCATCTACCTCACCATCTGTTCTGTGATTGGAGCATTCTCAGTATCTTCAGTCAAAGGACTAGGCATCGCCATTAAGGGCTTTTTTGCTCACTGGCCTGTTCTGAAGGACCCACTCACCTGGATTCTTGTCCTCACATTGGTGGCCTCTATCACCACCCAAATCAACTACCTCAACAAAGCTCTGGACATTTTCAACACCTCTATGGTTTTCCCCATCTACTACGTGCTGTTTACCACCATTGTCATCACCACTTCAGTCATCCTCTTTAAGGAGTGGGTCACCATGTCTGTGGTGGACATCATTGGGACGGTCTGTGGGTTCCTCACCATTATTTTAGGGGTCTTTTTACTCCATGCCTTCAAAGATATGGACATCAGTTTGAGGAACCTGCCGCAAACCCTTCAAAACGCTGACGAGGCCCCAGCCGTCAAGGACGACAAGAACATCCTGATAGAGCTGGATAATCCAGAAATCAAGGCTGACAACAAACCCAAAGTATTCATGATCTACAGCTGAAACCTAATAGCAACAATCCTGCAGCTGCAGGAACTTGGATTGAACTGTGTGTAGGTAATACAGGCATGTGCTATATTTTGCATTAATGGGTACGCATACGCATCTTCTGAGAAATAGCAACCAAGTTGAATACCGTGAACCAGCTCTCTCACGTTTTGTCTCAGTAACCCTTTCCCCCCATCCTTTGGAATTTCACCGCACACCCCATACTCAGGAATTGCCTTGACTGCTTTGACTGTGCCTGCCTCAGACAAGCAGGTTTTCATTAATCATTTGGGGGTGGGGGTGGGGATTGGTTCCATCTGTGGTTGAAGTTGCTTCTTGGCCCCTTTGCATGACGTTGTCTCCTCCAACGTGATCTTCCCCTCAGAGGCTATACTGAGGTGCTGTGAGGCCACAAAGAGCATTCAGATTTGAAGTCCATGACCTGTGAAACTTCAGGGAAAGTTCTTGTGGCCTTTTTCAACCCTGAGTACTCAGTCCTCTACTGAAAGTGTTAACAGAAAATAACTTAAGTCATTCTTCTGATGAGCCAATTAGATCAGATATATCAAGCTATGCTAGGACTCTTTTCCCAGACAACTAGCTTTCTGTTGTTGCCTGACAATTCCTGATGAAGGGGTGATTGCACCATCGTGCGATTGCCTCATCTGTACGCTAAAGAGGGAACAATTTCACTGGGACAATATCTCATGCGTCTTTCTGTCTATGCATACTACCCTTTAGTGCCTTTTTGGTCTTCCACTGTTATTAAGTTATTCTGCTTAAAAGTGGATGGAGTTAACCCATTAACCTATTGCCCTGATAGTGCGGCAACTGTCTTACAGTGCCAATGTGTATCAAGAGGACAATTCTGATAGTGGTCCCATTTCTGGTACTATAGTGCCTATGTAATAATGTATTATGAAAAGGCATAACAGCCAGTGCAAAATTGTGAAATACGCTTCATCCCTTGTAAACTTCTGGTAAGACAAAATGCTGTTTGTATTTCTGTTAGCTTCTGCCATTATACCAAAGGGTCAGCCATCTAACCAAGGGTGTTTGAGAACCTTTTACCTTACAGTGTACATACAACCATAAGGAGAATCAGTCAACTGCAGTATTCATTCCTGTGGTGGTAAGAATCTTGTCCATGCGCCCAGTTTTTGGTTGCAGGAAGATGATGCAGTTCTCCTCACCACAAGCAGCATACTTCTCATGCGACATGCTTGGTTGCACATTGTGTGCACTTGGGCTCAGTACCCATGTTACTCTGACAACTTGACAGCTGCCAGGGAAACATGAAAAGCCCTGGCCCACACCCAAGGAACCCATGTTTAAAAGCTAGGGCTTTAAACATGATAGATATGAGAGACTGGTGTTGTGATGTAAATATTATTAGCCAATAGCCCTCCATGTTCAAAAGTGCCTTAAGTACCAGAATGATGGTGGTATCTCATGAGTTCTGTTTGGGGTACTGTGTTACGCCATCATTAATGGGGGGTCAACATGCTAGTTATGTTCTTAATAAGATTTGTAAGTGGCTATAACCATTAGTGTTTATTTTCAATGTTAAGTTCTATAAGTATGTAGTAGACCCCCCCCCCAAAAAAACCCCACCTTTCTGTACAGCTCAAATCCCCAGTTGTGATCACAGCAGTGTAAACTGGGGTCAAGTCTGCAGGATTTATGTTGTCATGAAAGTTGACGGTGGTTTGGGTCCCATGACTGTCACTATTTCCCCAAATGCTTGTAAGATTTCCTTTGGTCAATGAAAGTCTTTTTGCTTAGCCTTGATGACCAAGAAATTGTAAAATGTACTGTAACAGACACATGCCCTTTTTGTGGAAAACCAATAAGAGAGAAATTAGGCAGGGTTAGGGGACAGACATCGAAATCATGAGAATGATGAATCGAAGCTTTTTGCAACAGCTCCCACCAACCCTGAGTCCATGACTGGCTATGTGCGTAGCTGCCCAAAACATTTAGAGAGTGCAAGGTTGGAGAAGGGTGCTCTAAATGAAGGGGGCTCAGGGGGAAATGACGAGCATTGGGTGCCATAAAATCCACATCCTGATCCTGTGTTCTGCTCCTGTGAAACAGCAAATCATAGTGCCTAGTGCAGGCTCCCACTTCATGGAGAAATGTATTTGCTTGCTATGGGGAGGGACAACTTCTCTGTCTCCACAGCAGCAGCAGCAAGAGCTGTGCATTTAAAAAGAGCAGCATCCTAAGATTTATACGGACAGCACAGGCATTAACCGAGAGCTGGCAAAAACTTTAAAGGAAATTTTAGGATGCAAAAAGAGTTGATTTTTGCATGCTGGTAATACTTCAGCTGTTGAAGTACAAACAGAAGCTCTGGCTGTAGTTACATAGTCTCCTTTTTTGTCATTTAAATCAGTGGTTCTTCATTCCAGAAGGAAGAACTCCAGTAAGAGTGTTACCCTTCCAAGGTTCACTTTCATTCTGCTGTGCTTCTTTTTCCAATACAAAATGATAAACTGGAGATTATTGGCATCTAAACTTATGGTGGCATGTGTGTTTGATGCTAGGTATGAAAAGTTGACGAGCTTCTAGTTTCTTCTAAATTTGAGGTCCTTTCTTCACTTCTGGAATGGAAAAAATGTGGTGTTTGAAGCCTCCAGGTTGTTGAGCTCTAATGGCATAATAAGATTTATAAGATTTGATGCTAAGGTTGGAGAGTGGAGCTCCATAGAGACTGAAGTGCATCCAAGTTCATCTCACCATCATAGTACAGTGGTACCTCGGGTTACAGACGCTTCAGGTTACAGACTCCGCTAACCCAGAAATAGTACCTCGGGCTTCAGGATGAGAACAGAAATCGTGCAGTGGCGGCACGGTGGCAGCAGGAGGCCCCATTAGCTAAAGTGGTACCTCAGGTTAAGAACAGTTTCAGGTTAAGAACAGACCTCCAGAACGAATTAAGTTCTTAACCTGAGGTAAAACTGTACAGAGTTCCAATATCAACCAGAAATTTTGGCTTTGGCACTGATGCTGACAAATAACATTCATCCGGAAAAGGGAGATGGATCTTGAATGAGTACAAGCTACAGATCAGAGATCAATGAAACGTCGCCAACTCAGTTGAGAGGTCATATTTCAAAACTCTATGGCAGACCACAACTGTGGGCTAAAAGTCTGTGCTCCTCATTGTCTACAAAGGTCTTTTAAAACTCCAGGGATCTTCATTCCTAATGAATGTATTTTACAGTTAAATAAGATCAATGTAACTTTGTGAATAGTTATGATGGACAACTTGGATTTGCCCCTCCCTCCACTCCCAAGTTTGAACATATGGCATTTCAATGGTACTCATTTGTACTTGGAGAGGGGAAGAATAAAGATCTTTTTGTACAAACTCTTAAAAGGTGGAAATTTCAATTGTTTTAAGTTTTGTTTGCTTCCTTGTATTGCTTCCTGTAAGGTTTGCTCTGTGACCAACCAGGAAGGCAAGAGCAGCTAATTAGATACTGGGATTGCAGCGCCCTCTGCTGGTGATAGGAAATAATTTTTGATTTATTCTACCTCAGACGTTCTGGGAAATACATTTGCAACGCGGCCATTATACTGTTCTCCACACGCGAGGACCATCTGGCTAACCCAGTAGCACAGGCGACATCTGGAAGTGGTGCAAGCCCTGCCCTCCCCCACTTCTCAAGACCAAAGCCAGCCCTCCGTTCAATGATTTGGTAACTGTACATATCGACCACAAAATTTATTAAATATAACTAGGCAAAAGGCACAACAAACTGCATTATTCAAGTATTTGCATAGATGCACAGAGATCATATTGTAAACCTGCGAGACATAAAATGGTGACGCATGATGCAGAGGCTCTACCATAATAATAATAATTAATAATAATAATTAATAAACACTGAGTGCAGCCCTGTGTGTTTACTTGGAAGTAGGTCCCACTGAATTCACAAGGCCTTACTCCTTGGTAAGTGAGCATAGGACTGCAACCACAATGTTCTTCTCCCAATCTATCCTTTCAACATACACACGAAAGTACAAAACGATTTCCGATGCACTCATCAACCTTGTTTGAAGCAGGGGTGCCAGTTCCCAAACCTGTCTATTTAAAAACTTCTTGTAAGGAAGAAGTTCAGCAAAACTGGGCTATCTCCATGGGGCAGCATCTGCATATCACCACCTCTCTACCCTGCCATCTCTTGTAGCACCCAAGGAAACTTTACCTTCACACTACAGCAGGTGAGGACAGAGGGCCCACAGCCACATTTCGGCAGCATTAGGGAGGGGAAAGCAGAGTGCTGATCTCTTTGCTGTGGAGCTTTTAAAAGTAAGCTCGGATTGAGATTTGGCAATGCCTTGAGGAAGATAACCTTCCAGCTCTGAATAATTTTTTCCCCTTGAAATTGTAGCGAGTTGTTCTTCCGAGTATTCTGAGATGGCATAAGCCAAGACCTAGCAAAGCCAATGACTTCAGGGAGGTACTAAGTTAGCAGAACAAATCTGTTTTGTCTTCACCTGTGACAGTTCTGAACGGAAGATTACTGAGTGCCTGAGACTTAACCTGAAAAGACAGAGACCAGGATGGATGCTGTTATGTTTTCAGAGACGCACACCTTCTGTCTTGAAATGGCTGCTGGCATGTGTTTAAAGCACACTAGTATGTGTACAACCATTCATTTGGGATATTTGAAACTAGACCAAAAATGTTTTGGAGCGTTAATTGTATTTCCAGTGACCATTCTTTGTGGCACCAGTTCTGTGCTAGAACTGGAAGAACGTAATGAGCACAACCTGAGGATTTGGGGGGGAAATGCAGTGCTCAAAACCACTTGTGCATTGTTATTGATAATGCAGCAGACAGCATAAACTGCTTATTCTGTAACATGAGAGCAATGTAGGTACATGCATAGTTAAGATACCACTTGATTATTGCACTGTGCACAACTTGGGAAAATTTCTAGGAAACCTTGTTTTGCGTACTCAAGCTGAGTTTTGGACTGTTGAAATAGTGTTTTGGGCCATGGAGCTACAATTGTTTTGGTTCATCTAGAAAGACGACAACCAAGCCTAAAGGGCCTTTTTTTTAAAGAAACAAAACCGAAAACACCAGTTTGTACTGCTGCCAAAAAAACAGAAAGTCTCTGCATAAACAGCACCTAGACCCATTTCTAAGACTGGCTACGGCAGTTTTGATTCAAGTTTCCTAACAATTCATGGTAATAGACAAAACAGTTCCTCATTTTTAGCACCAGCATATTTGCAAAGCCAACTGAAAAAATATCACCGGTTCAACAAAAGCACCAAAAGCACCTAAAACCTGAGAACACATTCATAAAGCTTCAGACTGGTAACAATGTTGCAGCTGCATATTTGGAAGTTGAGGTTATTTATGCACTATGGTATCCTGTTACAGTATTAAAATAGCTGGGGTTTAATCAGCTACCCAATGGTAAAAGCACCATGAGTTAATTTTTCTATTTAGCCAGCTGAACTGTGTTAAGGCACCCAGTTAGGTGCCTACAGGTGAATTGGAATACAGAGGCTAGAAAGAAGGCACACAGCCTATGATTTTTTGTTGAATCAAGTGAGATGCAGCAAACCACTGTAGTAATAGGAAAAGAGTATTAGGATTATAGCACCTGTAGTACCTTGTCCGAGGGCTTGATCACATTGTAAATTTGCATTGGTAATCCATTTTACACCAGCCCCAAATTGGAAAGATGCAAAGGGAATTCCAGTTACACAGAGATTTAACCAAGGGTTATTTCCAAATTACTCAATGTTGGTTTCGATCAGCCTTCTCAAGCCTGGTGCACCCAGGATGTTTCTGACCTTAACTCCCAAACAACCCTAGTTAGGGATTGATAGGAGTTGTAGTTCAAAACATCAAGGGGCACCAGGTTGGGGAAGGCTGGCTGGTATTAATTTAGGGCTATGGTATTCAACCCTGCCCACCAGCTATAGGCTTCAAAGCCTTAGCTTGAGAGTGTAAACTCTCAACCAAGATTATCACATCAGGAGAGGATAACTATCCTCAGGTAAATTAGTGGCACCAATTTCCTGAGTGAGCAAGCCCAATCCAAATGAAACAGAAATAGACAAAAACTAAGCTGAGTGTACTTGATTATATGAACAAGATGTAGCACGCAAAAACAGATAACTAGCTGCAATTAATTCTAGGAAATTCTTAAAATGCCTTGCTAATATTTGGTTGATTGGTAGAGTACATTTCTTTTAGGGTGTCATGGGAACAGTGTGCCGCCACACAAAACCCGCCTTGCACTCTGTGCGGATGGGCAGAACCTATAATTAAGATGCCGCATGCAAACAGGATGGAGTAGACTTTAAAGGTTGATGGTGGTTGAGAGCAGAGGAAGAACTCACCATAGTTATGCCACCAACACTTTCAAACCTTGAACGTAATGACCAGAAAAGCTTTGGGCTAAGAAGGTGATGGTGTAAGAGGGCAAAGGTAAAGCACTGAACCCTGGGAGATTCCTTAAAAGAGGGAATAAATATAGTCAGTATGTAGCAAAATTCCACAAGCTCAGACTACGTCTCCATACAGTACTTTGGAGGAGATGAGGTCATCACAGGGGCACCACAACACTCTCTTCCCCATAGGATTGTCTGTGGTTGTAACAAAGCTGGAAAAGCTGAGAAGGATGCGGTGGCTCAGTGTTGACTAAAATACATTTGTCTTCTGTTGAGGCGATAATGAATTGCTGGGAGAAATAGAGGCTTCTCCCACTTCCGTTCCAGCACATTGCATATTGCACTATAACACACCAGTGCTATTTTAAACAAGTAACTCCTGTAATGAACAAATATCCAAAAGGCAAAGCAGGTCACATTAACCTTGGCATGCATGGATAGAATCCCCACTGACGTCCAAGGGTGTGGCATCGACCTGTGCCAAAGTCACTAGAACCGGACCTGAAATTGGTCTCGGCTAGTCATACAAGGCTGGGGGGTGGGGAGGAAGTTGAGATTTGCACATGCCCAGCATGTCTTCTTCCTGGAAACAAAGCCCATGGGAAATCCCAGGTCAAGGCAGGAGGAACCGGTGTGTAGTTCAGAGTTGCAAGATGACCTTCAATGTCTAAACTTCAGGGTATTCACAGCTTCAGCATTCTTCAAGACTGAATTCTAGGAAAGGGAAAATGATTGTGAGTTCAATGGATGCTAATTTATGTAAGAGAAGCAAGAGAAGAACAGCACCTCTTAAATGGAAATACTTCAGTCTCTTGTAACTGTTCTCACTTCACAGTTATCGACCGATTCTATATGTGTTTATTCAGAAATAAGGCCCACTGAATGTAATAGAACAGTCATCCCCAAACTTGGCCCTCCAGCTGTTTTGGGACTACAACTCCCACCATCCCTAGCTAACAGGACCAGTGGTCAGGGATGATGGGAACTGTAGTCCCCAAACAGCTGGCAGGCCAAGTTTGGGGATGCCTGTAATAGGACTTGCTCCTAACTACAGTGGTACCTCGGGTTACAGACGCTTCAGGTTACAGACTCCGCTAACCCAGAAATAGTACCTTGGGTTAAGAACTTTGCTTCAGGATGAGAACAGAAATTGCGCGGCCGCGGCGGCAGTGGGAAGCCCCATTAGCTTAAGTGGTACCTCAGGTTAAGAACAGTTTCAGGTTAAGAACGGACCTCCAGAACGAATTAAGTTCTTAACCCGAGGTACCAGTGTAAAAGAATCTCAGCTTTAATTATATATACAGTGGTACCTCGGTTTATGAACTTAATATGTTCTGGAAGTCCATTCTTAAACCAAAGCCATTCTTAAACTGAGGCACGTTTTCCCTAATGAGGCCTCCCACTGCCGGTGCCCTTCCACTGTTCAGATTCTGTTCGTAGACTGAGGTAAAGTTCGCCAACTGGAACACTACTTCCGGTTTTGTGGAGTTCGTATACTGAGTTCATATACAGGGCTGTTCTTAAACCAAGGTGCCACTGTAGTTTTATGAGTTCTGTGTTACAAGCTGGGGGCTGTGGAAGGAGAGGATGGAGGAAGCCTACTCACATTGGATTCTTCTTTCTAAAGCACCCACCCAAAAAACCTACAGTATTTGTAAATGCCTTCATATATGACAGAAACAGTCAAATGTAGCTGCTCCCTGTCCCTCAAAGAAAAACGGAGCTGGCCCAGATTGACAATCCCCAACATCTCATAGTCAGCTGACCAGGCCACAGATTGAATACTTGACACTGAATGCGGTGGAGTTCTGGTCTGAAGTATATTGCTACATAGCTCTTGGGCAATAATAGCACCTGCTGTCCTTTATATGTCTCACCTCCTGACGTACTCTCGTATTCCTTACAGCACTGTAGGGGGGCGGTACTGCTGCCTTCATCCTGGGCAACCCAGCTCTGTTGCTGGCAGGAACTGGATTAGCAGGAAGAGCTTTCTGAGGTGGTCGCGGTCTGGAAGAATCCTGGGACAAGAAAGTAAGATCTAGCAGGGATCTTCTTTTAAAAAACAACAACCACCTTCCAACTATCCAGTTGCCAGGATGGGCAAAACTCTATGTTATCTCTATTCCCTGCTTTATGATCTACAGAAATGTTAGGCACCAGGAAAATAGAGCAGTGCATTTTTATTCTTCAGAAATGCATGTAATAAGGCAAAAGTCTGGATTTCCTTTTCAGAAAAGAAAAATATGGCCTTAATTCATTTGCATGTGAAAACACATGGAAAAGTTTGGGGCTGAGCTCATTTGAAGCACAGCCAACTGGCAACAGGATGTATGCCAATATAGCTATACTTGTGTTTTTTCAGTGTTGATATACACAGTTGGTGGGGAGGAGCAATACCTGTCCTGCTTCTACCAAGTGCATCTTTACATGCTGAAGCATAATTAACTATACTAAAGTTTTATTAGCCCTCATTTACTAATATGTACCAATAGTAAAGGGACACGGGTGGCGCTGTGGGTTAAACCACAGAGCCTAGGACTTGCTGATCAGACGGTCGGTGGTTCGAATCCCCACCACGGGGTGAGCTCCCGTTGCTTGGTCCCTGCTCCTGCCAACCTAGCAGTTCAAAAGCATGTCAAAGTGCAAGTAGATAAATAGGTACCACTCCAGCGGGAAGGTAAACGGCGTTTCTGTGCACTGCTCTGGTTCGCCAGAAGTGGCTTAGTCATGCTGGCCACATGACCCAGAAGCTGTATGCCAGCTCCCTCGGCCAATAAAGCGAGATGAGCGCCGCAACCTCAGAGTCGGTCACGACTGGACCAAATGGTCAGGGGTCCCTTTACCCTTTACCTTACCAATAGTAAGGCCAAAATCAGCTCATAGGCACCATTAACTCACGTATTCACTCTATTTTTATCAAGCTGTGGGAACAAGTTATTTCCACAGGTGTAAAGATATCAATCCGTATAAAAATACTCACCTGAGAAACAATGACTTTTGGTGCTGGTGGCGCTGGCCTGCTTGGAGGAGTTCGCTTGGGGAAATTATTTGCCTCACTCTGATACCTGAGAAAGGTCGGTTTCTTTGTGTTAGCTGGGAGAGCAGGTGGTGGTGGTGGTGGTGGTGGTTGCGCATGAAGTTTGAGCTCTGGAGGTGGTTCACAGTAGAGCACTTCAGGCTTTGCAGGGATATTCTGTATGCCAATAGCCTGCATGCAATCACACAAAGAGCAGCTGATCTTTCTAAAATCACTACTGCATTTATGTTGTCTAGGTTTACTCCTGCTGAGACATTTCAAATGACCCAATATGAACAGATTTATTAACCAACCACACAATCTCAGTGCTGCTTACAAACACCATGCATTTAAAGCATCCCCCAAGAATAGTAGAATAACTATAGTACGTTAAGGGTGCTGGGAATTGTAGCCCTGTGGTGGGTAAACTGCAGTGCCCAGGAATTTTTAGTGTGCGTGTGTGTTCTCTAAAGGTACACAAAGTCCTGGTCCCATATACATTTTGTTCCCTGAGCACTCCTTGTGGTTATTTATGAATTTTTGCCATTTCTTTCCCACTACTTGGCTCCATTAAAGCCCTTTGGGTGAGTTACATCTAATATAAACAATACAAATGAATTCTTTAAAACATTGACATTAATACATTCATGCTGGATCAAACGCTTGCAGGCAATCATTTACCGTGAGAAAAGGTGCTCACGAGAGCCCAAAGAGGTTCCCTAAACAATCACTTTCACCTTGTGTCTCTAGGATGTAGCAAGAGAAGCAGCTTTGCAGTTTGATTGACTGATTGATTGATTGATTGATTGATTGGATCATGTGTTTTATAATGCATGGGAATTATCAGCATGGATCAATAGTGGGTTAGGAATACAGTGGTACCTTGGTTCTTGAACTTTATCCATTCCAGGAATCTGTTTGACTCCCAGAACTGTTCGAAAACCAAGGTGTGGCTTCCAATTGGCTGTAGGAGCTTCCTGCACTGAAGCAGAAGCCATCTCGGATGTTTGGCTTCTGAAAAACATTCGTAAACTGGAACACTTCCTTCCAGGTTTGCGGCGTTCAGGAGCCAATTTATCTGTCAACTAAGCTGTTCGAGAACCAAGGTTCTACTGTATAGAGAAGATCAAGTGTTATTCAACATGGCAGCTGTAAGTAGTTTCAGCTTTCAGGTACCTTTCTCTGTTCCTGGGGGGTTTTCAGCTTGAAGGCTGGGTTGGCATGCCCAGTCGCACCACTCTGAATGGGAGGAGAGGTACTGCTTGGGAAAAACAATAGGAAACAAATATTACAAGGAAGCTGCCTCTCGTGGTATATATTTAACCATTTCATGTAGCTGAGTCAGAATCATGTATCAAAAACAACAAACCCAAATAATCTAATTTAGGATAGAATGGGAGCGAGACTGAGATGTCTGGCTCCCATTCTATCCTAATTTAGATTATTGGAACGTTTTTGCAAGAGGCCAATATATATTGTAAGTTGATTTGAGTTTATTTTTTGTAAGTTAAAAAAGGAGACTAATAAGTGAATATAAATATAAATAATAATTATAATAATCTGGCCAACTCAACTGCAATAATTCAGGCTCATTTACAGGCAGTGAGTACTGTTGATAAATCTAAACTAAATTTTGCAGCAGGAAGTCTCTGCATGATGAACACTAAATGGGCTAAATGTCTGAGGTGGGAAGTAATTGGAATTTCCTAAAAGAAGAAAGGAACTAGTTTAAACACCTTCCCTTTTCAGTATCTATATCTTTGTTGTTGCATATGCAAGAAAGACATTTGTTTATCAGTATATCTGTATCCTGGCCTTTCTCCAAGGTGCATGGTGCGCAAGGCAACTTGCACATGCAATCCCAGACTTCTTTATCCCGGCATCAGAAATGGAAACACATCTGTTACTGTCATACTATAAATATTCACCTGAACTGCTGCATTTTCTTTGGAGGAATGAAAGCCTGCTTTAGTGGCACAAGCCTGGCTCTCCATTTATAGCAGCAAAAAGCAACTCCAATTGCAATCAAAAGCAAGATGGAAAGGACTCCTATTATGATTGGGAAAGGACCTGAGAGGGGGGGAAATAGACATATCAATATTGTTATAAGTCCTCCTTTCACATCGTTTTCCCCACCCCCATACCATGGTGACCAGTGAGTGGAAGAGGGAATTTCAGTAACTTCTACTTATGTCATAATGTTGCCCAGGAACTTGCCTTGCCCAGATGCCAGATGCCACAATTAAAGGTAGGTTTGGAGTTACAGGACCACAGACAGCTCCAAGAGAGCAACTTGCCCCAACCAGGTTTTAAACCTCTACTCTCATACCACCCCTTCCAGGCTCTACCCCCTTGTGGATTATTAAAGGGTCAACCCTTTGGCCTGAAGGTGAGCACTCCTCCCCATTCCATAGCCTCATGCCAGGTGTGTGCTCCCTGCACTGCTGGGTGGGTAAGGTACTATAGGATGCATTTGGTTCCTACAGACTCAGGGAAAGGTGCCTGTGAGGGTCTCAGCTCTGGCCCTACAAGCCCTGGTGACTTGGGAGCTCCTTCTATTGGCTCCTGTCTGTCAGTCTTAGACTCAACAGTGTCCCAGTCTCCAGCAGCTGGTCTAGCTCCTTAGTGGGAGTCTCTGGGCCATAGCTCAGTGGTACAGCACATGCCTTGCAAACAGAAGGTTCCAGGTTCAATCCCTGGCATCTTCAGGTAGATCTGGGACAGACTTCTTCCTCACATCCTGGATAGCTGCTGCTGGTCTGTGTAGCAGACCAGCAGCAACTATCCAGGCTGTGAGGCCCCAGATGCTGTTGGACTACAATTCCCATCATCCATAGCTAGCAAGGATGATGGTAGTTGTAGTCCAAGAACATATGGGGACCCAAGGTTGAGAAAGGCTGGTGTAGACAATACTGTGCCAGATGGACCGATGTTCTGACTCATTATAAGGCAGTTTTCTATAGCTGCTGGAATCTGGAGTTATGACAAAAACGCCACCTGCCAAATTCCATCGCCCATTCAGCAATATAGGTACAGGTTCCCTTGGCCTCTATTGTATCTAGTTACCTTAATTCCCTCCCACCCCCTTCAGATTTCCTTAATTTCCCCAAATAACATAAGTCACACCCACTTTTTTGAGGCATGGGCCCACTGTCCAGGCTTCCTCCATTCCCAGGTTTATTGCAAAATGGAGGTGCCCATCCACTGAAACAATGGCAGTTCTGGTTGTTGTTGCAAATCTGTAGAGAGAACGATGAGGAAATTTGACATTACCCTTTCCTTGTTAGCAAAACATCACACACTATGATCATTCTAATCCAAATGCACAGCAGGGTGGATTTGTAAGGAGCGCTTGCACCTTCTGTTGACAACTGTTAGGGCTCAACAACACTACATCTATATGAAGAATGTCTCATCTCCCCCACCCCCACCCCAAAAAAGTCATGTCTAATACCACCCAGCCTTCCTAAGAATTGCAATGGAAATTCCTATCATTTCTACCAACCAAGTTCCAATGGATATGTTTTCACCCTTCAAAAGTATACTGGGATATATGCACATTCCCGAAATGGGACCAAACTGACTTTCCACTATTTTTAACCTCCCAGCAAATGTTTCCCGTAACATTGTCTGGCCATGATTGGTGTGGATAGCTTCTTCTCAAAAACTGCAACATGGCTTAAGAACAGCTAGCACATCCAACACATGGTATTCAAGGTCTACATAACACTCAACAATCCTCCTATGTCAAACAAATCCATGAAGACCTCAATTAGACATCTATGTTTGAAAGCCCATCCATAAATGCATGCAGTTGTACAGGAAGCCATTCTAGCAGGCCACAGGGCAGAGCAGCTAACATGGTGCCCTCCAGATGTTCTGGAGTAACACTAGCTATGGAGGAGGACTCAGTTTTCAGTGGATTTATAAACAAATTTTAATTTTTTTGAGGTGGGCCAGGGTCTAAACCAGTTGAGCTTTGCTCACATCAGTTTGTCTATTTATGCAGGGGTTGTGTTCTGAGGCACTGCATGTGTCAGTGAAATCACATATATTTCCTCCTACAGATAGAAATAAAAATCACTAGTTGAATGGGCAAGTAGCACAGAGTTTCGTATTAAGAAGGCAGAAACCAAGATACCCACTCCATGGCCATTGCACTTCTTCCCACAGTCTCCAGTGTCAAAGAAGGAGGTGTTTCTACATCGCCCTTCAAAGCAAATCTGTAGGAGGAAGACAGGCATTCAGGATAAAACTGAAGCAGTGCTATGAAATGTATTCCTAGGCTGCGAGATAATCAAAGCTGCATCCATTACTTCACTCCGCAGATAATACTGCTGCTCTTGGTAGCTGCTGGAGTGGTGGAACAAACAGAAGTCAAAAGGTGGTGGAAGAATGGCAAAAGCCAATTATTATTGTTCTGTGGTTCCCCTCCACAGCTTGCTGATCTGCTGACATGAGGCTGAACAAGAATTATTTTGCTTTCACAGATCTGTAGTGTTCCACCCAACATTTGATGTGGTGGAGCTGGTGAAACACAACCAGCCTCAAGCCTCACAGCATTCCCTTGTATTGAGCACAGTTCTCAAAAGGATACAAGGGATCAAATTTGGGGGTTGACAACATTCCCTCCCACATGGAGCTGCTTTCCAACAAGCACATGACAATGAGCACACTCATTGTCATGGACTGGTTGGATGGCAGGAGGCACAAGCTAGGGAACCCCCAAGGGAAGAAGACTCAGAGCCAGGGGAAGTGGTGGTGGGACGACAATGGGTGGTCCGAGGGAGAAGAGGGAGTAGATTGGGAGGAGGAAGCGTCAGAAGCTGAAGCGGCAACAGGATTTAGTGAGGAGGAAGAGCATGGGGCAGAGAGCAGTCCAGAATCAGAGGCAGAAGAGGAAGGGGGCATGGGACAGAGATGAAGTAAGCTGCTGAAGAAGCCAGGGAGTCCTCCGCTCCTACTATGACCAGCTCCGTGTCCTTCCTGGTCTCCCAGAACATGCAGAGAAATTAGGAGGACAGAGCAATGAGAGACAAAACAGAACCTTAGGCTGCTGGGGGAAAGAAGTTGAAGAGGAACCTTACAGAGTGGTGGCAAGGTGGTGACCTTCAGTCCTCGCAACTGCCTCACTGGGGCGAGACCTACTGGGAAGAGTTGCTGTGATCACTAGGCCTGTGCTATTTTGGTTTCTTTGAATAAAGAGCTAACTTCACTGGAACTGGTGTTTTTTCTTCTGACCTACTCCTGGCTCTGGTTCCTGACACTCATTTCTGAAGAGAGTTCCACTTGTTATTGTTTTTTCTTTTTCAAAGCTGTATCAAACCTCTGAAAAAGTGGCACCACTCAGGTGCTTTGAAAACAAAACAAACTGAGCTCTCTTCATAGCGCACAGTTGGAAAAGGTGCCAGAGCATTGTAGGCAACCTGCACTTACATGACTGTCACCACACTTCGTTCCTGCCATCACAAGGCCCGGGTCTAACATGTCACCTTCATCTTCATTTCGGTATACGTGAGTCCCACGACAGAATATGTTCCTTCCGTCTAATGTGATAGTCGTGTCAATTGCAACAGCATTGGACTCCAAAGGCTTGGAAGCAGAACTTTGGCACTGTATCTTGCCACACTTAGCATCTCTGGAAAGTGAAAATAGTGCATGAGAACCTGAGCATTCTGGCTAAAGTCTCAGCTTTTCTTCACATTCAAGAAACTATCATTTCCATTCTACAAAATGAGCAAATCTGAGACAGAGAACTTTCTATGGGACCAGGCGCTAACGTTCCTTAGGCACAACTAATGGTGTATTTGCATCAACTTTTCCCTGGATATATCTTGGGATCGGCCTCAAAGGAGTCAATGCTTAGAGTCAGGCTTGGTTTTGAGAAATAAAGTTTCTCATTAGAGTTTCTCATGAGGGATCACCTAAGCTTCCTCCTTAAAAGATTGGTGGCAACCCATCAATAAGTAGTACCTGGGGTGGCCAGCTGGGCCCACTCTTTTCTAAGTAGCAGATTTGTTCACAAACGAGCACCTCACACAGTTCATTTCACACAGTAGGCTTACTCACAAGTCATGCTGCTTTTCTTTAGATGCAAACCACACACTCAGAAAACCAGTGGAAGGATATTTTGAAAAAGTGTGACCCGAAAGAATAGTTTACGTTCACATGGCATGAACATTCACTAAAATATTCAATATAAGCAACTGAATATTGCTAACAAAATTCCTAAGAAACCAGAAGTCATCTTCAGCCAGTTACAATAGAAAACTGGTTATTTTTAAGCCTTTAACCTGTAAGGACACCAATCCCACCCAGCATAGTTGGATCTGCTTTCTACCTTAAGTTGCACTTCCTGTATCGGCCATTGATATCCTTCCCACAGTTCCCATAGGAATCGCCAGCAGCATTAACCCTCTCAAAGCAGATGTCAGGTGCTGGCCTTGCTCCTGCATGGAAGAGATTCATGTAACTGATTTTTGTGGAAGATAGTAGCTTACCCAAATCTGCCAACCACCAACTTTCTACCATGGCAGTAGATGTGAACTCTCTATTGTCGTTTACAGGTGAAGAGCAAAAAACCCAACAGCAACACTAAGAAACCGAGGCATACGAGATACGTCATCAGTATCACTCCCCCTGTGGCACAGGATAGCATAGCATTTCTCAAACTTGGGTCTCCAACTGTTGTGGAACTACTACTCCCATCATCCGTGACCACTTGTCCTGCTAGCTAGGCATGATAGGAGTTGTAGTCCAACAACAGCTGAGGACCCAAGTTTGAGGAAAAACTGGCTAGCATGACAGTGGATTGCTACAAACAGTGGAAATGTAAGAGATATGTGTAATGTGCTCCACACGTAGCTTACGAAGCAACTTTTCTTGGTATGTGGAATCATGAGAATTCCATACTCCTTCTAAAGGTTTTTTGTTCCACGTGGTTGTGAAGAAATTCAAAAAGCTATTCCCCACCATTCAAAATATCATAGGCAAGAAATAGGAAAGTGGGGACCAAGATTAAATTGTTTGCTAAAACCATATTTATTTAAAAGGCAATGTCTTCCATAATTTTCAGAGACCAGGAGATTCAGTTTTTGACAATCTGGATAGAAAATTACTGGTAGAGTAAAAGGAATGGTTTTCCTCGTTCCATTTGGTTGGACTGCTACCAGCCACAATAAAGGTATGGACCCATAGGTTGATCATATTCAACCAGGGACAGGGCTGTGTAGCAGAAGGGATTTTAGCATATGTAATTTCCCTTGAACCTACTGCACTGTGATAGGAGAAGCTGCTCCTGCTAAAATTCATTCTACTTAACTATTAAGAGCACACAAGTCACGGTTGCATCTGGTCACAGCAGACTCAATGGATGTAAAGTCCATTCCCCAATCTATCATTTTCCCTGCTCCTCTGTCCTAATACAGCTCCATCCCTCAAGCTCAGGATATCAGCAGGGGAACGATTTGCTCCTTCCCTTCCCTAGACCCCATGCTGTTTGAAAAGCCCCCCACTCCATTTAGTCACATGTCCTTCCTTACCATATCCCCAGAGCTGCAAGCACTGCTGTTCGTACGTGAGGCACATTCCGCTGTAGCAATACGCCCTGCCACTCGCACAAGGAGTGCCATCCAGTTGGTAGAAGTTTGCAGGGCAGAACGGGGATTTGCCTGTACAGTATTCTGGCAGGTCACAAGGTCTGGCTTGTTCCCGGCAAAGAGTCCCTGGTGAAATCAACTAAAGAAAGAGGAAACAATTAAAAGAGTTGCTCCAGGGTAAAACTCAGGTAAGCACACCTGGTGACTTAAGTGAACAGGTTCATCTTTCGGCCTGTTGGTTTCCCATAACTTCTTCTAAGGTTTATGATTTTATAGAATACCAGTTTGAATAGGTATGCATTGGTGTACCTATTACATCAATCCAGCAGTCCCTCAACCTTGTGGGCACACTATATTGGTCAGCAGCAGCAGCAGTGACAGGAGGGTGGCTTCTGGGCATTGCTGCACCCTTGTTTGTCCTTAATGACATAGGTTCGATCCCCAACATCTCCATTTTTTAAAAGATCCCACTCAGACAGCAGTGCTGGTAAAGACCACTGAGGAGCTTCTGTTACTAGCCAGAGTAGACAGCACCAGGTTAGATGGGAAGGACAGGGAGCAGCCTATGTCTGTATTCTGCACAGTGCCTGGAATATACTGCTGGCACAACGTAAAGTTTCAGCACAATGACAGGAAGGAAGAGAAGTATCCGTGCTCACACAAAACACAATGAATCTTGTGTGCAGAACTCTGAAGGACTAACAGCTGCTCCTCACCATCATCAGGGCTACGGTGACTGCTATAAAGTACAGTGATTGTCAGCCTTGTTCCGGCTGTAGGCAGCTGACACCATGTAGAGCAGGTGTAGGGAACCTTTGGCATTCCAGATGCTGATGGATTCCAACTCCCATCATCCCTGGCCATTGGCCATGCTGGCTGTGGCTGATGGGAGTTGTAGTTCAGCAACATCTGGAAGACAAAGGATTCCCTGAAACTGATGGAGAGGATTAAAATGTTACAGTTGTCTGCAAAATATGGAACTTTCTTGGAGAACGGCTGGACCTGATAAATTGGCCACAAACAGAGCCAACATGTGCAGTGGTGATGATGATGATGTGCCGCCCATCTGACTGGGTTGCACCAGGCACCTGATTCTAATGGAAGTCGGCATTTGGAGAGGAGCATGGAAGCAGTTAACATACCAAGACTATTTTAACTACACTTGCCTAGGAAAACTGAGACGTAAAATGAGACACAGGCATCTGCACCCCACCCGAGCCTACTGCTACAGATTTATCAGCCGGTTGGCTGGCAAAGGAATTCAGCTTTGGGTAGTGTAAAGCAGAACAGAAAGCTATTAAGCGAGATACAAGGCAGTTTAATCCCCCTGGAAAACAGCCTCTGTGTGCCTAAGTACATGTTTCGTCTCCCTAGCATTGAGGCGCCTGCAGCGCAGAAAAAGAAATACCAATAACTGGTAATAGAATCGAGCAGGGAGGCCCCACACCAGCCAGTTGCCTGCTTTGAAAGACAAGCCATCCACTTGCAGTTGCTATATCCCATAATCACAAGGCGGCACCAGTATAAGCCAAAACAGCTGGCGGGCGGGGGGCTGGGTCTGAGGAGTAGGTTTCCCACAAGATGAGAAAATAGGTGGCTCTTTCACAGTCTCGCCTAGGCACACAAACACCTGTAGATTTCTGTCCAGCAGTAACAGAAGGCATTTCAATAAAAATCCAGCCTGACGCTAGCAAAATACACTTGTGGCATTGTCAAAAGGTTTGTGCATATTTAAATGACCAGGTCTCCCTGCGGTGACTGCAGAAGTGGGGCTTGATCACTTGGTTTGCTGTTTCTGCATTTGCTATAAGGAAAGCCACATATTTCAACCCCTGTGCCCAGTTTACCGTTGAAAGTGCTATGCATGTGTTCTTCCATTTAAAGTGGAGTACTTTTTATACCTGGGTTTCCCAAAAGAAGTGTGAATCTAACATGCAAACCAGCCCCAGACAGAACAAGGTCACAGTCTCCCTCCCTCTCCTTCTCATTTATTGTCCTATAAACAGAAAAGCAAACCTTTATTTGTTGTGCTGTACAGAGAGGAACCAAGTAACCCCACCTTGCAGAGGTGACAGCAAGTTCCATGGGCACATTCAGCACCAGGCTTCAGAGAGCAATTAGAGGCATTGCAACAAGGATTATTACATTCCTAAGGGAGAAGGGGAAGAAACAAGACACGTGCTGTGTTTACAGGGCAGACAAAAAAACACCAGGGAGCAGTGGGCTGCTTTCCAGGGCAGGTTGTAAGGTTGTAACTGCATGTGCCATTGGTCTTTAAACCACACACATAACAAATAACCTGGAACGAGCTCCAAGCACATTTCCTAACTGTATTTCTACCTCCACGATGTGCTTGGGAGCTGCCAGAATTCTCGAATTGCAGCAATTCTCACATGAATTTGGATCAAAATGCTATCCTTATTATCATTGTTATTCATTTATTTCATTGCCGAATCCCTTCCCATGAGATTGTGCATCTAGTATAGTTTTGTGCTTTTGTCACAAGAAAAATTGTCTTCCAGATGCCACAAGACTCTTGGTTCTTTAGTTGCAAAGGGGATTTGGAATTACAAACAGCGCAGTAATCATTCTAGGGGGGTGGGAGGGGGACAGAGGCAGAACTATTCCAGGTTTACAGAGAGTGTTTGTGTTGCTGATATGTTACTGTATCATAATTCCATTTTCTCTCTCTGCTTATGTTGCAGCCTATGTTTTAGTTTTTAAAAGTTGTTGTAACATGGATAATGTAAAGTCGTGCCAGTGACCCCTTCAATCATGAAATAAGTCCAACAAGAGTTACCTCTTCTTCTCCACAATCACACTCCTCCCCTTCCTCCAGGTAGCCATTTCCACATCTCTGTCCTCCGTATAAGGTCTTGGTATCTGGCATATTGTAAAGACACATCCCTCCACCAGACTGCAGGTACCTGTCCAGCTCCTTCATATTGCATCTGTTGAATACCCTGGGGAATGGGTCCCTGCAAGCAAGGAGGGCACATTGTTTTGAATGGGTTGTGAAGTAATGCATTACAGTGACACAAGAAAATATTTTGTTACTAGAAACCACCAGCGAACAATGCTTCCTTTCCCTATCAGTATATCATTACTGTGTCAAGTGAAAGGCAGGCACAACAGAATTGCCCTTTTTGCGTTTAAGCAGTAATCCGTCCTGTACCAAATATTCGGTGGGGGGGGGGGGGAGTGCTGTTTCATTTTATCACTGAACTTTAAGTGCTAGAGTGTTAGAATTTTCCTGACCTCTGAGAGAGTGAAAAACATGGTGGGTAGACTGATATTTTAACTCATCCACTGTTCCAACGGTCTTGTTGCTTTCCCCCAGAAAAACTGGCTCTTTACCATTGAATTGGAGCAAGCGCCAATCAGGTTTTCTGTGGACTGATGTTTGTTCTGATTCAGTGGGAAAGTGGCGGGGAAAACAGAAAACCACTTTGGCTCATGGCTAGAAGCACAGGGGAAGCAGAAAACTTCTCAGAAGTGTGGATGAGCCCTTGACTAAGTTATAATTCAGATTAAAGCTCCTTCCTCAAACCAGTCGTAAATAAAGGAAAGCACTCTAATGCAACCCAGTTCGTAGCATGTTTTTACTAAACAATGAGAAGAGCCACCTCACCCTGTCGCAGCAGCCATGATGCAACCTCCATCTCTAGCGCTGGCCGTACAGCAGCCAGCCGCATCGTGGCTCATGCCAAAGTTATGGCCCATCTCATGGGCCATGGTGGCAGCAACTCCAATGGCATTTTCAGAGTGATCCTGCCCAGGCAAGGAATCAAGGGTGAGAGTCAGTATACCATGCAGCACATTATGAACAGAAATATATATTATCTGGCTCAGGAGATGGGCCTGTCCATCAGAACGCCCAATGTAGCATGGGTGCAAGATGCTCTCCTCTTCCTCAGCTGTGCAACATTCCTGGGAAGAACTACCCTCAGACTCAAGCCAGATATCAGGAACCTGTGCCCCTCCAGTTGCTGTTGGGACTCCCAACTCCCATCATCTCAGCATATCCTGGACAGGGATGGCAGGAGTTGGGAGGGCATCATCTTTGGGAAGGGGGCAAACTGGAGTGACCACCCCAGGCTCCACACTCTGATAGGTACTAGGTACCAACAACCCTGCTGTTTCCCATCCACCCAGCGAGACTCTTCACCACCTTCGTTCCTATAGCGAGGCAGGGTGGGAGCAGAGGGCCCTGGTGGCACCAAAGTGGCAGAAAAAGCAGGGGAATGTAAACCAGGGGTGCAGAGGGGCAGCTGCTGCAGCAGCAGTAGAAGACAAAACAAGAAGTGAGGTGGGGAAAGGGGTGCCACTGCCATCACAATTAAGAGGATGGGCGACAGAAGCAGGGAGAAGATGAAGGAATTGTGGGTGAGGGGTGGGTGCAGACAATGTCATTTGCCACAAGCCCTCTTAGGGATGCCCTGAGAACTGGAGTCCAACAGCACCTGGAAGATAACATGTGCCCCATATATGGTTTAAGCTAAGATCCCATGCATATCTACTCAGAAATAAATTTCACCATGCTCAGTGGTACTCCCAGGTAAGTGTACATAAAACTGCAATTCTAGTTTACTGGGACGATGATCACAGGAATCTGTGATAGGGTCACATGTCATCTCAAGGAGTGCTCTTGGGGCAAGGGGTAGTCTCCTGAATTACCACCAAGCAATGTTAACTTGTGACCTTGCATTCTCTGGATGGTGGTTTCATCAGGCACAAAACAATACAGGAAGTATCCAGTGGAAGTGTGGGATGCTGTGCTGCTACTCATTTCACCAGATCTTGTGCACAGCAACTTCCTGGAGGGTTGTGCTTTTTGTCAAGTTTATGAAGCTTACCATATTCACTCCTCCAGACTGGTAGACAGAACACATGGCCATCAAGGGGGCTAAGCCAATTGTAGTACCGTGGAAGGACATCCCACTGAAACAGATTTGGAGAGACGTTGCAGAGAAGAGCTGCTTGTCAAAGTGCCCAGCATTCCATAGGAGTCTGTGCTGCCCTTTCTCCACTGCCATCACTGCAAGCAAACCTAGACAGGGCTGGGTGGCAGCAAGGTTGGGGCTGTGCAGTGCTCTGGTAGGGTCACCACATACAGTAGATGTTCCCACTCTGCCCTGATCTCACTACCACCCTGCTATACCCCAGCACCGTTCCAATAAGCAGCAATGATTCCAGTGGTTCATTAAACACTGCAAACATTAAAGGATTCACACAAACCACAGCCTTTTGAACTGGTTTATGAATGCAGTTACATTTTAGAGGCAAATCTGGAAATTAAGCCTAAGCTTGCAGCTTGCATTACGGACGCGGGTGGCACTGTGGGTTAAACCACAGAGCCTAGGGCTTGCCGATCAGAAGGTCGGCGGTTCGAATCCCCGTGCCAGGGTGAGCTCCCGTTGCTCGGTCCCTGCTCCTGCCAACCTAGCAGTTCAAAAGCACATCAAAGTGCAAGTAGATAAATAGGTACCGCTCTGGCGGGAAGGTAAACGGTGTTTCCGTGAGCTGCTCTGGTTCGCCAGAAGCGGCTTAGTCATGCTGGCCACATGACCCAGAAGCTGTCTGCGGACAAATGCCGGCTCCCTTGGCCAGTAAAGCAAGATGAGCACCGCAACCCCAGAGTCGGTCATGACTGGACCTAATGGTCAGGGGTCCCTTTACCTTTACCTTGCAGCTTGCATTGCTTTCTCCAAAAGTTACAAGTCAATACGAACCAATGCAAATCTTCTACAGAAGGGGTTGGCAAGACATGAAAGTTGTTGCAGGTATTTTTGAAACAGGATCTGCATTTGGTTCTTTATACCAGGGAGGGGGGCAGACAGCCAAAGTGTGACTAGTATCAACACAGTTGCATAGAACAGTACCAGTTCACATTTAGTAACTAGAGAACTTGGAGCAGCGGTCATATTATTCCTATAAAAACAACTTACGTGATTAGCTGGGCATTGTCGTGCTTTTTGTACATAAGCAGCTTACGCCTCCAAGCAAGAAAAGACCACAGGGTCGAATGTGGGTTCTCAGAGATGTCACACTTATTGTGGTCATTCCAAACCTCAAGCCCAACCAGAGCAACTCGTATGTTCAGAGATTTGTAAAACTAAGAGGTTGGAGAAAAGAAGAGCTAGAATTAATCACATGCCTCTGTTTCTACCATATTATAGCTCCAATGTGAGTTTACGTCTTCCTAGAATACAGTACACCACATTCTTCCTTACCTAGCTCTCCTTGGGAAATAAATGTACATAAAACATGCAGCAAAAGTTGAAACTGAATTCTTTGTGATTCTTAAAGCTGTACTAGACATTACATGCAAACGCTCAGAATTTGCCACTGATTGCTTGGAAAAGCAGTTGGGAGGAGAGGGGATGTAAAGAAAAAAACAGCATAGGGTTAGGTTCTTAATCTTTTCAAATGCCAATCATTTTTCTCCTTCAAATGTCCCCTGCAGTGGCTTCCCCCCATACAACAAATTTGTCCTCTGAAATAATATTATTATTATTTGATACACCAAAAAAGGGAAAAACAAAACAAGAACACAAACAAAACAGTAACAAAGACAATATTAATTACAAATCAATAAAGCAAAAAGTGCTCCTTAGACTATAGACCCAACCTCCCGTCCATTTCTTATTTCATTTATATATTATTTGTTGCCAATACACACTTTTATCTTAAATTAACTAATTATTGGTTTATCTTAAGTTTCATATCTTTCTTAAAGCTACTACTAAAATTATTCAAATACACATTTGGAACTTCACAGGAGAACAGCGACCTTGGGATGAAAGTTGGAATGATGGGAGGGGTGAAAGTTAAGCACTCCCCCACCGCCATTTTTTTTTAACAACAAATGAAACTCCCCAAACTCTTTTCTCATTTTTTAAAAAGCGAATATTCACTTATAAGCATGTAGTTAAGTCCTTAGCATTTGGCATCTTTCTTTAAAAAAATAAAAGCAGTTTTCTCATAAAACGTAGCTATTTGGTCTCACCTTATCTACATAATTGGCAGCTTCCAGTAACTTATTTTTGGTTGCTTGAAGATCATAATTATGCTTCTGAAACTGGGGAGGGAAAAGCATTTCAGAATTATTCCATAAAATATCACTGCCATTCCTAACTCTGTGAAATTTATTCCTTTGAGATTCTGGCCCTGACTCACTAGGGGAGCTGCCTGTTTTTACTGCCCAACTACCAGGGATTTGAAACTCGCATTTCAATTTATCCCACGAACATTTACAAGCTTTAATAATTTCCTTGGACTCTGCGCTTCCAGAAAACACTTAAATAATTTTTTGAATTCTTTAGATAAAAAGTTCAGCATAGTCTTTATATGGTCAAATTTTTGGAGCACATTTCAGGCACCTTTGTGCATTTCAGGCACCGCTGTAATAATCTCTAATTTTAGAAACGGAAAGGGTGAACAGCCCTTATGGAGGTACACAGCCCTTATGATGTGGCTTACACAGCAACATCAGAATGGCACTGAAATCAAAACCAGCTCTTAACACAGCAGAGCCTAGAAACACTTCTGGTTACCCTGCCTGTCCTAGCAGAATTAGTGTCACCTCTCTCACCCCTGACAGATTAGTGGGGCTCATGAAAGTACAGTCCAGATGGCATAGATAATAATGGTTTCTTGCTGCAGCTGACTGCCCACTAACCAGTGTTGAGTATTCCTCTGTATCAGGCTATTTGTAATTATAAAAAGAGCACAATCTCTCTGTCCTACATGACCAAACACAGTTGTAACATTATCCTGAAATGCCGCCTATAAGTTTTTGGCAGGATTAGTTGTATTCTCCTCATATGCACAGCATGCTATCTAGTAATTAGTGTTCTAATCCCTGTCCCTCAAGCTCTGCTGGTTGCATCACCCACACTAGCCTCGGGGCAACTTATCCCATCCAGATGTTTGCATAGCAACCTCCATAAATTGTCGTGCTGATTTTTGCAGACACCGCAGAGCAGATGTAGCTTCTGCTTTGTGGTGTCTGCAAAAAAACACCACCCAAAAATGGGTGTGATGTGCATGTCCCTTAAAATATTGTCTGTTAACTGAACATAGGTTGCTTGATCCAAGCAACGACCATTTGTGGGTCTGTTTTGTGAAATGGATTTGCCCCCCTTTTAGGGCGTGATTGGGGAAAAGGTTGCCTATTTTTCTTTCTGATGTCTCCTTATGTATTTCTGTATTCACTTTGTCTAGTAAAAGGAGGGTGAGAAAACAACTAGAAAACCCAGAATGTTATTTTTCTCACACCACCTGCTCAGCTTCTCAGTGCCTACTTGTCAATCACCTGACATTACAATATCACCAGGTGAAATGTTCTCCTTTGCCTGCACAATTTGAAATCCAACCACAATAGCATAGGCAGGGAGTTTTGCAGGTGTCAATGACAAGCTGATTAATAGTGCCTCTAGAGCAGTGCTTCTTGAACTCAGGTCACTAGCTGTGGATGGACTACAACTCCCATCAACCTTGACCACTGGTCCTGCTAGCTAGGGATGATGGGATTTGTAGTCCAACCACAGCTGAGGACTCAAGCTTGAGAAACACTGCTCCAAACCCTGCTTTTGACAGGTAGCCACATCCTTTCCTGCCTCACACTTGGCGCCATATTTGTAGGGCAGGGGGCCATGACTTGAGCAAGTGAACAGACCTGCCAGGTCTACAAGTTAGATCAGTGGGCCAGAGGTACCCAACCACTTTCTAAGGGTGAGAAAAATGCAGTGGTTTGTCTACTCTGATTGGAACAATTTGGCCCAAGTGGGATTGCAGTTTTGGTTGTAAAATCCAAATGGCACTAGTTGTGATTAACTAAACACAATAGTTATGCATGATATTTATGCACAGAGGATTCAGAGACACAAACTCTAGCATAATGGAAGCCTTGTGTGTATGTGCAGGTGTGCAGACACACACATATGTCACAACAGGAGGAATGTGCCCTTTACATCAATTGCAAAATTGCAAGTGGGAAAACAACAGTTATGAAGAGATCCAGTTATGCAGAGAGGATCAAGTTACCCCGACATAAATTATATGAGCAGCGATGAAATCTTAGGAGAAGAGTGTGCCAGGGAAAAAAGCCATTAAAATAAAAGTTGCGTGAATGACCTAATGCTCTTGGGGATGGTTAACAAGACAAAGACCCAACTAGCTCCAGGTCAATGATTAGAAACAGATTCCAGGCACATGCAGACAGGATGTTTTTACATTTCTGTCAGTTGCTAACATACACAATATGAAATATATGAGTGCTCTCAATACAGTTTGATCCTTTGCTACATGTTTTAGCAGAAGGGTCTGCAGCTAAAAGAACAGGAGAAGAGAAGTATACAGATCTGGGATAAGGAGCATTGTTAAATCAGGTTTGGAAAACACACATAAATTATACTCATTTTATTTCTATACTGCTTTGTATTTCTGAGAAAAAATATCAAAGCATTTTAAAACACATTAAAACATCAAATAAAACAATCCAAGACAAAACATTCCTGTTTTGCTATTTTTGGTAGCTCACCAGGTCCAATTAACATATCACGCAGGATATTTTGATTTTGTGTCATAATTTTCTGTATTTTTACTTTAAAGCAGCCTCCAAAGTTACTATTAACACCAAAAGGGATGGGGATATGGATGCAGGATCCCCCTACAGCTCCTTTTAAGTAAAAAGACAAATCACCAGAAGGTCCGATCATTGATCTCACGTGTAATAAGTAGTTTGGCCCTGAACTGTCTATCCTGGGTTTGATTCTGGATCTGGTATAAATCCACGTCCCTCTTACCTCTGCATAATCAGCCACTAGAAGGAGCTCCACGTATTTCATAGACTGTTGGTCATCCCTCTTCACCTATGGTGGCAAAAGTACACATCCCAAACTGTTTCATGAAGCTCTTTAAAATTCAAAAACCACTTTTATTAAAATGTACTCATTTTGTCAGGTTCAAAAATGTTACATATGCTGAAATAATTAGAAACTGTTTGTAGTCCTCATAATTTCAAGAGAAAACCCCACCTCTTCAGCCCAGATTTGAAGAAGAAGAGGAAGAAGAGTTTGGATTTGATATCCCGCCTTTCACTCCCTGAAGGAGTCTCAAAGCGGCTAACATTCTCCTTTCCCTTCCTCCCCCACAACAAACACTCTGTGAGGTGAGTGAGGCTGAGAAACTTCAGAGAAGTGTGACTAGCCAAAGATCACCCAGTAGCTGCATGTGGAGGAGCGGAGACGCGAACCCGGTTCACCAGATTACGAGACTACCGCTCTTAACCACTACACCACACTGGCTAGGTGGCATGTGGGCAAAGAAGAGGAAGGAGAAGTTCTGTTATGGATTCTTAGCTCAGACTTCATTTTCCTGGGGGGGACCTAAGGCAAATCACTGTTTTTTAGCCTCAGTCCTTCATCTGTAATCTTGGAATAATGATGTGGCCTTTTTTATACTGCTGTTCCCATGATTATTGAGATAATACAAGTGGAGTACTTTAAACATTTAAGCAAGAATCGTTGCTTTCCTTAGAGCTTTCAAAACAGATGTCTTCTGGGATGCAACGGAATAATTCCGAAGTACTAACCCTGCGATAACTGGACGCTGCTGGGCTTGTCAACTCTCCAAGCCAATCCATAGCCTTTGATCCTGAATGCTGGTTTCCACAGGTACCCCTGGCAACCTTGAGATGTTCAGACCTGTAGATCAAGTGTTGCTCATGGCTATGAGGCAGTGGTTCCAAGACATAACTGAGGTTGTTGCTCAGGACTATAAGGCCACTGGAAGACAAAATCAATAAAGCAGAAGTTATGGAAGGCAAGTATTTACACTTCATTATTCCTCTGGGATTGCTCAGTCGCTTGAGCATCTTAATCTTAATCTCAGGGTCATGGGTTCGAGCCTCATGTTGGGCAAAAGATTCATGGATTTGCAGGAAGTTGCACTAGATGTCCTTCATGGTCTCTTCCAACTCAGTGATTCTATGAATACAAACCAATAATCACCTAGCTTGGTGTATGTTGTGGAGAATAATTTTTTACTGAATTTGTATAAAAGAAAGTTTCAGCACGTTTTGCTAAGGCCTAAGATCACGGAAGGGTGGCACTGTGGGTTAAACCACAGAGCCTAGGACTTGCCGATCAGAAGGTCGGCAGTTCAAATCCCCATGACGGGGTGAGCTCCCATTGCTCAGTCCCAGCTCCTGCCAACCTAGCAGTTCAAAAGCATGTCAAAGTGCAAGTAGATAAATAGGTACCGCTCCGGCGGGAAGGTAAACGGCGTTTCCGTGCGCTGCTCTGGTTCATCAGAAGCAGCTTAGTCATGCTGGCCACATGACCAGCTGTACGCCGGCTCCCTCGGCCAATAAAGCAAGATGAGCGCCGCAACCCCAGAGTCGGCCACGACTAGACCTAATGGTCAGGGGTCCCTTTATCTTTACCTAAGATCACGGAAGGGTAAGAGAACACATGGGGTCATATTCTGTGCTAGCAGAAGCCAGCACTAGGATACCTTATTATTAATACTCTGGGCACTTATTTTCAGTAAAGGGGCTTTAGTTGTGATCACTTCAACTACAAATTACAGAAAGGCCTGTTTTCAACAAAGGAAACTAGTATTGTTTCATGAGAATTGCCTATATAAAATTGGGTGTTTTTGCTCTCCCAGTTATTATTTATGAAGAATGACTGGGAACAATTTCTCAAATGAGATTGTTTTGAGTGCATTGTACCAAGGAAGAAGTGTTTGGCCTTAGAGATCGTTACACCCTTCCCCACCTGCTCACTTCCCCCCTTGAGAAGTACAAACATATGCAAGTGTTTAGCTTCTGTATTCCTCCAGTAATTCTGAAAGGACTTAGAACAATATCAAGGATACTGGCCAGCACATGGACCAACTCTACTGTAAATGAAGAATGAGGTTTCAGATGGTCATTTTGCAGCCAGGAATATAGTACCGGAAAATGTGGGGGGGGGAGGGTGAAAGTAGGCCAGCATGCACCTGCGATGCTTCCTATTTTGTGTGGGCTCTGTGTATTATGTCAGCCATAAATGGCCAGGATTTGCTTTGTTTACACTACTGGACAGTTTGTTTACATTAAAGTGACTTGAGGTCATTGAGGGATTTGGGGGGGAAATAAAAATTGGCGAAAACTGTTTCCTGGCTGGATGGCAGCCCAGCTTTCAAATGGCTTTGAATAAAGGTGACCAAAAGGAAACCACGTCCTGTTTATAAAAATAATCTCTTTAACTTGTCATTTCAGGAGGTCAAATCATCTCACGTGGAATAAATATGTGCGTATCTGTACAACAGACTTGTGGCTAACATGGGATGTTAGAGAATTCTGTTCTTGCGAGGGGTAAATGGAAGAGAACAGCTTTTCAGAAGAAGCATGTATGTCAAGATTGCTATAAAATGCTGGCACTGAAAGGGAGAAATTCAGAATAATCTGCTGAGATAAAGAGATAAGATTCTAAGAAGGCAGGAAAGCAAGCATGTGGTGGAAACTGAAGATACTGAAATGAGTCTATTGATGATGAGATTTTATGTAAGATAGAATTCAGAGGAATAGAATCTTGAGCACCTAATGAACATTTCTTCAAATGGTGCTTGGAGGTGAAAATCTTAATGCAGATAACCTCCTTTTGAATGTACATTTCTGGGGATCCCTCACTGATGTCATTTGTCGTTTCGGTATAGTTCAGTTGGTACAGTATGAGACTCTTAAATCTCAGGGTCGTAGGTTTGAGCCCCATGTTGAGCAGAAGATTCCTGCACTGCAGTGAGTTAGACTAGATAACTCTTGTGGTCCCTTCCAACCCTACAATTATGTGGGGATTCTAAGTTTGAGCTGGGGCAACATAAGAACTGTTCTTGTGGCTTAGATCAGGGCATGGTCTTGCTGAAGCTACGCAGGTCTAGGTCTGGTCAGTGTCTGGATGGGAGACCACTTGGGAACCACATGTCTGCTGCACAGGGTTCCATTGTAGGAAAAAAGGAGGATATAAGTGCAATAAATAAACAAATCAAATCTACCATTCTGTTACCAACAGTGTAGCTCAGTAGTCCAAGTCCAGTTCAAGTTGTTTCATTGGTCATGTTGTTCAGATGCCTGATTATCATCTTCCAAAGAAACTACTCTATTCTGAACTTAAAATTGGAAAGCGTAATGCTGGTGGTCAACAAAAGAGGTTGAAAGACTCTCTCAAGGCAAATCTTTTAAAAAATGAAGTATAAACACTAACAATTGGGAAACACTGGCCTGCGAACACTCCAGTTGGAGAACAGCCTTAACCAAAGGTGTCATGGGCTTTGAAGAAACACGAACTCAGGATGAAAGGGAGAAATGTGTTAAGAGGAAGGCATGCTTGGCAAATCCTCACCATGATCAACTCCTGCCTGAAAACCTATGCCCCCACAGGGGAAGGATGTGTAGACCCAGAATTGGCCTCCACAGTCACTTACAAACTCACTGTTAAGACTGTGTTCATGGATGTGTAAAAGCTGCCATAGTTAATGCCCATTAACACCTGTCACCATTCCTCCATGTATGGCTAAAAAATAACTAATGAATGGCTTAAAAAAACATGTCATTGCCATATTGTCTGATAGGGAATTACAAGACTATCAGAATGTCCCTGTGATCCCAGAGAACTAATCTAATTTGAGATTCTGTAAGGAAGAGCTTGGACACGGGTGGCGCTGTGGGTTAAACCACAGAGCCTAGGACTTGCCAATCAGAAGGTCGGCGGTTCAAATCCCCGTGATGGGGTAAGCTCCCGTTGCTCAGTCCCTGCTCCTGCCAACCTAGTAGTTCGAAAGCATGTCAAAGTGCAAGTAGATAAATAGGTACCGCTCCGGCGGGAAGGTAAACGGCGTTTCCGTGCGCTGCTCTGGTTCATCAGAAGCGGCTTAGTCATGCTGGCCACATGACTCGGAAGCTGTACGCCGGCTCCCTCGGCCAATAAAGCGAGATGAGCGCCACAACCCCAGAGTCTGTCACGACTGGACCTAATGGTCAGGGGTCCCTTTACCTTTACCTTTAAGGAAGAGCTTGACCTTACCGTAGACCATTGCATATGCTGAGTGCCACACTTGAGTCTTCTACCTCTCTCACAGTACCATGGTAAAAGCAATGATCCTAGAAGGACAGAACAAAGACTGTCAAGGTATTATTCTGTAAATTTATTCTTCCTCCTCAACTCCCCTTGATGGTTGATGCAAGAAGAGGATAGCAAAATGTATAGATTCCTCTCCACCTGCTCCCCAAAATACCCTGCATATGAGAAGTCCATAGTTCATATGCTTTTTTCCTTTATTGTCAATGAAACCTAAGGTGCTTTGAAACCCCAAGAAGGGTAGATGTGGCTAAAGCACATGGCTTGAGTATAAACACCTTGTCATTTCCATCTGGGAATGTACATGTACTATTTTAGGGAAAACAATTATACATTCAAGTCTCCTTTTCTTTAGGTATATTCCACCACTGTAAGCAGCTCGTCTGGTGTAACAGTTAAAATGCTGGGACTAGCACTCAGAAGGCCCAATTTCAAATCTCTGCAAAACTCACTGAGTGACCTTGGGCTTGTCACTATCTCTACGGTTTGCTGTGAGGAAAGAATGGAGGCAAGTACCTTGTATGTTGCCTTTAGCCTCTTGGAAGAAAGGTGGAATATAAATGTAACAGATAAATGAAATGTTCCTATTCTATAATCTCATGAAGAAATATTCAGGTGTGAATAAAGTACAGATCAGTTACTCATAACCTCTCATTTTGGCATAATACTATTGAGTCCTGCAGTATTATTGAACGTAATTCCTTTGAAAGCCTGCCTAAAGGCCAGATCCAAAGCACACTGAAATCAATATGAACTTTACCGCTCACTCCAAATGGTTCCCGGAGCATTGTTACTTTTCAGATCTTTAAAACACCCACATGGCATGAAGTGATAAAGCCCTATTGTAGCAGGTTCCTGTCATTACAAATGGCAAGAAAAATGCGCTTTACAACCCAATTGTCAATAAAATTCCACCACAGTAATCTTTCTTATGAAACTTTAAGCCTAGAGGAAGGGAAGAGGAAGCAGCATCAAGAAGGATGAGCTCATAGACATGAGCTTTTTCATTTTTTAATCATCTAATTAGTAATATGAATTTTTGCACTGTTTCGGGGAAGTGCCAGCCAGTCAAAGCATTTCCACTCAGTTAATTCATGAAGAAGGTCCTGCTGGATATGAGCCAGCTGGCAAGGGCTAGCTTTGCAGTGAACTGAGAATATAACCAACGTTCAGATCCCTCTTAGCAGAGGACAAGAGCAGAGAGGCCAGCTCGTGGATATCCAGTTTTAGATTCAAGAGGACTTCTTGAGAAGAAGTGTGACCTGCCATGGTGGAACAAGAGCCAACAAGAGCCAATCCAGTTTGTATCGTATGGCCCAGTTCACACATCATAGCAAACCATAGTTAATTGCTTACCGTGAATGCACTGATCTGGGCTGCCTTGGTTCTTCTGCCTATTGCACAGGAGAAACCAACTACAACCTACAGTTGTCGTCTCCATTCACTATTCCCTCTAGTCAGCTAGGCTCCTTGGGGTGGAGACTCTGCGGCTGGGCACGCAATACTTACTGTGTTGTTCAAAGTCACAGTGTGGGGAGTTCCGCTCTTAGTGTAATGCGTTTCCGTATAGCCTGGTGCAAAGAGGTGCCTGCCAGCAACAAAGGAGAGACAAGAGAGAGCAGGAAAGAATTATATTTTGCATGTCATTACCTAAACTGTCCACCTCTGTGAAATCTTCCTATCATACATCATTAAAGGCTTACACCAATATCTTACAAAAGCTTTTTTTAAAAAACAACAACATTGTCATGTGGCCTTTGGGCCTGCCAAAGTTGTATGTAGAAAATAGAAATCTTAAAAATAAATAAAAGTACAGGATCTTCTTTTTAAGAAGATCAGACCTAGCCATACTTAAGGAAATCAGCCCTGAGTGCTCCCTGGAAGGACAGATCCTGAAGCTGAGGCTCCAATACTTTAGCCACCTCATGAGAAGAGAAGACTCCCTGGAAAAGACCCTGGTGTTGGGAAAGATGGAGGGCACAAGGCGAAGGGGACGACAGAGGACGAGATGGTTGGACAGTGTTCTCGAAGCTACAAACATGAGTCTGACCAAACTGTGGGAGGCAGTGGAAGACAGGAGTGCCTGGTGTGCTCTGGTCCATGGGCTTACGAAGAGTCGGACACGACTAAACGACTAAACAACAACAAATCTTCTTTTGGGTCTGTACAATATATTGTTGGAGATGCAGCTGGCGTGGCAGAGTGGAGTGGAGGTGGCATTGTTCACCTTGCTTCCCAGTGTGGAGGTTGCTGCTGGTAACCAAGAGGGAAAGGTGAGGCGGGGCAGAGGTTGGTGCTGTGCAAGCACAGCAGCAGAGCCAGTCCAGCCCATTTGCAGTGCGCTGACCTTCCCACTGACTCACCCTTTTCCTTCTTGGTTATTGGCAGTGAGTTCCATGTTGGGAAGCCAAGTGGGCAGTGCTGTCCTGTTCCGCTGGACACCACTATTATTGCTAAAATAACCCGCAATCTGTACCATCAAGCTGAGTAAAATACACAAATGCAACTAGGGGAAAGATAGGCTTTTTGAGGCTTTGCAGGAAGTCTGGTATTCACCGACAAGTGGCCTCTGGCACTTCACCATGATCTGTGAGTCATCAGGAGAGATAAAGGAAAATGCATCTCTTTTCTTCGCTCCCTTCAGAAGGATCATCATTTAAGTTAACTTCAAAAGTTGTATTGCTCACTGTCTGGCCTAGGGTAAGCTGTTAGCTCTTAGTTGCATGTCTTTCACAGAAGGTTACAATATTAAAAGTACCTCTGTATACTGAATGTGCTCTAGAGATAAATAAAGCCAACTAATGCCAATATGGCAACCTTTTATCGTTACTGTACTCCAGCAAAATTAATTTGGCTTCCCTGGCCTTCTTTGCTGATACAGAACACTAAGCCTTGCAACTGCAGACTACAGATAGCCACAATAAAACAAAAACCCTAAACAAAAAATACTGCAAAGTAAGCTCTCTATTATCTCCTATGTTGTCATGGTCTGGAAAGCAAGAAACAATTGTTTTTCCCACCCAAACTGTATTAGCTTCCAGGAAACTGACATAAGCAATATGCTCAGAGCAAGCAATGGCCTTAGGAGAGGCTGTGCCAAACTTGCTTCAGGTGTGGTAAACCCAGATGAGGTTAAATAATAATAATAATTAAAGTAGTGACTCCTGGAAGCACTTCACAGATATGCAAAGGGTTTGACCAGTGTAAGCTCTTCCAAGTTGGCAGTTCAATTGCACACATGAAACTATAACTAAAAACATGGAAGTCACATGGAATTTTAGAATTTGAATGGAGTTGTACTTTTTTGTTTGCCGATCAGTTTCAACAGGGGACCTAGCATTCTAATATTATGAGAGGAGACAAAGCCCCATTTACCCACTTTTCCCATTCTATTTATAAATTTTGTGAAAATTTATCCCATTTAGTTTCTCTCTCTCTCTCTCTCTCTCTCTCTCTCTCTCTCTCTCTCTCACACACACACACACACACACACACACACATATATCCTGGTTCTTAAGTCTGGGCTGAGACCAAGAATATGAAAGTATATTTGAGCAATATATCTGTAGTACACACTGAAACAAAATAGTCATTCCCTGTGACAGGAGAATTTGGTAATTGTAGTTCTGTGAGGATGAGGGTGGGGAAGAGGGATCTCTAAACAGAATTTTCAGCCTTACCAAACAACAATATCCAATTTTTTTTGGTGGGTGCTGATAACAAACTGGTATAAAACACAAATACTTGTAATGTAGATATATCCAAAGTCAAAGACAAGAGCATGTGATAACTGACACACTGATAACCAAGGCCAGTTGACATCAGCTGAGAGCTTGAGTATGACCATTTTGTCCTAATAGAAGAAGAGTTTGGATTTGATATCCTGCTTTATCACTACCCGAAGGAGTCTCAAAGCGGTTCACAATCTCCTTTCCCTTCCTCCCCCACAACAAACACTCTGTGAGGTGAGTGGGGCTAAGAGACTTCAGAGAAGTGTGACAGCCCAAGGTCACCCAACAGCTGCATGTGGAGGAGCGGAGACGCGAACCCGGCTCACCAGATTATGAGTCCACCGCTCTTAACCACTACACCACACTGGCTCTCTCCTATAGGCAATGAATTGTCAGGAGAGCTATAAAATCATTGCTCTTTCATGAACTGGCATATGCAGATCACCATTCATCCAAATCACAACTACCAGCATCTCCAAGTTACCTAACTTACCCATACATATAACACTGTACCCCTGTGCCTGTTCACTTGAACTTCATTTTACTTGAAAATCTTTCATCTCCTCCCATCTTTGGACAACTGATTAAAAGAGGATAGATTCAAAGCTACTGAGTTATGACTTGCACCTTGGCATATGTACGACGACACTAAGGGCACTATAAGCTCAATGGATATTGTTTATACATTCCCTGAATTGTGTGTCTCTCACTCCATTTCCCCTTATTGTTTCCCAACCTATGATGCCATTCTTTAGACTACAAAAGAAACAGGAAATTTTGGGGTTATTTACACCGAGCAAACAAAACCCAACAATCTGAGTTTTGCCCTACTAACACAAACTTAATATTATTGTGGTCAAGGCTAACTTCGGAGGGTGGGTATTTACCAGGGCCTCAAGATCAACTGAGATCCCATCGCTCTGAAAGTCCTGCCATTTCCACTTTACACGGTATATTCCAAGAAGATCGGGTGCAGCTTAATGGAACCATTATGTCCCACTGGGGGATTGGGGCGCAGCCACCAAGGTGGAGGAGCAGGACATGTTGAGCACTCAACAGTGGCGAGTGCTGGGCAGTGAGTGCCAAGCCACAGCAAGTGGCAGGCACCCAGTTGCAAAGTGGGGGCCGGGCACAGTGAGGGCGGTAGTTTTGCCTCAAGCAGCAAAATAATCCAGCCTGGTCTTGAGTATGAATCTTATTCTAGAGAAGCCAAAATACAAGTAATCATGTGGTATTTTTATTTTTTAAAAGTCAGGATAAAAATATTCAAAATGAAAATTTTCAGTTACTGTAACTTGCTGGTTTCCATTTTTTGTCAGCCTACCACACAAATGTCAGTAAACGCTAAATGTGTCATGCTGTGGTTAACGAGTATGGGCAAGATGTGAAGGACCTACCGGTAAGTACAAATGTGGCCAGCATGTGACAAATTGGGCTAAGTCCTGAAACAAGGCAAGTCACAGATTCTAATTTTTCCTATGGGTAGAGGCTATGGGCCATCTAGCACAACAGCTCTTACATCAGGAATTTAAGAGGAGGGAAATCCCATGGTGCAATCAAGGAGCCCTACCTGTGTACTCCCCACCTCCAGAGGTCATCCTACTGTCTGGGACATATGTTGTTTTGAGATTATTTGCAATCCCTATGTTTTTTTGAAAAAACAAAAACAGACCTTTCTAATTCTTATGTTCTTATTGTCAAACCCATGGACCCAAAATAAGCAGGGTTAAGCTAACTTAATGGCTATGAGCCACACCCTTTCATGCTTATGAATACAAAAATAAAACATCCTTAATTGGACACTAAACAAATGCCTGGCTGGGATCTACAGTTAAATCCAGCATAAAATAAAACCAAACACTGAAATGGCAATCTAACACATGAGCAGCAATGTAATTCTGAGGTCATTTGGCCAACTTTTTGCATGTGTTGTTATTTATTTGAAAGAGGAAGGTTTTGCTGACCAATGTGTTCATATCACAAACAGCTGTGGTAAACATTTTTCTTTGTGCGCTATAAGTTGCACACACACACATGATTGTGACATGGTTCAGACATTGGCACTAAGCCAAATCATGGCTTAGCCTGAATGAGCACCAGTAAAAACTGCAGCAACATTAGTGCTGTTCTCTTGAGACCCAACACTATTCCACAGGTTTGCATAGCATTACATGTGAACCTGGGCTCATGGTTTATCTCACTCCAAACTATTAGTTCTAACTTTTGCTCGTTGAATAGTTGTTGGTTTATTATTTCTCAGATGTTATTGTTTTGGTTCTTTAAACAAATATATAGTAGAGATTTGGACTGACTTTTATGTACAACAGGTCTCTGAGGTCCATGTTTTAGATGAAGGTACAGTTCTGAAAATGCCTAAATAAATAAATGTCTATTTGTCACCCCTACTAAAACAGGAGTGGGGAACTGCCGACCCCTGGACTGGATGCAGGTCCCAGTGCCTTTCTGCCATGACTGCTCCTCTTTAGCACTGCTCCATCCTCTTCCATGCCATCCCCTTGCCCAGAGATGACTTCCCAACCTGTTGGGTTTTCATGCTGGTCAGGAAGAAGGAGAAGCTTCTTTTCTTTCCACCCACCACAGAACCAAAGCAAGAGGAGGGCACAGAGAACAAAAGAGAGAGAAAGAGGTGGGGAGGAAGAGATGGGTGCCTCTGCCCACTTTTGGCTTTGGTCCCACCTGCCACCAGGTGGCCACACCACCAATATGGATCCCCCAAGAAATCACTCCCAAGCAACTCACAACATACAAAACGCTTCCTCATTACCTCTGCTATTAAAACTCACATATGCATTTACTGCACACCTTAGGCACTTCCAGTATACTGTACAGAAATGGCTCTACATTTCTCTTGTGATAAAGTAATATGAGCCACTTGGATCAGATTCTCTGCCTCCCCCCCCCCCCCCCAAAAATACTTTTTGTTTCTTTTCTGCCAAGGGGATGAAAATCACTAAGTGGTTCTGCTGACTAATAGGCCAGCATCACAGGCAATGGCCCTAAAGAAGAATACAAGTTAACTATGACAGTGAATGTCGTGAAAAATCAGCCAAATCCAGACTACCTGGCAGGAAAGCAGTGTCAGCCCCATAGATCAGGCTCTATTCTGTAACAAAGACTGACCAGCCAGTGATTTCAAAAAGTAGTTTGTGCATCAGCCCAACCCTGTTGTAGGGGGCTGATAGCATTTTGCCAGCTGTTGGCTTCAATCTCATATTCTATCTTCAGAAAGGAAGCTGCTTCTGCTGATAAGATTAACAACAAAACTGGAACTGTTTTGCAAAGCTGATGTGATTTCAGAAATGGCTGGAGCACACACACACACAACCCGTTTTATATTGGTAATATGTGGAGGGTTGCAGCTTTAACCCAGAAGAAAAAAATCACTGGCCCATATCTAGGCAAGTGAAAGCTGACCTTGATACACCCACATAGCATGCACCCAGCGTTTGCTTTGAAAGAATAACTTCTGTGGGTGCAGGCTGCTTGCTGCTGCCTGCAGTTTTCAATGTCCTGCTGCTGAAGTATAGATGCAGGCTTTATGTGGACAGCTGCTGCCAGTTTTCATTGAGCTGCAAACCTCAGGAGCAGGGTCAGATCCAAGGAGTGAGCAAGGGCCTGGCCCACAGCCACAATGTACAGATGTCTTAAAGTCTCGTTTCCAGCCCCATTCAGAGCCCTCTTGGCTTGGCTCGGCTCTGTCAATGATACCATTGTTCCTAACAAATCCTCCATCTTAACACCATGGGGCAGATCAGCGAAAGTGCCTGCAGTGAAGAGGCTTCTATTTTGTGGTATAGGGTGGGGAGTGTCAAATATTTTATGTATGAGGCAGATGGAAATTAGGTTAGAAAAGAGCATTGTGTCATCCGAATGGCAACAAGGGAACAGAGGCACATATATCGCAGCTCCCTTGTCGCATGGCTCTTCTGGAGATTTCATCAGCTCCCTACATGACTGAAGCCTCCACCAGAATGGAGAGATAAATCCATACTTTCCAACATGCCTCCATGGCATCATAGAACCATAGTTGGAAGGGACCACAAGGATCATCTGGTCCAATCCCCTCCAGTGCAGGAGTCTTCCACCCAAGGTGAAGCTCAAACCCACAGCCCTGAGACTAAGAGTCCTATGCTCTACCAACTGAGCTATCCCTCATGGTCAGAGGGATGCAAGGACTGAGGAAGGGGAAGGCACATTCCCTCAGCACCATCCCAGAATATTTTTATGCCTAAAGAACAACTCAAATGGTGTCCCCTCTGCATGGGCTTCCTTGGTATCTGCACCATTCCTACACCCATCCTTGACTTCATCATTTTGCTCTCATTGGAGAAAGTTGTTTCACCCCACCATAAGAGCTATCCTACCTCTGGTTCCAGGAGACGAACAAAAAGTACATAAGAACATAACCGTAGCTCAGCGGCAGAGCATCCTTTGTGCTCTACCACCCCAGAGAGCCCCAAATTCAATCCTCAGGATCTCCAGGCAAGACTGGGAATGTTCTTGGCCTGAAACCTTGGAGAGCTGCTACCAATTAGTGTGGATAATATTAAGCTAGATGGACCAATGATCTGACTGGGTATAAGGTAGGCTCCTATTTTCCTATGTGTTCAAAGTCCAAAGAGAGAAATAAAAGATGAAATTCCAATGAACAGAAACTAAGAGATACAAAATACTGATTGTCTTGCTTTCATTCACACTAGATGATGTCAGTCAGCACTGGCTAGGTCTTCAACCTAAGACAGAAGCATAGCTATAATTTAAAGAAATCCAGCAATACAGATTAATGGGGACAATTTCAAATCAGGAAAGAGAAAGTACAGCTCAAGAGAGAAAAACTGATAAGAAGTCACAACATCAGCCTCACTGAAAAACTATGAGCAGCTTCCAGGGGAGGAGAAAGGAGAGGGAAGCAGGTGAGAACTGAAATATACAAAAGCACAAACAAACAAATAAATAAATAAACGGTTTTGAGTTTTCAGAATTCAAAGGTCTGGATTAATTTGAGAAACTTACCTTCAATCTAATGTAAAACCAAAACCCACAAAAATACTTTTGAACAATAGGGACTGTTGCTGCGGATGATACTGTATATTCATAGTTTTCACAGCAACAGAAACAAAGTATTATAAGAGTATGTGAAAGGGTAATTGATGACTTGGCTTGTTAGCCCAGTGGATAAATGGAATAAGCAAGTGAATGGAACAGATCAGGAGCTTCCTCCACCTCAGTAATTCCTGACAACGGCTATTTATTATTATGACATCATCAAACTGGGAATGTGTCCATGTCCTTTGCACTTACAATATATATATGTATATTAGGAGAGCACCTGGGAACCTTGCATATGTAGTGTTGAGTCCCATGATGGAAGAAAGATGGATTGCCCTTTATGATAGTGGTTGCAGAAAATGTTATGGAGCATAAGAGACAACATAGAGGGGTCAAATCTAAGACATCATTCTCTATTATTTGGTTTCCATTTGTCAAATTTATTTTTCAGGGTGTGTGCACTGCAGTAATCCAGTCTTGAGGTTACCAACACATGGTCTACAGTGGTCAGGCTATCCATATTAAGTGTAAGATTTCAGGTGACGATAGAATTTTGTACCAGTGGATCAGCATCCTTCTGGATAAAGGGATAAATGTAAATAAAAAATCCTGACAACAAACTGCTTGAAAAGGACAATAGTGACTTTGAAAAAGAATGGGAACCCTTTACAATATATTTGCAGAAACAACAGAAGGAAATGGTCTTGCTGGCAAGATTTAAATAAACATTTACAATTTTATTTACAGAGAACAAGTAGTACAACAATGTGATAACATAGTATTGTAAATAAACAGCAGAATGTATCATCTGATGTAATAAACCAGAAATGGTAGTTGAGGGAAGTCAACAGGGAGGGGGGAAATTGAAAAATGTATGTTCAGCAATGATATTGGATATTTGTTTTGAGAAAAGAAAATTAATAAAAATTATTTTTTTAAAAACTGTAAATAAAAAACCCTGGACTCTTCACCTTAGTGGTCTGAACAAGTTGGAGCAGCATTTTTGTTTAAGAATAATGTATTTGTCTTAAGTTGACCATATCCTTTCCTCAATAAACTGCTGCCATTTAAAATAAAATAATAATAATAATAATAGGTGCATACAAGTATGACAGTCAAAATCCAATATCAATTCATTGAATTTGACAGGGGTATGTCAAAATGAGGTCAAAATCGCATGTGCAAAAGCCCACTGACAGCAAATTCTTAATATGAAACAATAAACCTGCCCAAATGGCTTGCCAAGAATACTTGGAAGTAGAGGAAGGATTTATTTCTCAGCAATGCTTTATACACTGTTGGATTAGGACCCAAATCCCAGTTCCTACACTGCTGTGATTCCTTTTGGCTGCAGTACAAATGCCTTCAAGTGAGTGATAATTTGACTTTGCTCTGCCGCATTACTCCAATAACATGAAATCACCATTTGTTATGAAAAACAAAACCATCCCACCCATGCAGTATATGCCAGTAATGAACTGCTTTTTAAATTCCAGAATCACATGGGATTGGAAATGTTCAAATTCTGTAAAATAATTAAAGTTTGAGGTTTTTAGTTGGCTTATGAACTTTGGGAGTTACATATCACACTTTCTTCATAAGTTCTCTTGGGACTCAAGTCAGGAATATGATGCAAGCCAGCAGCCCTTGGATGAATTGTTCAGGATTCTCTTCTTTGCAAAAGGTTTAGTGTCATTTGCAAACACTTACGTCTTTCCTTGGGTCAACCATGTTTCAGCCAAGCTGTCTCAAAGTGTCAGAACTGCCAGGGAGAGTTAACGCTGATGGGCAATGAGATGTGCCCCAAAGCATGCAAAGCCCAAAAGTCACAGGGAGGCAAATAGGGCAATTTGTTCTTCTCACAACTTTTCTTTGTGGCATGTATAGATCTACCAGTTTTTAAAATAAGAAGGCATTTTCAAGTGGGGCTTAATGGGGTTCATATTGCTGCTGATGCCAAAGGTTTGGGTTCTGCTTATATCATCTCTTCTGGAAAGTATTTCCTTCCTGGAGCATCTTATGCCGAGCTAAGCAGGTCTCCCCTCTTATAACCCCAAAGATTAAAGAACTGTAAAGCTGCAGAGTCAAACTGCCTGTACATCTTCCTATAAGATAAGCAAAATGAGGACAGGAGAGAAGGAAGCTTTCTTCCTGCCTGGGAAATTGTGCAATGTTTAGAGTCAATGAAGAGATAACCTAGCTTCCTTGCCTAGCCCTCTGACAATGAAATCATCATTCCAAGAGGAAGATGAGCTGGAATCCCTCCCGGAGCAAGACCTGGCTTTCCAACCATTCAGAAACTCTTCGTAAGACCTGCAGAAGAGGTCAAAGCCTTCTGTCATTTGTTCCCATTCATATCCTACGTGTGTAGGAAGTTACCAGCAAATACAGTGTGTGTAGCGTCTATGCAGAATCCCACAGCAGTCCTTCCTACGTAAAGCTGAAACAGGCAACAGCCACGTTTCTTTCCAGTTTTCTGTTTGCTTAAACAAGCACTGGAAAGGAAACCAGATAAGGCAGGAAATTATAATGGAAGTGACCCTGTATCCAGCAGCTCAGAATCTCAGGCAGCAGTGGGGGGTTAGCCCTAACACATGGAAACAGTACAGTGGATTTGTCAGTTTTGTTTTCCAAGGTACAGTAATTCCAGAATTAGATATTTGAGCAGGGCTGAGAGCCAGAGCATTTTCTGTGTCAACTAGCCAACGACTGCATGTCTTGGCTACCATCACAATGAATTCTTCCCAGCCTGAAATAAATAAATTCCCTTTCTAAACAAACCTGTGCCAAGGCTCATTGCCACCATTAAATGCCATGCCTTCCTTGTCAAGCAAAATGGAGCAAACCACACAGGTGACACAGGAATGTTTTTAGATTACCAGTAACAACCTTCCATTCTAAAACAAGATCCTCACTAGCAGTATAATATTTTCTTCTTCTTCAGTACAGCTTCTCTTCTAAAAATTACCCTCTTCATCCAAAGGGACAAGTTCTTAGGCATAGTCTTTTGTCATTCATTACTGATATGTTCGTCACATTTTCAACCTTGCTATCTTCGGCCAAAGGGGAATTCTGTCTTTCTTTCAAAAATGCACACGAAGTTTAAAACAAATCTGTTTACATGTGAGGTTCTTCCTGAACTATGGCCAATGTTATTCTTAGAACCTGTCTCCATCTATTTTGTGATCCATCTGCCTTGGATTTTCTGCTTTGCAGCTGCAGAGCTTAAACATCTCGACAAATCATTTAATAATCAATTGGGCTGCACCAGGTGTCTGGGAACCTGTTCAGAGATAATAGCTAATAGAGTAACTTCCTGTGCAATTAAATAGAGCTTGAACCTCCTCAATCCCAGCTATAACCACCAACAAAACGTAAATTGTTAGTTTCTAACATACTCAAAGTATCCTCAGATGTGCTGAAACTAAGCTCAAGTATGTGTTGAACTTACTTCAGAATACTAACAGTGCAATACTACACAAACCTACTCGGAAATAAGCTCCATAATAAAATTAAGAACAACAACAGACCAATAACCCCCCTCCCACAACACATTTAAAAGGGCATTGATTAAAAACAAATAACCAGAAAAGAAAAGAAAAATATACTAGTATAAAAATTATACTGGCAAAGAACTAGCATTCTATGTTTGGAGCTCTTGATGAAAGTCTCTACCAGTAGCCAAGTGAGGAGTTGTACTTATTACACATCACAGACAACTATGAGCCCTGTACATTTTCTCCTGCAGCCCCTTGCAAAGTTGAATGGCTGTGCGGGTCTGTGTTTAGAGGAATGAGGGCCCCAACTCAGGAAGTAAACACAATATATGTGTTCCGTTTTGCTAGCCTGTTGAGAGCAGGCCTTAGATGAAAATAGCACAGCATGGTTCCCAGGAGACACCTGGAAATTATGTCATCATGCTCAGAGTTAATCTACTGCTAATGTTTTGCTCAAGAGACTCTGCTTCTGCCAATTCTCTTCCACCACTCACAGCTTTCCCTTCACAATTCCACACAATCCCAAAACACCAGAAATGTAAAAGCAACTGGACAAAAGTCCTGTTTCTGTTAGGCTGCAGACCCAAACCAATTCTTTGGAGCAGACAACAGATTTTTGCATGTTCAGACCTTTAAACCTCCCCCTTAAATAAATTCAGACAAGACTCAAATTTGGGTTTGGGTTTTGGCAGAATTTAGGCCACAACTTTAATGATTACAGCAAGTGAGTGGTTGCATAGGCTCTGCTTCAACTAGCTCCCTGCACCATTGCAGGTAGCGCTGACTCAGGGGACCAGCATAGGTCAGTCTAGGGTGAACACCTGGATAAGCAGAAAGCCGGGAACAGGCTATCTCCACCACCCAAATGCCCCCTTGGACTCAGGCACGGGCACAACCCTCTCTCAGGGGTAGACCAAACCATCAAGTCTCTGGATTCCTTTAACGGAATAACCCTTCACATAGAGATGGCGAGATCGCTCTCCCATCCCTATCACCTGAACCAGAGCCTATCCGCAACCTTATAAGTTGTGACGATTTGCTACGTGGCAGGTGAAACCCAAATGGCACCAGCCAATCAGCCAAGTGGGGAAAAGTCCTGCCGTGCTCCTGTCCCAACGACAGACGACACACGACGGCATAGCAAGGTCAAGCGCAAAACCCTAAAAATAGGGAGAGGTGGGCGGGTGTTCCGATGCATGCACTGAAAGAGGAAGCTCTGGGTATATATAGGTATATATAGGTCCCTTGATCGATTTAACCTGCATCCCACTGGCCTGATTAAACCCTGCATCAAGGGACCTACCAATTGGGTGTTGTGGCTATCCGATCATACCCACCCACAACGCAGGGTTTGGTTCCCAGGTCTCACCGCAACATGTGCCCTCTTTAAGGGAGGACCCAATTTCTCAGTTAAAGGGCATGCTGTGCAGCTACACCCTGACTTCATAACAGAGTATATTGAATACATTTAACGGTACTCTAATCATTTCCCAAAAGCCAATGCAAGCATGCGGTTTCATGGTTTGTATTAGAAGCTGTGCTGAAGAGAAATCTAGCATGTGTTTAGCAATGTAAGATGTGTCAATTTCTCTTCCCCTATCTCGCCTTAGCTGTTGGAACATGTTTAGCAAGTAGCATTTCAGGGCGGGCTGCCTGCTCTCAGAAGGTTCCAGTCTGGCTTATTAAGACAAAATCTTTTCTGGAGGCATTGGGAAGGCCTACAGACTTTTTAACAAAGGCCTGCCGCTGACTATTTGTAGGACTCGAGCGCTGCTTTCTTCACAGGACCAACAGCAACTGCAAAGGATTGAGAGCATTTAGACCGTTTCCTTGTGATTCTGTGTATCCATCAGCCCTGTGAACCCAGAAGTGCTTAAAGTGATTAAAGGCACTCAGTCAAATTAAAGTAGCAATAGTCTTTCTTTCCGAGGAATGGAATTCCTTCTGGGTAGCTGAATAATTAGATAGAAACAGAAAAACAGTTTCTCCAATTGTGGCATAAGCCACTATGGCCTACACTGGCATACCCGCCAATATTTCTCCGATGAAAATAGAGACATCCTACTCCATAATGATAATTTTACTATTTATCTATTTACTATTTGTCCTCTGCAAATATGATGAACATCCCCCTCATCCCCTATATTACAGTTACTTATAAATAAAACTATTTCTAGTGTCTTTCATTCCGGAGAGTATCAAAGCAGTTTACAACAATAAATCATAAAACATACCCCTCCCCCCAAAAAACCAATAAAATCTTAACGTTAGTTACAGTAATCAGGGTGCTAAAAACTGGTATAGAAACAGCCTAGAAATGTCTGAGGAAATAGGTAAGTTGTTGTGGGGGGGTTGCAATTTTTAAAATAATGGATAAGTTTTCTAAGCACACTGGAAGCACCCAACAGTTGGTGCCTAGGCTCATCTCCAAGGGGAAGTCATCCCATAGAGTAGGTGCCCCCACAGAGAAAGTTATATTGCATACAATTATAACTTCTGCAGGTAATGCAATTTATCTATAAATGATCTAGAACTGCAGTTCCCAACAGGTGGTCCATCATCATCATCATCATCATCATCATCATCATAATTTTTATTTATATCCCGCCCTCCCCAGCCGAAGCCAGGCTCAGTGCGGCTAACATCAAATCTTTAACACATTAACATAAAATCAGACAATCAATTAAAATACATCCTCAAATCAGATCAGGATCAGAATAAAATCCAATCAGATGGCAACCCGCAGATTAGGGTTGGGGACCTTAAATGCGCCCCAGGCCCAACTGTTTGTGCTGAACTTATATGGGCCTGTGAGAAAAATTGGGAGGCCACTTTCATGCAAGTTCTTATGAAAGGGGAGAGGGAGTCAGACTGAACTCCGACCAAAGGCCTGGCAGAACAGCTCCGTCTTGCAGGCCCTGCAGAAACATGTCAAGTCCCGCAGGGCCCTAGTCTCTTGTGACAGAGCGTTCCACCAGATTGGAGCCACAGCCGAAAAAGCTCTGGCTCTAGTTGAGGCCAGCCTAACCTCTCTGTGGCCTGGGACCTTCAGGATGTTTTTATTTGAAGACCGTAGTGAGGCATCAGATCAAGGTATGCATTTTAAAATGAGCTTAAAAAATATATTTGCAAATGTTTGTATGTTTTATGCCAGGCATAAAGCAGCTGGCTGGGTGCTTTGGCAGATGTTTATCTTCCTAAACAGGGCCCCTCTGATCTATAGCAGTGCCTCAGGGTTGTAAAAGGAAATTACAGGCTGGGAGCAAAAGGTCACACTGACCATACAAATTACAGAATACAATCAAGCTGCAAAAAACACTAATTAAGAGTTGGTAAATAGTGAGATTTATTGTTTAACAGAAAATAATACTAGGTGCCTCCCATTAGACTTGAGCCATATTTTCATAAGGTTAAAGGGCAAGAGCTAATGGGAACAGCAGCTGGCTTGAAAGGGGTTGCGTTTGGAAACTGTTTTTACTAAGTTCTTTTTACTTTGAAAAGGCCTTTTCTTCTAAAAATCTATATATGTTATGTATGAAATATATTGGCTTAAATGTAATTATGCAAAGGATTTAGAAAGTAAGAAATGTTAGATTCTTATGTTAGATTCTTATTTCATTGATGGTGTGAGAAGGTGAACCCAAGATCTCTGTTTAAGATAAAGATTAAAACCATTAGCCATCTGTTTTGGAATGAAAGGGCAATAGGGCAATAGGGCAATAGGGCAAAGATGATCTGGTAATTAAGGTGCCTGGTCGAGGCAAATGTAAGATATATGGCTACTTGTCTGCCATTTATGGATAGAAGGAAATATAGCTCTTTGTCTCCCATAAAAGGTAATAGGAAATGGGTGTATCTTTTATGATTGGTTCTAGCAAACAGCCAATAGGAATTTCAACCAGGCTGATTGGACAGAGGCAGCCAAAGGAGGAGCAAGGGGGCTGGGCTGAGGAAATATAAATGCTGGCCATCAGGGCTGGAGTGGGCAGAGCTTTGGTAACCATATACCACTGTGTCTCTCATTTATTTGTCTGACAAATAAATTATTATTTTAATTTCTCTATTGCTGCATTGAATATTTCATTCCAGCTAAGCGTTAACCACAAGCAGGGTGCTACAGTAGGTTCCTCTGTGGGACATACCAGGAGAGGCGGTCCCATACGTACGAGGGTCCTAGGCCGTATAGGGCTTTAAAGGTTAAAACCAGCACCTTAAACCTGATCCTGTACTCCACCGGGAGCCAGTGCAGCTGGTATAGCACTGGGTGAATGTGGTCTCGCAGCGAGGACCCCATAAGGAGTCTCGCCGCGGCATTCTGCACCCGCTGGAGTTTCTGGGTCAGTCTCAAGGTCAGCCCCACGTAGAGCGAGTTACAATAATCCAGTCTGGAGGTGACCGTTGCGTGGATCACATTGGCTAGGTCAGGGCGATAGAGGTAAGGAGCCAACTGCTTAGCTTGGCGGAGATGAAAAAATGCCGCCTTTGTTGTAGCTGCAATCTGCGCCTCCATGGAAAGGGAGGTGTCGAAGATTACACCCAAACTCTTAACGGACGGTGCTGGCACTAATTGAACCCCCCAAGAGATGGGAGTTGCCCCCCCAATCCCATATCGTCCCTTCCCAGCCAAAGGACCTCTGTCTTCGAAGGATTTAACTTCAACCGGCTCCCACGTAACCATCCAGCCACAGCTTCCAAACATCTGGTCAGTGTGTCTGGGGCCGAGTCAGGATGGCCATCCATCAACAGATAGAGTTGGGTGTCATCTGCATACTGATGGCAGCCCAGCCCAAAACTCCGGACAAGCTGGGCAGCTCGAGACAAAAGTGGGCAAAGCAATAATGTGACTCTTACCTTCATAGCATTGGCTACATTCCAACTATGCAAAAGCCAGAAGTTTCTGCACCCACGCCTCTTCATCTTCGATCTAGTCAAGCAAGTGGCCTTTTAAAATGTGGGGGGTTTTGGGGGGGGAGTTATTGGATTATTTTTGTTTTTATTTTGATTCTGTATTTTGTGGTTTTATAATTTGATTTTATTCTGTGAACCGCCCTGAGACGTCCAGATATAGGGCAGTATATAAATTGAAACCAATCAATCAATCAATCAATCAATAAAATAATTACAGTTCAAGGACACATAACCAGCAAGACAAAAGCAGTTGAAGAAGGCTCTGAGGATGGCTAAGGGCGTGGCATGGCATAGGGCATCCCACAGACCAGCTAGAGATGCCTGTAGGGACATAACCCCTGGGCCTGACGTTACCTCTGATTTACGTAATCCCATTTCTAGTGCCTAGGAACAGGAACAAGCTAGAGTTTTTGTGGTTTGTTTGTGTATGAGTTTCACAAGTCTCTTTTGGAGGCTTGCTCAACATCTTCTGCCTTTGCATTTTGACAGCTATACAACACCATAACAGAAGATGTTCCACTAACTGAACTTTTATTAAAGGAACAAGAGTGCCCTGTTTGGAGTTCAAAACGGCGGATAACCTCTGCTTAGTTCACACAATAGATTAACAGGAGTGTATATTTAAATGTACCCTGCCTTTTCATCCAAGGTTACTTACTCATTCTTCTCAACATCCAAGATGAAGTTTCTTCCTTCAGCTGTTATTTCTACTTCCGCTCTGGGTGGGTGCTGCGTACAACACAGAAACAAAAGGTTTACACACTCTCTGCATTTCTGGCTTACGACAGAATCAAGATATTAAGCAAAAGTTGAAAAAGAATAGCAAATATTTTATTTCACTGATTCTCAAACAGTAGACTGCAGATCACTTTCAACCCAATTGCTATGACTGTTTACTTAGAAGCAAATCCAGCGGAGTTCAATAAGACCAACTTCCAGGGTGCAACTGGATTGCAGGCTTATTGGCCCACAGTGGTATACCAGACCATAACACAAACAGAGAAGAACACTGGCAGACCATTTCTGGAGCAAACCATGATGAACGCCAAATTAAAATTCCCTTCCTGGGTCCAGTGCAGCTGTACTGAATGGACTGGCTTGAATGTAAAGGAAAAGCAGGGCTAGAGAGTGGATAAGAACATAAGAAGCATCTACTGGATCAGGCCAGCATCCTGTTCTCACAGTGGCCATCCTAAGAGCAGGACGTGAGCGCAGCAGCACTCTCCCCACTTGTGATTCCCACCAATGGGCACATGTGTACTGCTTGCAGCTGTGAAGACAGAGCATAGCCATTGTGACGTTGACAGGAACTTGTAGATTTGTGCATGATGCATGCCACTGCGACGTTGGTTGGTCAAGACATTACTATTCAAGACTGATTCAAAGGACAAGCAAAACACAATACAACGAAGTTTAGGAAATCATTGGCTGATTGGGAATGATGCAAACCCTAATAATGCCTATCTAACACCCACCCAGCCTCCTTCACTGGAGGTTGGGTGGCCCTCTGTCAGGGATTCTTTAGCTCTGGGTCCTGCATTGTAGGGGGTTGGATGAGATGCCGCTTGGGTTCCCTTCCAACCCTACTATGGATATTACAGTATGTTCTCTCAGAAGCGGAACTTGGCTAATGATTCTTTGTGGTGGCTTACGAAGGCTGCAAGGTGGAAATTGGCAAATATTAGCTGAAGTGTCAAAGGCAGAGCAGATGGATGAGGCAGGAAATCGCTATCACCTCCCCCCATGCACCCTCATAAAAAAACAAACCACAGCCTGTTAATAAGAAGGAAAGTGAGTAATGTTGGTTGTCCCAAGTAATCAAAATTGCACCATTGTTAAACATGTTCCCGTCCTAAGTGTGGTCTATGAAGGAACCTCGCCCACACTGAGCAGCAAATTGTTCAACCAAAATAGCCTCCAGCTTCTGCATTTCTAGTGCTTCCACACACACACACCAATGTTTGCTACAACTTCTATGGAGAACACCATCCTCTTTTCCTATTCATATATCAACATGGTCCTTGACTATTCATAGTGGCAACAGATGTGCCCCCCTTCTCATGCCTAATTTTAAACGATTTTTCCAGTTTCATTTTAGAGCATTCAGGAACATTTTTGAGAGCTTGCATGAGCAGGAGGAGGGAGAGAGCACTTTGTGGCTAATGTGCAGGGCAGAGACTCAGGAGATGTGGGTTCAGTTCCCAGCTCGAGAGTTGCCTGTGCAATCTCTTTGTTGAGCAACTTGTTCTGAGCAAGAGAGAAGGACAGAAAAGAAATAGCAATGCCCTCTTGCCCTTATTGACACATCCTTCTTCGTCAGCTCTGCAAGGGATCTGATAGCAAACGGGCCACAGAGCTGGACCGTCCCTTTGATCAAAAGCACATTTGCATGGCCACACACATAGCAGTAGAGGAAAACTGATGCTTGCTTTGATTAAATCTCTGCTTCCCATCTGTCTGGTGCTTCCACACAGCCAAAACAGAGACAGCCAACAACAACTAGCTGAACTCCTCAGATAATTCTGCTGCACATCTGTGACATTTTTGTAGGAAATAACCGGGGAAGGGCTGTGGCTCAATGGGAGAGCATCTGCTTTGCACACAGTAGGTCCAAGCTTCAATCTCCTGCATCTCCAGGCAGGACCAGAAGTGTTCCTTGCCTAAAACCCTGAACAGCCACTGCCTGTCAGTGTGGACAGTCTTGAGCGAGAGGGACCCATGGTCTTAACTGGATTGCAGTTGGAGAAACTCCCAATGTTGGCTTGGAGCAGGTGGAAGACGAACAGCACTATTGACTATATCCAATGCCAAGCATACAGAATCCGATTCCTGTGCATCATACAAGGAACCACATGGTACCACAATCAAGGGGGAAAGGGGAAGCATTAGTGAGAATTCGGCTGTGCACAGAAAAAGTTGGCAGGCATTTTTGAGGCCACAGCTTCAGCTTTTCCAGCTGCTGCAGTCTCGAGAACTGTTGCCTCTTTGTGTAGGCTAGTTCACAGCATGGTATCCTTATGTGACTAGAGGGGCTACAGATGCTCTAGTGTGTGGGGGGGCTTACAAGCTGCTTCCAAGCCTTTTGAGAACCAGATGGATCAACCCAGTGGTTTGAAATTGTCTTCTGCAAATCACACAGTCTTACGTCTTGCTTACTCATCTTTACAAGATGAGTGGCCTACTTAGCAGGATGGGTGAACAGAACTGATGCACTGTTAACTAATATAAACACTGATAAGGCTATCACACTCTTTCTCCCAGGCCCCATGCCAAAAAGCCCTTTATCACTAGTGGTGATAAAGGATCTAAGGGAAGCAGCAAGAGGCACTAAGAAAACATAGTCACAAAAACGCACTTGCAATACACAAAAGACCACTATACACAAAAGACCAATATTGTCAGCATAGACAATATTGATTGAGCTAGATAGACCAAAGGTCTGACTCAGTATAAGACAGCTTCCTTCATTCCTCTCGGTATTGATAATGGGTATATGAGTTTATATGACCATCACTCTATCCAGCTTAGGCAGATTTTACAAGGCACTTCACAGCCAGACTGTCACTGCTATATAATTCCCACCAATGATTGTATCAGGAGGATAATGGTTATTTGAAAGGGATGAGAAAGCACAGCTCGTTTCCTGTTATTGTGGCTAAGCAACCTACCTTATCATTGTCAGAGCTTCCATCTGATCGCCACTGAGGTATTATGATTTCATGGTGCACCTGGGAGTGGACTGCATTCCATGTCCCTGAGGAAACATAAATAACTGTTCAAAGCCCTAGTATGAACTCTGAAAGGTCATAGGAGAAAAGCAGCACACAGGGGGGAAACCCCCACTAACATCCTACTGTACCTATCCAAATAGCCAACAGACCCAGACAAGTCTTGCCAGTCAAAAGCAGCCTTTGTTCTTGAGAGCAGATTCATCAACCACTTTCCATTCTCTGTTTCACAAGTATAACCATAATGCTGGCTTCTTGGAATGGACTAGACTTCTTGCATGGAGACTAGACTGAGTTGGATTTTTGTGGATAATACACCCCCCAAAAAAAGCATTTAGGGCATCATTTCACCTGGGTTCATTGCTGTCGTTGTAGCTGATTTGGCACATTTGTTTTTTTAATGGTTTCTCCTTTTCCTGGCTACATGGTCAAGCCAATCAGGGGTCACAGAGCTAGTATAAGCGCATCAAAGCACCACACAGCCAATCAGATTAATTTTTCCTTGAACCACACTCCCTCCTCCCACATTAACTCACAGAGAGCTTTATAGCCGTGTTAAGGCAAATTTTGCTGAAGGCATATAGTAGCTGACCACAGATTGCTATATTTGGGGTAAGGTAAAAGGTAAAGGACCCTTGGATGGTTAAATCCAGTCAAAGGTGACTATGGGGTGTGGCGCTCATCTTGCTTCAGGCCAGCTCGGTGTTTGTCCACAGACAGCTTTCCAGGTCATGTGTCCAGCATGACTAAACTGCTTCTGGCACAACAGGACACCATGACAGAAACCAGAGCGCATGGAAACACCATTTACCTTCCCGATGCAGCAGTACCTATTTATCTACTTGCATTAGTTTGCTTTTGAACTGCTAGGTTGGCAGAAGCTGGAACAGAGCAATGGGAGCTCATCCCGTTGCGCATATTCACACCACCGACCTTCCGATGAGCAAGCCCAAGAGGCTCAGTGGTTTAGACCACAGTGCCACCCACTCTCAGTTCGGGGGGGGGGGGCGTTAAGAAGGCGTTTTCCCACAAGGTTATTCTGGCTGATATTTACAGGTGTGGTTTTGGTGAGTAAATGTGATGAAATAAGCTTGTTTAAACTACGTTGCTTTGCTGTTTCTTACGCTACAGACAGTTATGGGATGGTACTACATTTGTCCTGGTTTGTACTTCTTTCTTATTTGTAGAATTTTGATGATAGTTCTGCTTTATGGGCAAAATGAGCCTTCATGATTAGGGAGAAAGCTGTTCCAATAGAGGGCTTCTCCAGCCTAGATGCTGTTGCATTCCAGCTCCCATCAGTCTCAATCAACATGCCCAATGGTCATGGATTATGGAAGCTGTAGTCCAGGATCAGCAAACGGGGGCCGGTCCACTGTCCCTCAGATCTTGTGGAGGGCCAGACTATATTTTGAAGGGGGGGATGAACAAATTCCTATGCCCCACAAATAACCCAGAGATGCATTTTAAATAAAAGGACACATTCTACTCATGTAAAAACACGCTGATTCCCGGCCCATCTGCGGGCCAGATTTAGAAGGAGATTGGGTCAGATCCAGCCCCTGGGCCTTAGGTTGCCTACCCATGCTGTAGTTCAACAACCTCTGGAGATCCCTATTCCTCGATTTACAGGCTTTTGCCAAAGTCAAGCACACTGAATCAGCAACTGACAATTTGGCACTACATTTACAGAACAATCCTAACCCATACCTCCCTCTGTTCCTTGCTGGTGAGGATTTGTGGCAGACAGTGGAGTGGAGTGGGCAGAAAGAGGATGATCAGTGCTGATCATTGCACCAACTCCAGAATGGCACAGGGAACAGGCCCGATGCAATTATGTGGTAGCAGAGGGACCAATTTGGGATCCAGTGGATTTGTCAGGTCAACCCTGCCCTCTCCAAACCTTCAAGTGTCCCATTTCAGCTCTTTCTGATGGCTCCAGCCAACAGGCATCCCACTATTTGGTTTTAATCCTCAGCCACACATTTGATGGCTGGAAAAGGGAGTCTGGTGTTTTCACTTCACCAATGAGGAGGCTGCCTTGACTGTACGAGCTGGCGTGGGGGGAGTCTCCATCTGATACAAGCCATCCACCCCTATCCTGGTATAAAGGGGGGTCTAGATTGCTCTGTTACTATGAAAGTAGCTGTCCAATTCCAGAATTGTCAAGCTGGAAGGGAGTCTAAGGATAATCTAGTCCAACTCCCAGCAATGCAGGACTTTGTAGCTGTCCCATACAGGGATTGAACCTGCAACCTTGGTGTTGTCTTGAGAGGGCTAGAGGGGCAGTGTTTTGCCCTAGTGAGGACAAAAAAGAGTAAACATTAGAGTGCATACTTCATGCATCTGTGAAGTGGAGTTTGGACGGGGAAAGGGGTTGACTGTGTTGTGAACTCTGCACTTCCCACTCCTTTCCTTCTATAAAGATACTGCATTATATTGAGTGAGTTGGCCTCTATTTTGTGGGAAGGATTCAGCTGGATATTGGAAATTTAAGATTATGCAATTCATAGGATTAAAGGGCTCAATGAATCCACTTCCCCCACTCCTTTCTTTCTTTCTTTTTAAAAAAACTTCTTGCAGTTAGGAAAATGTACTAAAAAGTGTGGGGTAACATGTGATTGACAGAAAGACGTATAACCTCCCCGCAAGCAAATCTGGATGAATGCTCAATAAAGAGTAAACTTTGCATAACCTCCATGCAAACTTTGCTCACTAAATGCATCATCTGGAGGAACCCTGGGTCATATTCAACTAGCTGGTTCTGCTAAGTGGAAGCCAGAACCAGGAAGTATGAAGTTGCATCCCTCCCCAAGAATCCAATTGCCTTTTCCTGTTCATTCTTCCCCACATGCTTCCAGAAGGATGTCCACGCTCCCTTCCCCCTATCCTGGATAAATGCTTAGCATGTTCACCTAATAAAATACCTAGTTAGCTCTTTTCTAAAAAGGGTAAAACCTAAAAAAAATAGCTGGTCGGAGAAGGGTAGAAGTCTGACATTAAAAAATGACTACAAGGTTCAGCCAATTAATGTTGCACACCCCTCTGGTCTGAAGAAGGGATGGTCGTAGCATAATATTATCACAAGGACTGGCCAATCAGTGATCTCCAAATCCAAAAGAACAGATTCAACCTAATCCACTCTGGATTAGAAAGCAATATGCAGAAACTAGGCAGATTTGAAGGATTAGAAATCTGAGGGATTAGAAATTTGGGTGTCTGTACATTTATCTGCCAGTTTTTGCCTTGCATTTTGGTCCTGCATTTCCTACGTTTCGAAGAACAGATGCATTTTTCTTTATTGAATATTCATGAAAGTTCACTGTAGTTCAAAACAATCTTCCGTTCATTTAATTGTACAAAGCAATAACTTGGCAAATATGGTTAATGTCACAAGCTCTTAATTAATCTGCCACTGTTCTGTAAGCAATATAGACATTCCTGAAGGTTAAAAAGGTTTCAGATTATTTCCTTCTGAATTTTAAAGGAACAATTAACAAAAGGTTCATATAGCAGAAAACCTCAGACACATGAAATTAGTTTCACCCCCACTCCTTTCAACTCAGATTGTATGGCCTCCTAGATCAAGTGGTGTCTGTGTGTGTGTGTGTGTGTGTGTGTGTGTGTGTGTGTGTGTGTGTTGCAGTCCTTAAGCAATTCAAGGAATTAAATAAGCAAGTGTTTCAGGGTTAGAAGCATTCTGCACATATTAGAAGCTTGCTCTCTAACACACTACCGTCAGGTTTCCACACTGCTTTGTTCTCATGAGGACTAGAAACTTACTTTACAGCTGAGATGTTAATGAAGCCTATGCATTGCAAGTAAGCAGCTCTCTTATGCATGGGTGGCTTTATGACTGACAGAATGTTTTTGACCCCTGTGACAAGTCTACAATTAAAGACTTCTGCGTTTAGTTCAACTGTGGAGCTGCACAGCTGCCATTCAGTACCCCTTCTGGTCCTACCAACCTAGGACTGTGGTAAGAAGAAATGGAAAATCTGCAGTTCTATTTCTATAGCCACTCCCAGGGGCATACCTGTTGAACATCCTTTCTTAAACGAACTTGTTGCTTCTGAATTAGAGCTTCATGGCTTGAAGGGAGGGAGGGAGGGAGAGAGAAGGCAGCATCTTCTACACCTATGGTTTATGTTCACAGCAATCTGGTGCATTTAGCATTTTCTTATCAAAAGTGCTGAAACCTGTTCAGGTGTGCTCCCAGCTAAGCATCCATCCTTTCATGCAAGTATTGCATATACCAAGAGGTAAATGCGCTGTTTAAAATGAAGGTTTGCAAGATTTCCACTCATATCTCAGTTACTGTCGTTTGGTGGATTATGCATTACAGCACAATCCCATGTATACTCAGAAGTAAGTGCTATTAAATTCAGTGGAATTTACTCCTAGGTAAGTGGGGTGAAGATTGCAGCCTTAATCAGAGTGTTGTCTCTCCCCCCCCTTGATAAAACTGTTCCCACTTTTTATCCTGCCCTCCTGCACAGTGATCCAAACACTTACCTGCCCAGCCTGACTCCTCAGCCGGCAACTGCCTCAGCCAAAGCAAGATGATGGAAATAGAATAAATCAAGTCTCCTTTTGCAGCACCGCACATGATCCCTCCCATGGTCTGCAGAGAAGGCACGTTTCATAGAGATGGAGATGTCATAGCTGCTGGTGGTTCTTGATGCTGCTGCTGCTGCATTTGGCTTGGTACAGAAGCCTCCGCTTTTGCAATGCCTTGGTAGGCACATGAAATAGTGGCTTAAAAAAAAAAGACCAGCTTTCAAATCCCGCCCATCACGGAAGCCATCATTCCTATTCCAAGACAGATGTTGGCCGGTGACGTAGCAGCAGCAGCAAAACGCAGGATCCGTCCAACCATTATTATCTGACGAGGAGCCTTTAAGAAAGCATAGCGGGAGGTGGTGAGAAAGGCAATCTGTCTTTCCTTGCAGCCCGCCTGAAAATATAGCGAGAGCTCGTTCCTGTTACTCCTTTGTCTGCGAACCTACCGGCGGTGTGTGCAGTAAATTTCAGCGCTAGTTGTATTTATTTCAGGAGCTCCTTCGGATTCTGAAATGTATGACTTAAAAGCTTGAGAGGTCGTTCAGCAATCAGTCAGTTATAAGCTCACAGGCATTAATTTGATAAGCAGTAAAGAGATCAGGGTGCATGCACCGTCAGCCTCCTTGGAAGAAAACGCACGCCGTGCGCATCTCCAGACGCAGAACAGGGTCGGGGCATTTCTTAACGAACAGTTACCTTCCCACGAGGCATCTGTATTAAAGATGCATCTCGACTTAGATCTGTTCATTCGCCCTCTAGTGGCAAAACCAAGAGCTGGAGCAGCCCAAACGGACGCGGTTGTGTGGCTTCAGAGTCCAGGCAGATTCAAATCTTACACTCTCAATTCCTTGTGCCAGCTCTGGTGCCTGCTATTTTTAAGCCAAATGCATTTAAGCAACCAAATACATTTAAAACGGGTTCTCCAGTAAATCACTGGACCAGTATGCCGTGAAGACGAAGGGGATATAGTCTGCCTTCTTCGCTTGTTTGCAAGGGGGTGGAGGTTGCTCTCCTTTCCACTCTCAAGGCAGCTTAAGTTATGCATAAAGCAACACAGAAAAGTTATTTTTAAAAGGTAACAATGCATTCAGAGTGCAGTCCTATGTGCTCTTACCTTGGAGTACCTCTAATTGAACTCAGTAGGACTTACTTGTTAAGGGAAGTTTTTAATGACTAATGTTCTAATGTATTTTTAATCTTTTGTTGGAAGCCGCCCAGAGTGGCTGGGGAAACCCAGTCAAAAGGTTGGGGAATAAATAAATTATTATTATTATTATTATTATTATTATTATTACTACTACTACTACTACTTCTGAGTAAGCAGACCCTGAAAACCCTCACCCACAGAAAGAGAGTAAAACAAGGGGGACGGCTGTACTGATTTATCCCAGCAACACCATTCTGTGATATTGTAAGGGATGGAAAGTGCCCATACAAGCCTATGCAGTTTACAGAGAAGTAAGTCCCCCTATGTTCATGGAGCCCCAAGTAAGCGTACCTCCTCTGAACATCAGTAACCACGGACAAAGTGACAGTAATCCAAACAGCAGAAAGAGGAAGGATAGGCAAGAGCTACTACGAAATTAAAAGACGCCTGCTTCTTGGGAGAAAAGCAATGACAAACCTAGACAGCATCTTAAAAAGCAGAGACATCACCTTGCCAACAAAGGTCTGTATAGTTAAAGCCATGGTTTTCCCAGTAGTGATGTATGGAAGTGAGAGCTGGACCATAAAGAAGGCTGATCGCCGAAGAATTGATGCTTTTGAATTATGGTGCTGGAGGAGACTCTTGAGAGTCCCATGGACTGTAAGAAGATCAAACCTATCCATTCTGAAAGAAATCAACCCTGAGTGCTCACTGGAAGGACAGATTGTGAAGCTGAGGCTCCAATACTTTGGCCACCTCATGAGAAGAGAAGACTCCCTGGAAAAGATCCTGATGTTGGGAAAGATGGAGGGCACAAGGAGACAGGGACAACAGAGGACGAGATGGTCGGACAGTGTTCTTGAAGCTACCAGCATGAGTCTGACCAAACTGCGGGAGGCAGTGGAAGACAGGAGTGCCTGGTGTGCTCTGGTCCATGGGGTCACGAAGAGTCGGACATGACTAAACGACTAAACAACAACAACAAGAAGAAGACACTCTCCATAGTGACCAGTAAGGAAAAAGGGAAACGGCATGAGGCCACCCATCTTGCTGAACCTAAGCAACTCTGGGTCTGGTCAGTGCCTTCCTTGGAGGTTTTTAAGCAGAGGTTGGATGGCCATCTGTCTTGGATGCTTTAGTTGAGATTCCTGCATTGCAGCAGGTTGGAGTGGATGACCCTTGGGGTCCCTTCCAACTCTATGATTCTGTGTACAGTTGCTCCATGATAGAAGGAAGATGAGATATAAATACTGTATAAGGAAATAAATAAATCCCAGTCCATTTGGGACTCAAAACCATTAGTTGAAAAGGGACAAAATGAAAGGAAGAAGACCACAGTCCTAAGCATGGAATGAAGCTCCACTGAAATAAATGGGGTTTACTTTCATGTATTTTTTTAAAAGAAAAAGATCAGAGGAGGGGGGATCTATTTAGCTGTTTGCTTTATCAATGCTTTTATAGAAATCTCAAGAGACGGGTGAGGGAGGAACCCTCCTAATTCGCTGCTCAGCCTCTTAAGAATAGTATTGATCTTTCCTTCTATAAAGACGTCTGCATTTGTACATGTGTAGTTAAAGTGGCACTGTATATATATGAAAGCAATGAGGTGCAAGATTCAAAGAGCAGCAGTTTGCAGGTGGTATCTATTGATCTTTTGACCATATACCAATAAATCAGCCAGGTGGGAAAATAAGGAATTTATTTAAAAGAAAAATACACTGTCTGGAAATAATGATTTTTCTGCTTTGTTCTAAGCTTCAGCTTCTCTCAGTGTTTTGAGGTTGTTATTCAGGGCTGGCATCATGGCCCTACCATTAATAGGATGGCCTCCTTTTAAGGCAGATGGATGCTGAGGGGGCAGGAAGAAGTGGCAAAGCCCTGGGGGGGCAGAGCTTAGTGTATGCCATGTGGTCTGTTCAACACCCCTAAGCTAGCCAGTACTCTTCGGTATGGTAGAGGATGCTGCTTGGCTGCTAGTGTTGAAGTAAGATTCAACTGCAAGTCCATTAGATTTTTCTACATGGAGTGGGGGGTGGAGGTAGGCACGATTTTGTCTTTCATCTCAGGCAGCAAATCTAAGAAAGTTGCTTTATTAACTTTTACTTTTGTTTCAAACGAATACTGTGTTTATCTTGTACACATGTATGCTTTTCAGGGATCACCTACCTTTTGAGGTCTGTCAGCACATTTCCAAATGTTTAGCATGAGCATCACACACACACACACACACTTCAGCCTATTCCATTGGCTGCAATAGAAAGTGTCTTTCAGTAGGGGAAAGAAACCCTACAGGTGCCTGACAAGGTCTCTAGACAGAAAGATAGATAGATGATGGATAGATGGATAGATAGATAGATAGATAGATAGATAGATAGATAGAGTGGTACCTCGGGTTAAGAACTTAATTCGTTCTGGAGGTCCGTTCTTAATCTGAACTGTTCTTAACCTGAGGTTAAGAACTGTGCTAATGGGGCCTCCTGTTGCCACCACGCCACTGCCGCACAATTTTTGTTCTCATCCTGAAGCACAGTTCTTAACCTGAGGTACTATTTCTGAGTTAGCGGAGTCTGTAACCTGAAGCGTCTGTAACCTGAAGCATATGTAACCCGAGGTATCACTGTAAATAGATAGATGATAGATAGATAGATAGATAGATGATAGCCTATGAAGCTGAAAAAGTGGGTTCTATCCCTCAGTAACTTTTGCCATAAGAAATGTGTTAGTTTTTCAGTGCCACGAGACTTTATTGTTTTTTGGGGAAAGAATATTCTTCTGGCAGCTTATAAAGTTGCTGCTTTTTTTAAAAAAAAATGGAAAGTATCATCTGGAGAGTAGTGGTTTAGCTTTTGTGTCTCCAGCCATATTGTTGTAAATACGTTCCATGATTATAGAGCTTTCTCACTCTCTAGGATTTTGCCTAGGCTGGAACTCCATGCTGGGCAAGGTGGTCCTGATTATTTGTGTTTGATGACCAACAGCAAGCCAAGCCACTAGAATGTGCATAACGCCACATCTGTCATTGGGATGGCTGAGAGAAACAATTTTGCAGGCAGACTGAATGTGAAAAGGAGAGAGAGAAAAAAAAAATCGGTGCTAGTTCTGAACTTGTTGGAAAAGTTTGCTAAGTTGCTGCTGAGCAGAAACTGCTGCATAGCATACCACCTGATAGACTGTTGCTGTTTTAAAGTTAGTATTACCATGCTTGCTTCCTGTCTGCTCAGCCTCCAAATTTATACACAACCAACTTTCAGTAGTGTTGTCTTGTAATGAAACTTGTAATATAAGAATAGTCCTGGAACCTGCTACATACTGTATCAGAGAAGTGTGTGGCACTGCAGCATGTAACACAATTATTTCTCAGAAGTTGCAAGAAGAGTGTAAACCAAGTCGGTTCGTTCACTGTTACTGTACCACAAAAGTGTGACACTGTTCAAATAATGACATTGAAGATGCATCTGATTAAAATGGTGGATTCTAGTCAATGAATGCTTGTGTCATAACCATTTTTTTAGCATTTAAGGTGCTGCAAAATTATTTTAAAGTCAAAGCAGACTACAATAATCACCTGTGGCTGATTTGAATTCAAGGCTTTTGTCAGACACATCTTCACCATGATATTCCTTAAAACCCACTTGCTGAACAGGGATACTCTCATGGTATGCGCTGAGTGTCAGATGTTTGAATGAGGCTTGAAAATGAGATCGTTGAATTGGGTG